TATTAAGCAACACCAAAAAATGAAAAATTTTATAATAAAGATATTGCTTTTAAAATTTAATAAAAAATGAAAGATCATGAGATTTAATTTATTGATTTTTTAATTGATTATTAAAAAAATCATGAATAAAATTAATTTATAAAAAGCAATTTAATTAAAGTTTATGAAAGATTTGAATCATAAGGTTAATAGGTATTAATTATGGAACTTGGAGGAAAAGATTTATTTTCTGTTTTAAAGAATAAATTATAAATAGAATAAAAAATTAAAATTTGTTAAGAAGTAATAATTAACCATTTAATATTAGATTTCTTAATCTATTGCGTTTCTTCATAAATAATAATTGATTCATAGAGATATTAAACCTGAAAATTTTATTTAAGTAGGTACAACATTTAAATTAATTGATTTTGGTTTAATTAAAAAAAAAGAAGAAAATGTAAGACTTACAAAAATGATAGGATCACCTCTTTATTAAGCTCCTGAGATCATCAAAGGATCAGACAATTATTAGGCTTCTGTTGATATTTGGTCTTTGGGATGTTTATTCTTTGAATTATTTTAAGGAGAACCTTTATTTGATGGTATTCATCATTATTTTATTTTAAGGTTAAACTCTATAGGAAGTATATTAATAAATCCTTAATTATTGTAAAAATTAATAATAAATTCATCTTAAAATTAATTAATTATAAATTAAATAGGAATTAAAAACTTTAATTAAATAAATGATTGATCCAATTCCTGATAAGAGACCTAATATAGATTATGTTTAAAAAGAATTATTGCCAAAATTCTTACCTTATCCTAATAAAAATATTTTGAAACAGAGTATTTGAAAAATTGTAAAGATTTGATTTTTTTTGGAAATTTAAAATGAATAATTATAATTAATAATCAAAATTTAAATCTCTTTCAAGATCTACTATATTTAAATTTATTATTATAATATTAAGTATAGTATATCGATATAAAATTCATATTGAGAAAATTTTTAATTTAATTCGAATTAATATCACATTCATAAAAGATACAAGATAAATTATCGAACTAGTTTAGACAATTTTTTGATAAGATTTGATTCTAAATTTATATTAATAATTTAATATTCCAAAATCCATTAATTTTCTAAATATTGAAACAAAATCTAAATTTAGATATGAAATTTTGATTTTTTTATTTATTAATGTAATTTTAATATAACTAGATCAAAGCAGAATACCAATAGGGAGTATAAAATTTATAATGAAATTATTTTTTAATTTAGATAATTTAATGATTTTAGATTCTTTTGTAATTAAGAACATAATAAACCTAATTAATCTATATAATTATAGATAATTTTAATTAAATTCAGAGTTTCTATTTTTTTAATTGAACTTTAATACAGCTATATCATTGTTATCATTAAAAAATATTGTTAAGAATATATTTAATATTAAGGGGTAATACTATTTTCTAGTTTTTACCCTTAATAACTGAAATCAATTAAGAAAGCACTTTAGATAATAAAATTTAAGTTAAATAAAGAATCTTTTGTTTTTCATCATTTAAAATCATAATTATAATAAAATTTGTTTAGATTTAAAAAAAGGTATAAAAATATGGTAAATATTAAAGTAAATTTATCTTTTGTGACTGAATGTTTGATAAATAAAAATTATTTAATTAAGTGAAATCACAAAGTAAGTAATTTTTTTTTCATAATTCATTATCAATTGCAACATTTTTTCTATTTAATTTTATCTTTGAAGAATCATAAATAAGTTCGAATTTATTATTTAAACATTCATATACAAACTTTTTTGAATTGTAAAATTAAGGTGGAGGATATAAAGGATCAATTACAAGTTTTAAGAGATTGTCTATCAACTATGGCATAAAACCCGTCAATAATGGACCTGTTTATTCTAAACAAGGATTTGTGTTAGTTTCAATTAACCAAGTATTATATGAATCATCAATCATAAAATCTAATCCAAATAATTCAAATGTATTTTCTCTTTTTAATGGATCTAAAAGTTCAGCAACAGCTTAAAACTAATCAAAAGCAATTTATTTCATTCTTTAATAAACTTAATTGAATTTTTCTGGTGTTATGAATTTTTTGAATTCTTCAAAGGATATTTTATTTCCTTTTTCAAATTTGCCATAGTCATCAGAATATTTTTAGACAGCATCATTTGTTAAATGTATCATTTTGTTTGATAAATTATTTAGATTGAATTCTTTAGATGATGTTCTAATATAACCATCTTAATACCAATAGCCTTTCTATTAGCCATTAATCCCTGTAAAAAGTATAAAACATCGAATATCAAATTTTCTTTAGTTATATAACAAAGGATTGGTGATATATTGTTGAACAATAAAGGTTTTAGATAATCCATTTTTATGTTAATGATTTCCTTTTAAAAAAAAATTAACTTCATTAATATTCTAAAATATTTAAATACCATGTCCTCGATTAGTTAATTCTCCAGGTTTTACAATCCAAATTTTTTTTGCACTGAAATTTTCAATTAGATAATTTTCCAAATCGAATTTATTCTTTATGTGATAAGTTAAAGGAAGAAACTCAAATACATTTTAAGAATTTAATTCATAATACTTTTTTAAATTTAGAAATAAATTCTTTTTGGAACCTAAATGAGTATTATTTTAGATGTGATTATGGATTTTAGTTGATGATGTAATTTCATATGTTCTAACATTATTGCAAAACTGTACACATTATTCATAATTTAATAATTTGTTCAATTTTCCAACATGTTTTTCTTATTAATTCATTTAAATTACTAAATTTTTAGGTAACAATTTTGCATAAGGATGAGAATCAATTGGAATATCTTAGATATCTTATGAAATATTGAAATTATAATTGTTGTCTACTTATTCTGAACATGGCATTGTGATTATATAATTATCATTTCGTGATGATTCCCATAGAAAATTGACATTTTCTTTATCATTTTCCACAATCAACCACCACCATCTTTACTTCAGTAGAGTCTTAACCAATTATCCATTGTTACTTTTTGATACGTTAGCCTTATAATAATTTACAGTAGATTTTATGAATATACCATTTGATATATTGATATAATTATAATACTATCTAATATTAGCATATTTTTCTTAAAATTCAATTTCTTAACAATATTTTTCTCCTTCAAAATATATTCCATCAAATTTTGGTTATTTTTTTATAGATTTACTTCTAGATTTGATATATTTATTAGATGGAATTTCAGGCTAATATGATATCCTTGGTTTTAATACTCTTCTTTCAAGTGATTTTAATGTATTACCAATTAAAATGCAAGAATCATCACTTTTCTCTTTTGATTAACTATTTGCCATTCTTTTTTATAAATGAGGTAATATATATTTTGCAGAGTTATTTTATATATTTTCTGTTCTTAGGTTTTAGTTAAGAGTAATTTTGGGCATCAATCCATATGTTTCCACTGGCTCTTAAAATTTAAATTTTGGAAACCTTTACTCATATCTTCTTTTCATAAAGTACTAGAAACCTTATGGAGAATGAGTTTTTCTCATTTTATTCTAAACTGCTTTGATAATTTATTATTAATAAAAAATGGATTAAAATCAGGAGAAAAAAAACGAAAAGAAAGCACCTTTTATTATTACAACACCAAAATAGTAATGTTCATAACAAAAATAGAGTGATCTCTTCTGCTTACTTACACATTAGTGATTTTGAGGAAAAACCTAGATTTATTGTGGATGAGAGTGGTAACAAAGTATTTTAAAAATTGAATCCTCCTCCTGAAAAATCAAATGTGAAAGCAGGTTATACAGAACTGTTAATAAGAAAGGTTTCCTATTAGGAAGATCCTTATGAAAGAAAGGAGTGTCTAGAAAGATTTGAACAATTATAAAATAAAGTTAAAATACCATGTCCTTTTAAATGTCCAAGAAATCATAAAATCAAGGAGAAAGGAGATCTTAAAGAGAAAACTGTTGAGTATGGCAGAAAAGTTATAAAAAGAAACATATCAAGATTACTTAGTGCAACAAAAAGTAAAGAATAAACTGAGAAACTTAATAAATTAATGATAAAAGCTGATACATTATTTAGATCAAGAAAAATAGTAACTAATGTAAAATAATAATAAAATGTTTCTGGTTTTGATAAAAATTTGTTTGCAAATGTTGATAAATGGAAAAATGTTTTAAATATTTTGGAGAAAAAAGAATAGGAAGAATTATAAAAATCAAAGTTATCATTTTAAAAATAGAGAGATGAGTAGAAATAATAATATGTTTTAGAATCTACTTAAAAGAGAAAAGAAAAAGAATTTAAAGAATTAAAAGACAAAGAGATTAAAGAATAAAAAGAATAAAAAAATAAAGAAATATAAGAGTAAATACTGTAAAAAGAATTAAAATATAAAGAAATGCAAGAATAAAAAGCTTAAAAATTTAAAAAATATGAATAAGTATAAAATACATCTAAATTATCAGAAAATCCTAAAATTGATTTAACTCCTAAAAATAAAACAAGTTTTTCACATCATTAAGAAAGTACAAAATAATTAAAACCTGCTACTCCATCCTCATTTTAAAAATAATAAAATTAATAAGAACTTAAAAATTAATCTTTTAATTCAATATCAAATACTTAAAATACTTAAGAAGTCAATAAATAAATAAATGTTGATAAATCTAATTAGATCTAACATTAGATAATGTAAAAGTAAAAATCAAATGTTTAAACACCCAAAAGTGGTACATCTAAATTAAAGTATACAAAAGAAGAATAAATTGAAGTTAAAAGTGTAAAATCTAATTAGTAGAGTTAAAACAAGGATAAATTAAAAAAAGAAAATAGTATAATAGATTAACCAAAATAAAATAAATCTTAAAGATCTCATAGTTAGAGATTAAGATCAGAAGAAGAAAGAAAATCAAATCATTATTCAGAGGAAAGAAAAGTATAGGAAAAAGATGAAAAAAGTAGATATTCAGAAGAAAGGAAATCAAATAGATAAACACCAAAAGCCAAAAATTAAGAATATAATCAGAAAATAATTATGAAACCCAAAAATTTCACTAGAGCTGGTAGTTATAAAAATCCAAATATTCCAAAGTAGGACAATTCTCAAAAGACAAAAGTTAGAGCATCATCATCAGGAAAAAGAACTTAAGAAGAAAAGCCACTAAATTTAAATAATATAACATTACCTAATAAAATTGTTGCATCTAACCATATGTAAGATAAAATCAATTTAAGCAAAGAAACTTAATTATAAACGATAGATTAACAAGAATAATTAATAAATGAGGTCAAAATTGATTAAAATTACTAAAATTTAAATAATTCAAATGAACAGGATATAATTAAATAAAAGGATAATATAAAAGATAAACTAAATGAAGATTCATAAATTATTAAAGATGTTAAAATAAATGAGAATAATACTCAGATTAATAAAATTGATAAATTAGATGAAGATCCTAAAAATGATATTATTGATAAACTAAAGGAAGATTTATAGATTAATAAAGATGATTTACATATTAATAAAGATATTAAATCAAATGAAGATCTAAAGATTATTAAAGATGATAAAATATATGAGGATAATTCTATTATTAAAATTGATAACATAAATTAAGATCCTCCTATTGATAAACCAAATTAAAATCTATCCATTAATAAAATTGAGAGAGTAAATGAAGATAAATCTATTAATAAAAATGATAAAATAAATGATGATGCAATTATTTCTAAAGAAATTGATAAAACGATTGAATTCATTGCATAACCTATCAATAAAGGTCTATTAAATATAAATGTAATAGTAATATTAAATAAAGGATCCTCAAAAGAATATGAACGAAAAAGAATAAAAAATGACTGAATTAGAGAAATAAATGAGTATAATGGAAAACTCAATACCACTATAATCATAACGTTAGAAAGGAATTTCTTAATTTTAATCAACAAATTCATTGTTAATAAAATAAGAATCTAATATTTTGAAGGAATCTTTATTGACTGAAAGTTTTGTTGAATCATAATTCAAAGAAACAAAAGGATTAGATAAATAATTACTAAGTTCTTAATTAAATGAGCAAGATTCAATAAATTTATCAGAATCATAAGCAACTCTAAAATCAACATTGTAATAGAGTTAATTTTAATAAAAATAATAGTGAATTTTATATATTATAATGAAATAATTTCATTTTTTTTTGCCTCTTTTTTTTTTGTATTATTCCTTAATATTATATGACTCATCTTGAGAATCCTCTTTTTCATCTTCTTTTTCATCTTCTTAATGATCAACTATATTATCTTCAACCTTTTATTTATTTAATAATGAATCTTCAGATATATCCTAATCACCATCTAGAGCTTCTTCTGAATCAGATACTTTGTCATTATTAGATGATATTTCTTCTTCAGATGCATTTCTTTTGATTCTTTTTCTTCTATTTTTTTTTCCTTTTTGATTTTTCAATAATTCTAATATATAAAAATAAGAGAATACATTCAACATCATTTTCATTTGCTTCATCTCCAGTATCGTCATATTCATCTTACATTCTATTTGGATATGGCATAATTGCTTTAGTTTTCAATTTATGAAGCCATTCATGATAAATATCTATAGGTTCATCTAGTGATCGAATTTTCATATCAAATTTGGTTTCACATCTTTCACATTCTAATTTAGCTGTTTTATAACCTTTTTTTCTTGAATGAGATATTAAATAATACATACATTTTAATAATAATGCAATCTTTCCATCCACAAACAGCACAATCAAAATATGCTTTTGGTTTCATTAGTTTAGGTTTTTTTAAGACTTTGAAAGTTCTTTTTCTTCCTCCCATGAAATATTAATATTCGTAATTCTTACAAATTTGAGATAGCTATCATATCAAATAATATAGTACTTTTTTGTTTGAACTTCAAAAAAAGTAAGTTTAGTTCATAAAATTATTTATAATTTAAATTAATTTTTAACGAATGTATTATCCAACTTGTTAACCATATTAATCTTGTCACATTCCTTTAACTTAATGTGTGACTTAATAATAATGCATGGTATAGACAACTTAACCTGATATTAATGGGGCTATAATAAATGAAAGAGAATAATTGAGAATGCAATTAATGGAATTAGAAGACAGATATCATATTGATATTGAAGAATTAAAAATAAATCTTCTTTCTGAAAGTGAAAGGATTTTAGTACAATCTTATTTTAATATTATAGTAAAAATCTTTAAATGAATTGGTTTAATAATATGAACCTTAAATTCATTAAAAGGATTCTTAAATTAATATATTAACTCAAAAATTGTAAGCAGCAGAAACAACATTATAATAAGTATAATCAGAAAATTAAAAATTAAAAGAAGTTGTATTTAAAAAAAAGGATAAAATCAAATATTATAAATAAGAAATGGAAAATTAAAATAATTTTCATATTCAAAAATTAAATGAATAAGAATAATTTTGGAGAGAAAGATTGAATAAAGAATTAGTAATATATTATCTTATTATATTTAGAATTAATAAAAATAAATATTATTATAAGAATTTTAATTTGAAAAGAAATCATTAGAAGATTAAATTTATAAATTGAAATCTTAATTAGCTTAATTTGATGAAAAATATCAACAAATTTTATTTGAATTAGAAGTATTATATATAATTAATTAATTTAATAGAAAATAAAATAATAATTATAAGAGAAAACACATGAATGTGAGGAATGGAAAACTAAATGTAGAAGATTAGAACACATGGAATCAATTAAACCATAAACATTAGATCATTCTCCATCTAGAGATAGAATATTAGAATCAAGAATTGAATAATTAGAAAGAGAAATTAGAGTTAAAGATGCTAAATTGGCAAAGAAAAAGGATAAAGTATAGACAGTTATTCAACATGTACCTTAATAAGTGATTGTTGAAAAACCTATTGAAAGAATAATAGAAATTGAAAAGATTGTTCCAGTTGAAAGAATTATCAGAGAAAGAGTACCTGCAAGATAACCAATTGTTGTTTAATAACAAATTTAAAAGAAAGTGGAAAGTGAATCTGAAGATGAAGAATTAATTGAAGAAATTAGAATATTAAAGAGAAAGATTGTAGAATTACAATAAGTAATTGCTAATCTTAAAATTTAATTGGAGGATTCTTAAAATGATAGAGATGATTTGTATCAATATACATCTAAGTAGATAACGTAATTATGAGATTTTATTGGCTAAAGTTAGACAACTAGAAGATTTATTACGTAGTAGAAATAGGGAACTTTAAGATAAAGTCAGTTCTTTATAGCATGTCAAAAAAGATGAAGATAAAATTATTGTCCATGTCAATCAAGGTAAAAATAAAACAAGTCATGTTGTTAAAAGATGATGAATACATTAAAAACTATAATATCTTATTAATTGATTTAAAAAAGTTAATATTTCATTTTTGAATAAATCCTTCTCTTACAAATTTAGCTCTGATATTTTTTTAATTATTTAATACATCATTTGAATAATATCTATGAATATATTTTAATGTTTATTTATAATTTTTTTTTAATTTCTTAACTAAGATGAGTTCAATAAAGAATACATAAAAAGTAGATGTAAAAAATAACATTAAACATCTATTTATTAAGATATAAAATACATTGATAGAATATCTAGAAACATTTCATTATCTGCATATAGAAAGTATTATTCACACCATAGATTAAGTGTAAGTTATTCAATTTCATAAGCATTGTTTTATACCTAATATAGGTGTATGAATTACTTCACTAAATTCAAATAATGTATTTAAAGTTGGTTAATCATATCTCTTATCATTTGGATTTATAAGAGATATTGCAATTTAACTTAATAATAAATGATATTGATTTAATCCTCTTGTAAATGCACCACTTAATTTATATTGACAAGAATCATACTCATCAACTCTTGTATTTGGCATTATTTCTATAATTATATCAAATAAAACCTAGAAGTAGTTCACAATAATTTCCATAAAACATTTAAAATACTTGATCAATATTTGTTTCATAAATTTCATTTTATTCATCTTGAATTTAATTAATAAATTATTAAACATTATTCTTAATCTCATTAATCACTTTATTAGAATTATCTATGTATTCATATATGTAGAGTTCTTTAATGCTAATCATAGCATAAAGATGACTACGATTCTTTACAAATTAATTTTCATTGAATATTTTCAAAGCTCCATTTTAAAAAGCTTAAAGAAATAATAAATAATAGAAAACAAAGGATGATATGATTAGACTAAATAATAAGTAATACAATAAAAAAGAAATCTACATTAATTATCAATTTATTACTTTAATTTTAATCCATTAAGCTGATTCTAAATATGAATTAGCTTTAGCATTAATTTATACACTTAATTCTTAATTATCATATTTAGTCTGTTATTCACAATATGATGTTTGGGTTGTTTTAGAATTCAAAAATTTCATAGTTTCCAAATCAATCAAGAATCTTAATTACAATTTTAACCAGGCTATATACTAAATAGATGTAACTATTTATGATTTTGATAATAAATGCAAAGTTTTGATAATAGTCTATTTATAAAATACAAAAATACTTTATTTTTATTAATGACATTCATAATTAAAAATTTATTTGCAATAATAAAGAATATAGTTAAACAAATTGTAATAACAATCTCGAAAATAGCAAATTGTTAATATTCAAGTAATCTATTCATTTAATTATTATATTATTATTAATAACTAAGAAGCAAACCTACTTAAATATTTGGAATTATTATAGATCTCAATTCATCTAATATATTGAATTAAGAATTTATGACTTCCCAATTAGATTAATGCCATTAGTTTAAAATATTCATAAATTAAGCAATTAAGTCATTTATGGGATTATCAAACATTTAATAACCAAATAAAATTTCTATAAATTCTTTACTATTAAGAGATTAATTGATAAATTAAGTTTATTACTACAGAACCTTTGATTTTTATTATAAATATTCTTGTATTTCAATGTCTGTTGTATTTTTTTAATCAAATAAATAAATATCTAAAGCATATTCATATGTTTAGATCATACATAAAGATAATCTTGAAATAAGTTACAGTTATTAAATCTCTATTATTATGAAAAGTTACTTCAGAATATATCTGTTAATGTTAAGTTAAAGATGGACCTTTAACAAAAGCTATTGCTGCTAATAAGTATAGAGTAATTATCATTATTCTATTAAAGAATATAAAAAAAGTTATTTCCTTAATTTTTTTAGTCACTTTGTTGTTATCTTATTTGAAAAATATGTTATTTTCAAGTTTGAGTACAACTTCAGTTGGATGATATTAGACAAATTCAGGAAAGACTTAACCTTCAGTGAGAAATGATTTATTTTAATCAATTCTATTTGAATCAACTTCTGAGTTATTAACTTATAATGTTATTTGCAAATATATGTACATTATTATTGAATTCCAAATATTCTTGGATCCATATACATTTCTACTAATGATGGCCTAGATTATTTCATACGAGATTCAGCTAGAATATTATGAGTCTTTAATTTATAAATATATATATGTATTACTTCTCTAAATTATCTTTGATGATATTCAAATATCTCATATTTATTAATTTTAATAATTGTATATTTATCCATAGAAATAGTTTTAGTAAAATGAATGGTTGCATCTAATTTAATAATTTTATCAAGTAATCTATTTTATGAACAATATTTTTCAAATAAATCTCTTAAGTTATCAAACATTTATTTCAATTATCTTTAATTAAAATCATATAATCTACGAAAAAGTAATAATTTATTAATTTTAATTTTATTTTCTGCATTTCTAAAGATTAATCTATTCTTTCTATTATAAATAGTAGATAAATCATTTTATTAGATTGCATCTTAAAATGTAAATGCTTTCAAATATTCATATTCTTAATTTAATTAATTCATTTTTTTTGGTAATCTAAGTGTTAATTTTACATGTTATTCATCTACTATTTTAAATAATCTTTAATTTGTATATGTATTTTCTGTATTAAAATATTCAATATTATCTTCTCCAAAAAAAGCAAATGATTAATCTTCATATTCTGAACCTTTTTTTTCAATCTAATTTGTTTTCTAAGAATTTGTTAAGTTATTATAATTAACACTGTCACTAGAATTATAATATTTTGATTATGTCATATTTAATGATTTTGACTATTAAGTTAATTTAAATCTTGTTATATCATCTGAATTTAAATAATGTCCAAATTTTGAAAATTAAAACAAACCTGTACAAAGTAAGAGTAAACAAGTTTTTTATTCTAATATTTTAAATAGAGGTCTAGTAACAGCATCTACTTCCCAATCTCCATTTAAAATAATAAAATTTATCTATTCTAATCTTATTATAGGTCTAATCATAGCTATAAAATTAATTTAATTCTATTAATCTAATTACCATTTCAAATACTTTCTTGCTTATATTACATATCCTTATGAATGTCTAATAAAAATCTTACGACTTTTATGTAAAGTCTTACTTTTTCCATAATAAAATAATTATTTAATAGCATTTTGATGATTTCTTTATAATACATCTGGTATTAACTAAGATATGGATTTTAAATTATCAAATTCCAATACTTCTTTGCAGGATTAACTACATTTAATAATCTATCCATTAAGTAATGAATGAATAATCAAACTCATATGATTAAATGGTTTTGAATTATTAAATTATTCATATACTTTAATCTCATAATCACTATCAGAATCTTCATTAACAATTTCCTAATGTAATGTTGCTGAACTTAAACTCTCAATTTGAGTTAATCTAACTTTCTTATTTAAAATAAATAATCTATACCTAAAATAAATATATATATATATATAATATACCAAAAATATATAAATTTCCATTTTAATCTTTTGCTCAAAAATGAAATTATAACATCTTATTATTTTACTCTTACTTCATGTTTTATAATATTCTTCCATAATTTATTACAATTTGTCATCTCTTGATCAATGTCCATATTAATATCTATTTAAATCTATTCTACTTAAGGATTCTTAGTCAATCTTCTCCAAAATGAAGAATATAAACTCAATAATTTCAATATTACTTAATAAATTTAAGAGATTGTTTCCTCCATTTATATTACATATTCAAAATCAAGATAACTATGATATGCAAGGCTATTTAAATCGTTTGCATTTTCATAAACCATTGAAGCCATCAATGTTAATCTTAATTGCAAATGAATATTCAACTTTTTGTTCTAAATCCATTAAATTTATTCATAAGCCTAAATTTTGTTTTTCATTTTGAAGTATAGAAATTAAGCATAAAGAAATCTCAAATCAATATTTCTTGGTTAATTTTAAATTAAAGTTTCATATAATGATTTAATCATAAGTTTAGTGAAACTAGATCTATGATTTCTGATTGCTTAAATTGTTTTTCTAATATCTTTTTACAATTTTGAATCAAAAGTTATTTTCATTGTACAAAAACATCTCATTCCAAATTCTGTATATTAATTTTAACATTTATTAGCTAAATGATGATAAATATGTCCAAAATAAATTAAATCACCTACTTTATTTACTATTTAATTATTTTTCTAAAATTCTGTAAATACTTAAACTTTGAGTTCCAATTATTTTACATCCTTCGATTCTTAAAAAAAGGCTTTTATTTAAAGTGCTCTTAAAGATGTTTTAAATATTGTCCATACTAAACCATAAAGGATGATTATTGCAAACAAAGGTTTTATATTAAATTGAAAATGCAGATATAAACCAAAGGAAATACAAAAATACAATAAGATTGATTAGGTGAATAGAAATCTAATTTAAATTCTTTAATAATGTTAAAAGTTTAAATTATTAATTATTACCATTATTAATATTACACTTGACATCAAATTTAAATATATGATAAAATGCTATAATATAGATTATTAATTATACATAACTCCATTCTATTTATTTAAATGTTATAAAGATAACATTTAAATATCTTATAAATATTAGTATTGTTATTGAATAACATTATTTTCTTGTTAATGCATCTCTTTTCTTAACCCATTCATTATAGTAAAAGATACTATAAATAATTGAAAATAACAAAATTATTAATATAGAAACTATACTAAGAATTGCCATTACAATAAAAATGTTCTCATTTACTTAAATCTCTTCATTTCTTTAAATAAAAGGAAAAATCGAAAGAAATATTATCATCATCGGATAAAATCCTAGGAGTGCAAAAAAGTCAAATGTGTGAATAAAAACCTGGTTTTGATTAAAGTATATAATTTACTTGTCCATACCATCTTTTAATTACTTTAGTCTCAAACTTACTTTTCTTTAGTTCATGTAAAGACAGCAAAAAGACCAAAATAAAACCAATCAAAATTAGAAATAAAATTGAACTTGCAAATATAACTATGTAAGGTTAATCAGTGTAAAAATGTATATTGCAATATTGTAAAAACTATATGATTTACTAAATTTGATCTTCTTTAATATTTTATTAAACCATTAATTTGTAATGCCTACTTATAAATTCTAATTCTACATAAAAAAAAGAGATTAGTAAAATAAAAATTGACCTCCCAAGATATAAAAGATTCCCAAATAAAGAGAAACCCCTTTGGCTTTAAGCGATTAATTATACAACTGGAAAATGGCATAATTTAATTATAAATTATTAGGCATAAATAATTATTATATTTTTAATTAGACTAAGAAAAACTAAATTTATTTTAAACCATCTATGAATGATATTTAATAATAGCTCATCAAATTTCTTTTAAGTAATCATTATACTCTAATAATCTATATGCTGTCTGATAAGCCCCTTCTAATCCCAAAGAAGCCTATTTTATTACATAGATAGGTATCTGATTGATTATTTCAGTTAAATGAGGTCTATATTTTATGTAGTCTTACTAAAATGAAAATTTTTATAAATAATACTAAAAAATTAACTTATGGATTATTAATTGTGTAATTAGCAACACCAATAGATATATTACCAAACAAATAAAATACCTCCATAAGGAATTGTATATTATAAAAGATGGCATTCTCATTATATTACATACAAGATCCCCAATTACTGTTCCATAACTAGTTAATAACAAATCCACAACTTTCTAACATCATTCATCTTTCTTTTCAACATCATATTGAAATACTTATGTTGATGGGAATTATTTGAAATCATTCTTATCCTAAAATAATCAATCAAGGTTGAATTATTTTTGATTGGTTCAGCAATACCTAACTTTAATATATTTATTTCAAACCTATAATTGCTATTTAAGGTAAATTATTCTTTTATACATCTTTCAAATATTCAATAATATAATCTTAGAATTGAGGATATAAATCTGTATTATAAGATGTAAATTGTTTGAATTAAGGAGCTATTTGATATGTCAATTTAAGAGAAATTTTGATAAGTTAGAGACGAACATTTGTTCCTCCAACATCACCAATTAATTTTTTAATCAGGTTAAAGATCCTTAAATATTTGAGATTTCATTTTTTAATAAAATATATTTATTTATATATAGATAATTCATTTGTATAATTTGCTATTTGCATTTTTTAATAGTTTGTTTATGTTTTATTATAATCCTACTAATTCTGAAAGATATCCATTACTTAAGGATGATATTTCTGTTAATTATAAATCTGATAAATGATTAGAGATTTTGATAATTTCTGTTAAAGAAACTCTATCTGTAATAGGCTTGCTCTTTCTAGAGAAATCAATGATATCAGAATTCGATTTGAAGGAGCCCATCAAATCTCTCTTTGATTAATAGGTCTTATAATTATCTTTATCAGTAAAGGATCCAAAAGCAGATGGATATATATTACTTCTTTTAATATCATCTACTAGGTTAGATTGTTTTTGGCTTGGAGAATAGATTGCATGAGTCAAACCCATTTTGATTGGAGATTCTTATTTTGGAAATTTGTTTTCCAAATGATTTTTAACATATGATGTTGATGATCGTAATGCTAATGCTTAAGATGATATTTTTTAATCTGAGTTCTTAAAATTATACAGAAGATCACTCTTTTAAATGAATTTCTGATTTTCAAATCCTTATACTCTAGATTATACTTTATCACGTATTCCTTTTTTGACATCACTCCATGTTTGATAATCCAATCTTTATTGTATTTCTGTACATTTAGTAATTGGAATATCAAATTTACAAGGAGATGATCTTATCTATTAATATAAAATGATAATTATACAGGAGAATATGTAGATCTCATTAACAGTTAAATTTATTATTAGTTTATTATTTGTTTATTAAATAGTCATTATAGCAGATTAAAATAAAAAAATAAAATAAAAATACTTATCATAGATTAATGATCAAATTTTTTAATTATAATAATAATCCTGTTAAAATTTTGCTTTTAAGATTGGAACTATTTTAAAATACCAAATTTAGATTGTTAAAAATGACAACAAAAAAAATACATATTAACATTCTATAAACTACTAATGATTTACCAACAAAAAGAAAAATAGAAACTGATAAATAATCTAAATACAAATATAATAATTAAAAACCTAAAGTATCAGATTTTAATGATTATGGATAATAGAAAAAAAGAGATTGGAAAGAATATTATGAAAAATAATTATTAGAAATAAAATCTTTATATCCAAATTCAACTCATAATGAATTAACATCTATAATTTCTAAAAAATGGAAAAAAGCAAAAAAGAATTTTAAATATTTTGATTAATTAGCATAATAAATAAAAAAGGAACATATTAATAAAGAAAGTGATTAAATACTTAATCTAGATGATAATTTATAAATTATATAAAATAATAAAGAATCAGATTAATTTATAGATAAATTAAAATCTAGTTCTTTAAAATTGATTTTTTGTAATTAAGTATTTGAAATGAAAGGTTAATTAATAATAGATGCTATAAATTAAAATAGATTAATAATATATCTTAATAATCAAAAAGATGATTAAAATACAAAATAAGAAGATACAAATAAATGTTTATTATCAATAAAAGATATTTAAGATTAAAATACAGAATAATAAGAGGATGATAATGATAATTTTTAAATAGTTAATAATATTAAGAATTATTTATGATGATTATAACACAATTATATGATTTTTCATTCAAAACGAGCACCTATTGCTTTTCTTTTCTTCTTATTAGGCATTACTATATCTCCATTAACAATTCTCTTTTTTGGAGGTTCTTCCTTTACTTCTGATAATTATTAAAACACTTTTGGTACATCTTTGTCTTTAGATGCAATTGTTTATTATTTAACTAAAGCAATTTCTGATTCTTTTTGATTTTTTAAAGAAATAAATTTATATCGCATAGATTCATATAAATCCATTGTAAAATCTTTTGAAACTTCAATTGAATCTTTATCTTAGATTACAAGACCTCCTCCTAGATTCAAAACACTTTTAATGAAAACTCCTTGTGTAAGTTAGAATTCAAATAAAATCTTTAGATTTAAATTTTCAAGGATCAATTAATATTAATTACTTTCCAAAGCTTATTACATCATATCTAAAAATGAATTGAGTGTTCCTTTAATTTCACTTTTAGATCTCATTTCTTCTATATGTTTTTCAAGAATCTACAATAACCATATAGTCTATCCATCATAAATTCTAAGCAATAAGGCTGGAGTACTTATGTCATGTTCATAAGTAAATAAAAATAGATATTTAATCTTATCAATCTAACAAGATGTGTAAAAATGATCTAATTTTAAGAATGCTTCTTTAATATTGCCTGACATTTAATATAAATATTAATATAATTCCAAATCAATATAAAATTATATGGATTAGTAGGAATCAGCAAGATCGATCAACATAAGTTAAAGTTCAATTGATTATTAGTATAGGTTCTTCACGTTATTCAGATAAATTCTAACCTTAATTAATTCATATAAACACTAATCATATTTAAAAGAACAAATTGGATAGTTAAGATATCAGTCCTGTATATGAGAAATCGCATGAAGATATGACACATGATAAGTAGATGAGATAAACCAGAGTAAATCTAAAGAAAGCATCAAATTATTATGTAAATCAATAAATATGTATCCAAGACAGCTTCTTAATTTCCATAAGATAGAATGTAAAATGCAAGAGGCAGCAAAATAATGTAATTAATAAAATAGAAAAACTAATTAAAAAAGTTTAAAGATAGATTATTTTAAAATGCCCATATATATCCTCGCCATCCAAATGAATAATTAATTAATTTTTTGGAAGAGTAATATATTCATAAAATCCATCATCATCAAAAAAATTAATAATAAGAAACTAGATTTGATTAGGTTCAGATGGATTTATAGAGAAGTGTAGAAAATATTCATTAAAATCCAAAAATTCCAATTATCAATCCAACTGGTAAGTTTTATATGTTTTGGCAGTTTTTAAGACTTATTTAAATTATGTTTTTATTATGGTGGGTACCATTCAAGATATCTTTTGATCCACCTAAAACTTCTGCTATGAATTAAATTGAAAATTTACTTATCTATTTATTTGGAGTAGATTTATTAATAAAATTGAATAGAGGTATGATTGATCAAGGACAAATAGTTTATGATAGATTAAAGATTGTTAAACACTATATCATATATGAATTATATGAAGATGCTATTTATTTGATTACATTAACATTTGTTATTGGAAGTGATCCACTAACAATCTATTTCTTTCCTGAAATTATTGTATTAATCCAATTTACTTTAAATTTCATTAAACTCAAAAAAACTATTAATAAATATGGAGAGATGTTTGCAATTTAATCAAATTTTACTGAATTTGCCAGTCTTTCTCAATTAATAATCTTAATCTTTTATTTTGCTCATTTTATGGCTTGCATTTGGTATTATGTTGGTAACATGAGTTAATCTTCCTTTTCAAATTCATGGATTCAACAATAAAATTTATAACATTCTGCAGTATTTCATAAATATGGTTACTCATTTTATTGGGCAACTGCTACTATGGTAACTGTTGGATATGGTGATGTCATTCCATAAAATATTTATGAAGTAGTATGTGCAATAATTATGATATTCTTTGCAAGTGTAGTATTTGCATTTTCAATAAATGCAATTGGAGTGATATTCTCTAATATTGATCTATAAAAGCAATCTTATAAGAGAAATCTACTATTGGTGAATTAATATATGAATGCAAATGAAGTTTCTTTGTAATTATAAAGTAGAGTTAGGAATTATTTAAAATATTATTATGAATAATAAGTTAAAGGAAATAAATAAGAAATCAATTCAATAATAGAAAAATTATCTTATAATTTAAAATAAGAATTATTGGAAGATGTATAAATTAGAGCAATTACATGTGTTGAATTCTTCACTAAGAATTTTCAACCATCTACAATTCATCAAATTGCTTGTAGAATGAATATTTAATAATATACTCCTAGAGAAATCATTTTCTAATCAAACTCGATAGATGAAAATTCAATATATATTATCTAAAAAGGGGAAATCAATCTTATTGATAATAAAACTAATAAAATTATATAGAAATGTTCAAAAGGTTAATGCTTTGGAGAATTTGAATTTCTAACATCCTAAAAGAGATAAACCAAAGCTATCAGTACTACTTTTAGTTCAATCTATAGAATGAGTAGAGATACCTTTCTTGATATCATAGCTGAAAATTCTACTGATTTTTAAAAGTATTGTGAAATGAGAGATAAGATTTTATTTCATTATTAAGATCTATCTATTAAATGTGTAGCTTGTTAAGAAGACCATCTAATCAATGATTGTCATTATCTAACTTATAAACCTGATACAGAATTCCTTGTTAAAAAGTAATTGTTTAATTCCAATTAAGAGAGATCCTCATTCAAACGTAAGAATTTAAGATTCTAAAGAATATTTAATAATCATGAAGATCATGAACCACATAATAAAATTTAGTAACAAGAAGAAATAAGTATTTCCTAAGAATCTGGTAATAGATAAAATTCTAGTGTACTTGAAAGTGAACATCAGAATATTCTATTTAATGATGAAGCTACTCAACATATAAAAAAGCGAATTTCATTATGGGTTACTAATCCAGATTAACCATAGATTGAAGATAAAAGTATTTTAATTTTATTAATGTAGAGTCTATTTAAAAGTCTAATCGACATAGTAGTGATACTCCTACAAATAAGTAAAATCGAAAATCTTTATTCAATTCTTCTTAGGATCACTCTAAAAGGCATATTAACAATTAATAATAATTTCTTTAAGTTAGTGACTAATTACAATTACAATAATAAGCTATGAATTCATCTAATAGTTCTTAAACAAAAAGTAATCACCAATTTAATCAGTTGGAGCATATTCAATCATTCCATTCATTTAATTTTGAATTAGATAAAATGGAAACATTTCAAATCTACTTTCCACATAATAATATACAAAATGTTCTTAATTCTTACTAAAAGTAATAGAAATTACAAAAATACTATAAAATATACTTTTCAACTAGTAAATATAGATTTATATTTATTGAGAAGTAGCCCTTGCCAAATGCTTTCAGAAAGTCATTGCATCGTGTCAATAGCTAAAATTGATTTTTATTTCTATTTTATCAATTATCAAGCCATTATTGATTTGCTAATTAGTATTTAAATATGAAAATAAGTTTAATTATGTTAACATAGTGAAAAGCAAATTAAATTAATTTATTTATAAGAGTAGAAATAGATTAATTTATTTTAAATATTAAAGCTTGATAATTTATTAAAGTGTAATTAAAATTAATTAAAAATAGTGATTAGTCTAATTTCTCAAAGGATGAATAGAAAAGTCCAATTATAAATTTAAAAAATAAATTGATTTTTTGTATAATTGAATATTCAATATTTTTGTTTGAATTAACTCAAATAACGATTAAGAATTATAGTAAATTAAGTAAGATCTTAAATTGAAATCATAATCACATGAATATTAATAAATCCCTTTTTTGACTTTAAATTTTAAGCTTAGGACTAAGAATATTAAATTTAATTATAATGAGAATATGAAGAATATATATACAGAGATTATTGTTATTATTAAATTTATACATGTCAAGTTATTTTTGTGAACAAGATATAAAAGATTTTACATCTCCAAGGTTCATTTTAGATGGAGCAACTCCTCATGTTGATCCAAAAGTTGGATCAAATTCAGATGTTTAATTTCAATCAGAAATAAGTAATATGGAAAGTATGAGATCACTTAAATAGGAGACAACGATGAATAAAAACAAATTAATGAAAAAGAATTCACAAATTTTATCAATAAAGTTTGATGTATTCTTATTAATTATATTAGTAATCAGTTAATAAGAAATTACAAAATACTCGTAGTCAATTTAAAAATGAGAATATTTAAAATGATGGATAATAATTGAAGCAAGTTTTAGGGAAATAAATGTTACTAAAATTTAAAGATAGATTATTATCAAATGCTCATATTTTAACAAAATAAATGATGGAAGAAAAAAAGAATTTACTTAATTATTTATTTTTAGATGATGCATTATTAGAAGGAAGAAGAACAAAGAAAAAATAAACTTTAAGTAAACTTGAATAATGGTTTATCTTTCCTGTTTTTTTACCTTAAGATAGATTTGTTAAAGTTTGGAGTTTGTTTAGTATTTTATGTAGTTTTTTTATTTTATGGTTGTCACCTTTTATTGCATCTTTTTAATTATAGAAAAGCGAAGAAATATAAAGAATTACTGAAATAGTCTTTATGTATTTATTGATTGATGGTCTAATTGCAAATAATAAAGCAATTTTAGTGCAAGGAGAAGTAACTTAGAAATTAAATAAATTAGCTTATTGTAAGCAGAAAAAAAATCATCCAAAATTATCTTAGATTTTAAATAGTTAATGACCTAGTTAATTTTATTATCTGGCTAATCATGTATTAAGGAATAGATAATATTTAGATTTCTTAATGTTTGTCAATTCTTTAAATTGTCATTATAATATTTACTGTCTATAATAAGATTAACAATTTTGTTGATTGTCTATATTTAAATGGAAGATTAAGTGAAATTTTAGATCTAATATTCTTAATCATTTCATTATATTATTTTATTCATATTATTGGATGTTTTTGGCATTATTTAGCTCTTGTAAGTGATGAATTGAATTAATAATCTTGGTTAAGTAAATATTCATTAGAGAATTAATCTTATTGGGTAAAATATGATTATGCAATATATTGGGCAACTATGACTATGGTTACAGTTGGATATGGAGATATTACAGCTGCAAATCCTATTGAGATCTTATTTTCTAATTTTACAATGTTTGTTAGTAGTTTTGTATTTGCCTATTCCGTTAATTCAATTGGAATGATTATAAAGAATTTTTATGATCATAAAAATTAATACAAGTAAATGTCATCTTTTTATATCATTAATAGAAGATAATTGATATTAATCAATACTTTTATGAAGAATAATTTAGTGGATGATTCTATTTAGAATAGAGTAAGGAATTATTTAAAAAATTAAGTAGATTAAGAAGGTAAAAGTAATTAAATAGAAGTAATAAATATAACTAAATAATAGGCATAATAAATTTTAGAGAATTTACCTACAGGATTGAAGAATGAAGTTAATTTTAATATTAAAGCAAGAATTATAAAAAATGTGAAAATTTTATTTAATAATTTTTCAAAGACTACTTTAAATTAAGTTACATCATAAATAGAATAAATAAATTATATACCTAATGATGTAATCTATAATCCAGAAGAAAGACATAAGGATTTTCATATGTAAAAATATATTTAAATTAAATAGATATTATGTAGATTCTGGTTCAGTTAAACTAGTAGAAATAAGAACTAAGAAAATTGTTCAGACATTTAATGAAGGATAAACATTTGGAGAATATCAATTTATGAGTGGTTTTGATACCAAGTTTATGATTATCAGTTCTTAATTTACATAACTTTACAAAATTTCAAGGCTAGATTTCTTAAAAGTTCTATAAAATAATTAAAAAGATAAAGAATTATTTCAATAAATTAAAGATCAATTAATTTATTTATCTGATTATAGTTTAATAGGTAAGAAATGCAGTTTATGCAATAACTATGATCATATGAATAGCGATTGTTTTCTAATATCTTATAAACCTAATTTAGAAACATTAATAAAAAGAGAAGGATTTACATTACAATAAAGAACTCTTATAAGAAGAAATGATAGATAAAAACTCAAAGTTCTTAGTTCTATTACTGTAATTAGATATTGTTATTTAGGGAATTGTGAATACAGTTGTGCAATTTTAATAATAAGAATTAATCTCTAATTAGAATGAAACTCAAACTATAATAAGTGGCACTAGAAAGATTAAAGATTAACCTACTAGAAGATAAAGTGATTACAAAACAGAACAACATGAAGGTTCTTCATTAAGTGATTAATCACCTGATATCAGACAAGAGAGAATCTAAGATACAACAGTTGTTCAATAATCAAAATTGAATTCTAGAAGATAATCTTAAAGTTAAACAGGTAAATTTGCAACATCATAATAATCAAATAAACATATAGAAAATAAAGATAAAAGGAAAATGTCTATTGCTTATTATAGAGAATCTAGTTATATTAATCCAGATGGTCAAAGTGCATAATTGATTCAATAAAAATCATTAAAGTAAGGATTTTCATCAAATGCAATTATTGAAATTGATGATCATAATAAACATAATTGTAAGTCTTTAAATTTAGATATTGATAAACTTTATTAATTTTAAAATTATATGCCTTAAAGTAATGCTTAAAGTATTATTTTTAATTTGAATAAATAAAAATCTAAAGCTTCAATTTATTCAAGTAATTTAAAAAAGGCATTCAAATTCACTTTTTATTATAAAGTAGCTAAATTAGCATGTGGTATGAGATTAATAATTGCATCCACTTCCAGAAGATTATTGAAACCATCTGGTCTTAAGAAAACTAAAGAGTAATTTTAATAATGATTTAAGTTGTTAAAGTTATTTAAAATATATATATATATATAAATTTCAATATCTACATTTTAAAAAAATGTCTATATCATTTAAATATTTTGACTTAACCACCTTCTCTTATTATTTTTTTTAAGATTTCTCTTAATTAACAAATCTTACTTTATTAGGAGATTATTTATCATCTAATTATGTTTTTTGTTTTTCTAAATTATTTTTAGCTTCCTTTATAAATTTCCAATCATCTTATGAATCATCTTAACAATTATATGTTTATCTATTTGAATCTTTCTTTTTTAAAGCACTTTTTAATGGTTATTCATCTTTAACAGAATCACATTTAAGAGATTCTTCTCTTTTAACTCTAGATTCTCTTAATTTAACTGTTTTATATGATGATTCTCTTCTATGATGAGAACTATAACCATTTATAGATTCATGACGAGATTCACGTCTAATATCAAAACCATCTCTCTTTTCAAGATTAGAATCTATTCTTTATTCTTTCATAGAACTTCCAATTCTCAATATTTCTTATTAAATTGGTAATGAATCACCTTTTGAATCATGCTTATTTAAAGAATCAGTTCTTGTATGTATTTCATTCTATTTATTTTTTCTTTAATTTTATTTTGATTATTCATTAAATCTGTCTTGCTCTTCTTTAATTGAAATTGAAAGATTTTATAAAATCGATTATCTTTCTCTAAGGTATTCTCTTAAAACTTAGATAATTAATTACAATCTTCTAATTGTTAGATTTTAAAGTTGAAATCATCTCTAATTATTCTTAGTTTTGCATGTAAAAGTTCTTATTCTTCAAGTATGATTTACTCTTTATCAAAAAAGTAATCAATAGTACATTCTTCTTCATTTTAATATTCTTATTGTTTTTAAAACAATTGAATAATGGCCTTATTAACAATTTTTGATTTTTCTTTAACTGAAAAATCATAGTTGTCAGAGTTTCTTGAAAATGCACTTTCTCTACGAGATTGATTTGCTGGGGACAATTATCCTTAAATTGGAGTAACAGATCTGAATGGAGAAGGTGATGCAAATCTATTACCAAATATCATAGGAGAAGAACATTTTTATTGGTTTAATTGATACTCTATTAAATAAATATTAGTTAATTACCATGGTTCTATGAAACATTATTCATTCTGATACTGTAATCATTATTGATGTGTTTTTCAAGAAAATTTTTCATATTTAGTTGTTTAATATAATTAATTATATTTATAATTAAGTTTAGGATTATATATTAAAAACATATTATTTATTTATTTTTATTATCAAATAAGACTAAAATGCTTTTGTTCTGAATAGCTCATTAATTTAGATCTAATTTTATTATAACTTATCAAAAGCTCATTCAAACTTTCAAATGGATATTCATCAAAACATAATTCATTAGATAAATTTTAAATAAATTATTTTACTGATTCTTCATCTTTCAATATATCAATTAATTTCTCTTTCAATTTCCAATTCTCTGATAAAACATTAGAAAATTATTTTTAAATGTTACTTAATTTTTGTTTTTTATTTTAATACTTATTTTTATATTTATTTAATTCTTTCTAATGTTTTTAATAGAACTCTGACAAATCTATATTGGTTTCTTTTTAATATTACTCTAACAAATCCATATAGTTTTATTTTAATTCATTGATTTCTTATTATTTAATTTATAATATAGCAATTTTTGTTGTAAATTAAGGTATGTAACCTCTTAACTGTTAAAGACGACGAATTTATAATTAAATATCTTAAGGATATAGTTATGTGAGTTATTGAGTTGTTAAGAGTTATCTTTATTTTTAATTCTCAACTTATAATAGAGTAACTTATTCAGTTAATTAAAGTATAGTTTTTTATTTTTCCTAATCAGCTATTTTCATATTTTTAATGATTTCAATATTATCATTTAAAGTTTATTAATATAAATATCCATCTTAATTTGAATTTGTATCTTCTGTTATATCATTTTCTTCAAATTCTATTTTATCACAGTTTTCTTCTGTTTTTTATTTCTATTTTTTAAGCTATTCTATTTTCTCATCAAGTTACAATATTTGATGATCTCTCTCTTTCATTAATTCTATAAAGTTTTATCTTAATTTTTAAATTTATAATGGATATATTTTTATCTATTCATTTAAAGATAAATTATTTGTCTTTAATTCTTCAATTTCACTTATCAATTGAGCCTTTTCAATTTATAATTTTAATAATTATTGCTCTTATTTTTAATATTCATTTTATGTGATAGTTAATTCTTTAACTGTTCTCATTTTATTGAATTAATTTTTTTTCCTACAAATATTATTCTATTTTTTACTATAGTTCAATCATTGAAAAATTATATTCATGTAATGATTTTAGTTGTTCTAATAGATTATCTCTTTATGCTTCCACAAATTTTATTTATCTTCTCAATTCAAATTCAATTAATGTTAATTTATCAATATTGCATTATAATATTTTATTCTTCTCTTCCTCTTAATTTAATTTTGTCTACAATTCTTAATATCTTCTATTTATATCATTCAGCTCTTATTCTTGCTATTTCATTTTTTTTCCTTATTAATGTAATAATCTCTCTAGATTGTTCATTTTTAAAGTGTTTAATAATTTATTTATATTTATATTTAAAATAAATATTACATTACTAATATAATTGGATATACTTAAATTTTAAATTCTATCTATTAATCCACTTATCTTTCACTAAGAATATGGATTTCATTTTTATTGATTATTCTTAAATAAACAAATATTTATTATAATTATTTAACCTGTTTTTAAATTACTATATGGAAATTTAGTATTCGAATCAAACTAAAAAATCTATTCACTTACCAAAAATCCATTAAAATTATTCATAAATGAAGAAAGATAAATTAAAACAATTTTTTAGAACTGATAGAAGTATTTCAGATACAAAATAACATTATTTTTATCATTAATCCAAAAAATAGCAACCTGAATTTATCTACGAACCTTAAACTGAACGATTAGTCAGAGAAAATTAGTAATTAATCTTGTTGATATTTAGTAAAGAAAAAATCTTAGATTTTTAAAAGGTTGATTAGCCAAATTAGAGACATCTATTTTTATAAAAATGGAAAACTAATCCAACTACAGTCAATCGACAAGTCAATACTTAAGTTTAAGATCAAAGTAGTAACAATTCTTTCTCATCAAATAAAACTAAATTATTTGATGAATCAGAATCTGAATATGAAATTTCTTCTAATTAGTCTTCTGATGATGAGGACTCAGATTAAAGTTCAGAAATGAGATTCAAAGACTTCGAGAAAGATATAGATAAAATTTAAAGAAAAATATGTATAAGAATTTCTTATTACATCTTTAGCAAATGATTTAAATAGATCTTACTTTGGTTTCATAAAAAATTAAGATAAATTAAAAGATTTAATTCAAACATTTAGAAAGAGAGATTCTGTGAATCCATTATACTTTTATTGCATGAATTAAAATCTCTTTCCTAAAAGAATTGATCTATCGAATTGTTTAATTGAATAAAAAGAAATGAATTTTAAAGATTTGAAAATCAATTCCAAATATTTCCCATTGTTATCCTAATTATTAAAATCCAAAAAATGCAAAAAAGTTAAATCTATCATATTATCAAATAATCATTTGAGAGAACATTCATTATCTATATTTATTGATTCCTTTCCAGATTCATTAAAAGATTTGAATATATCTTAAAATGAATTAGGAAGATAGGGAGCTCTATTGATTGCCAAATTGTTTAATAAACACAAAAAGTAATCTTTTTTTTCTATTCAGCTTGAAGTCCCTAAATATTGCAAGCAATTTATTGGGGGATCAAGGAGCAATTACTATTCTTAATGCTGTCTAAGATGCTAGAACTGTCAAAAAATTGAACTTGTCTCAAAATTAAATTACTGATAAGGCAACTTAAGAATTATAAAATTTCTTAATTTCAAATTTATCAATTGAAGTCTTAATTCTAAATTGGAATCAATTAGGACCTCAATCAGGAATTGGTATTGCCAAAGCTTTGAATTAGAATAAAAATCTAAAGGTGTTAGATTTAAGCTATAATCATTTAGGATTTAATGAAAAAAGTAATTGTATAGTTTAATGGTGTTAATTAATTGAAAATCCCAATCTAGCTTTGTGTCATTTAGATATTTCATATAATCAAATAAGTGAGAAACAAATGATTTTATTGTAAAATGCACTCTTAAAAAATAATAATTTATATGGGATTCATGTAGAAGGGAATAAGTGTCCAGCTTTTATTGATGCTTTTGGGTTTTTATAATTCTCAAAATAATAAAATTTGATTAAGCAGGTTCAACAAAAAAAAATATAGATTGATGGAGTTAATTATATTCCTTTATGCAATGTTTAAGAACTATTAATTGATTGTTGTTGGATTTGTTAAGGATGGAAAGAACATTAATTTACTTATACTCCTGATTAGAATAGTGAATAAATACCAATATTTTTGCATTTGGATTTTCTTGAGTATTTTTATTGTTAACTATAGTTATAAGCCCATACCTATGACTTCAAGCTTCGAGATGAAATAATAATTGATGGAATAAAATAAAAGCAATAAGTAATTAGAACTTACAACAGGAGAAATTATTCATTAGTTGAAATCAATTACAGATGCTGAAAAAAAAATTACTATGGCAGCTATTGAAGAAGCATATAATGTTGAAAATAATACGAAAAATGAAACTTAAAATTAAATTATTGAAGAATTTAATAAGTTATATTACACAACCTATCAAATGTGTCCACCTAAAAGCAAAATACTTTATTTTTTTTCAGATCCTCTTAGAGAAAGATACTTTTATGATCCTAGTTTAGAATATGTCTAAAGTCCTCTTGATGATTTAATTTTATAAGGGAAAGATCCAAAGCATTAGATGCATGTGTTTGCAGATAACACTTAGATTCCTTTTTAAAAAATCAACTTTGTAAATGTCTTAAACACTAAACAAGAATATGTTATTGATGATAAAAATAATTATAAACCTTTGATTAAAGTTAAACCAAGAACTTTATAAAGGAAATACATTTTGACAAAATATTTGGGGAAATTTAAAAATAAAAAAGGAAATGTTGCCATCTGGTCAAAAGATGATTCACTTGTTTTTAGAGGGATGATAGGAGATTCGATAGACATTCTTGATTAAGCATTCGAATATGATTGGAGTTGTTCAAAAATATAAAGATTTGTTAAAAGTGAATATGAGAGAATGAAATTGAAGGAATATTTTAGATAAAAATATCAATTGATTAAAGACATCTATAAATATTTTTCTAGTTTTGGATATTAACCACCTATTTATGATGTTTTCTGTATCTAATTTGGGTAATTTAATAAAATTCTTTCACCTATTTTAGATGGTGAGAATTTAAAATAATCAGATGTTGAAAGTGACTTAGTTTCAATTAAAAATAATGTTGATACTAAATTTATTTATAATCCTGATAAAGCTATAATTAGATATTAATTTATGGAAGTCCTCTTTAGATTAGCTAATGATAAATTTATTCGATCAGGATAATGTAAGAATTTTGCTGATGCTGTCTATAGATTACTGAAAGAACTTGAATAACATTATGAAATACTTGATAATAGCTAATAATGGAGATAAGAGAGGTTTTGGACTAAAGAAGTAGATCTGATACTTTAATTTAAATCACCCTTTTTAAGAAAACTATATGATTTAGCTTCAGATTTAACAAGTAAAAAATGGTATTTCAAATTAAAATGGATCTCAATTAAAGAATTCAGAGAATTTTGTAAATTATATACTAATGATATTCTGTCTGAAAAATAAGTGACTGTCATTTTTAATTATTCTATGTAAACCTAAGCTGATGAAGTTACTTAAGATCGTTTTTTAAGAATGACATTTAATGAATTTTTAGAGGCATTAGGTAGAGTAGCTGAAAAAATCAGTCCTGCTCCTATTGGAGAAGATGCCTAGATTTGGCCTGTTATGGCACGGCAAACTCTACCATTACATATTAAATTAGAATCTTTATTAACATTTATATTTCTTAAATTGAGAAGGTATTAATTTAATTTGTATTTTTAGATAACCTGAATTCATTTAATATACAGATTTATTCTGTAGAGATATTATGGATGCATAGGAAACAAGAATTATTTTTATGCCTAAATTTTATGAAAAACAATCTAAGTTAGAAAATACAGATGAGTTTATCATTACAACTACTTAATTAACTGTTTACAACACAATATCGTTTTTCAGTAATTATATTTATCTTATATTTTTAGATTCTCATCATTAACCTTATTTACATCCAAACTATCGAAATTTCTTACAATAAACAAGTAAAAAAAGAACTCTAATTAATCCAAATACTAATACTGTCAATAATAATAATGGATTTAGTAGATAAGTTTCAGGAAGAACAACTATTTTTGAACAATAGCAATAAGCCTAATACAGAAACAATATGATAGCAGTCATGGAAGAATATGATGATTAATGAGATATTGAATATATTTTTCTCCTTTATGTTTGTTAAGTATTAAACTTTAAAATTTGACAACTGAACCTTATAAATATTATTTTTAACTTGAAACCAACACAATTTTGTTCAATATTATTAATCAATTATGTTACAAGATAAATTCTAAACAATGAATTGATTCGAACTTACATTATATATAATATTAATTAGAAATGAAAAATAGTAATGAGAGATCTAAATGTTAACTTCCTCGTTTAAAGGATTACTCAAAAGAAAAAGCTTAGAAATTGAAATCCTTTTTCAAATCTAATCGTAGCATTTCAGAAAAAAAAATAGCTGAAAGTAAATTCAAAACAAAGAAATTATTGATTGATAATTAAAATTCTAAAGATCATAGTCTTATGGCTTATTATATAAAAAGTAGTGAAAAATTAACAGAAATGAGATAAATTTTAACAAATACATCTGTACAATCAGATTAAGGAATAGTCAAAAAGAAAAATTTCCCTTTAGGATTATTAAAGCATAGATTCTCTCCAATTGAATAGGGCAAAAAAGAAACTTAAGAGATTAATGATGATGTTTCAAAAGAATTAATGGAAGCTGAATAAGAATCAATTAAAAGTGGAAATAGCATTGAGTTTGATGAGGATGAATATATAATGAGCGATATAAGTAGTGAAGATGAACCTAAAAGATTTAATGGAATTGAATTGTAACATGAAATTAAAAAAATCTTTCAAAAGTTAAGTAACATATATATTTATATATTATTTAGATCAAGAAATAGATTAATCTTATTTTTATTTTATTAAACGATAAGAAAGATTGAAAGATTTAGCAATAAATTTTAATAAAAAAAATGTGGATCCAATTCATTTTTATTGTTTAAATGATAATATATTTCCAAAGAGAATTGATCTATCAAATTGTTTAGTCAATGAAAAAGAGATGCATTTTTCTGATCTTGGTCTTACAGAGAAGTATTTTCCTTTAATAAAAAACTTATTATAATCTGTTAAAAGTAAAACTGTAAAGTAATTATTTCTATGTAATAATTAATTGGATGATAAATCATTACTTTATTTAATTGAAGGATTTCCTCTTTCATTAAAAGAAATCAATTTAGGTAATAATGTTCTTGGAAGAAGAGGAGCATTAATATTATCTAATCATATATAAAAATTTACTAATCTTAAATCTATAAATCTTCAAAATAATTTATTAACAGATAAAGGTGTATCTGTTCTATTAAATTCTTTTTAAAAAAATGTTACTTTATTAAAATTGAATTTATCTGAAAATCAAATTACTGATTCCTGTTCAACAGTATTTTATTAATTCCTATTACAAAATAACTATTTAGAGATTTTAGTTTTGAATTGGAATTAATTAGGACCTACAGCAGGTACTATGATTGCAAAAGGGTTATAATAAAATAGATCAATTAAAGTTCTTGATTTGAGTTATAATCATTTAGGATAGAATGATAGAAGCAATTTTATGTAAGCTTTATGTGAAACTATTTCTATTCCCTAGATCACTTTAGCTCATTTAGATATCTCTTATAATTAGTTAAGTGAGAAATAATTAAAGTTATTTAGTGTAGCTTTATAAAAGAATAACACACTATATGGTTTGCATATAGAAGGTAATAAATGTTCAGCCAGAGTCAATCCATATGGATTTATACAATTTACTAATGATAGTGAAGAGTTTAAAGTAGTTTAATAAAAGAAAACAGCCATAGATGGTGTCAATTATATTCCATTATAAGGGGATAATCTATTTGGAAATGATTGTTGTTGGATTTGTTAAGGATGGATGGAATATAAATTTTAATACACTCCTGAGAATGATAATAATTAAGATCCCATTTTTATTCATTTAGATTTTTTAGAGTAATATCTGTCATGACTATTAGTTATTAGCCAATCCCTATGACAAGTAGTTATGAATTAAGATAATAATTGATAGAAGCTTAAAAGAGAAAGAGTAATTATTTCGATTTGACAACTGGAGAGATAATCCATCAATTAAAATAATTAGTAAACACTGATAAGAGAATAACTTTGGCAGCCATTACTGAAGCTTATACAGAAGAAACTAGCAAGAAAAGTGAAGAAATTACAAAATAAATGATACTAGAATTAAGTAAGTTTTATTATACGACATATTAAATGTGTCCTCCAAAAAGAAAGATCTTGTATTTCTTCTCAAATCCTATTAAAGAAGAATACTTTATCGATCCTAGAGTAATGAATATGCCTGCACCACTAGATAATGCTATTTTATAAGGTAAAGATCCTAAACATGCTGTTCATATATTTTCAGATGGCACTAAATTAGCATTTACAAAAGTCCAATAAGTAAATTATATTTTTTCAAGACAAGAATACATTATAGATGATAAGGATAATTATAAACCATTAATAAAGGTATTTCCTAGATCTTCCTAAAAAAAGTATGTTTTAAGAAGGTTTGCAAACTTTTTAGTAAGAAAGTAAGCTCATCTTATTACATGGCATAAGGAGGATTCCATATTTAGACCATTTAATGGGGATACAGAAGAATTACTAAATGATTGTTTTGAATTTGATTGGAATTGTAGTAAAATTAGTCGTTTTGTTAAAAGTGAATATGAAAAGTTAAAATTAAAGGAATATTTTAGACAACACTATTAATTAATAAAAGATGTATATAAATTTTATTCAAGTGTTGGATATTAACCACCAAATTTTGATGTTTTTTGTATTCAATTTCCTTAATATATGAAATTATTGAATAAACTCGCTATTATAGATGGAGATCTTTTGAAATCTTAAGATGTAGAAATTGACGTAGTTTCTTTAAAAAATAATGTTGATCAAAAATATATTTATAATCCAGAAAAGGCTATAATTAGATATTAATTTTTAGAGATGTTTTTTAGAATAGCTAATGACAAATATGTTAGAACTGATATATACAAGAGTTATGCTGATGCTATTTTTAGATTACTGAAGGAATTCAAAGAACAATATGAACATTTTGATATGATACAAGAATGGAGAACTTAAAGATTATGGACAAAAGAATGTGATCATTTATTATAAATTAAGATGCCTTTTATAAAAAAGCTATATGATTATGTAACTGACATTACTAATAGAAAATGGTATTTTAAATTAAAATGGATATCAATTAGAGAATTCAAAGAATTTTGTAAACAATTTAATCTTCATGAGTATTTGTCAGAAAAGCTTTAAGTAATTATTTACAACTTTTCAATGATGACCTAAATTGATGAATTAACTTTAGATAGAAATATAAGGATGACTTTTATTGAATTTGTTGAGGCTCTTGGTAGAATTGCTGAAAGAATCAGTCCTACTCCTATTTAAGAACATATAGATTCATACACTTTATTACAAAGACAATAATTACCTTTACATGTAAAATTTGAAACTCTACTTACTTATTTGTATTATTAGATGAAATCAAGAGATTATGAATATGAACAATTTTGTGATTTATTTGTCTATTTTAAACTTGAATAATCTCCTAAGAGTAGTTTTCCAAAAATAGATAAGAGTAAGAAATTAGACAAAGACCATGATTATCATAATGACTTAACTTCACTTACAATTTATAATGCAGTCTCGTATTTGAGTATTTTAGATGATTAATTTAAGATTAGAATAAATAGCCTTATTTAAATCCTAAGTATAAACAATTCTTAAAGCAAAATATCATTTAGACATCTCCCATTCGTCCTTTTTAGCATATATTATAAAGTGAAAAAATAAAAAGAGCTAGATTGTAACCAGAAACATATAATTTTGAATCAAGATTAAATTAGTAATAATTCAAGGCTCAAAGTCCAAATAAATAGACAACTCTCTCTTAAAATACATGATTAAAATATAATTGTTTATAAATTTCTAATAAAATGTAATATTATTCATTTTTTTTATGATAATGATTTTAATAAATCATATCTGTTTTCCAATTTACTATTAATTTCTTTATATGTTAAATTATTGTATTTAAATTCTAAATATTTTTTTTCTTCATTTATAGAAAACATGTTATGGACATTATTGATGTTCATCAATAAACCAATAAGAGTTTCGTAATCAAAAAAATGAAAATTATGATTTATTAAATCAAAGTGCACTTTTGAATGAAGTTCTTATTCTTTTTGTAAAAATTGATATAATTATGCTTGAATTGACCATTCTTTTAAACAAATCTAAAAATATTATGATAATTACATTAATATTCTAATCTTATAAATCATTTTCTCTTTCCCCTAGATTCTTAAATCCTTAACTTTCAATAATATTTTTTAATTTTGAGACTAATATTGAATTTTATGGATTGGGCCAATTCTTCAATTCCAATCCCAATCTGAAACAAAGTAAAGATTCAAGTTTTTATGCTTCAAAAGTAAATACAGAGGTTGGCTACATTTTATAAGCAATCTTATAGCATCTTAAAGCTTCATCATAATCCTTTTTGATAATTTAATTACTTCATACTTTTTATGCATTAGCAATCAATCCTGCATAATAAAAATACTCTATTATAATTTAATTTTTCTTGTCTAAACTTTCTTACAAAAATATTTTTGATTTCGTAAATTAATATCCAATTTTATAGTTATAGGACATTATACAGGATTACAAAAAGGCTACATGAAGTTCTGTTAAGAATATTATTTTTTATAATTGCTATGGATATAGAAATTAATAATTACATTTCTCAAATGAGAAAGTATTTTTGTAATAAGATGAGGATTATTGGTTTTTAATTGATTAGTAAACTTAGATAAGCAAGTACCATATATATTCATATATTGAATATCTAATTTGCTTATTTAAAATTCCATAAAGTACTTAAACAACTATTAAGATCAAAATAACCTATATACATATATAATATGTTAATCCTCATATTTTGATTAGTGATTTGATAAAAATGATATTTTGGAAATATCATTTTGGGATTGGAAGGATGAATAAATTTAGTTTTCATTTGGAATATCATTTTCATCAAATTCTTAATTCATTTTTAATAAATAAATAATATAGTATCATAAGTGAATAATATGATAAAAAATGAGACAATTAGTTTATCTATAAAATTCTTTTTTAAATATTTAATATTGAATTGTGGTGTATGAATATATGAATTTGATGTAAAAATGATTTAAATTAGAAATATCATTAGATGTAATACTAATTCTTAGAATCAGATGAATTATACACAAGAGTGAAAACTTTGACAGTTGTAGCTAAATAAACAGCAGCATCAGTCCAAAAATAAGCCAAGAAAACAGAAAAATTGATTGGTGAAATAGAGAAGCCAATTAATGTTCCACCATTGCCTGCTGGTTTCAAAGTACTTTAAATCTTATCATTAAAATAGGTAGATGTCCCTAATTTTGATGTGACCAATAGATTGAATAAATTACCTCGTTCTTGGGATCTACCATAAGAATTGTACAAGAAACATCTACCAAAATATAATGTTGGAACAATTTATAGAATTTAAGAATTACTAAATGCTGGTGAGGGGTAACAATATTAATTAAATATATATAGATATATAGGATAAACAGTAACAGTAGCAGGTTGGGCTAGAACAGTGAGAGATTAGAAGAATCTTTGTTTCATTGAATTGAATGATGGAACAAGTTTTGGTGGTCTATAGATAGTAGTTGAAGACAAGCTAACAAATTTTGAGCAAGTTGCTAAAACTAATACAGGTTTTTCACTTAAAGTGACAGGAAATATTGTAAAGAGTCCTGCCAAAGGATAATTAATTGAAATGCTTGTTGCTGATCCTACAAAACATGAAGTTGTCATAGTTGGTTAAGCTGATCCTGAGGAATATCCAATGGCAAAGGGAGTTTAGAAACCAGAGACTCTTAGATAGAAAGCACATTTAAGACCAAGAGGCAATTTCTTTAGTGCCGTTACTAGAATTAGAAATAATTTGGCCTATGCAACTCATGTATTTTTCTAAAATAATGGATGTTTATATATTCATACACCAATAATTACTGGAAGTGATTGTGAAGGTGCTGGAGAAATGTTTAGAATTTCTACTATTTTTGATAATGATATTAAGAAAATCCCTTAGATAAATGGTAAAGTGGATACAGTTTAAGATTTCTTTAAAAAGGAAGTCAATCTTACAGTGTCTGGTTAATTATAAGTGGAAGTAAATTGAAGATTTAATTTATAATAGAATTTCTGTATAAGTATGTCTAATGTATATACATTTGGTCCAACTTTTAGAGCAGAGAAAGCTCATACTCATAGACACTTAGCTGAGTTTTGGATGATTGAGCCAGAATTTGCATTTGCTGATTTATTTGATAATATGGAAGCAGCAGAAGGTTATGTAAAGTTTTGTATCAATTACATTTTGTAAAATAATATGGATGATCTTTAATTTTTGGATAAAAGAGTTAAGCCTGGATTGATAGATTATTTAAAAGATATTGTAAGCAAGGATTTTGTTAGATGTTCATATACTTAAGGAATTGATATATTATTGAAAGCATAAAAGGCAGGAGCTAAATTTGAAAACAGTGATATCAAATGGGGAATGGATTTAAATAGTGAACATGAAAGATTTATAGCAGAAAAAGTATTTTAGAGACCAGTTTTCCTTTATGATTATCCAAAAGAGATTAAAGCCTTTTATATGAAAGTGACTGAAGGTATATATAAAAGTTTAATATAATATTATAGATGGAAAATGTGTTAGAGCTATGGATATGCTAATTCCTTAAGTTGGTGAATTGATTGGTGGATCTTAGAGAGAGGAAAGATATGATGTATTGGCTCAAAGAATTAAAGAATGTGGATTGAAATTAGAAGATTATGGACCTTATATGGATTTAAGAAGGTAATTGATTCATAATATATTTAAGATATGGAACAGTACCTCATTGTGGTTTTGGATTAGGATTTGAAAGATTAGTCATGATGGTTACAGGTGTTGAAAATATTAGAGATGTTATTCCTTTCCCAAGATATCATGGTAGTGCTGAATTCTGAAAAGTTAATAATATAAAGTATATTATATGAAAACATATAGTTTTATTGTCAATGTTTTAGTTTAATCACATCATACATATTTGGTAAGTGTAACATTTTGTTACTAACACTCTCAAATTACTAATCATCTTCATCATTTATACATAATGATAATGATGATGATTAACGATGATGGTCTCTTTTAAATGAAGATCTTTCTAATTCTGTTTATACTTCTTAGATTCCTTCTAAATTTTAGGGTTCATGAATCACAATTTTTGTTTATCCATCATCTTTTGGTTATTATTAATTTTAGGATTATAAATTCATTTTCTTCAACTAATAATTACTATAATATTTATACCCAATCATATTGAAATTCTTTTTCATTTATATTAAGTTATTGAAATATATTTCTAAATAACTTTTTTAAGAATTCATAATCACTTAATGGATATTGTTATACATTAGTCAATCTAATAAATTAAAAATATTATAGAAATTCTATAGGCATATCTTTACAAAACTTTTCTGGAATCATACGCAACTTTTATTCTTCCATTTGTTTAGTTTTAGATCCGGTTTCCTTAATTTTGAACATGTCTCCATTCTTTAAAAAGTACATTAGAATAAATCCTAAAGATTCTAAGTCATCTTTTGGTGAAGCAGCTTAAAACATAATCAACACTTCAAAATACTCAATCCTAAATGCTGATTTAAACTTGAAAATTTAGTTAATTTAGTTTAACTAGAGAATTTAGATCCTAAACCTATGTATTTTCCATTTTTATGTTTGAATTTAACACATTGTTAGAAATCAATTAAAACAAATTCATTTTTTCCAGGTATTGTCAATATTTTCTTAGGCTTCAAATTACGATGTACAATAAATTGACTATGCATTTTCTCCAATATATTTAACTACTCATATATAATATAATATATACCATCTATATTCCTATCATACATATTGTTCCTAGTGTAAAATTCTTATTTGCAAATTAAAAACATAATTTCAAACTTGGTCCATATTTGTCAAATACTTAATAATAATAGTTTGTATTTTATAGTCGAATATCTCCTGAAGCTAATACTGTTGGCATGAATGTCACTTAAATTCATAATTTACTTTTTATACTAATATTCCATTTCTTCAACAGCTTCTCTTCTTCTTAGATGCTGTCTAAGTTTGTGTTAGCCTATCAAGTAAATGAACTAACAATAAATTTAAACACTTATTTACATTACTAATCGCACTATAAAGTAATTTCCTGAATGTTATTTGTTTATCGCTTACAACATATATCAAATATACTTACCTAAATACAGATTATGAACTCTTCCTCTATATATACAACTTTTTAAAGCATATTATCCTCCTATCATTATTAAATTCTATTTTTGATGGCTCTCTTTTGATTTTGTTTCACTCATTTATTAATCAAATGAAAACATTAAATGACATCCAAAAACTCAATTAACAACAGAAAACCATATTCACTTTCACTAATCAAATCACTAATAATACAAATTCTGCTTGGCTTCCTCGTGATATTTAATCTCCATTTTCAAATGCTGTTACTTAATTATCACCTTAACTTTCTGATCATAATATTATTCATAATACAAGAGGCAATCTTAGATCATGGAGTTAATCAATTGAAAAATAAATTATATCTAGAGATCTTGTAAATAAAGCTAGAATCTAAAATGCTTAACAATCTGCAAGATAAGAAAAACATTTTCTTGGATCTGTCAACGGTATTTAAAAAATCAATTCTCCTAAATCATAAGCCAATTAAACTATGTCAACTCATAGTTCAAGTAGAATTGATCCTAAAGTTAAAAGAAAGCTTAGTCAAATGAGTAAAGGAAATTTTTTGCATTTTTTATTAATTTAAAAAGTTGGACATGTACTATCAAATATTATGTCTAGAAAGATGAGAAACAATTTTATGACTATCTCAAAAAAACTTATAATTTTGAAATTCCTTAACCTTAGTAAGAACAATCCACCAAAATTAATAAAAAAGATATTAAGTATCTCTTCACAATTGATGATGATGATGAAACTATCAAGAAAACTACTTAATAGATATTTAAAATGAATAAATTTCGACATTAAAAAGAAGTCCCATTAGATAAATATGTATAGGATACTTATGAATCATAATTAAGAAGATTTCCTAAAGTTAGATAAAAACTAGAAAAATCAAAGCCATATAATATTGCATTGTAATGATTAATAGATATGATTACATAATAATATATAATTTATTATATATAGACTGAATTTTGTTTTTACTGGAATAATTTTATACTTCCAACTGATTTCTAATTAATTTATAAATAAATAAATTAAATTAAATTAAAAATAAATGTATTTTCATTAGGTTTTAATCTCACAAATATCATATTCAGAAAATACTCTCATTATCTAATAAATATACTAAATCTCTTAAGTTTTAATATTTATATACTTATTATATTCCCTTTATTTAAAATGTACTTTAAATTAAAATTCATCTAATATAAAATAAATTAAGTAATACCTTTATAAATTTATATCAAATTAATTAATATTAATATAAATGAAATATTGAAAAATTTTATCAAACTATAATCTACCCTTATTATCATTTTGAATATAAAGCTTCAGAAATTGTTTTAAATAAGCAATTTAACAATATTTTAATTCTACTTAAACAAGTCTTAATAAAATAAAAGAATTTTAGATATCTTCATGATCATATGTGGAATTATTTATTTTATTTTGATTTGTTCAATATATTTCGATAAAAATAGAAGTCAAAATTAAGACTTAAGAAAATATATCCTTTATTTGATTTTACCAAAAAAGGTGTGAATAAATCTTCATATTTACATTAAATTATTTGATCCATTTAATAATGAATTTCTTATTATACATTTAATTAATTAGATGGAGCACTTATTAGTAAATTTTAACCTTGGTAAACTTAAACGTCCTTCCTATTCTTATTCAATGCTACTAATTTCAATTACTTTTTGTCAGTTAATCAGTGCAATTTATTCAAAGTATTAATATGTTTAGAATATAGGTATTAATTAATCATTGCTTATCATTACCCTAATTTATAATTTTCTTAAATTTCTCAAATCATCAATCTAATCAAATATATAGATGTTAATAGTATAATTTAAGAAAATGAAATCATAATATAAATATTGTATTGGTGGTTAACAACTTTGAGTATTTTAACATATTCACTCTATATAATATGTTATTTTTAAGTAAAATATCAAAAAAAGAAGAATTTAACAGATTAGTCCAGTGCTAAAGTTATTAATTATTCATAATTTAGATGTTAACCTAACTTTTATTGATTGACTAATGGATCACTTGCTAACCAACCTAACTAGTTTATTTAAATATAGCTTATTGTTCAATAAATTAAAATTGTTTGAATATTGGAATAAGAACAGATATATAATAAGTTTTAGCTAGTTTCTTCTTATTTTTGAGATTTATTACTTAAATAATAATGATATTATTTTTTACAAATCATTAAAAGATAAAGAAAGATGCATTATCTAGTGGATCAAGATTTATTTTACTTTATTTAGAAGTTTTTAGAGTATTGCTTAATATATAATTGGCATTTCCAATTTAGAGTTAATAATTTCATGTAAATATTGAAAATAAAATAGATTACAATTTTAATATATTTAATTTTATCAACATGTCTTTTTAGTTTTCTATTTAAAATGAATGATTTTAAGTTATTTATTGCAAATCGAAATGTAAGATAAGTATTTAAAATATACATATTTTCTTTATTTGGTATATCCATAGGATTAGTAATTAATTCATTTTCTATACACTTTAATATTATTTAAAGTGATAATTCAATATCAATTAGTTTATTAAGTGTAATTTCAATTACATGGATTTTTTATTAATATTATTTTAACCAATAAATAGAACATCTTTGTTTACCTACTTTGACAGGAGATCATTTAGTATAAAAAATAATAAATCTAAAATCAGTTGCAAAATAATTAAACATCTTACATTAATTTGGTGAAGCTGATTCATATTATTTGGGTATGTTATCTTAACATTTTTCTAATATTTGCATATAAGATAAAAAGGAAAGATGCTTTTGTAGAATGAGAATCTTATATGATCCAAAAAAACATAAAGATATTAAAACATCTTAATTTTCTATGCTTAGATAAAAAAATTTGTATTTAAAATATCTAATTAAAACATGGTATGAAATTTATCTTTTTCATCATCCTTCAGATGTAGATATTAGAATGAATTATGCTTTATTTCTTTATTACTAAATGAACAATTAAATTTTATCGTATATGTAAATTAAGTTAACATGTACTTACAAAATGAATCTAATTTAATAATTTGATATAAATAAGATTTAACTATAATTTCAAAATGAAATTATTGATACTAATAGTTTAAGTTATCATAATGAATCAGATTTTGAATATGTTATTAAAATTGAATAATTAATTAAATCTATAGAACTCAATATTTAAAATTTTCTTGATTTAAGCATAAAATTTTGGAAATAAGTTAATTAAAAAGTAATTTATGAAGAGGATTTATGGAATATCAATAAGGAAATAATATTAACAATCTAATAATCTAATGATTTATGGAATTAAATAAGTAAGCATAAGATAATCAATAGAGATAAATTAATTATTAAAAATTTTTTAATAAGAAGACCAAAATGGTAATTCCTTTATAATTGGTATTATTTATATGTTCTAAATAAAAAATTAAAATAATCAATGTTAGAATATTGTGATTCTTAAAATATGGTATAATAACCAATTGATGAAGATTCAGGTTCAGATAATTAAAATTAAATTGATTAATTTTCTTCTTTAAAAACTTTCAATTATACATCAGCTATATTTCACACTTCTTAATCTGGATAAATAGTTAATTTTAGTGAATCTACATATGATATTTTTGGATTTTAATAATATAATAATATTAATCAACTATTACCTAATACTTTTATTAGAAATCATTAATTTGGAATTGATCAATTTATTTAAAGTGGTAAAAGCAAATCATTATATAAGAAAAGAAAGATTTTAGCCTTAAATAATGAAAAATATCTTATGCCTTGCAAAAAGTATTTGAAATGGCATATAAGTCCATTATCATAAATTGAATATATATGTATGATTAGACCTATTTATAGACATTAAAGTGTCAATTATATTTTAGTGAATAGTGATTGGGAGATAGATAGTGTTTCTGAATAAATTGCAGAATATTTTCAGCCTGGTTTATGTTTATTTTTACTTTGTCCTAAATTATTAAAGTACTCATTTTATTCATAATTTTTGAATGAAGATGATCTTTAATTATTTAAATTAAAAAGAGCTAAAAATGATGATAATAATTAAGATTCAATTATTGATGCAAAATTCACAAATAGAAAAATCACCATTACTCCAAGTAATTAAAAAAATTACTTTATGTTATAATAATAAACATAAGATATTGTAAGTATGGTATTAGAAGATGATAATAAAAATGTATAAGACAGTCCTCTTTGGATAAATGATGCTTTACATGAAGATTTATAAGAGGAGAAGGATTAATTATTTAAAAGATTTCATAAAGTTGTAGATGAAGATCATGTCAAATTAACATTTCGTTTACCAAAAAAGATGAAAAATTTGATAGAGGATTATACTGAAATTAAATAAGAAATCTTATTAAATGGTCTAGATTAAATGACTATAAAATCAAATAAATTCAAAGATTAAAGAATTATTAAAAGAAATTCTAATGGAAAACTTTCATTTGATAAGAAAGTACTCTTTTCTAAATTATTTTAATATTAAGAATACTATTACGAGAATTTATATGATCACTTTAGTAAAATAAATATTAATATTTAGAATCTAGTTTTTAGAGATACTGTATGACTAGTAGAATGTTAAAAACTGTAATAAAAGTTGAAGCATCAATACGATTTACTAAAAATACAATCATGGATAAATATTAAATCATTAAAATAACTAATTTTAATGTTATCGAAAGTTAAATCTTAAACAAGAAAGCTAAAGTAATTTATTATTTTTTTATTGATAGGTTGTAAATTTAATAAATAAAAAAAATTAGATAATTCGATAATCAAGATAAAGTATCTTTTAAAATCCTTAATAATAGTAGCATCTTTAATAAATCTTAGAATAAAACTACTAATAATAAATTGAATTAAATTATGAAAAATTGATTCATTCAAATAGTAAATGTTTTATAATAATATAGTATAAAATTCTGATGTTGAATCATATAGAAATACTAATAGACCATTTATGTCTGAAAATCAAGTAATATCTGATTTCAATGCTTAATAAATAACATCTCTAATTCTTAAGACATAAAATAATATTTTTATTAAGGAGGAAAATAATAAACCTGCTAAGTAAGATATTTAACTAAACTTTTTTAAAATTCTTAATAGAATTTTCATTTTCTTTTTAATTATTTTTAATCTTATTGTTTTATACTAGGGTCCTAATATCAATTAATAAGATATGGATGAATTAGGGGTATAATATATTATTATTAAAGTTTTAAAGTGCAAAAAAATAATATGATTTCATTAATATAATGATTGAATCATATGATAAATTGATCAACTCTTTTTATTTTAAAAATAATCTCCTGATTTAAATTAATAATTAATCTGAATTTTATTAGAACTTACAAAACAATTTTAATAATTAATTATTTGAAATTACTAAATTATATAAATAACCAAGTTTTGTATAAAAAATCTACAAATCAAAAAATTATAATGATAATCTAAATATAATTGATTTAATAAACTAATATACATCTAATATTGGAAGTCTTTAATAGATAGATTAAAATTATGATTTTGAATAATCATTAGATTTCTTTAGAACAATATTTATCCCTTTTCTCTTTAATTATTAAAGCAGAAATATATATGAATTGATTGATAATCTAACTTAAGATTACTAAAATTAAGATTATATTTGTTTTACTATTATTATGACATCCACAGCCCTTTTTGGATTTTATTTAGTTATTAATATATTGAATATTCTTAAACTAATAACATAAAGCTAAGTATTATTATATTAAATATTTTTAGAAAGTTGCTAAATAATTATCTTATATTGAAAAAACATAAGTTGAAGAATTTATAAAATTTTATATGAATTTAAAATTTTAATTTTCATGTATTAGAAGTACAAATGGATTAATATAAAACAGTAATAAAATAGATGAATTTTAGATTATTTTTAATCAACAAATTAAACTATCATTAGATAAGTAGAAGAAGATGAAAAAAGTAGTAATTTAAAGAGATAAAAATAAAAACAATATGAATGGTCTAAAAGATGGAAAAAAATAAAAGTATTTTTATAATGCATTTAGGTTTTAATGATATTAAGATATCTATTATTTATGTCTATGATGTCATTTCTAAGTTACTTTTATTTTATTTACATTCTAAGATTTAATAATTAAATGTCAAATATATTAATTTCAAACTATTTTACTAAATAAACTAATTAATTAATATCATTGACTTTGTCTAAAGAAATATTTATTTATAATTTCTTTAATCAAACTTATATAAATATCAGTAACTACAAAGAAATTCAATTAAGATATGTGGAGAATAATGCTGAATTACAATCTTAATTATATCAAACCAATATTAATGAAATAGATGAAATATTTAATGGAAATTTATGTACAACAATAAACTAAAGTATTTAAATGAATTATAACTTAGTTATTAATTTCTAATATTGTAATACTTATTTGAATGGGGCATTAAACTATGGTTTACATTCCTATAACTTTTTGCTATCTTAAATGGCTCAATAGTTGCTAAACCCAGATGAAGGACTTTATGATAATACAACTGTAGAAAAGATCTTTGAATTTGATTAAGTAAGAAATACATTTATAGATTAGATTAATTAATTTTAAAGAATTGGATATGAATAAGCTTGGACAATACTTGGATTAAGATATAGTTAATATATTGCTGAAAATTCAAAATTAGAAATAATCATTTTGTATTTCCTTTTTCAATTAATTTTAGATCATGTTCCTGTTCTTTTAGTTTACTTTTATTCATATTTCTATTTGAAATAAGTTTTTTTAATTAGATGTTGAGTATAATTTTAGAAGTTCGTTGCTTTTATAAAAGATACTTTTCAAATATTACAATAGATAGATATAAGATTATCAGAGCATAACTTATTTAATGTAAAATTATCAATAAATGAGTCTAATATATAAAATATCATTTCTCTTATATTTTAATTTATTTTAACAATATTATGTCTTTTGTAGAATAGAAAGTTAAATAGTTAAGACCATTAAGAACTCAAAGAACACAATCAGAATATGATTCTTAATAAGTGAAACCAAGTCCAGAGTTATGGATATAAAATGTGTTAAAGGATGAAGCAGAACACAGAAATGTACTAAAAAGCTTTGGGATTGACAAGGCTTCTTTGAAGACTGCTGGTGTAACATAGGCTGATAGAATTTATAATAGTTTGTTCATTTATTCATAGGGAGTATACAATTCATTAGAAGAGTTGATTGCATAGAGTTTTGATAAGAAATCTATAATGGGAAAACTTTGGAAAGTATTCTAACTATTGACTGAGAAGTGTAGACCTTAAGTAATAGAAATAGATTAAGCATAAAGTTAATAAAAGATCACTCTTAACATTATGAATGACTAATTTTAATCATTGATGCAACTTAAAGAGTAGGATTTGATTGATCTATAAAATTAAATAAAAATGAGAGATGAAACTATACATTTGCTTTAACATAAACTAAATTTATAAAAATCAGAACTTGTTCAATATGATGAATTAATATAAGAGAGAGATAAATTATTTAGTTAGGAAACAAAAAAAAGGGTGAGTTTTGAATCTAAAATTAATCAAATCTAATGTATTTTCAATTAATAACTATAACTTAACGAATCATTAAAATTAAAGATGTTAAATGCTGAATAATAAATACATAATTTAGAATTAGATTTGGAATAAAAGAGACAAACAATTTTAAATTTTAGTGTTGAAATTGGGGAAAAAGATTAAAGATTAGATAATCTTAAATGTAGAACTTTTGATTCTGAATTATAAGTAAAATTATTGAAGGAGATGAATTAATAATTAGAGTATAAATGTTAAGAATATGAATAAAAGAAATAGAAGGATTATTCTTTAATATAATAATTAAATTATTAAAATTCTATTAATTAATCTCAATATAACAAATTAGATACTCTTAATAAATAATTAACAACTAATTATGAACATTTATAATAAAGATTCAATGAATAAAATACTGAAATCTAAAATAAAACTTAATTAATTTTTGAATAATAAAATAAAATAACAAATTATGAAACATAAATAATATTATTAAATTAAGAAAATGAAAGTTTAAAAAATAAATTATAAGAAATAACAATAGGATATTAAGAAATTAATAAGAATTATAAAAATTAAGAGAATGAAATATCATAATTAAAATAAAAATTTTCAATTTTATCAACTGAAAATGTTCAGATAATAATTTAAAAAAATTAATTAACTAAAACATATGAGGAATGTATGATTACATATTAAGAATTAAAAAAAGAATTTGATTTTGAATAAGAATTAAAATTTAAAATAGAATTTGATTTAAAAAGATATTAAGATTAATTAAAATAACTTGAATAAGAAAAGAAACAATAAATGGATTAAGTAAAGGAAATGTAAAAGAAATAAATGTTTCAAATATAATAGAATGATGAAAAGAATAAATTCTAATAAAATTAAATAGTAAAAAAGGATGAGACTATAGAAGAGTTAAAATGCAATATTAAAATTTTAAATACAAGTAATACAACTCTTGAAGGTTAAGTAACATCACTTACATAAAATCTAACTGAATTATAAAATAAATATTCTTCAGAAATTATCAAAAGATAAGAACTTGAATAATAATTGAGATTATTAGGATTAGAAAATAAAAATAAATAAATAGAATATAAAAAAATGGAAGAAAATCTTATGTTACATCAAATCAAATATAGTTAAATTAAAGATTATCCTGATATGTATAAAGAAATTAATGAATAATATGGAATTATGCAATAATTAGTTGAATAATTACAAAGAGATATTACATTACTTAAATAAACAAAATAATGTTAACATGCATCTATATAAACAAATGAATAGATTTTTAGTAATATAGAATCTTAAACAGAAATAATTACATAAGATTAATCTTAATAATTCTGTGCTAATTAAGAAGATATATAAACTTAAACTATATCTATCAAATTTAATACAAAATAAATTTAGACAGATTTAAGTTAAGGTTTACCAACTGAAGATAACTCAAGTTGTTATGATAAGATCATAGGCAAGAAATAACATTAATTTACATAAGTAGATTTAATAACTTAAACAGAATTATAAATGGATTCATAAAAGTATACTTTAGAATAAGATGTTTCATCACATCATAGATCTATTTAAAATTCATATAATTTTGAAGATAGTTATCAAACAAGATTATAACCTTAATATGAAGATTTAATTTATGACAAATAATAAATGAAATTGATAAGAAATGGTAAAGTAAATTAAAATAATAAAATTGATGAAGATCCTTCTCAAGAATAAAATAAATCATATATGAAATCAAAATAAAAAGATAAATTAAATAAAGGAATAGAATTGCCTTAGATATAAAATTTTGGAGATAAATCATAAATTGTACCAAATTAAAAGACTCCTTCAGCAAGATTTGCTAAAATGTATGTTCAGGCATCTGAATATTACAAAAAATGAATACTCTTACTGTTATAAATATCAAATAATTAAATATTAATTAATATAACATTCTTGATACTATAATTCATTAAAAATTTTTAATTAACTTTTCAAGTGTATCTTTAGGTAGAATATCTTTCATTAAATTTAAGTATTCAACTATCTATGGTCCATATATACAAGGTTTTTTGTATATTGATTTTAATACTGAATCAAGTAATGATTTAATATAATTCAAACATTATTGTGCTTCTTCTGCATTAGATTATTTTAAAAATTAATATGTATGTTTTAAAATTGATCTAAAAAATTGTTAAATAAATTTGGTTTGAATTGGATTTAATGTTAATAATCCTTTAATAAATCTACATTACATTATCAATTAACATAATAAAGATTTATCAGAGACTAAACCTTCAAATAAATCAGATTCACAATCATCCATATTTTCACAATACAATTCAATAAATCTTACTAAAACATGATAATCAAATATTGGCTATAAGACTTTAGCATTAGGTACAACAAACATTACATTAAAGTAATTCTCACATATCTTTTCTAAATCTGCATATTCTTCATCTACATCATCCATATGTAAACAAATATCTTTAGCATAATTGAGAATAATTTCATTTGGTAATCCCTAAAATAATTCAGAAAATATTAATTCTTATTCTTCAATTCTTGCTTCAATCAAATTATAATATTCATCACGCATTTCATCAAATTCATCATATAATTTAAATAAAGTTGGTATCTAATATTAATTATATATTCTTACTTTCTATTTTGCCATATCATTAAAACATTGAAAATATTCATTTACTAATTCAAAATCTCTTAATTATTTTTATAACTCTTAATTCTATTCTTACCAAGTCTTAATTAACATCTCACTTGAATGAATAGCTGATGTAGATCTTTCTACTTCCTTTTGTAATCTATCTCTTTTGAAAATCTCTTAAGATATTATAGTTTATAGATTTCCAATTATTGATTCTAAATTTATTTATGAAAAATTATCCATAAAACTACAATAATGCATTTATTATGAGTCATTAAAATTAAAAGTCTTAAAACCATTATTAGCATAATCATATGAAACTTTATTTGATTTAATAATATTTTTCTCAAATCTATTAAATTCTTCATCATCTGAATTATGTTCATAAAAAAGCTTCTATTATTTGGCTATACCTATCATATTCATTCTTTTGTTATCCATATCTGTAATTAAGTTATTATCTGTTTCATCTATTATTATAACATTTTATTGATGTTAATTTCTCTTTAAATCACCTTCATAAATTCCATCATTTTCTAAATCTATGATATTGATTTCCTCTACATTTTCCAAACTTTTTTTAGCTAAGTAATTGTTCATCCTATTTTCTTCTTCTAACTCCTTTAAATATTCATAATTCTCTATTTAAATAACATCTTTTTAAACTTCTACTAATGGTTTATTGTCTAATCTCACATATTTTTTAATTTAATCAGTATTTTCTTCATCATCATAGTTCAACCAATTTTTAGGTTTCTTTGTTTAATTCATATTGGATGTTGTAGTATTATTGTTTTATTCTTTAATATCCTGATCTTGAAAAGAAATAGAAACTTGTTTTTTAAATTTTTTATTAAACATTATTATTATTAAATTTAATTCATTATTTATTCAATATTTTTCTTTAAGTAATTCATTTATTGATTCCCTTCTACTATAATATAAGGGAATACTAAATTTCCTGTTTTCTGATTCTGCATAATTAATTGTCTTTACTTTAGAATACTTAAATAATTTTTCATATTTTCTTAAAGCATAAATCACATTAGACATAGGCATATAACCAAAATAATTCATTAATCTATCAATATTGAAATTTGTTGTTTAAAATTAATCATCAAATTAATTCATTTAACAATCATTTATATCAAATAAATATTATTATGAAACTTGATTTTTTGGTGTATTATTAAGTTGATCATCTTCAGATTCCGATTTTAATTGTCTATCAGAATCTCTAAAAACTGATTTTAAATTTACAAAAACACTAACTTTCTTTTATTAAGATTAATTTCTTTATCTAATCAAAAAAGAGTTCTTTTTTTTTAAAGGAGGTATTGGAAAAGACTTAGATGGTTATTTTTCTAATAATGATTCTTTTTAACAATGACTACTTAAATCTTTTGTAGCATATGTAGAAAATAATTTCATATCAACATCAATTTAAGTACTAGATAAATTTGCTTTATATTCTTCAACAGTATCTTTAATTGCAGAATGTAACATTAAACATCTCACTTTCTCATTGTTTCTTTATATAAAAAACCTTTATTATATAGATGGTTTTAATTCTGCTTTCTTAATTCTTTATAAAATATCTGGCTTATAAGATAAAAGTGGACAATCAATATTAATATGATCAGTCATTTTACAAAAATTACAATGTTTTTATACTATTTAGTAATTCTTATTAAATATAATATTGTCTTTAATGTGATGAAATCTTTAAAAATCTTTAGAATTTTAATTTAATAACGATATAATGGATTAACGATTTAATTTGAATATTTTTGTAAATCCTTAACTTCTAACTGAAGTTTTTGATTAAAATCCTGTAAAGAATTAATATTCACCAAATGTCTCTCCAGCTTTTAAAGATTGTAATAATTTTTGACTATTTTCTTCATAAATATTAACAATTCCTTCTTAGATATAGTATAGACTTTAATCATTTGAATCATTTCTATGATATATGACATCACCAGGAGTAAATTTAAATTCTATTAAATATTAAGAAAGTTATTTTAGAGTTGTTTGAGAGAATTGATTATTTAATATTTTTATCTTTTTCATAATGTTCATCTAAACATCTTATACTAGTTCTTATTTTAATCCAATTGGTAAATCTGCAACAATTTTATTAATATCATCTTTATTTTCATTAGCTTCAGTTTCACATTAATATTTGAGATAATTTCTTATTCTACTCTAAATTTATAAATTAACTTAACTATTTTTCATAAAAGCATTCATAATTATTATTGAACGTCTAATAAATAAAAATAGATTAAATACTTATATTTTTATTAAACTTCATATTAACTTTTAAGTATCATTCCTATTTGACTAATTGAATAACCAAACATACAACTTGAGAGTATCATCATTAAATTTGCAGCCAAAGTTTCAAATTGATTTGTAGGTGTAATATCTCCATATCCTACAGTTGACATTGTCATTGTGGCCCAATAAAAAGATGTATTGTACCTTTCCCAAATTGCACTATTTTGTAAATTTCTTTATATCAACCATGATTAACCTTATTCCATTGTAATTTCACCAACATAATGCCAAATACATGCCATTACATGAGCATAAGAAAAGATTAAAATAATAAGTTACATTACATCTATAGCATAATGATATTATCCCTTTAGATAAAGAATTTCATATAAACTTTCATAATTTTGATTAAGTTTTTTGTAAGATATAAATATGATAATAATACAAATAGTGCCTTTTAATTGAATATTATCAAAAATTGGAAAAAATGAAACAATTAAGGTTATAATATACATTAAATCTTCGAACAAACTATTTTTAAAGAAATCTTTAATTCTTTCAGTTTTATCATATATAGTTTCACCATTTACTATCAATGGACTATTAATTTTGATAAAAGCATCGAAAAATACTTAAAATACAATAATAAGGAAGATGACTTTGAATATTGAAATTTCTTATTAAAATGATATCATAAAAGGAGTAATCCATAAAGTGACTATTTGTATAAATAGAGACCATATAGTTAAAATTATTGAAATATTACTACCAGATATTATAAATGGTATTCGACTATGAGTATATTGATTTCCTTAAATTATGATGCATTTTACTTTTAGTTGGTTTTTACCACCAATCTTGAAGTAAAAGATACTTATTTTCTTTACTCAATACATATGAACGCATAAGGAGTATGTTTTTGAACTTCTACACAAGGGAATTTCTATTAATAGTCCTCAAGAAACTTGTTCGATTTAAGCCAATTTTAAATTCAGACTTTCTTTTTCTTGTCAACTGAATAAAAAGAGAAGTGGATTATGAATACCTATTTGCTAATATCTTGTTTTATCATAATTGATTCACAACGTATTGTATTTGTCATTTTATTTGGATGCAATGATGTATTGGAGTCAATTTATTAAAACTAGTATTTTTGTAATTGTTCTTAATCAAAACTCAATCTTGGACCACTAGGATGAAGATCTTTATTCTAATCATTCGAATCAGATATTTATTTCAAAATACTCATTAATATAATTATCACAATCTCGGTTTATAAAAAAGTTGAATTGCATTCATAGCTTAATCTTTCAGATGACTTAATTGATGAGATATATTCTTTTCCAATTCTTATATTAGAGACAATAATAATCTATTATGTTCATTATAAAATGAAGTCAAAATATCCTTATTATCACCTAATATTAATTTCTAATTAGCAATTAACCAATAAGTATACATATTAGGTTCAGATAATGTTGATCTATAATAATATTAATAATATTATCTTACTTATTCCATTTTTAAGTATCTCTTGTTAAAGTCATTTATATTTCAATGACTCTTCCAAGTAATTTAATCTCTTCAATTATCTAAGGACTAAAATTCTTTAATGAAATACAATCACAAAGTAGCATCATTGTACAACATAATCGTTTTTATCTAGAAGATAAGAATTTATCACAATTGAAATAACCTTATTTTGCCTATTACAACAATTCAAATGATTTGATATGGGCAAAAATGATATTATTCAATTCTGTCATTAATGCTTATCTTAATTGAGGAAATCCAATAAATTAATCAATATTGTATTCAAATATATGAATTAATTCATTCATAAGTGACAATCCATATTTAAGTGAAATAGCTCCACCTAAACAAGGTTTCTAATTCAATATAAAATTCTTTGATCTATCAAAATCAAGACTTAACATATTGAAACATAATAAATTTATCAAAATTGCTAAAAGTTTCAATTTTGAAGTCAAATTATTAGATTAATATAATTCAACTTCTTTATTAATTTTTACTGTATTCAAAACTGAAAATAAATTCTTCAACCATTCTTAACCTTTTAATCCAAATATTTATCTATTTATTGCAGAATCATCAGCATAATTTAAATTTATCTTATTTTAATCGCATTCAAAAACAACATGTAAATCTACTTTTTCTTGTGTCCCAATTAAATCAAAACATCCTGTAAAGGTGCAAAATGCTTTCATTTACTTTCCTTTAGCCTTTCCAATTTCAAAAAATACATTATAGGCTTTAAGAAATTCTAAAGCTGTTTATTTATTGAAATTATTTCTATTTTTCATAAATAGAACTGCTTCATCAACCAGATGTTCAGGTATACCACTAGCTATAGCAATATTTCTAGCATGTAATGTCATATGTCCCTTTTATATACCCTCAACAGCTAAAGCTCTCAATGCTGCAAAATTTGAAGCTAAACCTACAGATACAATAATCTCAGCCAATTTCTAAGAATCAGGATAATCTAAAATTTACAAAATCTATGAATATAAAGGATTTTAAGGTAAGACTCCTCCTTAAGTACCAACACTAATTGGTACTGTTAATTCACCTATAAATTTATTATCAATTATTTTATAAGATGAAAGTGGTTTATATTATCCATTTATTGATGCATATCCATGTAAAGATGCATTAACTGCTCTAGCATCTTATCCAGTAGCATTACAAACTGCCTCTATCCCATTTATAATTCCTTTGTTATGTGTAACAGCTCTGTAAATATCGAATTCTGCAAATTAATAGGCTTCTAACATTAATTTAGCTACTTCTTTGCCATTTAATGATTTATAATTGAGTTTATCTATATCTAAACTAAATTAAGCTGTTACTTTTCTATTCATACATAGATTAGTTAATATTTTAATTCCAATTCTACTTCCAGTGATTTCAGCTATTAAAGGAGCAACAAATTCTAAAACTGTATTTACTAAATTAGCTCCCATACTATCACATACATTTATAAATATGTCTACACTACATTGTCCCTTATTTAAATTTCTACATTTCACATCTTCAATTCCTCCTCCTCTTTTTACCATACTTTAACATGCTTAATTTCCTCTATTAATAATTGTCTATCTATTAGAATCAATTAAGCATTCTATTTTTGAAAAATTCTTAACATCTAATAATTAAATTTAACCCATCATTACAGGGCGACTTGAATATGTTTAGAATCCAATACCAGCTTCACTAATAGTTTTAGCTGCTGCACTAGCTGCTGCAATTACAGATGGTTCTTCTATAGCCATAGGTACAGAATAAAATTATCCATTTATTAAAAAGTTTAATCCTAATCCAAGAGGATATGATATTTTTCCAATACAATTTTCAACCATTAAATTTGCATTCTATAATGACAATCCTCCATCTTTGAATGGTTCAACATTTACATTCATTGTTTTTTCCAATTAATCTAATCTTTATTATATTGTTTTCTTATAAAATCCTGTCCATAATTAATTATATTACTTTTAAGATTATGAATAAATTTAATCATTTGTGCTATTATTATTAGTTATTTAATCTCTAATTTATTAAATTTTATTGATTGATTTAGAATTATCAATTACTATCATATCAGAAGTTTAATTCAATTCTAATTGTTTATGAACAAGATATTCTCTTCTATATTTATCATCTATAGATTTTAAATAGAATGTTCCTGGATATAAATCAACTTATTTTGGTTGATATTATTGGCTATGTTTATTGTAATTTATTTCCCTTTATTACATAATATGATCATATTCTATACAGGAAATTCTGATTCTCTATTATAATCGTTCTTAAAGATTCATTTTCTATTTCATTATTCTTGTTGATTTATTGCATTTCAAATAAAAAAGAGATGCTGCACATCCTGAACCATATGAAAACATCATTATTCTTTTATTTATTAAGTCATCTTATGTATCAATTAAACTAATTAATCCAGCATAAAGAGCACCTGTATATATATTTCCTAATTCTCTTGATAAAAGACAAGATGGAAAAGCCTTATTCAACCAATCATTTTAGTAAAATTTAAGCATTTGAGATTATTTTTCATTAAAATTTTAAAATGTGAATCCAGTTTCAACTTTTTATACAAATGATTCATTTAGTTTAACTCTTAAAAATGATTTTTAAACCATCTTATGAAAAGGACTGTGAAAACAATAAAAATCAGCATCTAAATTATTATTTTTCTTAAAGTATTATTGAATACAATTATCAATTGAAGATAAATAGCTCTATATTGATAACTAACCATCTACAGTAGGGTATTCACTTTGAAAATTAGGTTTATAAAAGTCATAATTATCCTTCATATAAGTTGTCCTAATTGTTTCTAATGTAAAAGTTGCATTTGGAGCTATTAACATAGCAACTGCTCCTGCTCCTCCAGTAGTACGTGCTGATCCTTTAGCATAAACTGCTATATCAGTACAGACAACAAGTCCTAATCTACCATCCCAAGCATCACTCTACATCCAATTAATAGTATTAAATAAAGCATTAGTTCCTCCATAACAGGCATTTATTGAGGTTACTCCCTCTATATTTGTATTTTCACCAAATAATCTCATAAGTGTAGTTTTAGTTGATTTTGATTTATCTAACAATGACTCTGTACCAACTTCCAATCTACCTATTAATGCAGGATTAATTTAATTTTTCTCTAATAGATTTGTGACCACTAACTTTTAGATTTGAATATACCTGTTAATGCCATAGTATTTACATCTTCAAAAGATCTAACAAAGGCCATATTCACTTATCCTAATCCTATTGTATACTTGCCCTATGAAACATTATCAAATAATTCTGAAATCTAATCAATTTTTAGTACCTAACTCTGCTTAATTAACATAAGTCTTAGGAAAATAAATCTCAATGGCTTCAATTCCAACATTTATTGGTTTCATGATTATTATTGTATATTTAATTTTTATATTATTGGTTAAATGAAGCATCCATTATCAGAAATCAATAATTTCACATTTATTTAAATATCATTTATATAATATGCTGTATAATTATAATCTATATTAAATCTTTAAATTAGTAATAATTATGGAAGTTATTTGAATGTAAATGCTATTATTATGTACTGTAAAATAATATATTCGATATCATTGTTTTTTTGCTTATCCTCTCTTTTTATCTCCTCCTTATTATTATTTTCCTTTTTATCCTTATTATTAAGTTTGTTGTTATTCCTTTTGTTCTTTTGGCTATTATTATTGCTTTTATTTTTGATCTTTCTTTTCATCTTTGACTTCAACTTCTGCATCTTCCTTCAATTTCTTAATTCTCAACATACCTTATTTAGCAGACAAACCAGCTGGAGTACTCATGATAGATTAATTAATTACTTTACTTCCCAAGCTCCACCTGCAATTTGTAATCCTGTTTATGTACATCTCCAAATACCAATTGCTTATCTTTTTAATGAGTGCTTAATATTCAATTCAATTCATACTGCTCCTGTGAATGTGTTAAAATATCTCTAATGTTAAGAAATTTCAAATTTCTTAATTATTTTTCTCAAAGAAGCACCATATCTGGTACCATATTTACCTGTGATTCCTACCTTCTTTGTTTTTTTGGTCATATTTAAAAATATAAATAAATCTTTAATTTATTTAGTTTAAACTATTTTATATATTTTATAGTATTATTATTATTAGTCTTATTAAATAATGATAATTGTTAAAATTAGTATTGCAAATATTATAAAAGAAATAGTATCTATTTATAATAAATCATCTTATAAATAAATTAAACAATTCAATAGAAGATTTTATGTTATATATAAAAATATAGAAGATTTTATTAATAGATTTTTAAATAAAAGAGAATTATATGAACATATATAACACTCTAAAAAAATTGAAATGATATATAATAAAATCAGTACATATCTTTTCAACATTAAAAAATTGAATTTCAATTAATTTTTTAATATTTAATATATAATTAAAATTAAAGATATCAATCTAATTTTTAGGAAATTCACCTAATAAAATCATTCTATTTGAAAATTATTGCTTTTTTTCCTTAGGATTTCAATTTATCGTATTTTTATAACCTTACAAAAGAATACTTATTTGGAATCATATATACTCTAGTTAATCTAAATCTTTTTAAGTATTTCAATACAGATTCAATAATCTTGTCAAAATTATTTTCTGGAAAATAATTAGAGTATATTATCATTTTATCTAATCCTTCAATAATACTTAATGGTTCAGGATTATTATCATTCTCATAACCAGTTGATTACTTAATTAAATTCTATAATTATCCTAAGGATGCAGTTTTTTATACTGATTCATGGCGTTTTGCTTATAAAGCACTAATCACACTTTATTCAGCAAAAAAAAGACTTTTTCTTGGTTTCTACCCATATCGGAGTCTATCAGTTGGTTTGAGAAGTGGGGATTCTGTTTTTAGNCAATTTCTTAATTCTCAACATACCTTATTTAGCAGACAAACCAGCTGGAGTACTCATGATAGATTAATTAATTACTTTACTTCCCAAGCTCCACCTGCAATTTGTAATCCTGTTTATGTACATCTCCAAATACCAATTGCTTATCTTTTTAATGAGTGCTTAATATTCAATTCAATTCATACTGCTCCTGTGAATGTGTTAAAATATCTCTAATGTTAAGAAATTTCAAATTTCTTAATTATTTTTCTCAAAGAAGCACCATATCTGGTACCATATTTACCTGTGATTCCTACCTTCTTTGTTTTTTTGGTCATATTTAAAAATATAAATAAATCTTTAATTTATTTAGTTTAAACTATTTTATATATTTTATAGTATTATTATTATTAGTCTTATTAAATAATGATAATTGTTAAAATTAGTATTGCAAATATTATAAAAGAAATAGTATCTATTTATAATAAATCATCTTATAAATAAATTAAACAATTCAATAGAAGATTTTATGTTATATATAAAAATATAGAAGATTTTATTAATAGATTTTTAAATAAAAGAGAATTATATGAACATATATAACACTCTAAAAAAATTGAAATGATATATAATAAAATCAGTACATATCTTTTCAACATTAAAAAATTGAATTTCAATTAATTTTTTAATATTTAATATATAATTAAAATTAAAGATATCAATCTAATTTTTAGGAAATTCACCTAATAAAATCATTCTATTTGAAAATTATTGCTTTTTTTCCTTAGGATTTCAATTTATCGTATTTTTATAACCTTACAAAAGAATACTTATTTGGAATCATATATACTCTAGTTAATCTAAATCTTTTTAAGTATTTCAATACAGATTCAATAATCTTGTCAAAATTATTTTCTGGAAAATAATTAGAGTATATTATCATTTTATCTAATCCTTCAATAATACTTAATGGTTCAGGATTATTATCATTCTCATAACCAGTTGATTACTTAATTAAATTCTATAATTATCCTAAGGATGCAGTTTTTTATACTGATTCATGGCGTTTTGCTTATAAAGCACTAATCACACTTTATTCAGCAAAAAAAAGACTTTTTCTTGGTTTCTACCCATATCGGAGTCTATCAGTTGGTTTGAGAAGTGGGGATTCTGTTTTTAGAGGAGATGCTGGTATAAATTTAGTTCTCTAACTTTTTCTTCTACTTTCGCTAGGTAAAGCATAAGACAGTGTTAATACTTGATCACTCTTTTTTTCATGTTTTACACTTTCCTCATCTGATTCATCTGATTCATTTATTGAACCTATTTATTATATATCTCCTGCAGTATTATTATCTAAATCATTTGATGTTTTTAAATGTTTTGAGCTTTAAAGTAAGCTCTCTTAATAATAAACATTTTAACGAATTCCTTTTCTTTTGAATTAGAAACGTTCTTGTTATGAATCCTTAAAGAAATTCTTCTTTATAACTCTTTCTAAATCAGGTTTATAGTGAATGTATGGACATTTCCAAATAGAATGAGATTCTTGGCAACAATAGCACTCAATAGTAGAAGAATCATAATTAAATAATATTTCATCTTTGAGCTAATGAAATTATTAAAAATCATGATTATAAGAATTTAGTATTTTTAGGAATTGATTTCTAGATATATAATAAATTTGACTGAAATCACAGCTAATAGCAGTACCTAATCTTTTTTGATTAGTTAAAAATTCTAATTCTCCAAAACACTATCCTGTAGTAAATTTTTTAAGTACTTTTCCTGAGTTATCATCAATTAAATTAACTTCTCCTTTCCATACTATGAATATATTGCATTCATCTATTTGATTTTATTGATAAATGATTTCTCTTGGTGTATAAGATTACAAATTTAATTCACAAGCTATTTAAGGGAGAATTTCTTCTGAAAAGTTTTTATTAAAAAATGGAATACATTACATAACTCTAAATTATACATCTTAAATTAATTCAGATTTTAATGTAGTTGGTAATTTATCTATGATACCACTAATTTCATTTTTATATAGTTTTTCTTATTTATGATAATGATATTTTAAATAATTTCTTATTCTACCTTAAAGTTATTCTGCAACCTAATTATTATTCATATATTAATTAATTAATAATAAAGTTCTCTTATATTATTATTTTTAAGCATCCATATTTGTAAATATAGATCCTATTTGATTCATAGAAAATGCAAATATTCCACTTGAAAATATCATCAACACTATTGCACATAATACTTCATATATATTTTTACCAGATATATCTCCATATCCTACTGTTACCATTGTAGTTGTTGCCCAATAAAATGAATATATATACATTTATATAATACCAGAATCTTAAAATTTTGGATCTTGTGTCCATGATATTTCATTCAATTCTATACTTTTAACTCCTACATAATACCAAATACATGCCATAAAATGTGATTATAATCAATTATATTAACTTTACTATTTCTGTCAGAATTGGAGATTCAACAAAAGTTTCTTCATATTTAGTAAGATATTTCTTTAATTTAATAAAATTCAAACCAAATTGTAATAATACAATTACCTCTTAAAATCCACTTGCCTTTATTCCTATATCACTTATTACAAATATTAATGTAATAAAATATATAATATCCTCATGCATTTCATTAGAGACATAATGTTTCAGAATGTTAATTCTATTTTTTATCAATTTACCTTAATCAAATATACCTCTATTAAATTTAATTACTAAATCTGCTGCAAAAATATATGTTAAAGCACTCTCAAAAGCATTAATATTTTTACTTGAAGATGGATTAAAGGCAATTTTAAATGGCAACCACCATAACAATATTGTTAATTAAAGAGCTCTAAAAAATTCCCATATTAACATCACTTTACTTGCAGGATTAAATACAGGAAGTTTTCTCTATATTTATTTTTTTCCACCATCTTCAAAAATCTAAATTTATTTAATCTTTTTCCAATTTTTTTTTTTATTCAACACTTCTCTCAAATTTTCACTTATTTATTCACCAAGAATTCTTGGTAATATATATGCCTTCTTTTTTAATTTCTCAATAAATTATTTCACCAGATTATTAATTACCAACATTTTTGCCATACCACTATTTCTTGATTACTTCTGCTTATCATTCTTATCTTATTAATTATTTTATTATTGAAAACCCTTAAAAGGACTCATATCTTAATTTTTACTCTTGGAAATACTGATATCTTTAAATCGTAGATTTCTTAAAGAATTTGCTTGTGGCACAGAATCTGATTCAGAGTTCTCTTTGAAAGGTATGTCTTACATATCTAGATGAATTAGTTATGGTCTAAATGAATCTGAGATTCTAGAAGAACCTAATATAAAACTAAAATTACACCTCCTAATTTTAAGTCATTATACAATGTTTGCTCTAAATCTTCAGTCATACCAATTAAGAATTCAAATAATTAATTATTTAAATTAAATACCTTTAGATTAAATTATGATATTTATTTGATAAGGAGTCAATACCAAAGAATCATATAAAATTAAAGTTATTATTTGAAAAAGAATTTTACTAAAAAATAACCTATAATTTATAAAACCATCTAATATCAAATAAAATAATAGTAAAATAAGCACTTCATATATTCAATTAATTAAGCTTGATAGATAAAATAAATAATTTAATTAAAAATTATTATGAATATAGATCAATAATAACTTGATGATTAAAACAAAAAAATAATATAAAATAATATTTTGTTGAAATATGTAATAAGAGAATAATCATAATAATAAAATCAAAAAAATTAGTTATTTTCTGTTTATATTTTCCTTCTTGTCAAATCTCCAAGAGTTTCAGTAATAACTACTTTCTTACTTCTCATATATTTTCTAAAAGATAATAAGATCACTTCTAAGTTATTTTAAGGAAAATAACTTTAAAATATTCCAATTTTATCTATGTCTAGCATAAATACTTTTAAAAATTCTTATTCTATCAATTCAAGTTAACTTAAAGAAGATATTACAATTTAATTATTTGATTATGATTGTCTATTTTTTATTGATGGAAGTTCCAATAATTAATGTATGCTTAATTTATTTGGATTTTACTCATTTTAAATTTCTGTTTAACTTTATGCAAAAAAAGGACTTTCTATTTATTTTTCATCTTCTTTAGGATTAGACTATCCATAATTCTTATAATGAATTTGAGTAATTGTTTTTGTTTTTGGTCTAGAAGGACTTACTGCAGGAGCAGTTTCATTTTTTATTGAATGAATTCTAGATCCTAACTCTTCTTTATCATCAGTATTTGATTTTAAAGTTTAAAGTTAAAAAAATCCTTTTTTATCTCCAGTTCTTTCATAAGTTTGTCTAATTGATACTACTTCTTAAGCATTTTCTCTTTATCTTAAAATATCTAGATTAGGTTTATAAAAAGTATAAGGACAATCATTTACACTATGATTTTCTGAACAACAATAGCATGATGATATTTAATTTATTTGATATAAAATTAACTAATCTTTTAGTTTATGAAAGTGTTCAACATCAATTTTAGAATTTTTGATAATTTTCAAAAAGGTTTCTCTTGGCATTCTTAAAACTTAACTTAAATCTTTGCTTATGGCAGTAAATTATCTATGTTAAGAGGTTAAAAATTCAATTTCACCAAAACTTTATCCTTTTGCAAGAGTTGCCAAAAGTTTTCCAGATGAATTTTCAACTATTAAAACTTCCCCTTTCCAAACAGTATATAAACTACAATCATCTAATTAACCTTATTAATATATGATTTCCTTAGGAGTATAAGATTATATTTATAATGTTTAAGATATAATTGGAATGACATTTTTAGAAAAATTAGATTTATAAAAGGATATTTCAGACATAATTTTGGTTTAAATATTTTTTTAAAGATCAGCAAAAATATAAGAAGGAAGTTATTTTAAAATTTATTCTATTTCATCATTTTAACTTTATTGTTTTATTTTAGCTTAATATTTAATGTAATTTCTGATTCTACTTTAAACTTATTGATCCACTTAATTTTTTTTCATATAATTATTAATTAATAATAGAGTACGTTTATAATTTTATTATTCAGTATCAATATTAGTAAATATATCTCCTATTTGATTGATAGCATATGCAAACATTCCTGTTGAGATTATCATTAAAACAGTAGCACACAATACCTCGTAACTATTTTAAGCTGATATATCTCCATAACCAACAGTTACCATTGTTGTTGTTGCCCAATAAAATGAATACAAATAATAATAAAGAGGATCTGAAGAATTAAGTTACAATTTATTAGTCCAAGATAATTCATAAACATTTAAACTTTTAACTCCAACATAATACCAAATACAAGCCATAAGATGAGCAAAATAAAATACTGTAATAATAAGTTGTAATAAATTAGTTAATTAGATATATCCTGCTTTAGTTGCAAATATTTCTTCAAATTTTTTTATTTTCTTCTTTAGCTTTTTATAATTCAAAGCAAATTAAATCAAAACTAATATTTCAAAAAAGATATTAATTTAAATCTCGATTTAACCAATTACAATCAATTGAGTAAAAAAATAGATAGTATCTTCAGTAAGTTCTGTCTAGATGTAATGCTTTAGTATTTATGTTCTATTCATGATATAATCTCCTTCTTTTATGAAACCTTAATTTAATTTTAAAATTATATCCAAAATGAATATATAGATTAAGGATAGTTCTATGTGATCAAAATAATAATTTGGTTGAAATGCTACTTTAAATGGTAACCACCATGTCAAAAACATTAATTAAAGAGCTCTCAATATATTCCAGGAAAATATTATGATGGCAGTTGGGTTTAAAATTGGAAATAGCTCTTTATTAGATTATTGATTTGATGTCCTTAATTTATCTAAAATTACATCATCATCAATATATTTTTCTTTTAAAAAGTTCTGCATTTTATTTGAAATCACTTTAGGTAAGATATAAGCTTATTTTTTTAGTTTATCTATAAATTTCCTTACTAATGATTCTGTTTAAAACATTTTATATATCATAACATTTTTTTATGATTTTTAATATTCTGATGCATCTTTATCTTTTTTTATTATAAGCATTCTTTCACTATTTCTATTTAGCTGAATAATTGATTAGATATACTTTTTTAATATGTATACTAGTCCTTGCTGGTACAATAGGTTATTGCAATAATTAAATTTCAGAAGAAGGAAAATTGACTGATCGAACTGACTCAGTATATTCTTTTAAAGGAGCTAATGAAAGATCTACTTTAATTTGATGAGGTCTAAATTCGTCACTCTATTTAGGAGAAACTTTAATATTAAAAGTAAAATTAGATTACATTAAAAAAAATCTGCAGAATTAATTGATTCGCGATTATCCTCAATCATCTTGAATTTTTTAATTAATTAATTAATGATAATTAATATAAAAGATATATATTAAGGAATGATCAAAAAAAGAGTATTATTAAAAATAGAATATGAAACATTTAATTATATTAGATAATATACTTACAAAAAATAGTTGTTTTTAATTAATGATTTTATTTATTTAAGATTAGTTGTTAATAATTTTATTTATATAATTAAATAATAATTCACAATAATTTTTGGACTCATTTTATTGATAAAAATATTTAAATAATTAAAATGGCTGCATTTTCTACATTCAACCTTATTACTTTTGCAGGGTTTATAATATTCTCTGTGATAGGTATCAATATTTCAAATAAGTATTTATATTAAGATCTTATTGTAGTGAAATGTATATTGAAATCTTAAAGGTATTAATTGTAGTTGCTGGAGTTATGATTATTCATTAAATTTACTTATTAAAAAGTACTAGTCCATCAATTGTTAATAAACCTAACCAAAAGCAAATTAATTTTAATGTATTTAAGGGCAACATTAAGAATGATTTAATATAACCAAATTACTATAAAGGTAGAATATATATTAAGATAGGTGAATAATCTGATATAATATAAACATAATCAGGATTAATGGATGATTAAATCTTAAAAGAAAAATAAAGAATTTTAGATAAAGAATAAAGAAAAAATAATATGAAGAATCGTACCAAATTTAATCTTTATCAAGTTAGATTTTTATTAAGACAATCATTTATAAGAGGGTTTAAAATAATTTTAAAATGGATCAATTAATAAATTTTATGGAGATGATTCTAGTCAAATTCATTAAACTTCATATTAAGCTCCAGTTTAATTATTTGGACGAAGTGGTTTTTGTAAATATTGTATTAAAAATAAGATAATGAAATATAAAAGAAAAATAAAGAAACTGAAAAATTATTATCAAGAATAATAAAAAAAATAGGAGATGCTCATCTTAAAGTTGAAGAATTATTTTTCAGTTAATTTATACCAACTTTTGTTAATGAATATTAAGATCATTTAATAAATGTTAATAGAATGATGAAAGAACATTTTTAATAAAAAATAATAGAAATTGATATATTTTTTGCCAACAAACCATATGATATTAATTCAAATAAACATGAAAAATCAATTGGTCTCAAAAGTGTTACGATAGAAGATGTTCTCTTTTTTAAAAATTAAATAAAAACAAGATCACGTGAACCTGTTAAAGCACCTATTGATGTTGATAAATTTGCTAGGGATAAAGTAGAATTTATAAAAGAATGTGATCTCTTAGAATTATATAATAATATCTTAGATTTAACATTACTTAATAGAAATATAGCAGTTGATAAGAAATACTTGTTATTAAAATTATTGACATTTACTGAGAGTAAAGGTAAACCATAATATTAATCTGATGGTTTAATGGAAAGGGTTTCTAGTGATTATGAAGTAAGATATTTGATAATATTAATATTTTAAGATACTTTTTACTGTGTTTATTAATACAATTATAAAATGTGTTAATTATGAGAATCAAAAGTATTCTAAATTTAATTGTAATGATGGTAGTAATGAAAGTACTTTGAAAACAATTAGTGTAAGCATTATTTCTTTAGAATCTTTTGATTTGAATGAATTAAAAAATGATTAATAAAGCAGAAATTTTATTATTTCATAAAAGTTAGAATAATTGGATCAAGAACCATAATTTCATTACTATAGTGATCATATTGTTAGAATGTTAAGAAAATAAAAGGATTTAGAAACAAAAAAATTAAATGAATTTATTTTGTATACTTCAAGAGTAAAATCAATATTAATAATAGGATTGCAATTCATTGAATGGTTTTGTATGTTATTATTTACTGCATCTTTTAAGTCTTCCTAAATAACATTGGTAATAATTACAATAAATTGAAATGGAATAAAGAATGATTAAGTGTTTAATAAGAATGGCTAAGGATCTATCATTTTTAGTGACAAATCTTTGATTTCATTATAAATATATATATATATATATAATTTCTAATAACAATTATTTAAGTAAAAACATTTATTATTGAAATATAATTAGAATTTTATAAATAATTTGTCAACTTCAGTAATCAATTGGTAATTCTTAAATTATTTATTCTTGTTCTTATCTTGATCTTGAATAAGCAAATTAAATTATTTTATAACTATAGTAAATGCCTGGTATGGTCATTAGAATCCCTATGAACAATAATGGTAAATATTGATCATAATTTGATGGTTATTTAATCAATAACAATAATCCAATAATCAAGAAGGTTATACCTAAGATAGTAAGCATAATTGTTATGGCAATAATCTCATTTAAATTATAAGTACTTTTTTTGGAATTGCATTCAAATGAAAAAGTTGTTATTCTTTTAATGATGAAATTGTAATATGGCTATCTTCTTTAGAAGTATTCTAAAGTTCAAATTCATCATTTTATCCTATTTTATGAGGTTTCAAATTCATATTAAAATATTAAATAATAATCATGCAAACTATGACTCATTTATGTATATATTTCAATTATATAGAACTTAGTGGTTTCTCATTCTTTTCTTCTAAAAATACAAGAGATTATTAACATCTCATTGTTAAAACCAAAACAAATAATCAACCTAAAAAAAGGAAGCTACTCTTTCTAAAAAAAAAGAAATAAAATAGTAATTCACTTCCACACTCCTATCGAATCCCATAAATAGATGATGTTCAATATTAAACAACCTTGTCATTGACTGAAAGAATAAAGAAGCGATATTTCTAACCTTTAAAAAATGCTGTTGCTAAAATCACTGAAATTAGACAATAATAATTGCCTAGAAGAAAATCAACTTATGGAATATTATTTGGTTAATTAACACAAAAAGAAATGCAAAACTTTCCTACAGCTATAGAATAACATAAACAAATAAATAAATAAGAATTGGCTTTAACAAGTTTTGCAATTATGTTAGAAAGAAAGTAAAGAAAATAAACAACTAGAAAACTATCTAAAAAGCTATCCAAATAAGAATCTCTTGTAGGTAATAATTATAAAATATTATTAAAAGAATATGATAATATGGAAAGACCTCCTTCCTGTAAAACCCCTCCTAAAATAATCTTGACATCTAAACCTAAAAGCAAATCTAAGATTTAATTAGAGAAAGAACGTTATTTTAAATGGTTAGATCTCAAAATGTTTCATTTCTAATCAAATAAACTCTAAAAAAATAATATGCCACAATAAAATTAAAGAGTCAAATAACATTTTCAAACTCAATCTTGTGCTTCATTAAGAAATCTTTAAATATGTTCTTTTACTTCCTCTCCTCTTCTAAAAGCTAGGGCTAAATAAAGCACAGAAGTTAATTTGGTTCTTACAAAATAAAAAAGTAAATCCACTCTTAAAACATAAAGACCTTATATAACACATAATAATTAATTATAGAAAAAGATACAATAGACATTTGAAATCAAAAATACCTCATGGTTAAAATAAAATTCACTTGAATAAAAATTTATTTGATTCATAACTAGATTATATATATATATATAAATTTTGGAGAGTATCATTAAATTATCCCATCATCCTAAAGAAGGTTTTCTTATAAACTAAGTGTTACTTGCATTATGTTATCTACATGATAATATTTAATGTATAGAATGGGCTATATTCGATCTTATTCTATCTGATGAAGTTGGTTTATCATTAACATACCTGTTGCTCAGCACTAAACAATACTTATTTATATGAAAATACCTGGCTTATTTTCAAAAGTGTTATTAGCTATTAAAGTTCGAGTTTGTTATAATTTTAGAAAAATGTTATCCTTACTTAGTTTTTTTTCAAATTCCTTTAATATTGTATTTGTTTATGTTTTTGATTTTTTAAAAGCACTATTAGAGTCTGTATCATTAAAGAATTTATTATTCAATTTGGAACTATTTTCTTTTGGAGTTATGGATAAAATCCAAGGATGATTTAAAGCATCTTGAGGTTTAAGTCTTGATTCAGCATCCCAAGTAAAACATTTTTAAAGAAAATCAATAAAGTCTTCATCTGTAGTTTTAAGAATTTCTTATAATGAAATGGATTAAGGTTTTCTATAAGTTTTGATAGTTTTTTTTGGTTAACCATTTTCATCAAAGAAATGTTTCTTTCTTGGACATTTTAATGCAAATTCAGTAGTTGGAGCTCCAATAACTTCCATAATCAAATTAAATTATTCAAGTTCATTATCTCCAGGAAAGATTGGTTATCCAGTATGAATTTCAGATACTAAGCAAGCAAAACTCCACATATCTATTTCCATTCCATATTTCAAACCAAAGATCACTTCTGGAGCTCTATAATATCTAATAGTTAATAAAAGATAGAATACCTGCTTTATATATATGTGTAGACCTAATTTCCATCTATACATCCAGAACCAAAATCTACTAATTTAATGATCTTTGATTTCATATCTTATACCATAACATTTTCAGGCTTTAAATCACAATGAATAATATTGAGTTTGTGTAAATAATTCAAAGATACTAAAATTTAATATGAAAATTTTCTTAAAGTTTCATAATCTAACCCTCTAAATTTTTATTGTTTTAAAACTTCAAATAAATTAAATTCTAACTTTTCAAATACTATGCATTAATGTCCTCTAAAAATAAATTATTCTTCTATTCTCACTATATTAGATTTATTCTATGGATCTCTTTCTTTAATCATCATTAATAAATTTGCTTCTACTAATGCCTATTTTTTTAATTTATCTTGATTTCTTATGATTTTTAGTGCAAATGTTTTTTAAGTTTTATGATCCAAAACTTAAAACACTTAACCAAAACTACCTTATCCAATAAGATTAATAATTTCATATTAATATTTAATATGATCTTTAGCATAACATAAATATTCTCCATTTTAACCATCTTATTAAATTTTAGATTATTTGTAATAATAAACTTGTTTCATTTGTTAAACTTCAAGTAATTCACTTTTACTCAAATTAAATAATCGAATAAACTAATCAATCAAAAGTGGAAACTTTGTCATAGTTGAAATTGAAAAATTCTCTTTTTCTTTGTTAGCTTTATTTTTAAAGTTTAGTATTATATTTTGTATTGTGTTAGTATTGTTTAGATTGTTATTTGTATGTAAAGGTTGAACTGGCTTGAAATATTTATCAGATACTAATCCTGAGGTATTTGGACTAGTTGGTGTAGTATCAATTTTACGTTTAGTGGAAAGTGGATGAGCAGTTTGGATAATCTATTTTAAAGCAGACATATCCAAATGAACAGAAAATTTCTTACGATCAGCTAATTTCATCAACTAATCTGTTAAATTAATATAATGAACTTAAAAGAATAAGAATCAATTAATGATTATTTTAAGGATGATTCAAAATTTATTGGAGAATTCTAATTGCCTGATTATAAGGTAATGCGTGGATATATTGGTGGATATGGAGATGAATTGAGACTATATTACACTAAATTTGATCCACCAAATAAAAAAGCATCTTTATGCATTGTTCATGGCTTTGGAGAACATTAAGGAAGATTTTTACATGTATGTGAAAACACTATATATTGAGATTGCTGATATTTTTGCTAAAATGAATTATGCTGTTCATTTAATAGATTTAAGAGGATTCGGATATTCAGGAGGTCCAAGAGGATCATAAACATTAAAAGAATTACATATGGACATCGAAGTCTTATTAAGACAAGTATCTAAAGATATTCCATTATTTCTTTATGGCCATGCAATGGGTGGTTTACTCATAATTAGTTTTTTAATTAGGAATCCTTAATTAAAAGTAAGAGGGATTATAACTACTGCCCCAATGCTTGGATTTCCTATGGATAGAAAACTGAAGGGAATCAAATATATTGCAGTTAAATATTTTGGACATTACATGGAAGTATAAAATTATGATTATTTATTTTTTTTGTAGGATTTAGTAATAAATACTAAACTGAACATTACTGGAATGAGCAAAAATGATCAACATATTTAAAGATGTTTTGAAGATAAGTTAATGATGCCTTTACTGGGTATTGGTATGGCCAAAAGTATTCTTGAAACTTTAAATTATATGGAGTCAAAAGTTTAGACATTTAAATACCCCATCATAATTTTACATGGTAAACAGGATGCTGTTTCAAGTTATCATGAAAGTGTAAGATTTTATGAAAAATGTGGTAGTCAAGATAAATCAATTAAATTGTTTGAGAATGGTTATCATGAACTGTAACATGATTTTGAATTTGTTGAAATGAAACAAATAATTATTGATTGGTGTTCTATACGATTGCAAAAAGCTGAGCCATTTGGTAAATATCTATAAATATTTAGGTATTTTATTGCAATCAAGATTAAATTATGGTATTCCTATTGGAAAGAATAATAGCATCAAAATTCTGATGGGTTTACTTTTCTTGCTATTGTATTTATTAGTGATTTTGAAATTTAAGAGAAGATTCTAAAAATATTAATATCCGATTATTCCTTTGATGATAATATATAGATATTATAATAAAAATTTATGAAAAATTTTAGACGAAACTTTAATCAAACAAACAGACCTTTTAGAAATAATAGAGGACCTCGATCTAATTTCAAAAGAAAATTCAGTAAAGATGATAATGATCACAAAAACAATAATTAATGTAAATGGCTTATTATAGACTATCCATTTAATAGCCGATAGGAGACCATTCAAAAGAAGTTTTAGATTCAAAAAGTCTGGTAAATTTGATGCATTCAGGACTGGAAAAAGAAGATTTAGAAAGTTGTCTGAAAATAAAGGTGAAAATTTAGAAAATAAATTGGATAAATAATTAGAATAATATAAGAGTGGATAATAAGTTGTAGGAAATAGTGGTATAAATTTTGATTTATTTAATAGCATCTTCTAAATTAGACAATGCATTAGATGCATATTTTTCTAGAAAAGGATCAAATACAAAAGAAAATAACTTAGATAAAGAATTAGCAAGTTATTGGAAAAAAAATAATTGATAAATGTTAAATATTCAATATAATCAAAAGATATATAACACAAGAACACTTTTATGATAGTTAAATAAAATAACTTTACATAAAATTCAATAATTATGAGATTATGATTATTGTTTATCTCTACTTAAACACCCAAAAGCAGAAAATACCTTATCCATAAATCCCATTTCCTCTTATCTTTATTATGGACCTTATATTTCTCTTAATCCTTAAGCCATTTATTACCTTTGAGAAACTCGACTAACTCTTGTTTTAAAATCTTCATCTTAATTGTAATTTGAACAAGCTGTAGATTTGCAATTATTATTAACATTTTACTGTATTGGATAATTGGATGATTTAGATAAATTTTTTAAATCATTATTGCTATTCTAGTTTGTACTTTTAATAAATGATCTACTCATTATATCATCATTTTAAGGTGAAATAGATCTGCTAGATAGATCATTCTATTTTTCCTCTTTATACATATAGGACCTTAAATCAATTCCATAACTTTTGTAATATTTTTTCATCCAAAGATGATCAAATATTTAATTCATTGAAAGCCTTTCAGCTGGATTTTATTTTAAAATTCCTTGAATTAATTATTTAGCTTCCATAGATAATGTTGGATCATAATCTATAGGTACCATTTTAACAATATTATTGCATTTCTCAGTTTCAGTCCTTCCTTTGAATGGTGCATAACCATGTATTAATTCATATAATAAAATTCCTAAACACCAAATATCTAAACTAAAACTATATGGTTAATTGGTTAACATTTCTGGAGCCATATAATCAAGAGTTCCACAAAATGTTCTTCTTACACCATTTTAAGTTGTTTCTGCTGACCATCCAAAATCACATACCTTTATATTGCCTGATTTATCTAATAATAAATTTTCTGGTTTTAAATCTCTATGAATTATGTTCTTCTTATGTAAATAATCAATTCCTAAACAAGTCTAAAAGAAATATACAAAAGCTTCATTCTCTGGGAGTCTTCTTCTTTTTCTTATATAGCTGAATAAACTGCCATTTTCTTAATATATATCAAATTAAATATACCTGCTAATTCTAATATAAGAAATACATTCTCTTTATCTTCAAAATAATGAAATAACTTAGTTATATGAGGATGTTATAGTCTTCTTTATATTTTAATCTCTCTTTTAAGATTTTCAACAGAGCAATACTCAAATATTTACTTTTTATTCATCTTTATATTAATAAACATTAATACCACTTTCATTGCATACATTTATCCATTTTAACGATCCTTGACAAGTTTAACACACCCATAACTGCCTTTTCCTAATTCCATTTTATTATCTTTAATGATGATTTCAAAATCTTCAGCTTATCTTCTAATTGATTTTAAAGTTGAAGCTGAGTCATTGAGTTCTGTTTTAAATTTTATTTGACTTGGTCTGCAATTGTTCTTATGAGACAATGTCCTTTAATAAAATAAACAATCTACCAATCAGTATCCTTGCATTTTTAAGAGCAATATTTCATTATTTAACAAACAGAACAAATGTATCCCAATTCTAAAACTGTCTTACTTGTACAATATTTATATGAGCATACTTAATTCATTTTATAATTTATAATAACGCATTAATTAATCTATTATTGTCAAAGACATTACATATAATATTTCAATATATTCCTATATAATATGTATATAAAATTAAAATAGAAGGATTAAGAGAAGTTAAATTGAATAAACATTTTTGCAATTATAAAATAATTCTTAATTAGAAGAAATAGAATTTTATATTACATTAGAATAATAATTAATATGAGTTCAAAAATATTTTATAAACATTTTATTAGAAATATTTATGGCTCATTTAAAAAAGTTTTCTCTTGCAAAAAAACTAAGCTAAATGCGTCAAGAAAGTCAATAAGTTTTTACTCCTTTGTTATTTGCAACTGGGAATGATGATTGTCTCTTTTATTCAGCTGATTTAGTTATGAATATGTCTTCAAGAAAAAAGAAAGACATGAAAAATCTTCTATTTACTATGCAAACTTTAGAAATACCTTATTTAAGTGCTAATTAAGTAGGATTAGAAGATAGATATTTTGGTATGATGTTTTAAAAATAAAATTTCAAATGGTCATTATTATCAGAAACAAACTTAGAATAATTACTTTGTGTAAATCCTTTGGTTTTAAGTGTCTCAGAAACAACCTCTATTGATTGGGAAACTAATATATGTTTCCCATTCATTCGTAGTTAAATAGAGAGATATGATAGAATTCGTTTACAATTTCAAACTATAGAAGATGAATAAGAATATGAATTTGAAGGTTTTAATGCAAGAGTAGTATAATAGGCAATTGGTAATTAATACAATAATGGCTATAGATAGTTTAAATGGCTATTAGATTATTGATCCTAGAATCCATTGTGGAAGATGGGAAATCAATCCTAAATGGAAGAATGTCTTGCCAAAAACAGAACTTACAATAGATACATATAGAGGAGAAATTTAGAAACTTGTGAAAAGTAATCCTGAATGTTTTAGGAGAAGATCTGTGAAATAGTTAAACAAATAAGTTAAAGAAGAAGATGATGAATTCTCTTTTGAGGCTATGATGATGAAACGTTTAGAAAAATATATAAAAAGAGAAATGCTTGAACCTGCAGCAGCTGATATGGAGGGATAATATAAATAACATATATTAGATCAAATTAAGAGTATCAAATGAATTTTTTTTATATTTTTGTTTATAAATTGAATGAACCAATCTACTTTATAACAATCCACTGCTTTGAATTCATCAATAGCCTAAAGTCATATCTCTAAGATTATGAATAAAACATATCTTTTGAGTGAACATGATTCTTAGATGAGAGAAGTGCTTCAAATTAGTTATAAGGATTAACATCAAAGTTTTAAAAATGAGATATCTATGATTTAAGGAGCAAAAGATTCAATAGTATGATACTTGTATATTTATAATGATAGACAACAGGTGTATATTTAAGTAATATTCAGAAAGAAAGAGCTGATCAATTTGATGTTGTGTTGGCTTAGCGTAAATTTCTGTGGAAACAAGAAGAATAATTATATTAATAAATAGATGATTTAAAGAAAACTAATAAAAGATTTTAAGATAGTGTTAGTCATTATGGAGTTCGTAATCATAATTTAGAATTAGAAGTAAAATAAAAGTATGATTCAATTCAAACAAAACTAAATTCAGTAAGAGAAGAGAAGAAAGAATTATTGAAGAATTTTGAATAGATTCAATAAAAATAAACTACTAGTCGATCTAAGTTTTCTAATGTGGGATAATAAATTCTTGAGAATCCCTAATACAGATCTATGATGGATTTTATAAATTAATAAGAAAAGAAAGTAGAAGCTATGAAGATTGAATTTAATGATCCAGCTTCTAATTAAATAATTCCATTTGATAAAAAACTTTAATAAAGTAATTATTCAATTCTATTTTAATAAAGTGGCTGAAAATACATTTGAGAAATAAGCAAGATTTCTATATTAAGGAACTAAATTTGAAGGCAATGACTAATAAAAATTGGCAGCATTAAGTACATTAAGAAATAAAGTTGAATAATATATTGAAGATAGAGGACTTTAAGGTGTTATCTTAGATATGCCTTTTAAATTAAATATGACTAAAGAATAAGAAAGTGCTCATAAGGTTGAATATAATCAAACTTTAACAGAGATTGATAAAATTAGAAATGATTATATTCAATCAGGAGGAACTGATCCTAATTTTCTGATATCAGTTAATAATTTAGAAAGATATTACAAAAAGAATCATCCTATTGGAAAAGAAGAAATGCCTGATAAATTGACTATGAATCTAGAAGAAAGAGGGCCTATTACATAAAATCCTATATTTTAATATTTACCTTAAACTTTTTAAAAAGAGATTCTAGAGTTGGAAAATTAGGTTTAGATTTAGAGAGAAGCAGATAGAAGAAATCCAAATTTAAATAAGGAATTATTGAGAGGAGGATCAATTGATGTAGATGATTCTAGTAAGGCTGATGAGATGATGTTAGAAAATTTAAGATAATAAGAAATTAGTATATTATTAACAGATAATATGACTGAAGAAAATAAAAAGAAATATGATGAAATATAAAGATTAAAATAAATATATGAATAAAGATATTTGGAAAAGAAAGTATAAGAATAATTAGAATTGAAATAAGTTGAAGAAGATGTTTTAAATTTTAAAGGGAGACCATAAGATAAATTAAATTATTTATAATATCTTTAAGGTTAAATAGGTACAATGCCATTACATTATGATCCTGATGGAGGATTTATTGTTAGATTAGATTTTGTTAATAAATTACCTATTATTTATGAACATGTTAAGATTAGTTATGGATTATTTATTAGAAAGTAATGTTTATTTAATAACTTAGTTTAGATGATCCTCATACAACAAAAACAACTTAGTAACATGAATGTACTTAAGAAAATATATTCTAAAAGAAATGTATAATATAGGAAAGATTTGTTGAAAGAAATCATGAAATATATAAGGATACATATCTTTATCTTATTTTATGGTGTTATAATTAAGATTATGGTAATGGTGCAGTACCAATCTAAGTAGGTTGGACTCTACATAAAGTATTTGATGAAGAGAATTTAATATCAGGATGTTTTTTATTACCTTTTTATAATACTTCATTTACATATGATTTATATAAATAAGTGGAAATTTAAGAAATCAAATTAGGTCTTAGAATTAGTATGCCTGGTGATGCTGTTTTAGATTTGGACACTAAAATAATTAATATTGTAGATTATAAATTATAGCCTTTACATTAAAAATAATAGGATGTTATTGATCTAGAAAAATAATTTAAATTTAAAGAATATAGAGTATTCCCTATTCCAAAAGAATTCTTAAATATGCAATGCAATAATCCTTCATTATGGAAATCAGAACTTCCTCCTAATGTGTACAAATTAATGGACTTTGGTTTTTTAAATGAATAATAGGCAGCACTTAAATAACAATAATTAGAATATAATGAAAGATAATAAAATCGTTTAAATAGACCAAATAGAAGACTCTTTGGAAAATAAGGTACAGCAATAAGAGGATTACCTGATAAAAAAAGAACAGTACTTACATTTAAGTAGAGACTAGCATTAAAGAAAGGAACAGTAACACCTAATACAAATAAATCAAAGTCAAGAGACAAAGAACCTACTTAAAGACCTGATAGTAAAGCTGATACTTCAAGATAAAAAATAACAGAAGGCAGAAGTGCTCAAAGAGTTTAAGAGAAAGAAAAAAGCACTATAATGTCTACTAAACCAAGGAAATTAATCTTTAAATTAAGATCATTATCTTAATTACATGCTGGATCTATCACATCATTTTATTTGAAATTAGCTCTATTCTAAAATATTAAATTAATTGAAGATGACTCTAAAAATATGTGTGTATTTAATAAAGAATTAGAACCTGATGAAAAAGGTGATAATTATTTTAATTATACTGAAACATTTACTTTTGATTTAAATCTAACAAACTATTTTCAAGAATAAAATTAAGATGACATCTTAAATACTTATTTATTTATGGCTGTATTCAAAGATAAATTAGATTTATTTGGTTGGCATGCCTTGTAAGTATTTGATTTTACAGATGATCAATATAAAATTAATAGTGGCATCTATTCTGAAAATCTGTATGGACCTCCAGGTTAAGCACCTCCTTTTAATTTAAATAGAACTAAACGAACTAATAATTAAATCAATTTTATTATTATGTAAGATGATGATAGAGTTCTTTAATTACCTACTTATGATAATTATAAACTTGATTAAAAATGTAAGTTATTATTATTTAATTATTATTAGTATTAACAGAAGAAGATAGAGAATAAAAAAAGAAACTCTATAGTGTTGCAAATCCTAAATGGAATACTTAAATTAGATTGGACATTACACTTTTAAAAAACTTTTCTCAAAAAGAAGATTTTATTATGAAAACATTTGTTATAGAAGGAGAGAATATTATTATAGATGTTTTGGATAGACAATGTATTAGACATGATAATATTGAATTATTTGATGGGTAAGGCAAAGGAGAAATGATTGTTAACCATACTATAATTCTACGTATTGGTACAAGATATTTAATTGATACATTTACATAAACATATAAGAAATTAGCTTATTTATTTAATTTTATTCAAAAAAATGAAATAATTGGTAGTTGTCAAATGAATTTATTTTCAAGTAGTGGTACATTAAATATTGGATAATAAAGTATATTTGTTCATGATCTGGATGCAAGTGGGAAAATTGGTAAAAAAACAAATAGATAAATGTACTTTTTTATTCAAGAAGAAAACTTAAATTTAATTGATATAGAGGAAACACCAAAATATGCTTAACATATCAAAGATAAATAATAAAATCTTTAATTTGATTAAAATAAAGGATTAGTCATTTAAATTGATTATTTAAATGATTATGTAAATTAAAAACCAGTTGATTTTACAATTTAAATATATAATGGTAATGAACCAGCAATTGATGAAGATGGAGTTATATGTGCTTATACTAGTTCTAAAAAATATTAACCATCTACTAATTAAAGTGTTACAATAAATGGATTTGCTTATTTTAAATTACCACTCACTTAATTATTACATAAAAAAGTAGAATTAGACAAATTTTATGTATTCATTTCATTTCAAGATCTAGGATGGATAAGTTTCTAATTATTTTTGAATGGACAACTTAATAGTTCAGAATTTGTTGGTAAATTATATCAAGGTGAAGTACCTGCTCCTCCTGTTGATTATACTTCTATTAAAAAAATAAATACAAAGATTTCTTATTCTGTTAGATTTGATTATAAACCAATTGAAGAACATAATGATGATGAAATTTAAGAAAGTCGTCCATAAATTTATAAAAGTGGAACATCAAAAATTTAATAATCTATTCCTAGTGAATAGGTAGCAAAAATAGCATCAAGAAGAACTATGAATTCTACAGAAAATACTGATAAATTAATAATTGTGCTTATTAATGTTAATGGATTTCTAAATCAAGCAGTATTGATTATTAAAGGTCTTTTAATGATGGATAGTAAACCTCTTTTAGATAAAAATAATTAAACATGTTCTTTTAAAACTGATAAAGTTAATAATGTACAAAAAGTAGCATTCTTTAATAAAATGAAATTTGCTTTTCTTTTAGATACTACAATATTGAATATGGAAAGTTATTTATTTATATCTGTATTAGATGAAAATGAAACTGTTATAGCATGGTTTGGAAGAAGACTTGTTTCATCTGTTGGAAAAGTAATTAGAGGGTAATAATTTGAATATTTATTTGCACCACCACTTATGAGACCTCCACTTGATAAATCTAAAATAACTACTTTATAGTAGTCAATATAATTTGAAATTAAATGAATAAAATAATTAAGTCATTATTATTTACTTATTTTTTATTACAAATAATGTAAAATTAGATTCAATAAAAAGACAATACTAAATATAATTATAATAATTTAAATATTTGATGTTAATTAGAACATATTTTCAAATTGAATCTCCACAATATTTTATATTTATAATCTGTATTAGTATAAAAATATATTAAATTATAAATATCAGTTTATTGAGATTTAATTTCAATTTTTTCATTTCCTTTTTCTAACTGAAGTTAACATTTAAATTTAGTTCTAGATCTTTTTATACAAAATTTATAACTATTATTTTAAATATAAGACTCAAATATAATATTAAAATAAAGAATCAAATAAATGAAGAATAGCCACAATGACTACATTTTTATTAGTAAAAGTAATTCTAATTGCAGCAAACTTAACATTTTTTCAAGAAAGAGAATGATTTTTTAACACTTGAGGAGTTTTTTGATAAATCTTCAAGAAATAAGGCTTGAGAAAATAATCCATCTTCATCATCATCATTACTATCTGTTGAACTATGACTACTCCCTCCCATATCTATTTCTTAAAGCTTTATAGTTTCAAGTATTTATAATCCCTAATCAATTTTGTTTGGAATAAATCGAGTTCCTGGCGTATCTCTTGTGCACTACTGACATCTATTACAAATCTTTCTAAATGAATAATTCAAGTTTCTGCATTCAACACAAATCCAATCGCAAGGTTTATTTTACATAATAAATGATTTCTTTTTGTTTTTTTTAATTTTATTATTCCTCTTTCATATTTTTGTTCAATATAAATAATTGAAAATTAATGAAAAAACCGACAATTCTATCTAAACTACTAAAATCTCAATTATTACTTACTTGTAAATTCTCTAATATCTATGATATTGTTAAACATCTCTTAAACCACATCTTTTACCACTTTGGACTTTAAAAAACGATTAATCCTTATCAAAGTAAAGGGAAATACAAGAAATTAATTTTAATTTTTTAATTCTCTATAAGATCCTTTTTCTTTCATACAAAATTCATATTCATTCAATAATCTTATACATAATTGTCTCTACTATTTAGTTTAGCCATCTAATTTCAAATTTATCATAATTATCCTATAGTAATATTTAGATCATCATGGAAATTTTTCACCTTAAAATTGTACAAACTTGTCACCTTATAACAATATTTATGACTCTATCTTATCTATATATGTTAGTAGAAGATAAAATTCTATATTAGAATAATAATCATTTAATAAATAATTTCTGAAGTGATATTTTCATTTACACCAAAATTTATGATCCATACTTGATAGAGCAATACAGAAAGCTTAAACTGGAGTTAGCGGATAAGAAAAATCAAGTACAAATTCTCTATCATCATTTTTGCCAAATAATAACACTGGAATTTCGCTTCCTCTTTATGTCAAAATGAAATTCTTAACTGAACTTTTAAATATTCTACCATAAAAATTTAAACCATAAGATTTATATGAAGCTATCCATTAAGGTTTTCTATTTACTAGTTCAATTACATTATCAAAATTATTGATAATAGAGTTATAAGATGAATGATTCTTAAATTCATATAATTATCCAGTAGAAGTTATTGAAGGAATAAATGCCTAATTTGTTGAATTTCAATACCTAAATTGAACGTAATTTCTTTTCATAAGGCTAGTAATAGATAACTCCTAACTATTTTCTTAATTAGTTTATGTCTTTTGATTTTTTTGATGTTTTTCCATTGTCATATATGATATATTTTTAACCCATAAAATCTCCTTTAATTTTACCTAAAAATTATTCTTTTTTTCCTTTGGCAAATATTTTATAGCTACCCTTAATTGAAAAAGACTTCTTTTCAGCATTTAAAATGATTTTATTTTATTATTCTAAAAATAATGTAAATTTAGGAGAAGCCCTATACAATCTACATTATATCATTCCTCCTTTAGGAACAGGATGCCTTAAGAATTATTCAACATCAAATTCAACTTATAAATCTAATAAAACAGTATAATTATTGTCCTTAAATTTTTATAGTTCAGAAGTATTATTATTCTTTTAATCTTCTATTTTTACTTATAGAGTATTTTAACTAGATTTTGTTTGCTTTTATTTTGGATTAGTTTATTACTTTAAAAATATTAATTAAATAATACTTAAATTACAATCAATTAAGAACTAATTTTTGATTCATTTGAAACTTTGAGTTCTTGCTTTTAAAGTTAACAAATTTTAGGAGTATTTGATTCAATATTAATAAAATCAATTATTTCATCATCTTCAAATTATATGACATCATCACTAGAATTATCTTATTAATTTTAATTCATTTATATTATTATTTTCGAAAATATAAAAGTTTTAGTNACAGAAAGCTTAAACTGGAGTTAGCGGATAAGAAAAATCAAGTACAAATTCTCTATCATCATTTTTGCCAAATAATAACACTGGAATTTCGCTTCCTCTTTATGTCAAAATGAAATTCTTAACTGAACTTTTAAATATTCTACCATAAAAATTTAAACCATAAGATTTATATGAAGCTATCCATTAAGGTTTTCTATTTACTAGTTCAATTACATTATCAAAATTATTGATAATAGAGTTATAAGATGAATGATTCTTAAATTCATATAATTATCCAGTAGAAGTTATTGAAGGAATAAATGCCTAATTTGTTGAATTTCAATACCTAAATTGAACGTAATTTCTTTTCATAAGGCTAGTAATAGATAACTCCTAACTATTTTCTTAATTAGTTTATGTCTTTTGATTTTTTTGATGTTTTTCCATTGTCATATATGATATATTTTTAACCCATAAAATCTCCTTTAATTTTACCTAAAAATTATTCTTTTTTTCCTTTGGCAAATATTTTATAGCTACCCTTAATTGAAAAAGACTTCTTTTCAGCATTTAAAATGATTTTATTTTATTATTCTAAAAATAATGTAAATTTAGGAGAAGCCCTATACAATCTACATTATATCATTCCTCCTTTAGGAACAGGATGCCTTAAGAATTATTCAACATCAAATTCAACTTATAAATCTAATAAAACAGTATAATTATTGTCCTTAAATTTTTATAGTTCAGAAGTATTATTATTCTTTTAATCTTCTATTTTTACTTATAGAGTATTTTAACTAGATTTTGTTTGCTTTTATTTTGGATTAGTTTATTACTTTAAAAATATTAATTAAATAATACTTAAATTACAATCAATTAAGAACTAATTTTTGATTCATTTGAAACTTTGAGTTCTTGCTTTTAAAGTTAACAAATTTTAGGAGTATTTGATTCAATATTAATAAAATCAATTATTTCATCATCTTCAAATTATATGACATCATCACTAGAATTATCTTATTAATTTTAATTCATTTATATTATTATTTTCGAAAATATAAAAGTTTTAGTATATAAATTATTAATATAAGTGTAAAACTAAGAAATTAAAATATCAGGATTATAATATTATTCTATGACTATTCTACTTTGATTATTATTTCTTATTTTCTATCTTAGGAGACAGATTATCAAGAATACGTTATTCCTTTTTATATTAGTAAATTACTTTTTTTTGTTTTGGTTATGTCATTTTTTATTATAAATCATCATAAATATCTTTTTAAGAGGGAACTTTTAAAGTGTTTTTAAACTAAGTGGAATTTATTAATTTAATTCTTTAAACATATAATTCAATATCTTTTTCTTGTTGCTTCTCTACTTAAAGCCAACTGAACTTTTCAATTCTTTCATATTTTAAAAAGTGATTTCTTATGTTATGGAATAATTTTAGAGAATTTGTGATTTATTTTGTTTGAATATATAATTCATATAAACTAATTGCTAATAATTAATTAATTTTAATTACTATCTTTAACATTATGTTGTTAATACTATTCCAGTTATTCTTCAACCTCTTTTTTTATAAATAAATATTCATATATACAATCTTTATAAACTAAAATAGCAATCTCTTTTGTTATTTACTATTTATAATTAAATTATTTACAGTGAAATCTGTTTCTTAAAATATTATCTTTTATATCATGGGAATCATGGATAATTTAAAATTAATCATATTCATTAATTTGAAAAGCCATAAAAATTTAATCTTCCTGCTCTATGATTCTTCTATGTATGGATATTACATTTTTTAAGATGAATAATAGATATCCAAATTATTAGCTACTCTTTATAAATATGAATAATATTATTGAGCAAATTCGATTTCCACAGTATTAAATCTAATAGGATACTTTTATATGATTTTGATATTTTGATACTTCAGAAAAATTCATTTAAACATCATTTGAATTAAGATTCGATTATCCTCCAACTGTATTGTTGATAAAAGAAGTCTAGATACATCTTTAATTATTATTTTATTAGCAAACAATCTTTTATTAAATTAACATATTATATACCTTTCCTTATGAAAAACATTTAATTAATTCATTTTCATCATTTATTTATTCAGATATAATCATCATATGTAAAGTATACAACACTTTTAATTATTCTAAAAGTGTTTTAGTTGGTCTAAAAAATAGTTCTTTTCTTTTTTATTAACATTTAATTATCGCTTTAATATCATCTAGATGGACTGTTTAGGAATTTTAATCATATATAGTAGACTTTTCAGCAAGACTTTAATGAATTACGTTTTGACTTTTTTTTTTTTAGAAAATTGACTTAAAATAATTCATTATATTAAATTTTGTTAATCTAAACTAAAATTTTATTATAAATGTAAATATTAATTAGCGTTCTTTAATCAGAGGATGTTTATGTTTATCAAAAATATAAATACTCATATTTTTTGATTGAAAATATATTATATGATATAAATTAATATACATATTAATTATGTACAATAATATTGGTTTAATGACTCCTAGAGGTAGTGGTACCTCTGGGTATGTTTAAAAAAATTTAGCTCATATAAAACCAACAAGAAAGCAAGATGAATTTCTTAAAGAAATTAAGGCTATGAAAGTTTACATTACTATTTAATAAAATTTAGGAAAATGTTATATAAGCAAGAAAGAAGGCAAATCCAGAAATCATTTTACATGAAATGAAGAGAGATATTGAACTCAAAAAAATTACCTTATAAGAAGAATTGGAAGCAAGAGGAATGGCAGAAGAAGAAATTTAATAAAGAGTTTAAAGATTGGAGGAAAAATTGAAAGATATGCTAAATAAAGGAGAATATCAATTAGAGTAATAAATTATATTAATATAATAGTCATGTTGCAGATACTCACACTAAAACCTAAAGGAAGGAAGAGTAGGAGAAAAAAATAGGAGATGCATTTGGAATTGATAAAGAATAATTTAAGCCAGGCACAGCTTTTGATTTTGATGCTGAAGAGAAATCGAGATTAGAAAAAAAAGTTGAAAGAGAAATGAGAAAAGCTGAACGTTTAATTTAATTAAAGGAATAGAAGAAAGCAGAAAAAAAGAGATTAAAAGAGCTTGCACAATAACAACAACAAATAAAAGTGGCTTAAGAGGCTGATGTCAAAAAGGAGGAAAGTCGTAGCAGAAGTAGAAGAAAAGAAAAAAAGTCAAAGAAGCATAAAAAATGAGTATAGATGATCATTATATTAACTTAATTATTTCAAATATGCAAGACTCTTTTTTTCCCTATCTTAAATTATATTATTTTACAATTATATATGATCAAATATCCCTTTAAATATGATGATCATTATTTAATAATGAATTTTCTATGTAAATTTTTGTGTTTCTTTTAAACTGTCTTATACTGAGATAGATAGATAGACAGATTAAACATCAATTAAATTATGTTTAATAATTTAAACTTTATATATTAAAATATTATAAATAATTATTAATTTATTTTTTCAGCATTACAATTAAAATAATTACACAATATTCCAACTTTTATATTTTCATTATATAAGTAAATGAATAGATTAATATAATTATTTTATTAGAATGCAGTAAAATAATTAATAACATTATACTAAAATTATGGTTTTTTTACTTAAATATGATATCATAATATAAAAAATTTATCATAAAAATTTATGATTTTAATTCTAATATTAACAGCTGTTTATATATTAGGGTTGTAAATTGAAGACTTAGTGACTTATTTACCTGTAAGATTATTATCATCAATTTGAATAGCCATTTAATATGACAGATTTTAATTTTTCATTGTATTCAGGATATTTATCGATAACTGATAGCAATCAATCATTTCATTATGTATTTGTTTAGAGTTAGCTAAACAATTTGGATAATAATGTACCTCTTGTTTTGTGGTTAAATGGAGGACCAGGTAGAATATATAAGTAATATTAAAGGTTGTTCGTCAATGATTGGATTTCTTTAAGAGATTGGTCCTTTTGTATTTTTGAATGAGGATGATGAGAGTTTATCATATAATGAGTATTCTTGGAATAGAATAGCACATTTATTATTTTTGGAAAGTCCAAGTGGAGTGGGTTTTTCACATAATCCATTGAACATAACATTTAATGATTCATAAACAGCAGATCACAATTTAAAAGTTTTATAGGAATTTTATAGCAATTATCCAGAATATCAAAAGAATCCATTATGGTTAGCAGGTGAAAGTTATGCAGGAGCATATATACCATTGCTTGCAGAGAGAATAAAAAAATTTAATGATTTAGAAGTTGCTGTAATAAATTTATAAGGAATGATGATTGGAAATGGAGTGACTAATTTAACACATCTTCCTATATCTTAATTGATATATTAAAAGTAACATTAATTGTTACCTCCAACATTTGATATTTCTGCTTGTGAGAAGAATGTTACATCAGAAGATTGTGAAGATGTGAATTATGATGCTTGGAGAATAACAAAGAGAATTAATCCATATGATATTTATGGGTATTGTTATTATGAGGAAAAAGAATCAGAAAATGAATATGAATGGATCTTATAAATGAAATAATTTATGATGCTTCATAATGATAATATTGTTAAAGTTACTAATCATGAATTAGGAGTACCATGTGTCTAAATAGATAATATTTAGAATTATTTAAATGATATTTAGATTAAAAAGTATCTACATGTGGATGAAAATATATAATGGTTTATGTGTTCTAAATCAAACAACAAATAATTTAAATATGTGTCAGATCCTCCTCTTGTTATGAAAGTATTGCAAGAATTACTAAATTATGATCTTTACAACATTCTATTATATAATGGAGATGCTGATAGTGTAGTACCATACTTAGATACATTGCAAGGTATTTATTTTAATTTAAATAATTTATAGCATTGCAGAAATTAAAAGTATCTGTCACTGAAGAATGGAGACCTTATTATGTAAAAAATAACTAACTTGGTGGTTATACTCAAGGATACTCTAACAAATTGAGATTTGTCACTGTAAGGGGAGCTGGACATATGGTACCATAAAATGATAGGATAACTGCCTTTTATTTATTAAATCAGACTTTATTTGGATAGGCTTTTTGAATTTTTATAGTTTTTAATATTTTAACAAATATGTATATTCAAATTAATATAAATAATAGGTTATATTATCTAAAAAGCATGTATTACGAACTCAAAATAAAAGAAACCAAAACTCTAATTATGACTATTCTTACACTTTTAATAGTAGTGGTGCCTATTCATTGGATGATTTAGGCAGGACTTAGTGTTATAACATCAGATTCATGTTAAAGACAATGGGCTATTGATTAAAATATGAAAAATAATCTTGATGAAACTTATGCTAGATTTGCAAAAAATTGTTATTGAATTTATATGTAAAATGTGCAAATTAATATTTATAAATAATGAAATAAAATCCTGTAGCACCACCTACAAAATAATAGCCATAATAACAACCTCCTCCAAAAGATCCTCCAAAAACTACTGGTAAACCAAATGATTAAAAATAACAATAACCATAATAACAATAGCCCATTCAATAACCTAAAACTGCTTAGCCTTCTCCCCCAAAAAAAGAAACTGTCAAAGCTGCCACTAATGATATAGTAAATTTTATATTTTATGGCCTTTAGGATCATATATAAAAGATGAAACAAACCATGATGGACTTTTAAAATAAGTATTTTGAAACTCTTAAAAGTAAGCAAGATTCCATTTCTCAAAAGGTTTATTATATATTCTATTCTTAGCTCTCATTAAGAAATGCCGAAAGAGTTGAAGATAAAATTCTTAATGCAATTCGTAAAGGAGTCTTGTAATTAGAAGTAAATTAGAAAGTTATTATTTTTATAAGAATTCCAAATATAACTATGTTGAAGGACATATGATGGATAAAAAAGTCTTGATTGTCGAAAAAGAAAAAGATTCACTATAAACAAAACTATAAAATGTTGATACTGAATTGAAAACACTCAAAAGCCAGAAAATCAACAATGCATATAGTGCTTATAGTTAACCTACTCTCAAATTATATATGCAAGAAGAGAATGTTACCAAATAATAATAAGCTCAAGAGACAGTCTAAAAAATCTAACATGAAGCCAAAACAAGAAGAGAAAAAACAAATAAAATATTGAGTGAAAAAGAGAGGAGAGAAAAAGAAGAAGAAGAAAGAAAAAAACAAGAAGATGCTATCAAAACGTAATCATTATTTCTATTATTTATATAGTTAATAATTGAAAGAACAGTTACATGCAAAATTAAGAGAAAATATAGAAGATTTGAAAGTTAAATAGAAACAAAGATTTGAAAAAATGGATAAAATGGAAGATGAATATTTTAAGAGTTTAAATGATAAACTATCTAAAATGAATAAAGAAAGATCATTAATCGCCTCAGTAGATATTCCTAAGGTTTAATTAAAACCATATAAAAATGAAGGTTAAAAAAAGGATAAGAAGAAAAAACTCAGACCTAAAAGTGCATCTCCCAGTAACAAAATATAACATCCACATAAAAAAATTGAAATTGAATAACCTTTATATATGAGAGTGTTAGAGAAGTATAATAAAAAAATACAAAAATAATAAGAAATTGTTAATTAAGAAAGAAAAAATAGAATGGAAAAGAATGAATTTTATAATTAAGAATATGAGGAACATATGAAAGAATATTTAAAAAAACTTAAGATGAAAAAAAGAGAATATGAAGAAAAAAGAATGAAAGCTCTTGAAAAATTAGGGTTAGAAGCTGGAAAATATAGTTAAAATGTTAATGCAAGTTTTGATTCAAAATTATGGTTATTATAAGAATCTAGAATTAATAAATCACTTGATGATATCTCAATCATACCCAAAGAATCTTTAATTAATTAAGCCAAAGAAAAAAAATAAAAAATCATAAATTATGATAAAAAAGTTAAAGAAACCATTAAAATTCAAAAAGATAAAGAAAAAGAGGAAGAATTAATGGTTTTAAGGGATAAAACAATCCATCCTGAAAGATATATTCGAATGGTTAAAAAGAATGATAAAGAATAAGAAAAGGAATCTAATTTTGAAATTTTCTAAAGAGAAGAAGAAGCTAGATAATAAAAAGAAAAAGAAGCAAAAGAAAAAGAATTGGAGAGATATAAAAAAATATAAGAGAAAGCTAAAAAGGAACTTGAATAATCAATTATATTAAGTAAAATAAAAGATGAAGATAAGAAGAAAAAAGATGAATTTGATTATGAATATGAAGAAACTTTAGCCAAATAAAAAGGAAAGGAATATTTAAAAGAATTTAAAGAATTACATTAAAAGGCTCTTGAATTAGAAAAAGAAGAGAAAGAAAAATAATTAAAATTACTACAAGAATAATAGAAAAAAAAAAAATTAGAATTACCATAAATCACTTCCACTCCAAAAATTGTTAAAAACTAAACCTTAGGAACAGTAAAAATTAATATAATTTATTTAGCTCGAGAGACATGATTATTTATAAGAAGTTTTAGTATAAGCTAAAAAAGAAAGAGAAGAAAGAAAGGAAAAGGAAAGATAAGAAAAAGAAGAGAAAATTAAAGAAGAAGAAAGAAGAAAAGATGAAGAACGAAGAAGGAGAGAGGAAGGCATTGAATAAACACCAAGAAAAGTTGTAAACTTAGATGATTTAGATGATGAATAGAAAGAGGAGTTAAGAAAAAAGAAATTAGCTTTGCATAATTAAAAAGTTGATAAAATTAAAAAAAAAGTAAAAAACATTTTCAAAATTATTTTAGTATATTGATGATAAAACAAATGGTGAATCATTATAACAAGAAAGCTATATAAAAAGAAAGGCAGATTAAGTAAATAAATTAGATAAATAAACTAAAAGCATGGAATCTGTATTTATTATTATTATTTGTTATATAGATAGTAGAAGCTTCTTGGACTACAAAACCACTAAAAGCAGTAGAGAAAGCATCAGAAGTAGATGCTCTTTACATAAAGTCAATTCAATAAAAATTAAGTTTATTATCAACTGCTTAAAAAGCTTGACATTATAATCAATTCAATTAGAAACGCAATACATAAATTATATTAATTTTAGATACTTTTAAATATTAATAATTATTTATATTAAAAAAATTGCTTTAATAAAAAAGGAATTTTTTTATTTAAATTTAATTATTTTTCAGGATAAAGTTCGACTTCTCAAAAATACAACCTTATGTAAATTTTTATTAGATTTTACATTATTTATCTTTATTTCTAAATATTTATTAAATCCTACTACATTCAAGTATGGTTTGATAATTTTATTGAATTTAAAGTATGAATAACTTTTAGCATATTTATAATTTAATTATGAGTATCACACCAAGAATTCCACTTTTTTCAATAATTATAAGTAAACTTTTTGCTCTCAATTATGTAGTTAGCAAAATAACTCTGGAATGCACAGATTATTAAGAATAATATGTCTTTCTAACTAAGTAAGGTTTGATTTACAATAACATAAAAGAACATAATTTATGATGTAATTCTGCCATTTGAGTTCGATCTAAACTATAATTTTTTTTTTTAAAACAATAGTTCGCATTAATTTTCGTAATATAATATTTTAATAAATTATGCTATGATTCTAAAAATAATATTATTAAACCAAAAACCGAAATCGATTAAAATTCATATATATTAATAATTTGTTTCAAAATGTTCCTTAATAAATAAGGCTTATTAGAAGATACAAATTAGCCTGAGCTCCTAAAAGAACAAGTATAAAAAAATGGGCACACTTCCACAAAGGATTCCATTTTTTCAAACACAAAATTTGAAAAAAATATGACTTATTTTCATATAATGGGTATGATATTATACAATATTATCAAAGGTCATGATGAACCACATGCAATAAGAAGAAGACAAATACTTGAGAAGCACCCAGAAATAAAAATTCTTTTTGGACCAGACCTTATGTCAGCATGGCTTGGGGTTGGTATAGTTCTGGCTCAATTTTGGTGTATAAACTTCTTTGCAACCACAAATTGGTTATGGTATCTAGTCTCATCCTACTGCATCGGAGCAGTCTTAAGTCATGCTCTTCATGCTTTAATGCATGATTTTACTCATTACTTGTGTTTTGAGAGTGTGTAATACAATAAATTGATGGCCATCTTCTTAAATTTTGGTTAGGGAGTTCCATCAGCCATTACTTTTGGAAGGTATATTTTTTTTTTATATTTTATAGATATCATTCAGATCATCACACGTTTATGAATTTACCTGATTTAGATCCCGATTTGCCATCCTAATGGGAGGTAGATCATGTCAAAGGGCCTTTGCGTAAATTTTTGTTTATGCTTTTTTTGCCTTTATTCTATTCGCTTAGACCTATGTTCATAAGACCCTTGATACCAAATAAATATGAGATCTTAAACTTAGTGTCAATAATTGTATCAAATACATTGATATACAGATATATGGGACCATCTGCATTGGGGTGGTTAATATTATCAACCTATTTTGGATTAAGGTAAGAATTAAATTAGTATTTAATAGTGTACATCCTCTAGCTGCTCATTTGATCACTGAACACTATGAATTTATCAATAGATTAGAAACATATAATTATCTCGGAATTGCCAACTTTTTAATTTTAAATTTAGGATATCATACAGAACATCATGATTTCCCTAATATTCCATGGTCTAGATTGCCTCTAGTTAAGAAAATTGCCCCTGAATTCTATGATTCATTACCATATCATACAAACTACACTTTAGCTATTTTGGCATACATATTTGATGGATACATGGGGCCTTTTTCAAGGATTGTCAGAAAAGAGCTCAAATATAATGGAAAAACAAAATGATCTTTATATAGTATAATATATGGATTAATTGTAATCATTTTTTATTTTTTAAATACTTTACAGAAGGATTCATATTAGGTTTTGATTTAGATCTTTTTATTTATTATTATTATTAGTATTATTGTTATCTATTAGGAGAGGCAACTAATTTCAATGCTAAATGATTTAAATTATAGTCTTAAGCAGTGGCTGTTTTTTTAATATCATAATACATTTTTTCTAATTTACATTGCATATCATCAATATTTTATTATTATTATTTTTAGAGATTCTTAATCATATTATTAATGGCAATATTAAAACTTGGTTTGCTTGAATCCATATTTGAGATTTGCTCTGCAATTTTTTGTAACTGTTTATTTTATTCTTATTAAGTTTCAATAAATTAACATTGAATTTGTAAATGATTATTATTCAAGCCTTAAGTACTAACTAAGATTTTATAGGTTTTCTTCATTTCTATGGTTAATTCATTTATTTTAGCAACCTACCTTTTAACATTATCAAAGTTCTACTCTTTATTTAATCCCTACAATTCAATCTAAATTTAATTAATCTTTTTATCTAATTCTAATTAAGCACTATTTTCTTAGATTTTGAGATTGGGCACACAATTTTCTTTATTTTCAGTGTTCAAACTTCTATAAGTCAATCTTAAACTTTCTGAACATGGAATTTCAGAATCAGTAATATATCGACATTGAAATTGTGAAACTGAACTGGTTTAACTCATTCTTTATTTTGTTTCCAATAATTCCTATTTAAGTTAACTAATTTCTAATTCTAAATCTCTATATGTCTTTTTCTATGTTGCAATTCTAATTTCCTTCTTAATAAATCTAGCTCTCTAAGCAAATTTTAAAGATGAAATAGTTTCATCTTAATTTTTATTTTCAGGAGATATTGCTACAATCTAAAAATCTTATATATTAGATTACAATAGATGTTCTGCAATCTGCTTATAGACTATCCATTAATAATTTAGTAAGTTTAGAATCTCTATAAGGAATATGATCTTATCCTTATGATAAACATTGTATGACATGTCCCAAACAAGATAATGAATAATTAATTTTCTTTGCTTCTTAAAGTGTTTCACCAATAGCTCCAGTTTTATTTACTTTTTCACTTCCTGCTAAATCAACTAAATAAAGCTTTGCTCTTCCCATTTAAATTGTCAATATTAAATGACTTCTACTACTTAATGCATTTAATTTAGTCTCAGCAACATGTCTATTTTCTTCAGCTATCTAAAGTAATTCTTAACAATTTTCTAATTTATCAACTTTCTAAATTATATGATATAAATGATTACAATTCTTTTTAATCCATCTACATAAAAACCTAATTATAAGTCTTCCTTCATTTTTAAATCTTAAACACCAGAAACAAGATCATAAATATGATCTTTATAAATTTCAAGAATTGAAACATAAATCGTTTCTTAATTTCTTAAGAACAAATGTGTAAATGTTCTTAAAACTATTCCAGGATTGTTTGATTCACCAAACATAGTGAACGTTTTTCCACTTCCTGTTTATCCATATGCTATTAAACATCCATTTATATTATTAAGAAAATCATCTACTGTTTATTTTGCCACAACGTCAAAAATATCCCCCTTTGATAAATTATTAATATACTTATGTTGCTTATTATTCAAATACTCTATCAAAATTATATGAATTGGTATCAATAAGAATTGATGACTTATCATAGTTAAGTTAACATTCTCCAGGCTTAATTCTAGCATATATTTTTAACATCCTATATTCTGGGTATTTAAGTTGACTAAAACTTTTTCTTTTTGTTTCCTTAATTGAATCTTATGTTTTATTAGAGAAGGAACGCTATGCTTTTACATTTTTTGGAGTTATGTTTTTTTCAAATAACAATGGAGGTGGGTTATTAGTTTTGAAGAATTATTGAAAAGATGTGAATTACTTTTAATTTGGTTCTTAAACCTTGAGAATCAAATCAATAGTTTTGCTATTGTAGCTCATTTGAATATTTAATTATATTACTGTTAAAATTATCATATATACAAATTAAGTAGGAGAACATCAACAGGTAATTTTTCTCGGTTGTTTGGGATCAAAGTCATCATTTTAATCCAAGATATTTGTTTGGCTTTTTATACTTGAATTTTCTAAGGTTGTTTATGAAGGACCTTTAGATCTACATCCTATTTCATTTCCATCTAATTGACTTTTGGCAATAAAAAAGACCATAAGATTACTGGAAACTAATTCATGATATCTAAATAATTAGATTAAAAAAATATACTTAAATATAGAGTTGAGATAAACTTCTAATTATGTTTTTCTATCTTTTAAATCACTATTATCCATAGAATTTATCACTTTTTTTTGAGGAAATTCTGGTATTTCAAAAGGAATCTTAATTTTTTTTAATTATCTATGATTTTCCTTTAAATCTTGATATCTTTAATTAAATTTCCAACTCTTATTAGCATAATGATCAGTAATTTCTATGGTATAAATTGCTGAATTATCTTAAAAAGCATGTTCTCCAAATTTAAATGTATATTGTTATCTAAAATTGAATAAATAAATCAAATATACTTAATTTATTATTGTGGTTTTTGTAAAGGTAATGAAAAAACCTAATTTTCATGTTTAGCTAAGTAAGATTTCTTTAATGCTTCAATTTCTGACCATTAATTATTAGAATTTTGTATTATTTAATTCTGATCAACAGGTTTTCTGTTTTTAGTAACAGGTATAAATTCTTCAATGGATCCTAAACTTTGTAATTCAGGATGTTAAAAGACATCATTAAAATATTATTATAATTCAGTCCTCTAACATAATAAATTAAAATACTCGCTTAATAATACTCTCTTCTGATAGATTAGTGCTAAACAGAATTTTTTTTTTTGGAAATTATAACTAAGGGATTTTTATTTTGAAAATGTTGATCCAATCTAAAATTTTATAGTGAATAGATTCTAATTCTGAATAACGTTTTTTAACTTCTTTATAATCATTTGTTTCCAAATTTGTTACTTTGATTACATAATAGACCTTCTTATCTTAATATTCATGTGTTGGAATTTCTACCAAATATCTTGTAAGTGTTTTCTTCATTTAATAATTTAATTTATGCATTTTTCTGCATGTAAACACAAGAACATTGATTATGCATTTTATAATTAATGACGAAATATAATTGATCATTATAATGTGATTTCAGATTCTTTCTCTGAAATACTTAATAACTCTTAATTTGTAACTTCTTTTATGTCAGCTTAGATTAGTTTATCATGTCCTTCAAATTACAAGTAACCAGAAAAACATTTATTTTCAAGTAAATAGGGAATCCAATATTAATCATCAATCCACATTTAATTATAAGGTATTTTTGCCACATCAAACCATTATGGTTTCATTTCTTCAGTCTCTTTCACTTATCCATCAAAATGAGTAGCTTTAAAGATGTGAACTTTAAGTGTTTCTTTTTCACAATCATAATCCATTTTTATATACCCTATAAATTATGCATCTGTTGGAGTTATACAACCCTCTTCTTATGTTTCCCTTATTGCTGCTTGATAAATAGATTCTCCGTTCTTTTCAACTTTCCCTCCGAATCCATTATATTTACCCATTCCAAACCCTCTCTTTTTCATAGCTAACAAGATCTAGTTATTTTGATGGATAAGCAAAAGGGTTAAGATCTTAGAGGGTTTACCCTAAAACATAATTAAAAATATAGATTTTTTAATATAAACAAATAATACTATTCATTTGGGAATATTAGTTTTAATTGTATACCCATGAGCACCAACTAATTCATTTTTTAAAGCTTCTACAACCATTTAATGTTATTTAACCTTTGATTTACCTTGAAATTCAGGTGATTCAATTTCCAATCTATACATAGAGCCACCTATACAAATTTAATTAATTGATTACATCCTCCAGATGTGTCAATAACTTCTACTTTTGTTGCTTTTAAAACTTAAGTAAGTTTATCAGCCATAACTTTTTCGATATCTTATGAAAATTTAAAGAAGACTTTCCTAAGCATATAAATATTTAATAATAATAATAATAATAATAATCATGTTTGATTATTTAATCCTTTAATTTCCTTTAATTCATGATAATTATCAATTGTGTCTTATGTATGAAGTGTCCAATTCTCTTTAGCTATGAATTATTTGATTTTGAATTCATCTCCATATCTTCTCAATACTATTATCTAATAAAGCACACATATTATAACCAATATATATATATTCATATATGCAGCTGATTATAAAACCAAAGGATCTAAAATAACTCTACTAACATTATGTAATGAACTAATTATTGATATTTACATTCCAGCTAATTAAGGTTCAACTATTTCAGCTACAAATGAAAATGTACATACAGTAAAGATTTTCTTAAAAATTCTACTTATTCAAATAATATAAATACTCATGAACTAACAATTAAAAACAAAATAAATATTAAAATTGATTTATCTTGCCTTTTGTAGGTGTTTGTTTATTATATTCATAATAATCTAATAAAAAGAAGGCCATATTTATTGTTTAATAAGTCAAAGCACTTATTACTAAAGAATTCTCTTTCTTTTTGCCTGATATAAAGTAACCAATCACTAAAGGAATCCAAAAAGTACAACAAAATATAAAAATTTAAGCTTAACTAATGAATGTCTTTTCCATTCCTGCTCTTATCATTACTATTGGAGCAGCAATATCCATGAAAGATATTCCATTTCTTTACAAGAAAATGAACAAACATAAAAATCTTAGATTTTTGTTATAATATAATCCTTTCACTTATTTAATCTATTAAAAAAGACTTTAGTAATGTATGACTTCATCTGGATTCGTTTCTTTAACAAAAATAACCAGAATACACATTATTATACATATTATTCCTAGACTTGATTAATATTAAGCAAAACTAATTATGTTATTTTGATTTAGCAATATGAAAATAGATTATGAGATGAACCAACCTACTTATTATCCAAATGTTTAACATACACTTTATTAAGCTACATTTGATAATAATGTAACTGACCATCCATCTATAGCAGTGTCACTTGTTGATAAACAAACCATTAAAGTAATGTAATAATAAAATAGATTTAGCAGAGTATGTTCAGCATTTGCAGCCAATATTAAAAGAACACCCATAAGCAAAAAAAATGGAACTATATAAGTTTTTCTCTTCCCAAATTTTTCAATAAAATAATAATCCTAGATTGGTGACCAAACAAATTTGAAAGCCCAAGGTATTGTACATAATGAAAATATCCCAATATCTTTTTCATGTGCAAATAACACCTATATTGCTCCCCCAGGTAATCCTACAATTAATCCTTATATAAAATAGAGAGTTGTTAATACTACTTATCCTATTTACATAGAAACTAAATAATTAAAAAGGAGGTTTTTATTTTTCACAATTCAATTAAGTGTCAATATCATATAGAATCAATTAAAATAAATAATACTCTATTTAAATATGATATCTTATAGATATTTCCAATCATAAGACAATAAAGTTTTTATTAAAAGATATATTTCTAATTTGATTTTCCAGCATATCCAAATATGCGTTAATTAATCTTAGTCAATTAAAATAGAAAACATATTTAGATTTAGATTTTAAACATATCAATTTATCACAACATTTAAAGAGATACTATATTATAATATATTATGAATAAAAATTTATTAGATTTATTCTCTTACTAACCATTACCATTTTATTGAAAGGATAAAATATTATAAATTTGATATTGAGATATTATATCTATTTAAATAAAGTTATTTGAAAATTAATCATTCTAGTTTTGTTAAACCTAGTCTTCCACTTAAATATAATATTCTATCTAAATATTCACTTCTTTCTACTTCAAATGCCTTTTCTTTTACCCACAATTTCTTTTCTAGAATAGTGAACTAAGATATTTTAATAAATATTATATACTTTTTTAAGATTTTTTGATAATCTTTTAATTTCTTTATCTTTTTCATCTAATTTCTTTCGAAACTCTTCCATTAAATATGGATTTTTATCTGAAACTGCCTCTCTATGCCATTTCATTTTTTCTTCTTCTTCTTTCTCTTATTTCATCTCTTTTAATTAAGTGTAGCATTTTGAGAAATCTGATTTAAGTTTTTTATTTTCTTTTTCTAAATTTTCTACTCTGACTTTCATTTTATTATATTCTAGTTAAATTTAATTAGTATCATTCTCCCTTGCTTAAGATACTTTAATTATTCTCTATTTTAACATTGAATTCTATTTCTCTAATTCTTGAGTATAATTTAAGTTATTTGCAGTTCCAGGTTTTTAATATATAAATCTCCTAGAAACATTACCACTTTAAACATTGGCACTTCTAAACATTTCAGGTTATGTTTAATCAGATTATGATTCCACTTTACCCTATCTTCCTATGAAGAAAGCTTATAATTTCTATAACACTTCAGATGGATTCTTTGAATTTTCATTTGACATCACAATTTACTTAATTGCTTAATACTTTTAATGTAACTAAACTCTTTTTTATATATATGTACTTTTTGATATTCTTATGATTTAGGTGAATCTAAAACAGGAGGAACAGGAAATTCAGGATCAAAGTCTTAATTTTCTTACATTTTAATATATATAAAATAAAATTGAATATAAATGTATAATTTAAATGATATCAAATAATAAATCAATATTTATCTAATAAAATTTTAATTTATCATTAAGAATGAAGAATGGTTTCTTATCAGAGATATATATAAGTTCACTATTAATTTATATAAATTGATTATAATCGAATGAAATAAGAAATATATGATAAACTTATATTTAAAAAAACAAAGGTTTAATTTTATTCATATTAATATATTAAAATTATTGTCCAATATTCAAAATATTAATTGACTTTTTATATAAATATCGAATTAAAATGATATTATAACTAATTATTATTTATATAATATTTATATCTAATATGATAATCATATAGAATATAAATTATTAATGAATGTATTAGTATTAATTAGTGATGATAATTTTAAGAAAACAAGAATTAATTTTATATAATTTATTACTATTTTAATAACAAACAAGATTTATTAATTTAAATATTATATATAATGGGCTCTAAACCTACAATTCCTGAATCAGTTAAACAAATGAGTACAAAGAAAGATGCTGAATTTTCAGTTCACATTGTCTATTGCAGTGGATGAGGATATGGTTAATTTTACAATTTCTTTGTTGAATGTTTATAAGTGATCTATCCTAATGGCAAGGTTACAGGTGAACAGACTCCAAATGTAAAATATTAATATATTGTATTAGGTTTCTGGATATTTTGAAATAGAAGTAACTAAAGATGGTAAAAAATAAGTAATTCATTCAAAAAAGAATGGAGATGGCATCTTTAATGAAAAATCATGTTAACCAATATTGGATAAATTAAAGAATTATGTTGAGGCTTGAAAGTCTCTTACAAAATTAGATAATATATTGGATTAGTACATTAAACATAAATGAAGAAACTAAGTTTAAATACAAAAAATTTATTTTCTGAAGAAACTCAATGATTAATGTTCTAATTCTTATATTATAATTAAAATAATATTTTAATAGCTTTCTAATCTTTATTTTATAAATGATTAAGCAATTGGATATATAAATCATATTAATAGTTATAAATAATAAATAAGTAGAAATTCGTTGTACAATCATTTATAACATCCATTAATACATTTTATCTATTAACCATTAAAGAGTAATTAACCTTCTCCATATTATTTCCCATTTTTCCAAGTACCAACATATTAACCATGTTATGTAATTTATTAACCAAATCCATGTCTCCTATGATTCTCAAATTCTCCAATATACTTTTATCCATCAGGAAACAGTAATTCTCCTCTTCCATGATATTTACCATTTAACCATTCTCCATTATAATATCTACCATCTTTTCCAACGAATTCTCCATCTCCATTTAATAAACCATTCTTAAATTGACCTTCAAAAATATTTCCATTAATATCTATTAATTTTCCATATCCACTTCGTATTCCTCTTTCAAATCCACCTTCATAAGTGGTTCCATCTTTAAATTTAGTTCTACCTCTTCCATGTAATAAATTATTTTGAAATTAACCTTACAAAATAACATCATTAAAATAATAGATTCCTTTACGTAATTCTCCATTCTGATATTCTCCTTCTTTATAACTATTATTTGAGTAAACTATTCTTCCTATTCCATGTGGTTAATTTTAACTATTAATTTCACCAACATATGCTTATGTATCCTAAACTATAATCTTAATGTTTTTCTTCCTTAAAATCTTGTATGTTAATATATGTTCTAATTTATGAAATCCAAACTTTTTTAAAATTCTTCTTTCTTCCATTAATAATTATTTATTATTTTTCAATATAAGTTTTTATCTTCTTGATAGAAATCCACGTATAATTGCTTATATCTTTACTATCTTATTGAATATATCTAATGGAGTATGTGATACTTCCTCTCGATATTCATTATCACAATATTAACCTTTACATTAATTTCCCATTTAAAAATATTAAATATAATTAAAATGATCATACTTATAATTATCTTTCTCATTTGTAATGCATATCATCATTAGGGTACACTTCAAATCAATCATACTCTTTCTTTAAAAACTAATATAACACAAAATGCTCAAAGCATAATTATTAAATTTATATTACCTTTACATAGAAACAGAGATTAAACGGTGGCTTGCTTTGTATCAAATTTTGATTTAGAATCATAGATATTAAACATTTAAGATCTAAAATTAAAAAATGAAAACGATATTGTTTATGACTTACATAGTATATAATCAAATAGCAATACTTAACTTATTGAATACTTTTTATTAAATACAATCTATTTGTATTGCTAATCTTAAGCTATCAGTCAAATTTAATATTTATTAATCTATAAAGAAGATACCTATAAACCAAGTTGCATCAATGATTGTTAGGGTTATAATCACACAAAATTTATAAGTAAATCTTATTGTCTAAATAATCACTGTGAATGTCAAACTAATTAAATTGGATTCTTCTGTTAACTTTCATCAAGTTATATATTGAGTAGTACTCCATAAGAAGTAATATTAGATTCATTTTAATGGAAATTCTTTTATTATTAATATAATAATATTATGGATTTGCTATTATTATGCAACCTCTCAATTGAAGATAAATCTGTATGTAAATTTGTATTAATCTATATTAAGTATATAGTATAACATTTAGATAAATTCCTTAATTAGAAATTCCTAATTTGTCTATTAGTAAAGTCTTAGTTAATGGTACTTCTTTGTAAATGGAGCTTTCTAAATTAATAGAAAATTCAAATGGAAGTAAAATCTTTTACATAGGATTATATAATAATAAGTCATAACAATAATAATTAAAAATTACAATAGTATCAAATGAATCATTAGATTATGAATAACTTGAAAGAAATAAAATAATAATTATTACTGTTGGAACTATCATTGGAGTTATATTATTAATAACTTGTATTTTAAGTTATATCAAATCTAAAAAATTACAAGTCTAATAATAAACTCTTCCTGTAAGATAAATGAGGATTGAGTAAAATAATTAAGTATAAATAGAAGTGCCTAAAAAATCTATTGGTAATTTATATATAATATTATATAAGGATTTAGTTAAAAATTTATCAAAGATTATTTTGGTGTTATTTCATATAAAAAACTTGTCTAATAATATCCTGGATTAAAACAATTTGAAGATTGTATAATATGTTTAGAATCTATAAAAAATGGATCTAAAAAATAATTAAGATATTGTTCAGTTACTCCTTGTTTCCATATTTTTCATTAGAAATGCTTAAATTCTTGGTTACAAAAATAATAAAATTGTCCATTTTGTAGAGAAGAATTTACAATTAGATTGATTCAAAATAAATATCCTTGGCTTGATTTAAAGTAATAAAGATTAAATTATCCAATTGAATAATAATCTTAATATATAAAGAATATGAAATATAGTTCAAATACAGATCAATCATAAGATAATTAATTAAATGATAGTTAATAAGAATTAGTAAGAAAAAATAGAATAATTATAGAGATATGATAATGTTAATTATTATTGATTTATAAATATACTAAGTCAAAATTTTAATAATAATAAATTAAGTCATATAATTTAACTTTAACTGACATCGTTTGTATCTATCATATCTGGATGACCTAATTTTTATTTTAGAAGATTTATTTATTAATATTCTTCCATTAATCTATAAACTTCTAATATTGACTAATGTTAAAAAGTAATAACTCCTTCAAGAAAAGTAGTTACCATTACACAATTCTGAATTGATATTTGTTATAATTATTAAATTGGTAATTACATTAATGGTATACTTTAATTTTATTCATATATTAAAATTTCATTATGTAGAATACCTAAAGATACTTTAATAGGCATTCTTTTTTATGAATTTAAAAGTTAATTTTATAACATCTTTACTGTAAATATCTTGATTCCATGTAATTTTTATTTATAGAGATTATTAAGAAATTCAATTTCTAATATTCTTATTTCATTATTTAAGCCTAATTAAAATTTTTAAATTTGTAATTAATTCAAAATATTTTAAATTTATTAAAAAATTTATTTTTTCCAATCAATTTTCTTAACATTATTTAAGATTAACAAAGGTACAAAATTTTAAAACCATTACATTCTCACTTATTCAAATGTTTTAATTTTATGAACTTCATTATTATATAATATGCATATTGCAAGTGCACATTATATTACATAATCTTATTAATTCATATGAGAATGATTAAATTTCAATTATGATAATTCTTAATAAAATAATAATTGAGATCTACTTTTATTTTTACTAAATTCTTAAAATTCAATTTCATAACAAAGATATAAATATTTTTTTAAATAAAATTTTGGTTATTATTTTGAACTTACTTAATAATAGATCCCATTAAAAAATTTAGACAGAAAATCTATATAATAATAAATGAATTATAATACTTTTTTATTTTTGATTGTAATTTTTCATAACCTTATAAACAACTTCATTATCATCTAAATATCGACAAGTATTATTTTAAAGAATCATCAATTTAAAATCAAAGTTTCTATCTAAAAATATTGATCTACAAACAGTATCTATTAAATCAATAGTTTTGCAATGTTAAGTTATTTTCAAAGTAATGTTTTTATCATCTGGTAAAATTACTATGATTTCAAATTCATCTTCTTAAAATAATGTATTTCTCATTTAAGTTGTATAACTTCCTCTCATTGTAACTAAAGTATCATTATGATGAACTTTATCTATCGTAAAGAAATTTTCAGGAAGATCAAGATATTATATAAGTATATCTTCATATTATTTCATTTATTTATTCAAGAATATGGATTTTAAGAAATATAATATGGATTCTTAGCGTAATTTGATTAATTTATTTTCTGTAATTAAATTTGCACAGTTACTTTATAATTCATCTATTTCATAATTTTTATTTAATAAAGTAGTTTCTAATTCTATTAAATCACTATATCTTTGATATGTTCTAATCCTATAATTATTTATTTAAATCTTTCAATAAATATAATACAATTACTTAGATTATATAAACAATAAATGTATTAATTCCATCTTTCTATTTAAAAGTAGATACTATATGAATAGACACCTATTATTATAATTTTTTTAAGAATTGTTCTTCTTCTAATTACTTTTTTTAGATCAACTCAATTTCTAATTAATCTATTGTTCCGAATTATGCCAGTAATTTTAAATTACTTTAAGTACTATAAAGAGAATATTTAAATTAATACGTATTCATCATTTAATTGATTTATTCATTAATTTTATAAAATTATTCTTATATTTATTTAAGACTATGATAATCTGGATGATTCAATTCAGTATACTTAATTAATTTCTCTATCATTAACACATATCTAGGTAATTATTATACAGGTTTAACAAGAAATGATTCAAATGTTAAACCTTTAAGTACTCCACTTAATTCTATATTCTGAATATATGAGTTGAATTCTGCCTAAAAATAATGGAAATATAATACTTTACTATTACGTAATTTATTTATATTTTCTAATTAAAATCTGCTGCAGTAATCATAATAGATTTTAAAAAAAGGAATGTAAATCTTGAATTATTATGAAATAATAATAAAATGGTGATAATTTTGTAAAATTTCTTAAATAGAAATGGTAATTACATTGTATGGTAATATAGAATTTGTAATTTAATTGTTGTATTTACTCAACATTCAAAAATAAAGATAGTAACTCATCTTCAGTCAAAATCTTTTAAAGTCTAACTAAATAGCATTTATAAATATTACCTGATATCAGTCATCAATCTACCAACAATAATATTTAAGTCTTCATTATAATTTTTTTCAATCTAATGAAATTCAACAACAACATATTTCCTATTTCTAAGTTATCTAAGTTTCTTTTGAAATTATTTCATATTTAAATATCTTCTATAGTTCCTCTGTATCATAATGATTTTTGGTATAATGTTTTTAGTAACACTTTAAAGTATTTCTTTTTAGTTGTATTATGAATCCATCTAAAAGAATGAATAAAATCTATACCACTCTAGCTTATTATTTTTTTTTCTTTGATTTTACAGAGGAATGTATCGTTCCTTATTCTTATTCTTATTCAAAGTTACTATATTCTAAACAACTGTCCTCACTCCTAATTATTGAAGATTAATAAAGTTAGTTCTGATGCTTGAATGTAGAAAATATCTGAGATTATTTATAGGATGTGGCTAATTGTTCTCTTAGGGACTCAAACTTCTAATTTGTAATTTATTACATAATTAAATAAAATAAGCAATATATTTTTATTATTCCGACGTATAAACTCTTCACTTTAGATTTTTCTTTTCTCCTTCTACAAGTCCAACTATTTTATTGAAATAGATATGACCATCTTTAATAGAATCCACTATATAAAATCCATTACGTTCAAATTAGAATCTATCTCCAACTTTGTATTCCAACTACTTAGGTACTTTGACGTCATAGATTTGTAATGAGTTTTTATTAAAATTATTCCAGAATTCTTGAATTTCTGCAGGATTCTCAGTATCAAAAAGATATGAATATTCATTTACTGTTCCAGTAATACAATCATTTTTATCTAACCAATTTATTTATCCTTATAATTTCTTTCTTTCATTTATATCTGTTGATATTAATTTTACTTTTATATATTTCACTTTATCATACTCTAATATTATATCTTCACATAAGATTACTCCAAAAAATCTTAGACAAACTTATTTATTAGGTGTTAAACCATAAAAATCAGGATTACTTACTAATTTTACATCATCTTATTAAACATAAACTTATTTTATTGTATTTTTATCAATTTCAACATCAATCAATATTGGATTAAGAATGGCCATAATCTTAGGTACTGTTTTTTCCAATTCCTTTCTAATGCAATTCTCCAATAATTTAATAGAAATTATTTATTCATTACCACCTCTTGGCACACTAACTTAATCAATAAATTCATTTATAGCCTAAGGAGTATACCCTCTTTTTCTTAATCCAGCCAAAGTCAATAATCTAGGATCATCCCATCCATTAACTATTCCCATTTCTATCATTTTCCCAATCTTTCTTTTAGATAACATATTATTGGAAACGTTTAAACGAGAAAATTCATATACAAAAGGCTTATACAAATTCAAATTTGTTAATATCCAATAATAAAGTTCTCTTCTAATTTCAAATTCTAAAGTACAAAGTGAATGAGTTATATTTTCTAATGAATCACATATACAATGAGCAAAATCATACATTGGATATACTTTCCATTTATCACCACTTTTAGGATGTTGAGTATACAAAACTCTATAAATTACAGGATCTCTAAGAGTAGGATTTGCATGTTGATAATCAATTTTCAATCTTAATGTATATTTACTTTCAGGATGTTTTCCCTCTTACATTTCATTAAAGATACGTAAACTTTCATCTATATTTCTATCTCTATAAGGTGATGGTTATTTATTTCTTCTGTATTCTTTCATTTCATCTCTATTTTATTCACAAATAAAGGCCTATAATTAAATATTATAGAAATACTTTATTATCTTTAATTAATTTAATTGCACAATCAAATATAAATGGAAAATAATCTGAAGCATATGTAATATGAGTTGGTTTATGTCCAAACCATTTTACATTATGTTCAATTTCATCAATATATATTTATTTTTCATTAGCAGGATTAGTATCATCATATCTTAGATAACAATAACCATTTAATTATTCAGCAGAATAAAAATTCAATCTAATTGATCTTACATGTCCTAAATGTAAATATCCATTAGGTTCAGGAGGAAATCTTAATACAATTTTACCTTAAGTAATACATTTATGTTTTTCTAATTGTTCAGGTAGATTATGTTATTCAGGTATATCTCTTGGTGTAAAAGTTTGAATCTTCTAATATATTTGTTGTTTAGATTAATTTTATTTATTTTAATTAAGTTTGATTATCATTTCTTATGTACATTCTGGAAATTATTCTTTAATTTTTATTAATTATTCATTTGAACAAAGACCAGGATATTTTTAGTTTATTTGTATAATAAATGAATGTATTCTTTTTTCTTATATAGTATTAATATATTCATTGAGATAGAATTCTGGATTTTATATTTTTTGAATCAATTTGATTGCATATTCTAAATCCTAATTTGATTCAATTGAATTATTTCTTATTTATTAGAGTAAAATTTGTTTATATGGTATTAATCCTGGTTTTAGTTTTTATACTAGATAGGCAATTAATTTAAGTTTTTTCTCATCATCATTTGAAATAAGTTGATTAAATTGAGTTAATTAAGAGGGAGAGAGATTTTTAAGGGTGGATGCAATAGAGGGAGTGAATTAGGAATAATGATAATGGGGTATGCGAATGAAATGTCTGAGTAAATATTGCATTTATTTTAATTAAAATGACAGAAAGGAAACAATAAGAACGAGATAACATACAAGTTTCAATAAGAATAAAGTACATTAAAAAAACATGTAACTAGACCCATGTTTGATGAAGGAAAGACATGCATTCGAATTGATCCAAACCTAAAGAATACTATCATCATAGAAGGACAGAATCAGTAAGAGTAGAAATTCTTCTCATTTGATAATGTTGCTGGAGCAGATACTACATAGGAAGATATCTTTTAGATGATTGGACAATAATAAGCTAATAATTGTTTAGAAGGTATGATTAACTGTAATTTTAGGATACAACGGATGTGTATTTGTATATGGTTAGACAGGATCAGGTAAAACTTACACGATGACAGGAACATCTCAGTAACCAGGACTATTACCACGTATAATTGATTATCTTTTTGGATGTGTCTTTCAAGACTAAGAAAAAGATCCCTCAGTTGAATACTTAATCAAATGTTCACATCTCGAAATTTATAATGAACACATTATTGATCTTCTTAATCCTGATTTGGGTAATTTACAATTACGAGAGGATCTAAATAAAGGAGTATACGTTGAATTTCTTACTGAAGAATGTTGTGCCAATGTTTTAGAAGCTATGGAAGTAGTTCAAAGAGGTAATGAAAATAGACATATCTCATCAACTTAAATGAATTTTGAATCTTCCCGTTCTCATAGTGTTTTTACTGTGTAATTGGAATCAAGAAGATAAAGTCATTCATTAATTAATCACAGATTTTCTAGATTCCATTTTGTGGATCTAGCTGGTAGTGAAAGATAAAAACACACACAAGTTTAAGGTGAAAGACTTCGTGAAGGTTGTCAAATAAATAGAAGTCTTCATATTTTAGGCAATGTTATTAATTCACTTGTAGAAGATAAAGAATAAAATAGATATGTTCATTATCGTGATTCTAAATTAACATTCTTATTAAAAGATTCTCTTGGAGGTAATTCAAGAACTCATTTAATTGCTAATATACAATAATCAAATTTATTTTATTAAGAAACACTCTCTACACTTTTATTCTCTAAAAGAGTCAAATAAGTTAAAAATAAAGCTAGAGTTAATGAAGATGAAAGTGGATCTTTAGAAAGTCTCAAAAATGAAATCAAAAGATTAAAATAAGAATTAGCAAAATGGATTGTAGGTCTTTAATCTACATCTAAATTAGCAGAATCTCCTTCTAAATAAAATATTAGTAAAAAATACTTATCATAAATTAGTCATGCATAATATCAATTTTGAAGATCTTAATGCTAATGATTAAAGATACATTAAATTAGAAGAAATACTCAAAGTATATCTTGAACAATCTACTGAAAGTGAAACAGCACTTTTTATAGAAATAGAAAAGTATTTAAGTGGAATTAAAGAATTAAGAGAAGCATTTTAATTAAGTTCTTAATTGGAACAATAACTAAAATTAATCATTAGATTATAAAATGAATAAATTGTTAGATTGAAACATGCTAATGGAGCTGAAGATTTATCAAATGATTATTAAGAAGAACTTTCCAAAGCTCTTTTAAGTTAAGCTGCAGTCATGAAGAAATTCTCAGATAGTCTTAGAATTAAAGAGGGATCTGCTAAAAATGTAGAAAAAGCTAAATTATAAATAAATGAAAATGTATAATTACTCAATACTATTGTATCAACTGTTAATGTAATTCATAATATTTATTCATTAAGGGATCTTTAGATGAAAGAAAGAAATTATAAAAATAAATCTAATAATAATTCTCTTAAGTTTATGTACCAGTAGAAGAGTTCAATTAATTGTAGAGTGAACATGAACAAGTTAATGAAAAATTAAATAAATAGGTAGAAAAAGAAGAAAAAATTAAATAATCACTTGATTAAATAGGTATTACACTTCATGTTGAAGATGAAATCAAAATAATAGATCATAAATAAAGAGATTTAACTTTAGATTAATAAAATGAATAATTGGAATTGAAGAGTAGAGCTGTTGAATAATTAAATTAATAATTATAATAAAAAGAATAAGAAATACTATAAATTTAAGAATAAAATCAAAAGAATATATAAGAAACACAATAATTAAATTTATATATAGGGGAAATAAAGCATGAAGTTCAATAATTGCATTAATAACTTTAAGCATAATAAAATTAATTAGATTAGGCAAAATAATAAACAGATTCCTTATAAAATAATGTGCATTAATAGAGAGTTGAGAATGATTAATTAAAATTAGAGATATAAGCTTTAAAAACAGATAAAGATAATATTTTATTTTAAAGTAATTAAAATTTAGAAGATTTAAATAATTCATTATAGTAATAGAAATAATAGAATGAAATATTATTAAGTTAATTAAACAATTCTAAACAAGAATAAAATAATTTAATAAGTTAAATTTAATCTAATTTAAATGAACTTAAAGAATAAAATCATTAATTAACTATTGAAAAATAAGATGTTTAATTATAAAATAAAAAATAAATAGATGATTTATTGAATTAGGTTTAATTATTGATTAAATAATAAGAGTAAAAAGAATTATAGTATTAAAATGAATTTTAAAATATTATTAAGAATTCTAAAATAGAATAAACTAATATTTAAAATGAATATGAGAATCAAATATAAACTATTGTAAAATAACATGGCTTGTAGATTGAACAACTGAAAAATGAAAATAAAAGGTAACTTGATTAATTTGTTAATCAATAAGAATCAGAAATTCAAACATAAATTAATTAATTATAAAATTAAATTTAATAATTGAATAAAGAATTATAATAAAAATAATTGTAACTTGAAAATAAAAATAAAGAATTTGAGGTATTATTCATCTTATCTTTAGCTTTTAAAAGATAAATAAGATAAATTAGAATAATAGATTAATTAGTAAAGAAATGATTATGAATATAAACTTGAAGAAAAATAAACATAATATAAAGAATTAGAATAATAATAAAATATTTTGATTCATTAAAAGGATAAATAATTAGAAAAATTAAAAAATGATTATGAAAAAAGTATACAATAAAAGAATTTAGAAATTGGAGAAATTAAATAAAATTATCAAAAATTGTTTGAAGATAACAAAATTATAATCAAATAATAAGAATAAGAACTTTTAATTAAAAAGGAAGAGTTAAATTAGGCAGTTTAAGAATTAATAACAAAAGAAGAAGAATTTAAAGTACAATTAGCTTAAGTTAATGAAAAACAAAAAGAATTTGAAGATAATTGTTTTGAATTAAGAAGTAGGGATATTCCAGAAAAAGATTCAGTAATTTAACAATTAAGAGCAGATATTGAATAAAAAGAATGTGAATTGTAAATTCAAAATGAAGATTTCATAAATTAATAAAATCTTCTTTTTGAAATGATTAAATAAAAAGATATTGAAATAAAGAAATTAACAGAGGATCTTGATGATCATAGTAATAGATTAGCAGAAGCATCAAAAGTAATTGATAAGTATTCAAATTGTAATTCTGAATTAAAAGGGACTATAGATTAATTAAATCATTAATTAGAAAAGTAGTAATAAATAATAAATGATATTAAAATTAAAGAGAATACATCAATTTAAATTTATGATGAAAAGATGAAATCCCTTAATGAGATTTTATAATCTTAGTAAAATGAAGTTGTAAATTTATAAATGAGATTGGAAGAGGAGAATAAAGTTTTTAATTAATAAAGTACTCAATAAATGAAAACTACTGAAAAAAAAATTAAAGACTTGGAAAAGGAAAAAAATATTTATTAAGAGGAAATTTAGAAAAAAGAATTGTCTATTAATTAATTGGAATCAAAATTATAGGCTTCAATAAAAGAAAAAGAAACTATGTCTAATTAATTGAAAAATCAAATTAAAGATTTATAACAATAATTGATATCTAGTAATCAAGGAATAGAAGAATAAAAGATTTGGGTTATTCATTATAAAAAAGAAGTCGATAAATTAAATAAAGAAGTGTTATTAACTTAATAAATTTCTTTATAAAATTAGAGCCAAAAAAATGAAAATGATTAATTGAAATAAGAAAATTAAAAATTGAATAAATTGTTAGATAATCAATAATAATAGATAGTATCCTTTAAAAAAGAGATAGATTAATATAAATAAGAAAAAAATAAATTAATTGACTCTATTTCTTAACAAGAAAATAAAATATTAGAGTTAGAAGAGATTAAATTATAAAAGTAAATATTATAAGAAAAAGTAAGTGAATTACAGAAAAGTTAGTAAGATATACATTAAAAATATCAGTAATCATAATTACAATTACAGAGTTTATAAGATGATTTATAATATTCAAAAAAAGAAATTTAAGAAACTAAATAAAAGAATAAGGTTTTAGCATAATAATAATAAAATGAAATAAGTAAATTTAATTAAGAAATTATTTCAATTAAAGAAGAGTTGGATTAAAGCAGAAAGATTTAAATGGAAATAAAGAAGTCTGAACAAGAGCAGAGAGAGTAGAATATGCAAATTAGATAGAATTATGAAAAATTAAAGTTAGAAAATTAATAATTAAATAATTAATTAGATGAAATATAATAAGATATCAAATATGAGAAGGAAGAAATTTTAAAGAAGGATGAAACTATTTAAAAATTATCTGATTAAATAAAATACAAAACCTAATAATTAGAAGCTCAAAATACATTGATTAATTAGGTAGAATAAAATAAATTAAACTAAACTAATCAAATATTATAATAATCTAATTAATTAACAAATTTATCAAAAGAACTATTTTCTTTAAAATAACAATTATAAATAAATGATACTTAAAATGAATCCTATAAGAGAGAAGTTGAAAGATTAAAAAGAGAATTAGAATTTTAAGGAAAGTAAGTAGAAGATTATAAATAATAAAATAAAAAATTATAATAATAATTAGACTTCGAAAAGAAACATAGCTAAAAATAAAAAATTTATGAAGCATCTGAATTATTAAGTAAAATTGATAATACACTATCTCCAATAAAAGGTATTAAGGTAATTTTATATTAATTAATTAAAGGGATAACTTCTATATGGTAGTTCAGAAAGTAAGACTTAAAAAAGAATTTTACAACAAAAAACTCCTTAAAAGGAATATGGATTTTAGAATTCAAATAGTGCTTCTATGCTTAATGCTTCATTTAATTCATAAGATTAATTGGCTAAAGAAAACAGGAAACTCAAATAAAGTTTAGAGTAGAAAATGAAAGTAATTTTTATTATTATAATAAAAGATTATTGAATAATTAGAACAAGCATTATTATAAAGTGAATAAACATTGAAGGAAGTGCATGAGAAGGCAAATCAATTTTGTTAGCAATAAGAAGATGAAATAAAGCATATCAAAGATCAATATTCAAGACTTGAATAGGAACACAATGCTATCTTAGTAATTTCAATCTATATTTTAGGCTGAAAGGGAGTATGAGAATTAGTAGATAAATAAATAAAAGGAATAGGCTTTATTTAAAGTTTAGATTCTATAAGATGAAGTATTGAAATCAAAGAGAGGATCAGTTGGAAGTTAACATGTTCCAGGTTCAAAATATTCTGACACTGTGTAGGATATGTCAATGAGAGAAACTCCGTCATCATCTCATAGATATAGACTTTCAGATGGGTAATTTAAATCACATTATGGTGTTGATGCTCATTAAAAGTTAATTTATGATACTGTAATATCCAAATTATTATATATAGCAAAAATTATTACTTGAGAATTAAAGGCTACATAGCCAAATGTGCAAATTATATTAGATATTGGGATTAGATAAAAATAGATCAAATAGACTAGAAGATGGTGAGAAGATCATTTAATCGGTTCAATTATTATTATAAGAAGTCATTGTATATATAGCTTTATTTATTATTTAAGGATTGCAAGTAGGAAATTCAGAATTTGATTTAAGCATAGCCTTAAAGAAACTTAAAGTACTAATCAATGGAGAAAGATTTATTATAAACTAAATAAAAATACTATGCAATAGAAAGGAGTCCTAAATTTTGGAATTCTAGTAATGATACTCCAAAAGCTAAATTCTTTAATTACTCAAATTCTTCAGGGAAATGATTTATTGTAATTAATTTTAATCATTTACCCAGATATTCATTTTTTATTTTTTGAACTACTTAAATCCAATTAATAGGTTTTGCTTCTGCATCCTTAAATTTATAGAAAAACTGAGAAGATTCCAAAATCTAAATATAAATTATAATATAATACATAATAAATTCCATCTTATGAAATCTTTATTGTATCATCAATAGGAAGATATTTCTTTTCTCCTTTAATAAAATCTATCAATAGACAGGGAGGTTTTAGATACCCAAACAAAATAGCAATTTAAGGAATACAAAACCATCTATTGGTATTTAATTGTATAAATCCAACTGACTTATCAAATTATTTTAAACTTGAAGGTGATTACATCTCATTCTCTAATCTATTTGATGAGTAATTAATTTATTTTTCAAATATTATTGGTGCATTTATATTATGTGAAATTTTTTGAGTTCTTTTGAAAATATTAGGAACTGGTGTTGCTGTTTCTTCTAATTCTTCCATAATTGTTTTCAATCGATCTTGTCTTCTGCGAATCAATTATTATTTCATTTCTACATTGGTTGATGTAGTTTAATAAATTAAACTTGATTTGCTTTGAGTTGGTATTATTTCTTAAAAAAGTATCTTACATTAATTTGGAATTTCAATATCATCCAACCATGGTACATAATGCCTAACAGAATCAAAATATTTATGAGCAAGGATTTATTCAGAATCTTCATAACCTAAACGGTTTTAAGGATTCAATGTTAATAGTGATTTAATTAAATCAGAAACATCTTCTGACAAATTATTATCTAATTCATAATTTAGAGATAAAATGCTATTGAATACTTCATTTTCACTTTTATTGGAAAAGGGTTATTTCCCATGATAAAACTAAATTAGAAAATCTATTTTACTTCATAAATTATGCAACCAAGTGCCCATAAATCAGCCTCTTTTGATGCTCTACTATTACTTAACATTTCTGGAGATATATATTCAGGAGTTCCAACAAAAGTAGATCGATATTCACTAATTTCATTTTCCATCCTCTTAACTGATTTTACATAATTCTGTTAAAACTTTTTAATTTATTCAATCAATTCAGGAGGTTATCTATGTTCTTCAAAGAAATAACATGTTGCAAAATCAGTTAATCTTAAATTAAAACTTTTATCAATAATTATATTTTTTGGTTTAATATCTAAATGAGCTATCCCTTCCTTATGTAAATATATAATTGCTGTTGCTATTTAATAAATATAAATTTTAATAAGATTTTCGACATCTGAAGATTTATCCTTTTTATATTCCTAATAAATATCCCATACAACATTTCCTAAATCTCCAAAAGGGCAATGTTCACATACAAAATATAAGAACTATTTATCCTAAAAACTCCCTATAAATTCAACCATACCTAACACATAGATCATAACTAACTTGGATGCTTTAATGAATATTATTTCATCATATGTCTTTCAATATAAATTTCTGCTTATTTATTAGACTGTGTAATCGATTCTTTGAATACTTTCTTAATTGCCACTTTTTTATTATTCTTTAAATAAACAGCCTCAAAAACCTCAGAATATGCTCCTATTGTTAAATTAAATCAATAAGATACCCTAACCAATCATTCCTATTATATAAAAGTTTTTTATATTCATTTTCTTATCCCTTGTTAATTGGTTCTAGAGCGATACTCCTTTCATAAAATAATTAAATGTATTATTTTTAATATATGTCATCTTCCCCTTAGATTTTACTTAATCATAACAAATGATAAGTCATCAAATCCTAAAAATTCATTAATTTATTTCTAAATATCTAATTCTGATTTTTGATCCATTTATAACAACGAGAATCTTGGATTTCTTAGATCATCTTCTGTCAGATCTAATCCTATTTATTTTATTTTCTAATCTTAACTCATTGACCATTCAACATACTTGCCTTCCACTTCATAATTTATCTTGGAATCAGATTCTATTTTAGGATCTATTAAATAAATTAAATATATATACATAAATCATCAATTGGATGAATGGACACTTCAGTTTATTTCTTTGCTTATTCCAATTTAGGAACAGCATCATATTATTCTTATAATTTCTTTTTCAATTCAGCTGATTTCTGTTTCAGTTAAGTAATTAATTTTTTTTCATCCTCTGTTGTTGTAATATCTGTAGTAATTTAAAGATCTTTCATTACATCTTCTATTTTCTCTTTTGGTTATTTGAATTATTAAGGTTCCTCATATTTTTATTAAATTTTTTTATTTTATTATTCTTCCTAATTTTATACTGGTTATCTGCTTATATCTATTTCATTAGGTTAAGAAAATTCATCAAAAAATAAAGAAAAATCAACTCCTTCAAGACCATCTCTAAGTCCGTCTAATTCATTTTCTAATTCATCAGACATTTCTTCTGTTTAAGTTTCTGTATTCACTTCGACATATGGGTGATCTTCACTTTCTTTTTAATTCTATTTTTCTGCATCTTCATTTGCAAATTATTTATAAACATCAATTATATATTAAGCAGGAGCTATTTATTACTCTGTTTCTTCTTTTTTTAAATCTAATTCTACATCAATTTCATCAAATGACAAATCCTCATCAAATAATGGGACATCAATTTATTATTATTTTTATTCTGTTTTTTATATTTATTCTTATGTTTAAGTTTTATCAATAATAATTTCAGATTATATTTCATTGACTAATTAATCTTAAACAATATCAACAGATTCAATCACTTCTAGAGTATCTTATGATGATTATTATTACTACTATATTTATTATTATTATTATTATTATTATTATTATTATTATTATTATTATTATTATTATTGACTAATTATATTTTTATTATATTCAATCAAATCATCATTAAGTTCTTAACTTAATGTGAATTCTTTATATAATACATCCATATCAAGCTCATCTACAGTTTATGGAACTACTTGATATGCTGATTATATAATAATTTCTTATTAAATTGTGTCTTCGATATTTTGTATATCTACAACATTTACTTAATTCATTTATGTTAATAACTTTTTTTCTTCTTGTTCTTCTAATTTCATTTCTTCATCTACTGCCTAACCTATTATTTCTTAAACTCTTTCTATATGATTTTCTTCTATTTTCAACAATTAATCTGATACACTCTATTTTTAAGGTTAGAGATATTCAATATCAACAGATTATATTACTTCATCTTCAAAATTCGATTAGATATTGTTTAATCCCACAGTTTCTATTTAGATACTATCAATATCAAGATATTATTCTTCTTCATTTTATACTTTAATTGATTATTCTTCTTCATTTGATTCAACTGATAATTTACTCACAATATCATCAAAAGATAGTATTTAATTGTCTAAAGGTCTAATCATAATATTGAATTAATATTACAATGTTATTGAATCTTCAATATTTTCAACATTAAACTCTAAGTTATTATCTTTCAAAGTAGTTGTGATAATTGATTAATTATGAGCAATTTTATCTTCATCACCAAAAACCAAACATAGACCCATAGCTTTTTGTTAAGTTTAAAAAATAACTTATGAGTCTGTTATAGAACTTAATTTAAAGTAAACATTTTCATTTTTTGACAATTTCAATCCTGTAATAAATGCTACTACTTATGAATGTTCAATATTTATTGGAACTTTAATTTAATCTTTTTTTGTTTAGTAATTCTCACAAACAATACTCAAAGAGTTATCGTTAATTGCAAGATAATTGATTTTTATATTATCAATATTGGATGAGCTGATTATCTATAAATCAAATCCTTATCTAAGTAAAACATAGTATATTTACCTTTCAAATTGATATTACTTGTTCTAGTGTAAAGTTCATATTAATCTCCAATTATTTATTTTATTGATACGACCACTTTTGGAATTTCATCAAATTCTTAATCAAATTACACATTCTTATTATGTAATATTTTTGTTTACTTTTGTAAATAGTTAATGTGCTTTTAAATTTTAGAGATCAAGCATTCCATTACTTTGTTAAATTCCATTAATACAAATGAATAACGTCATTAATATTAATAAGCCCATCTTCATTTTCAATATAAAATTATATAAAACGGATGCTTGTATTTATGAAATGAAAATAAATATATTTCATTAATTTTCCAATACAATTAAAATCTAAAATAATTATGATAATAAACATTTTTAGAAGGTTGAATAATATTATAAACTTTAACAGATTTATTTGATTTGTAAAAGAATTTAATTCTTTTTTTTTACTAATAAGGTTTAACTTATAATCTAATTTTTTCTTTCATTTTATTAAATTATAAATGAATATTAGTATGAATAATTTCATATTATTTTAAATAAAATATGGATTTTCATCATAAAAATAATGAGAGAAATAATAAGTATGGGAATGAAAAATCAAATTATGATCGAAATGAGAAGCATAATGATAGAAATAATGATCGTAATAATGACAGAAATAATGATCGTAACAATGAAAGAAATAATGAAAGAAATGATAGATATGATAATAAAAATGACAGAAAAAGAAAGGATCGTCATTAAAAGAGAAAAAATAGAAAATATTCATCATCTAGCTTATCTAGGCCATCATCTTCAGTTTCTGTTTCTGTTTCATAATCAGAATCATCATCAAGTTCTGAAAAAGTACCTAGATATAGACCCAAAAATCATGATAATATGGTATTATTATTGGAGAATTTACCAGAAGATTTAACAAAATAATAATTAGATAGTGCATTTAATGAAGCAGCTATGGAAGCAAATGTAATTCCTCATGAAGAAATATCTATCATAAATGCATTTGGGTAAGCATATATAAAATATTGTACTGTTGATTATGCAAGAAAAGTTTTAATATATTTAAAAGGTAAAATATAAATAGGTGAACATACTCTTAATGTAGATTTCTATGATGATACTAGTGGTAGATAGAGAAGAGTAATGAATATAATAATAATAATTAGAATAGACATGAATTAAAAAATAGTTTAATTAATTAGCCACCTACAAGTTATGATTGGATATGTGATAAATGTGGATATGAGAATTTTGCAAAAAGACATAAATGCAATAAATGTTTAAATCCAAGAAATATAAATTGTAAAATATTGAGTGTGATGATGGCTCCTCCCACTGGATTTACTGATGATTCAATATGCAATACTAGTTTGATGATAAAAGCAAAAGTATATCTTTTATTATTAAAATTAAGTCCATAGCTGATGCAACAGATAGTGATATATTAGATATATTTGCTCCTCTTGCTGCTGTTAAGGATATAAGATTGGTTAAAAACAAAGTACCTAAGGATCCAAGAATGAAAGAATAAAAGGATTTTGCTTTTGTAGAATTCTTTAGTGTTGAAGATGCAGAGAATGTTTATAGATATGTAACATAAAATGAAGTCAGACTTCATGGAGATTAACTAATAATCTAGTATTCCAGAAATAATAGAGCTTCAAGATATGAAGACCATTCTAAACCATTTGGGTATTCTATAATGTTAATATCTAGATTTTATCCAAATAACTAATTTGTTATGTAACCATAAGGACCATTACAACCATAGATTCCATCATAAATTTAATCATAACTTAATCCATAATAACAACCATAATAATCATAGGATATTATTCAATAATAATAATAAACTTAAATGTAAATACCCATGCCAATACAAATGTAAATGCCAATACCTCCTCCTATGCCAATTCATTAAATTCCATAAATTCCATCTATCCAACACAATCAACCACAACAAACTCAACCTATTCCCTAATTACCTATCTAAATGCCTGAAGTCTCTATTGTATAGCCAATAGTTTAAGCTCCTTACCAAGCAGCCTAATTAGCTTAAGAGAGAATTATATTGAAATAAGAACAAAAGCTTACTTTATCAACTCCTCCTATGAATTTGATGTCTCAACTTCCTCAAAAAATTTTTAATCCAAAACCTTAATAGTAGTAATAACCAATTTAATAATAATCTTAATAATAAAAAAAGTAATAAAAAGTTGAGGAGACAGAAGAAGAAGTCAAATCTGATAAAGAAGATGAACAGCCATCACCTCCTCTACCAACAAAAACTATAAATAAAGTTCAACCTCAATTAACAGAAGCCTAAATAAGGAAGAAGGCAGAATTAGAATTAAAGAAATGGGAAAAATAATAACAAACAAAAAAACCAGAGGTTAAAGTACCACCTTCGAAACCTATTATAAATCAAGTAGAGGCTTAAACAAGATTAATTTTATATATTTGTCCAATCTGTAGAAGAAAATTCCCAAGTGAAGAAGTTATGAATTATCATTCTCTAAACTCAGAGATGCATAAGTAAAAATTATTATCAATTTGAATTATATCAATATTCAATAGTTGATTTATTTTCATTGTTTTCTATTTATATCCTTTATTTGTTCAGCTAAATCTAATAACTCTTTTCGAATTTAGGCTTTTTATTTAAAATCTGATTCTTTTTAGGCTTATCTTATTAACTATTCATAACGATCATTCAATTATTTCAATTAATATTCAGTTTCATTATTTCTTGCTGACATAGGAGGTGATAACAATTTCTTTTTAGAATGTTGTTATTATAATAAACTTTAATCAACTTAAAAATGTTAATCAGATTTATAGGGAGTTGTCTATTTCATGTCTTCTAAACAATCTTTTATTGCTTGTTTTAGAGCATTAGATTTAACTAAACTTTATTCAAATCTAGGACTAGACATTTAAGGCTATAAATATTCAAAATTTAATTTAGCAACTTTCTAATTATAATTATTTATCTAATATTAATTTGGATTATATATTGGCATATCTAAATCTTGATCTTCAGAAGATGATACATTTCTCAATCTTTTACGACTAAATTTATTATTTTTCTCTTCATATTCTAATCTTAATTATAATTATTGATGTTTTAAACTTAAATCTTTTAATTCAATTGTCAATTTATGTATTTTAGATTAATATTCATTACTTTTGTTTAATAATTCTTAAATTCTTCTAGTTAATTAATCTTCTGTCGATTAACGTTAATTCTATATTTCATCCATCATTCTCAAAAATGCTCTTTCCTTTTCTTCCAATTAACCTCTATAAATTTAAATTTATTTTTCATATTCTTGTAATTTAAATATTGGACATTTCTCTTTATAATCTAAATAGTTTGATTCTAATTAGTTTTTCTCATTTTATAATTTTTCATATTTCTTTTCAAGTTTTTTTGTATATGATTATCCTTACTCTAATCTATGCTTTAAATCCAATATCTATTCAATCTATTTTTAGTTCTCATCTAATTTTTGTTGATCAACCTTCTGCATCAATCCTCTCTCATTTAATTTATACTATTCTAATTACTTTTATAATTGATCAATTTAACTCTACATCTCTTATCTCTCCTTCTTACCATCCTCTATTTTTTTAATAAGATCTCCAACACGATCTTGGTATTCCTTCAATTATATTAATCTGTCTGATTGCAAAGCTTCGATTTATAAAATATAATTATTAATATTTTCTTTATCATTTTATTGTCTTTATACTTAAATAGATAATGTTTCATTTTAATTTCTAAGTTCTTATATTTACTAAGACAAATTTTCTTCATCGTTAATTTTCATTTTATTACAAGGCTACAAATCATTTTTTTGTGTTTCCATTAATTTTATTTTTTCTTGAAGTGCCTTCATAGCCATAACATATGCATTTGAAGAACTCTTATAACCAGAATTAGTAGTATTCCTTTATTCTCGTTAAAACATTAATTATTTTTGTTAAAATGATTATAATTAATAAATTAATTCTAATCTCATCAACAAAAGATAAATTTGCCATCTCAACATATAAATATGCTACATTTCTTTAATTAACTACTTTTCTAAGAAGTACTCTTATTTTATATAAGTCACTTAATAATATATAGAAAACTCTATATCTAAAAATTATTAATGAATTTTTCAAATTAAAAAAATAAAATTTTATGAATACATTGAATAAACAAAGAGATAATATGAATTTTTTATTTATTATCAAATTATTGATTAGATTTTTACATACATAAAAATATGTTATTAAATTTGATGTGATTGTAATATATATACATTTTCAAATAAAAAATCCAAATCCTGATAAAATATATTTCAATACTTTATTTATGATAAAAAGTAATTTATCTGTTGAAAATGAAATAATGAATCTAAACTTACTTTTTTATGATATTATTTTCAAATATTTTCTAAAATTATTGAACTATTTTTATTCAACTATTAAAGTAAATCATAGTTCATAATTTATTTTGTTAATCAATTTGAATAATTAAATTTTTTTTTCACTTTTTCAATTAGAGAATAGCTCAAATAATTTTATTTGTCTACTTATTAAAAAAGCTGATTTTTGTATAATCTTTACAAATAACCAAAATTAAGTAATCTTAAAATTGAAATGTTAAATATATAATCAAAATAACATATTAAAACTAAGATTAATAAAGATAATACTTGAATATTTTTAATAAAAATAGAAATCAAACCCTAACTAGTATTTTTGGCTTATTATAACTTTAATAAATTTCAATTAATTTTATTGTGATATATATTATAACTTATATTAAATTTCATTGGATAAATAAATATGAATTAGAATATACAATATAATTGAATTTAAGTGAAGGCGGGATGAGAATATAATTAATTAATGGATTTCGAATTCCCCTAATTATTAAACCCTACCGATAACGAGCCTTTTATTCTAGTTTCAGAATCAAAAGACGTGTTAAATAGTAAGTTATTGACTGCTCGACATGTAAGTCAAAGTGTTCGTGAAACTGGAGGAAAGTCTGAACTAGTTGTTATTAAAGACTTTTTATAGTAATATAGCTTAAATATATTAATAAAATAGGGATTTGACAAAACAGTCTCCATTAGCCTATGTTCCAGATGCTGAATCATAAACTCTTGTTCAAAATTTTAATTCATAAAAATAAGAATATGAAAGATAAGTTTAAGTACAAGTTAACTCATTTAAATAATTGAATTAAAAGTTATAAGAAGGTTATGAGAATGCTTGTAATAACATTGTATCTCAATTGGTTGGTAATGCACAAGGTGAGAGTAACAATCTGTAAAGAGTATTTGATTCCTTATAAACTGTTTTGAAAAGTGACCCAGAATAAGAAGCTTCAATTCCTAAGCCAAATGAAATTGTAGATAAAGTAAAATAAAATTATAAAATTAATAGATTTCTGAATTAAGAGCAGCTCCTGAATTACCAGAATATTTGTTTGCAACAACAAAAAAAGTAAGAGCATGGAGAAATGCTCCAAATGAATTGTGTGTGTGGAATAAAACTAAAGAATAATTTTATAGAGAAAGTTTGGAATAGAGTTTAAATTAGAATGTTTAGGATAGAACTGAGTTAGCTTTAAAGTTTTGGAATTCTTAAATTAAGAAATTAGGTGATCAATTATTGAACATTATCTAAGAAGATACTTCAATTTAATAATAAAATTTTGTAAGTTTAAATATTGAGACTGCTGAAGCATTTGCATTATTATTAAATACAATGATAACTCCAGAAACAAGAATAATACTCCATATTGGAGATTTTACAATTGCTGAATCAAAATCTATTGGAGAATCCATTTAAAAACTAACAAGTATATTGAATTTATAAATTAATTGGAGAGTAAATGGAAAAGCATAAGGTTTATAACATATTGCTTAAGGTATTAATATTAATTGAATATATCTAGCTATTTCTTAAGCAGAACAATTAAAAGTATTGACATTTTAATTCTCATAATAAGTATAAGCAAATTCAGCCAAAGAATTCTTTAATGAATTTAAGGATGTGAATTTACCTAATTTAGAAGAAGTAAATATATTGGCAGAATAATCAAATGTTAATTCAGCAGTCTAATATATTTCAAAGGCTGTGAAATCTGTGGGAGGAAGTTAAGTTACAAGAGTATTATTCAATTTCAGGTAAAATATTTTACATAATATATATATAGTTAATCTCAAATAGACAATAAATCAGCTCAATAATTAGGAGATGCCTTATCCACTTATAAAGGAGTTAAGAAGCTTACACTTAACTTTTCAGGATACTCATTATAAAACAATTCTATTAAAGATGATGGTTTTAGTGGATTAATTCAACATGTATCAAATTTTGCTGAAAGTCTTGTTGAATTAACAATTAATGTTGGAAGAAACTAATTAACTGATAATTCATTGGTAGATTTAAATAAATAATTCTCTGCAACTAAATGGGTTTCATTAAAGAGTGTTAATATTAGTGTTCATTATAATAAAATTACAGAATAAGGAGTTCGTAAATTAGGGAAAGTATTGAAATAATTATTATAAATTTTTAGTTACTTCATAATTTACCTATTCTAGTTAACCTTTAATTGAATTTGAACTCTACAGAAGTTAATTACAAAGGTTTAAGCTTTTTAATTAATTAATTGGGTCCATAAGTAAATGCTTAAATTTAAGCCAAATAATCAAATATTAGTTAGGAAGAAGTAGTAGAATTAGTTGGAAAAGTTTCATCATTGAGCATTTGATATGGTTAATTAATTACATTAGCAAATATATATAATTTTATTATCATTAATTTGCCCTTTTTTTAAATGTTATTTATGGAGATTCATTTCTTCTATAAACTTCAACTTCAGGAGAACTATTCTCTTTTTATTCAAGGAAGGAACTCTATTCTTTTCTATTTGATAATTAATTTATTTTAATACTTTCTTGTTAATATTTCATCATATTTTTATAATTTTTCAGAGATAAATGTAAGTTCTGTGACATACTCTTTCATTCTTGTATTATAAAGATCTTTCATAGCTTCAAAACACTTTTATGTTTCCTCAATACTTTTTACATCTAACATGGGAATCCTTTCATTAAGATAAAGTTCAACTTTTTCTTAAACATCTTTTTAACTAATAGGTTATCCATTTGATTATGGTAATAAATTTTGTTATTGTTATTAATTTTTTTTATTACTTGAAGTGGATACACCTCCTCTTTAATATTATTCTAATTCTCTTATCAAAACTAATTTTTCTTATTCTAATCTTTTTACAACAGCTTCTAAATCTACTTTTTCATTTCTCCTTATCTAATTAATTAATTATTTATAATCACCTCATTTTCTAATTATCCCACTCTTTAACTAAATCTTAAAGTGGATAATGATTCTTCAATATTATCATTCTCAGAACTTATTGTTGCAATCATTACAGTTTTACAATTACCTCCTAAAGAATCTTTTAATAAAGTAGTCATAAGAGAATTTCTATATGGAATATGTTATCTATTAGCCCCTTTCATTCTTTCATTTAATGCTATAATAACTTATTCTAAGTAGGTTAAAGATAAATTGATGTATTTTGCCTCATTTAATAAATTACCTTCTACTTAAGATTTACTAATTCTTTCTGATCCTGCTAAATCAACTAAATGTAATTTGCTAACAAAACAAGTCTCACTACTTGTTTCATATCCTTCAAGAGTTACTGTAAAAATACAATGAGATCTTGAACTTGATTAATTCATGGGAGTAGAACTAACTTATCTAATAAAATTTCCCATCATCAATAAATCAATTCCTTCTTACTCATTATTACATTAATGAATTGATAAGTTTTTTAAATGAATATTGTTCTAATCATCTTCAAATAATGCTATCTTTAAAATTTATTAAATATATACTTTATTCCATTATTCTAAAGGTGTTTCTAAATGTTTTTTCTCTAATAAATCATAAGCATTTTCATTGTATATCTCCATAAATGAAATATAGATTTTATATTCAAATTTATTTCTTTTATCGATTTCATCAAATATATAAGAAAGTGCTCTAGGTACTATACCTCTCAATTACCATGTTTCAGCTCCACTCATTGTATAAGTTTTACCTGATCCTGTTTATCCATATGCAAAAATAGTGGCATTATAGCCATCCAAAAAACTAAATTTGAATAAATAATTGAATACCTATTTATTACAGGTGTTGTAACATTTGTAAAAACATGTTCTTAACTTGATTTTTGATCAAAAACATGAGTAAAATTAAAATCTAAATTATCTCTTGTATGGTTTATCATCCCAAATTTGACATGTTTAGGTAATAATACTTGTAATTTCTTATTTTGATAAATTTAGTATTGCATTGCATTTTAGGATTAGCTTCTTTAAATGATTACTCTTACTTATTTGAAGGCTTTAATCTAAGGTACACTTCGAATTGAGATTTCATAACTGTTAAATATATTAATAAAAAAAGTATCAATTGGAAATCCTAGTTTTTGAAATGACTCTTTTCATAATACTAACATCCTTTTCATCAATTTCATAAATAAATTTAATTATCTATCTACAAAGAAAACATTCCTTTTACTTTTAGGCTAATTGAACTGCACATTAATAACAAATTCCACCATGACCACAATTCATTAATATTGCATTTGAAGATTTTTCACAACATATAATACATTTATTATTAGAATTATGGGGACTGGCTTTATTTTTTTTAATAATATTATTATTCACATTTCTTTCAGTTAATATTTCATTTTAATTTGCATCTTTAAGTGTAACTACTTCTAAATCTTTCATTTATTTGAAATAAGCATTTGATAATTTCTACATAAAAATTGATGTTATTGTTAACTCTTTTTTAATTTATTAATCTGTATTTTTAATAGTAGGGTTAGGAGATGAATCTCTAGAATCAATTTCATTTATTGATATAACAAATTCAACTATTGAATTAAAAAGTACATATGAAATTGTACAAAATATGAGGATATTAAGAGATATTGTAATATACATAAAAATATCTCCTATTTAGATATTTATAGTATTTCCAAGTAAATTTAATGTATTTACTATCCAGATTCCAGCTATTAGACTGCTTAAACATGCAATATATAATAACCATAAAAGCATTTTAACTAAATTAGAATTATAATGTCATACTTTCATTTTTAAAGTTGTTTATTATTGTGCTATTGTTGATTTTAATTAATTTTGAAATTAAAATCAATAAAAATGTTATTGTGGATCCAATTAAACCACTTAAAAACATCCAATACCACCAAAAAGTTTATGACCATGTCCAATCTACATATTGATTCATTTTTAATGTTATACAAAATAGTGCTATCAATTATGAAAATCGATAGAAAATTTTACTCTATATTATAAATACAAAATACTAATCGTATAATTGTTGTATATTCATGTTGCTCATCACTTTTTTTATCACAAGCTATTTTGAAAATGAAAGACAATACTATAAATATATTGCTGAAAATATAGTAATTTAGCTCTAAATAATAAATAAGTGTGATATATATCTAATTATATAAGATAACTTACATAAAATAATATGTGAAGAAGATGATCGACATTGTCTGTAATCTATCCACTTGAATATTTAATCCAGATTGTTAATTCATTTAATATCATGCAACCAAGAGGTAGAGCCAAGGGAGCATCTTGAAATTGATATAAAGTAAACAAGAGAACAATTATATTGATAAAAGTGTATTTGTAAACAAAGTGTTTGAATGTAAATTCCACGACTTCCCTTTTAAATATTATAGTATCATTACTTTTACATTATTTTTTGTTTTAATTAAATATTAAAATTACTCAAATTATAGAATTTGTATATTAAATATCTGAATGTTCTAATTTTAGGTGATAAATCTAATTCATATTTATGTTTTAAGTGTATTTATTAATAATATAATCATAAAAGTGATAAATATTAATATAGAAATTTCTCTTTATTTTCAAAAAAGAGCTTCTAAAAATATATAATTTATTAATTTTGATAATTCAATAACTTCAAATTTTATCTGAACTCATTTTATTCAAACTGCCAATATCATGTTTACTTCTTTAACTAGTATGTAAACGCATAGTTGATTTTCTTCTTAATTTACTTGTTAATGTATCATCCATCTTTTCAGTCTTAATTTCTTCTTCTCTAAAGAGATGAATTTTCTAGCATAATTCTTCTGGAATAAATTTAAATAACACAGAAAATATCATTCCACCTATACCAAAACCAACACATAATAAATGTTAAAATAATGTTAAATGAGATACTTTTACATATTTTCCTCCATATTAAATTAGTAAAATCTATACAATTACTGTTATAGTTTAAACTATCCAAAATAAAGGATTATTACAAAAATTAGCAAAAGGATTCTTAGTGTGATAATCTAATTATCGACAAGAAATTGAATTAAATACTTACATTAACACAAATGCTTAAAAGAAGATACTCATTTGTACTACATTCTTTGGATACTTTTATAGATATAAATAAAATTATTACTTTTTATCCAATCAATTCTTCAGGTATAGAACAATCAATAAATTTTGGTAATAAAAATAATATAAATGTAAGAACAATTATTTGATACAAACTTGCACCTACAATTGTTCTATACATTTTTGGTGATACAATCTAATCTGTCCTTTTATATGGCTATCTATCTAAAACTTTAATAGATGGTGGTTCTGTAGCTAAAGCTAAAGAAGCAAAAGTATCCATAATCAAATTAACCCAAAGCATTTCAATTGCATTAAGTGGAGATTATTTTAAAATTACAGCACCTGTAAATGACATGAATAATGCAACAAGATTGACTGTCAATTAAAATTAAATGAATTTTCTTATACAATCATAAATATTTCTACCCCATTTCATAGCTATTATATATATTATAATAAATTATACCTGTAATAATTGAACTAAAATTATCATCTATTAAAATTATATCAGCAGCATCTTTTGCTACATCTGATCCAGTAATTCCCATTGCAAATCCAACATCAGCCTTTTTTAAAGCAGGAGCATCATTTGTTCCATCTCCTGTAACTGCAACAACATTACCTTCTTAAATCAAACCTGTAACCAATAAATATTTATCTTCTGGTGATGCTCTAGCCATTACCTTCATTTCTCTACTTATCTTTGAGAAGATCTACATATTTTTAACTACTTTTATTTCATTCCCATCTTCATTCTTAGCACTAATTAATCCTCCTACTAAATCTCTAAACTTTTTGCCTTCAATTACTTCAAATTCTTATTATGCCCTATTCTTCTCCAAAATCCCACATTCAAGAGCAATAGACTATGCTGTAATTATATTATCTCCTGTAACCATTCTAACAGTCACTCCAGATTTAGTACATTATCTTATCGAATCAGCAACATCAGGTCTAATTGGATCTTTGATACCTGCTATTGCAATTAAAGTTAAATCTTTATCAATTTCATCTTCATTTATTTAATGTACATTTGCTTTTGCATTTACAAATCCCTTTATAGCTTAACTTTAAGGTTCTAAATCTTTATAAGCAATTGCTATAGTTCTGAGAGAGCGAGATGCAAAATTTTCAATAACATTATGCAAAATTTCATCTTTTTTCACTTTATCAAGAACTAATTCTGTACCATTAGTTGAAATATATCTAAAACATTATGCTAAAATAATTTCAGAAGCTCCTTTACTAAATATTCTAATAGTTTAATTTTTAGGATTTAAAATAGCAGTAACCATCTTCTTTCTTTTACTACTAAAAGGAATTTATCTTAGAATTTTATCATTTTATCTAAAATTTGAATATTTATATCCAAAATTATCAGCTAATTCAATTAAAGCACATTCAGTTTTATTCCCAATTTATATCCATCTATTAGTATCTCTATCTTTAGTTGGATTTGCTATAGAATTATAACATATTGATTCAGACATAATCTCAATAGATTATTTTGAAATCTTTGATGTTATATTAATTTCTTAATTATTGTAAGTATGATTTTCAATCCATAATGCAGTAACTTACATAATATTTTATGTTAATGTTCCTGTTTTATCACTACATATATTATTTGCACCACCCATAATTTCACATGATGCTAAATTCTTTACTAAATTTTATTCATCTTTCATTTTCCCAACTGAATATGCTAATGCTATTGTTACTGCTAATGGCAAACCTTCTGGAACAGCCACAACTATTATTGTTACTCCAATCATAAAAGCTTCAATTATTAATTATAAAGATAACAATGTAAAGAATTCATGTTTATGATCTATAAATACATCATAAATTAAATGTCCCATTAAAGCAATAAATGTTAATATTGCTACTAAAGTACCCAATTTTCCTATATTTTCAGCAACTCCTTCTAATTTTTATTAAAGAGGTGTAGGGGGATTGTCTTAATTTAATAATTATTTTAATTATCCTTATACTGTATTTTATCCTACTTATAATACTAACATATATCCATTTCCATCTAAACATCTAGTACCACTGATTAAAAATGGACTAAAATGATGATGATCTTTGCTACTCTATTATTATTGACTCATTTCATTGAATGGTAATTTTTTTATTTCATCAGATTCTCCAGTCATAGGAGATTCATCTACTTTTATCTATGAACCCTATATCATTAAACCTATATTTATATTTAATCAAATACCATCAACTTGAAAAATGTCTCCAATACCAAATTGTAATATATCGCCTACAACAATTTCTTTTATAGATATTTCAACTATTCCCCCCCTAACTACTTATACCATTCCATCATCCAATTTACGTCTTAATTATTAAAATTATCTCTCTTTTAAATAATTATTACCAGCTGTTATTGATACAATTAAAAAAACAGCTAAAAATATTGTTGCTCTAGATATATAATTATAGATATACCCCTCTGTCCATCCTGTTTTTATACCTTCATTTATAATCCCAATTATAGTGCTTATTAGAGCAGCTACCAACAGAATTTATAACATTGTATCTCCAAAACATTCTAAAATTAATTCACATAATGATGCAGGCTCCTTTTCTATTGGATCATTATTTCCAAATTTCTCTCGATTCTCTTGAACTTAAGCTTCAGAATCTATTCCTTTCTATTTAAATTAATATTCAATTCTACTAATAGATGCGATTTTAATTTTTTTGCCAACCCTTAATCACCTCCCAATTTCAAAACTTTTTAAAAACTTGATCCATCATTTATTGAATTTAAAAGAAATAATTCTTTGAACTCTTCAATATTATGAAATTCTTCAAAATCTCTTGAATTTTCTTATTTTGAATATTGTTATTGCATTATAAAAATATTAACGATTTTCATAAAATACTATTACTATATTAGTCTCTTATTATTTAATAAAATGATAAGAAAATTAAATAATATTTATGAAAGATTGATTTAGAATAATAATTTGAAAGATGACTTTCTTCATTTAATTTAGAATTTAAATATATATAAAGAAAAATATGACAATAATTTAATGAAGAAATAAATTGAATCTGTTAATAAATTAATAAAATAATATTTTTATTTATTAATTTGTTAAAAATGTAGCGCTCTGTCTCTCCTGTATATTAAAATGATGAGGACTATTTAAAACCTAAAAAACCCTAAATAACTCAAAAAATTTCATAATTATCTTCATATCCTAAAGATTATATACAATATCCATCCTTAATCTAAACTGTAAGAAAAAAATAAATATTTGATTCAAGAAATGTTAACTATCAAAACATTTCGCCTATAAGAACTAATTAAATTCAATATATAGTATCCTAACCCAAAAGCCCAATAATTAGATAGAAAATTTAAATACCTATATAATCAAAATCTCAAACATCATTTCTGCATTAAATTCCTACTTCATTGACACCACCAAGATAGTATAATTTAAATTAATAAATTGTGACATCATAAACTATACTTCTTTAACCTTAACACTAAAATCCTTTACTTATTTATAAAATACCTTCAAATGAGTAAAAGAATTCATAAATTCACAATTATTCAATGCAAATTAATAATTAATAGCCATAACAATAATAATAATAAATGAAATTCGATTAATGTTAAAAAGATATGTATTCATGTCTATAAGATGAATTATAAAAATCAGAAATGAAATTGAAATTATTAACTGAAAGAAGCTAATAAATAGAAGAGTAACGCATATAACTTAGGAATACATTTAAAAATAATTCGAAATTTTAATAAAAGAATCATTGAAGATAAATCAATGTTTAAATAATGAAAAATTAAAGATAATATTGTATTTTTTCAAACTAAAATAATTAATTAAATTTACTTATATTGTAAAATTTAAAATAAATTATAATAGATATAAATTGATGACATAAATCTTAAAATTCATTGATGTATCTTCTTACAATTATCTAATCCTTTTTATAATATATTCATATACCCATTAAACAGTAATATCAGTAAATAATATCTATTCTATCTACTGTATTTTCCATAAAACCAAAATCCATGATATTTCGAGAATATTTAAAGACTTTATCTTTCTCAAATTTTTTAAATTTTAACTAATCTTGCATAAATTAAGATGAATTTATTTTTTAAATTATTTAATTGTTAAAAATTAATTCCGAAGATTGAATTACAAAATCAAAGACTAATTTTGAATATTAAATATATAATTATCTTTCATTTTTAACAATAAACCTTAATTAAACCCTAATTAGAGATGAGTGAATTCTTAATTAAAAGTCTAAGATCATAAATAAAAGTATCACATAAGTTGATATTCTTCTAGAAAATGTTTAAAAAAGGGAACGATAAATTTACATCTGAATGAAAGCTCTACATGATCCTTATTTAAAAATATTAGATGGATCGAGTTTACATTTTATGCTTCTATTATTTTAAGATCTTCACTTAAAGTTGAAATTCAATGGATGAAATAATTTTTAAAAGATTTTTTCATCTATAAGATTTGGATGACTCAAATCAGTATGGCCCTTAAGCTATAAATAAATAAAGTTGATTTGAGTTTAAATTGTATATTAAACAAAGGTTCATAAAAATATTAGGATAGAAGACAGTAATTCATGAATTTGTAAAAATCATATTTAATTTAGGCCCACTAATGTTGAAAAATAGTATTTATTGTTCAATTAAGAATATCATAAATTTTACATAATTATTTTTATAATAAATCTTGATTCCGTCGCAGGTTTTATGATTTTAAGAGTAAAATGATGAAAATTTTAATAAAACTTTTGTATCTTATTTATAAATAGAATTTTATCTATACTATAAATTTAATGGAATAAAAATAAATTGATTAGATCAGTAACGTTAATGATTACTTTTATTCACTGATGCATCTTCCTCTAGCCATTTAATTCTTTTTCCGTCTTCCCATAAACCCAAACGAACAGTTCCATCAGGAAGATGATACTTTCCCTATCCACTTTATTTTCCATAAGCCCATTATCCATCATATTCTAAAATATTACATATAAATACTTCTTCCATCTGCCCATATGTATATTCCTTAACCATGCTTCTTATCATATTGATATTCTCCCTCATATCTTCTTCCATCTCTCCATGTGTAAACACCTCTACCATGCATATTATTATTTAACCATTCCCCATCATATTTCTTATAATTAAATAATTACATACTCTACCATCTGTCCAACAATAGATTCCTCTTCCACAGATTTTATTATCAATCCAGTTGCCTTCATAAGATGATCCATCATTCCAAGTGTATCTACCAAATCCATGTTTTTTTCCTTCTTTATAACTACCTTCATATTTAGACCCATCAGCCCAAGTTTCAACTCCATTTCCATCTTATAAATCATCTTTCCATTATCCTTCATATTTAGCTCCATTCACATGTATATAAACACCAAAGCCATTAGCCTTATCTTCTTTCCATTCCCCTTCATAAATATCACCATCCACATGCCAAAATTTTCCTTAACCACATGCTTTATTATCTTTCCATTATCCCTCATACCTAGCTCCATCAGGCCCTAGTTTCAGATCAAATGATTACAAATTTAAAGTCCAAAACCTTCTCTGACTTAGCCTCTCCATTCACCATCATATATAGCTCCACTTCTAAAGGTAAATGGTGGTCTTCTTTCAGGATATGTATTTTAATCATTATTTTAATTAGTTGTTTCTTATTTGTCAGCTTATGAGAAGTATTATTGTAATTATGAATTTGATCTAAACTATTCTGGATGTGGAGAATGCACTTCTTCAGTCACTAAAGGTTGATGTTAAAGTTAACTAAAGTTCTGTTATTACAGTGATTGTTATTATTGTTAATTAGAAACATTTGTATAATCTAAATTCTTAGTGTTCTCATATTATTTTAAATCGTTAGGAAACGAAGTGGCATCAATAACAGTTTCTGAATTTTTGCATACATTACATGCACTTGAACAATCATTCCCCATTTGATTTAAGTTAAAATATATAATATTTAATATATAAGTCATATAAGTTATCTTAATATTAGACTTCTTAAACTTTTTGTATTTTTTAATATATATCTTACATTAAATTAAGATTCAAAATGATTAGATTATGATAACTATTTTAAATATTGAAATATATATATAATAATTTCTTTTCAATATTTTAGCATTTTTTTATGAGCAATAAAATTGAATGGTAATTAGATTTTAGTTTCACAAAGAGGCATTTCAAATAACTCTTCAACTCTTGGTTTGTAAAAATCTTAATTATTTTAAATGAGATCATTAATAACTTATTATTCTTCTTCTGGATCAGGTACCTCTTCTTTCATTTTCTTATCTAAATGTTATTCTGTATTAGTATTTTATAAAGATTATCTAATGTCTTCAAGAAGTTCTTTACAAAGACGATTCTTTGAAAGTTTACCGAATTGATATAGTTGATTATATTGTTATTTTGAAATGAGTATATCAGTAATATTATCTGTTGGTAAAAAATACTATTAACTAATCTCATGTGGAGGCCTTTTTAAATATAAAAACTATTTTTATACCAAAAGTTATTTTCAATGTTTTAAGATATTCCACCATATTTTTATTCCACTTATGATTTATGACAATGTTCAAATAATCCAATTGGAATAGAAGATTTTTCAAATGAGATTTTTCTTACAGTGATTTCCTCCAAAAATCCTTTTACTATATTCCAAGAAAAGGTGATTGTACCAGGACAATTAACTACATAACATTTATGCATTCTAGAACGATAGTTATTTTAAAGATAATCTAAAACTCTTTAGAGTTATTATCTTGGTAAACTTGTTATTCCCAAACCTCCTAAATCCATTATAACAACCCTATAAATTATTGGAATTTATATTTTACCAATTTTCTATTTGTCCAGGTAATGTGTAATTTGCTATAACATGTTCAAGAAATATTGTCATAGAATCTAAAGTGATATCTATATTTTTTTATGCTGCCAATTTAATAGCATTAACCACTATTATTGGTCTAAATCTATTATCCCTTCCATGAAGATAAATTGAACCGCTTGACTTAAATAATATGTCAGCATATGTTACTAAGAATTTGGTTGTTTCCTAATTTTCTTTAAGTGGAAATGCTTGATTCCTCCATTAAATATAGGCCTATATAGCTGCATATGTCTTTTCAAACTTAAATTTAGTAGCATAAAGCATCCTTAGCAATTAAGGCTCAGTCCACCTAAAATTAATTGAGTGAGAACTTAGGCATAAAGCGTTTAGATATTAGATATGCTTCGAATTATTTCAAGATTTCCATTTCTTATTAATCAAACTCAACTTAGCCTTCAAATATTTTCCTAACCTTTATTTTGTCCATTACATAACAAATATCATCTTCTAAATAATATTTCAAAATATTATGTACATTTTGGGAATAAAAGATAGCATTCTTAAAATAGGGTTTATCGATTAATCATTTAATTAATGAATCAGCAATAATAAGAGCTTAGAATTATTAAGTTAAAAATAGAGAAGGAAGTAGTATAAATAGATTAAAGGTTTGCAAATGTAAGCAGTTTTTTTTAAGAAATCTTTGAAAAAGAACCTGATTCTGATGAAGTAAATTATTCAAAATTTAAATAAGATTATTGAAATCCCACAAAGTTGTGTAACTTAAAAAGCATTTGATTACATAAAGAAATATTATGAATATAATAAATATGAACCATAAAAAATAATGGGAGGAGCTTTAAATGCAGATTAATTATTTTTAAATTAACATGATAAAGAATTAATGCTTCCAGTTAATCCATTTAATGGTGATCTACTCAAATAACTAATTCAAGCAGCTGTCTATTTTTAATTAGAAGCTTTTAAAAGTAATTAAATACCCTAATTTAAATAGAATTATGTTTGGCAAGATTATATTATGAATTTTTAATAGATCCAACAGATTCTAAATGGTTACAAAAATTGGCAGCTAAATATCCTGAAGTTCCACCTCTTTCAATAGCTCATTTAGAATAATATAAAACATTATATCCAAATCTTTTTAAGGAGTTTTAGTGATTAATTTTATATAATTTGTTTTATATATCTATAAAAGTAAATTAACATAAAATATTTTTATCATTTTAGAAAAGTTGATTTAAACTTATTCTTTGACAGAATTTATTTTTTATTTCAATTATTATTATTTAGTTTTATATTCTTAAATGATAAAATTATTTTCTTTTTCATTTCTTCTTTTTATAGTTATAGAAATTGTTTTTGATTGATTTAGGTACACTTTATTGTGTTTTCTATTACAATTCTTACCATATTACAGTTTTTTGGTTGATGATTTTTGGATCTTATATTATTCATGCTCTCTTTTAATTATTTATTTTGTTTTTTACTTTAATCTTAAATGTGGATTTTTTGTATTATTGTCTTAATTTTTCAGATTTTTTTCTTATTTTGGATATATCTATAATTAATTATCATCAATTTCTTACTATAACTTAAGTTTTTGATGATTTTAGTAATTACTTTGATGATTCCAATTGTTTTAATATCATTATATGATGGTGAATTTTGTCATTCAATATAATTTTAACTATAATTTTACTCTATAGTCATTTCTTAATCTAAACTCTCATTAAATTAACTTTTTTATTAAAATAATTCATAATTCAAAGATTTTTATTTAGATTCTTCTGCCTCAAAGTGTTTTTCCCAATACTACTTGATTTTTCTAAAGACAAATCGATTTGATCTATAATTAACATTCAAATTTAATAATAAATTTTATAAATATTTATATATAAATTTATTATTAATATTACTGATTTATAATTGATTTTACAAAAAAGGCATTTTCATTCAGGAATGCTAATATATTTCTGTATTATTTCTATCAATAATATTTAGTTCAAATTTATCTTAAATATAATCAAATATTTTATTATAATGTTTTAAATTAAATTAAATTAAAAAAATTATCTTTTAATTATGAATATGAAAATATTAAAAATTTCTCAAAATCCATATAAAAAGGTTCTGATATGATATATAAAAAATTACATCAACAGGTAATATAATTATTAGTAAAACTCTTTTGAGAAAATAAATAGTTTGTAAATTAATTTAATATAATTTTCATATATAAAAGAATTTTAAAAATCTTAACATTGCTTAATTCTGTCTATAAATATTTGAAGCACTCTATTTCTTAAAATTAATATTATTCTTTTATTATGAATTCTTTTGACAATTCAATCTTTGAACAATACCCAACAAGAATGAATTCTTTGTGGAATTAAGGCTAACCTACTTACTCATAGATTGATCACCAATTACGACAATCTTTTAATGATAATCCAATCTACATAAAGGATCAGTTTGATGAATTTGTAGGCAGACCTTAATACTAGTTAGTTAATTAATACTTAGTGTCAAATAATTGTTATGTTAATATGAGTAATCTGTACTTAAAGAGAGTAACTCATAACTAAGTAATAATTTTATTTCATCCATAGGTTTAAGGCTTGTAATTGTCTGGAAAAAACGAATTTTTATAATTGTTTGGTGAATAACGAGTAATTCAAAAGTGGAAATCCTATATGGCTAAATACACAATCCAAAGGCACTTTTAGAAACACTATAAGATACTCAAACTGATAGGATAAGGATCCCATGCTAAAGTGTATAAAATATAGAGAAAATAAGATTCAAGCATTTTTGCTGTCAAAATTTTTAAAAAAGAAAAAATATTATAAAAGGAGAAAGGAGTGGTAATATATGATTAATCTTTAGGAAAGCTTAATCTTAGAGATAGATATAATGAGAAAACTCAATCATGAGAATGTAATTCAACTTCATGAAGTTTTTGAAGACTTCGAAAAAGTATATTTAATTATAGATCACTTATAAGGAGGGGATCTTTTTAAAAAAGTATAAAGCTCTTTAGATGAATACTCTGAGCATATTGTTTAGAATCTAATGTTTAATATATTTAACTCCTTAAAATATCTACACTCTAAAAATATCATCCATAGAGACATTAAACCAGAAAATTTGATTTTTAGATCAAAATCTAATATGATAGATATTGTCATTGCAGATTTCGGCCTTTCTGATATTTACAATGATAATGATATTTACTTATTCTAAAGATGTGGTACAGTTGGTTATGTAGCCCCAGAAGTTTTAAAGGATCATGCTTATAATCATAAGGTAGATATATTTTCAGCAGGTGTGATATTATTTATTTTACTTACTGGATAAATGCCATTTACTAATTATGAAAATAGTGAAGAATTAGTAACTAGTAACTATTTATGTCGAATTGATTATGATAAACTTAACAATAAAAATATTAGTGAATAAGCCTAGCATTTAGTTAAATTACTTTTAGAAGAAGATATCTCTCTTAGACCTTCAGCAGAAGAAGTTCTTCTACATGAATGGTTTACTAATCCAAAAACTGAAACCTTTTGTAATCTACCAATTAATCTAATTCCATCTATGGTCATTTGTAAAAATTAAGATAACTTTATTAAAAGCAGCACTCCCTTATGGAACTAAAAGGGAAGTTATTGTGATTCTCCAATCTTATAAAATCAAAATTAAAATGAATCTTAATATTTCAAAAAGTTAATCTAATCTTAGTTTGATTATTTTGAGATGGATGATGATTGTATTGAAGAAGATAAAACATTATCGACTATGGTTCCTAAATATCATATGTTAATCAGATAGAGAAGTTTAGATTGATTAATATAACATTTAATATATAATTTTATTAAATGAAATAAATAGAACAACTTCTATATGAAGGGATTGTAAATGAAATGAATTAATCTCACAGAGTTTAATTTAAATACTTAATGATATTTAGATTATTTGCTTCATTTTTCATGACTTATGCTTTAATTTAAGTAAGTGTTGTGGCTCCTACATTTTCACAAAATTTTCTCTATTTAACTTTATGGGGAGGTTATACTACATATTTTTATTTTGGATTAGTTAGTATTGAGAATGTGTCATTTTATAAGTTTAATAAATAATTTTTTGATTAGAGTTTGTGGAAATTGTGTCATATTTTATTTATTGTTGCTTTTTGCTTTGAATTACCTATTATGGTAATTTATTGGAGTTATATATTTCCTTAAGAGAATGGTCTCACAATTAATTCATGGTTAATAAATATAGATGTACATAGTATTAGTTGTATACTAATTTTTGTGGACTTTATACTTAATGATATTTAATTTTAATTGAAGTATAAAATAATATTATAATATAGATAATCTATTGTATTGATAGTGATTGCAATTATTTATTTAATAGTAAATATGTTCTACGTTTTAGTGACAGGAATTTAAATCTATCCAGGAATCAATTGGCGAAATGGCATTTCATATATTATAAGTGTAATTACTCTAGGAATTATGTTTGGAGTATTTTAACTTGGATTATTATATCAAAATAAAATAAAAAAACCATTAATGATGAATAAAAAAGAAAAATAATTAATGCCAGAATGATATATTTTATAGTATTTTTATGTTTTCTAAATATTATTTATAAGATTAGATTAATTATATATATATATATATATATAAAATTATTGGTTTCTAATTCCTTAATGAATTTCTTTAAATTAAAAAATAAATTAGGAAATTCGATACTTAAACAACTTTGAGAATGATATTCAAGATCATAAGATTTTTAATAAAAGGAATTTTCAAATATGTATTACCTATCCTCTTTACTTCATTTATTATTTATGAATGGCCTAATCTGAATGCTAATTAGGCTAGAATATTAATGAGCATTAATGTGTTGTTAATTGTAAGAATTGAAAATTGTTTTGCATTTTATAGGTCTTATATTTGTTTAATGTAGATTCTATAAACAGAAAAGTAGATTTGAATATGAAATGACAATTTTCTTGGCAACTGTAAAGGTTGTTAATTCATTCCAAGCCTAATCTGCCACCGGATCAATCTACATTATAGTACAATACACAATTAATAGATTTGTGAATGGGTTTTCGATTTGTTTTTACTCTGCAATGCACTTTGTTATGCTCTTTCTTTTTGCATTATTATCATATTTGTTCTTATTGTGATTTTTGGACTTATCAGAGGAGATTTCCCTATAGTTAACCGAGGATTATCTCCAGAAGAACTATTAAAGTTAACTAGAAAACCATGGATTGAATATCAAGTACCATAACAAGAAGACTGTCCTATTTGTTTATGTTAATTAGAATAGATGGAAATTATAGTACAACTGCCTAAATGTAATCATTATTTTCATGATACTTGCATCGATGAATGGCTAAATGCAAAACCTTTATGTCCATCCTGTAGAAATAATGTAAGAATGGCATTACTAAATGATTGATTATTTTTTATAATTTATGAAGTCAACAGAATATCAATATACTACAACTTGGTTGAGACCAAGATCCAAAAATCTATATCAAATTATACTTGAACATCAATAAAAGGATGTTTTTAATTAACAAATCCTTACTGCCTCATGTCTATAAACTCCAGCCAAGTAATAATAGGAAGAATCTAAAATTGAGATCATCAATGAAATTAATTCATTTTAAGAAATATCTAATTTAGATATTGAAAAACTCATTAATCCAATACATTTATTTGAATCTTCAATATCAGAAATTCATATGAATGAATCTTTAAATGATCTAATTAATTATTAAAATAAAGAGATAACATAGGAACTTAATAAATATCTAATAAATCACAATATAGTAAATTATATTACCAAATATAGATATTTAAAATAAGGATTTGCCTTCATAATTAGATTACAACAAAATTAATCTATTTAATTAATTCTAAACTAAAATTCTGAATTAAAATTTGCAATTAGACATTAATATCATAATATATTATGTACATCTACTCATACTTAAAGAATACTCAAACCAAATACTTTAAATATTATTAAAAAATAAATAACAATTTAAAATGTTGGAGATTTATCTATTCCAATTTGTTTTTACATACATTCATGATTTCTATTATTATTTTTATAATTTGTTTATATATTTTGGTATACTATATTTCTTAAAATGTAACAACAATAATACTATTAAATTAATTTTTATCATTATTGAAGATCTCTTTTTTGAAATAATTTCCTTAGCTTAAAATATATATTTGATATATTAAGAAATTCAAACAAATATATATAAATCAAAATTAATAAATATTAATCTCTAATGGTTAATTATCAAAAAAAATATTTATAATACAAATACAAGATGATTCATATTTTAATCTAAGATTTGAAGAATTCTATATATTCATTTTATTGTCTAATAATGAACAAAAAAGATTTAATAAATTATTTTATATAATAAATTTTACTTTATAAAAATTACTAGACCAAAATTTTAGTTAGGCTTTGTTTAAAGAATCTACCTTTAGGATAAAATGTTAGGTTAATTTAATGATGTTTGTTTATATATTTTTATATTTTATATATATATATATATCATATACCTCTATCATTTGGGTCCTTCTTCATCTTCTAATTCAGAAGTCCAAAGAGTGAGGTTGTCTCTAATTAATTGCATAATTGTGGTGGCATCCTTATATTATGATTCTTCGATTTATTCGATATCAGCAATAGCATCATCGAAAGCCTTTAAGATATTTTGAAAATATAGATACTTGTTTAGCTAAGCTGCATGCCTTTGTTGGGTCATTCAAGACTTCATAGTAGAAAACTGAGAAGTTGAGAGCAAGACCTAATCTAATTGGATTTGTAGTTTTGAGCTCTGAATTAGCAACATTTGAAGCTTGTTAGTAAGCTTCTAATGCTCCATCAGCAGCATGTTTATGTTGGTCTCCGCTTGAATATTCTGAGATATATCTATGATAGTCTCCTTTCATCTTGAAATAGAAGACTTTAGCTTCTGAATTAGTAGCTGTTCTAATGAGTGAAGTGTCTATGAGGTTAAGCACATCATTGCAAAATCCATTCAATTCTTATTCAATTTTTTTCTTGTAAGCTCTAATTAAAGTTAGGTTTCTTTGACTTGCTGGATTTGTTTGAGCCTAAAATAATGATATAAAGATGATTTAATATAAGGGATAAGTTTTTGAATTAATAAAAAGTGAGATTTCTATACCTTTCCTTCTTCCTTGTTCTCAATACTAGAAAGGACTCTCCATGCTGTTCTTCTTCCTCCAATGCTGTTTTTATAAGCAACAGAGAGCAAGTTTCTCTCCTCTACTGACAATTCTTGTCCTACACTAACTAATTGTTTGATGTAGTTAACCATGTCCTCAAATCTCTCTGTTTACTCTGTGAGTCTGGCCATATAAAGCAATTCGTCTCTGCTGCTCATCTCAAAAAATAAATAAAAAATTCAAATTTAGTTAAGAGTTACCAAGATTATATACCACCCCCGTTCTTTTTTATTAAATAAAAAATTCAATTTTTATTAAATTCCCCCAATTATTTTATAAATAGTAATATAAATATTCTTAAATTTATTTTTACTTCATATATTCAAATATAGTAAAATTTGTATTCTCTAATGGTATTATATATAATGAATAAGTTTATATCAAATTTGAATACTAATCAGTTAAATCTATAATCTAAATTATCATTCAGAATTCACTTAAAAATCTTGAATTATTTAATGGGAACAGTTTATAGATGACATTATTGCGAGAGATTTTGATTTCAACTGAGAATCTTTTGTAAAATATGGATTAAAGTTTTAATTATTTTGTAATTAAATAAATTTATTATTAATTAATGAATAATTACATATTATTACGCATTTTTTGTTTTATTGAATAAACTATTTTTAGTGAATAATTAAATTGTTCTATAAAAAGTAAAATTTTTTATAGAATGCTCCTATTTAAGAGTTTGATTTTATAGAAATCTGTATTAAATAAAATTACTTAATCATGTCTCACTTAACAGCCCTACTTAAAAAGAACTATATATTGTGGAAGAGAAATTGTTGTTGCTCAGTTTGTGAAATCTTGCTTCCTTTATTTTTCATTGGATTATTGTTAACAATCAGGTAATTATTTATGTTGAAGACTAGAGTCTAAGTTGAAATTGATGATATTCCTGAATCATCTTACTTAAAAGTCAACAAAGATGCAGATCTCCCTCGTATTTTAGCACCAAACTTGAATAATTTTCCATAGAATCCTAATCAAGACACTGAATTATTGTTGAAATCACTGCCTTAATTAAAGTAAATACTTAATTATATCTTAGGAATTGCATAGATAATAGAGATTATTAAGGAGCTTCCTACAGAAATGGATTAATCGGTATTGGACCAGAAGAGAATGAAGTGGCTTAAAAACTATCAACTTACTTTGTTGATTATTATGGATACTAAGTGAAGTGGTTCAAAAATAATGATGAAATCGACAATTATGTGAGATCAGAAGGATATAATAAACTAGAAGAAACATAAGGACTCTGTTTGGCAATAATGTTTGAAACAGATGATTTTAATCTAAAGAATTTTAGTTATTCTTTAAGATTTAATACTTCAGATACAACAGATTACATAGAATATCCTTTGAATAGAAAGGATAAGATTAATTCATTTAAATAGTATATATTTGTTAATATATTCTTAGTGAAGATCAAGAAATCACATATTTATTTTATGACAATGGATTTTTAACTATTTAAAATTGGATTGATAATTTAATTATTCAAAAATATGATACATCTGTAACTATAGAACCCACTCTTAGTCATGTCAGATCAAGAGATCACATTTAAGATAAATTTCCTGATTTTGTAAATGGAGCATATGGAATCTATCTTGCATTACCTTTGATGATTGTATTTTTAAGAATGACACATGGGATTATATATGAGAAAGAGAAGAAGTTGAGAGAAGGAATGAAGATAATGGGATTAAGCAATACATAATTTTATTTGTCTTGGATAATTCAGTACCTGTTAATTTATGGAATCATATCAGCATTGGCAACAGCTATATTAAGTATGTTCATAAAAATATATTATTTTAGAAAGCATGATATTACCAGAGTCTAGTTGGGGATTTGTATTTCTAAATTACTACTTATTCTGTCTAGTTCTTATAGTGTAATCACTTTTTTTATCAGTGTTTTTCTCATAAGCATTGACAGGACTAATAGTTTCAATTGTTTGGTATTTACTAATGTTTTTAATGTTAAACTTGGTACCTGGTAATGCTATTCCAACTAGAAGTTAATATTGGGGAGTGTCATTTTCAAGTTAAGCTTCATTAGCATTTTCATTTGGTGTGATTACTCTTATGGAATCATAAGGAAATGGATTTGATGGATCCAATTTGACAACAACTATAAATAATTATAGTATATCAATAGCTTGGACTTGGCATATCATTAATATTATTGCTTATTTGATTTTAGCGATATATTTAGATTAAGTATTTCCAAATGAATGGGGTGTTAAGAAACATCCATTATTCTTTATTAGTTGGATTTGGGAGAAAAACAGAACAGATAGAGTAAGTCATAAATCCATGTCAATTGATAGAATGAATACTCATGATGATAAATTTGAAGAAGTAGAATAAGCTTTGAAAGAATAAGAATAAAAAAATGAGGCTCTCATTATTAAAGGATTATATAGAACATATCCAAATGGTAAATAGGCAGTAAGTAATCTAAATTTATCCATGTATTAAGGATAGATATTTGCATTATTAGGACATAATGGAGCTGGTAAGACATCAACAATTTCAATGCTTACAGGATTATTGGAAATTACAAAAGGAGATGTTGTTGGATATGGTTTTGATGTAAAAACTTAATTATCAGAATTAAGAAAAATTATGGGAGTGTGTCCACAACATGATATTCTATTTGATAATCTAACAGTAAAAGAACATTTGGAATTGTTTGCATAATTTAAAGGAATTAAATCAAGTGAAATATAAGATTAAATAACTAAAATAATAGCTGATGTTGATTTGACCGATAAAACAGATTATTTAAGTAAAAATCTATCAGGTGGTTAAAAAAGAAGATTATCAGTTGCTATTGCATTTATTGGAAATTCAAAATTAGTATATTTAGATGAGCCTACTTCAGGAATGGATACAAGTGCAAGAAGATATATATGGGAAATGTTAAAGAATTACAAAGATAATAGAATTATAGTTTTAACAACACACTTTATGGATGAAGCTGATTTCTTAGGGGATAGAATTGGAATAATGGGTGAAGGTAAATTATTATGTTCTGGAAGCAGTGTATTTTTAAAGAATAGATTTGGAGTTGGATATAATTTAACTTTAGTTAAAGATAGTACATAAATTGAATCTTAACCAATCATAGACAACGTTATGAAATATATTAGTTCTGCTACTATTCTATCTAATGTATCTGCTGAAGTTGTTATGCAATTACCAATTGATTCAGTTGATAAATTCCCAAATCTTTTTGAATATTTAGATAAGAATTTGAAAACTTTACATATTGCTACTTATGGAATAAGTATTACTACTTTAGAAGAAGTTTTCTTAAAAGTAGCCAAAATAGGAGCAGGACATGAATAAGTTGATGATGTATAAAATAAAGAAAAGAATGATGAAATTAATTAGAATGTAGATTTACATATTTAAAAAATTGAAGGATTTTGTTCTACTTTCTTTTTACATTTATTTGCATTAATGTAAAAGAGATTTAGAATTTTCAAAAGGGATATTAGAGGATTAATTTGTGAAATATTTGTACCAATTTTAGTAGTGATTTCTGGATTAGCTATAATGACTGTAAAATGGATGAAAGATGATGATTTAGCTATTATTACACCATAAGGTCTTTATGATGATATGAAATTATAATTGTTTTGGGGAGGAAATTAAGCAGGTTAAGATTTGATGCAATATTTTTCAAATGATGATTGGAATATTTCAAAATTATCTACAGATTTAGAATAAGCAGATAAAGAATATTTTGATTAATTTGAATTAAGAGAAAGTCCAGGATGGTATTTCTTTAATTAATTTATTGGATCCACCTATTCCTATTGGTTTTTACAGAATTCAGTATTTGTTCAAAGTTCTCCATTACTATTAAATCAAATGAATTAAGCAATTCTAAGGAAAGTTACTAATACAGCTTCAGCCAATCTTCAATTATCATTTTATCCATTCCCATAAACTTAAAATGAAAAGAGTATAGATTAATCAGTAGCAGGATATCTATCAGCTTTTATATTTTCAATAGGTTTTGCATTTATTCCAGCTTCAATTATATCATTTATTGTAAAAGAAAGAGAGATAAATATTAAACATTAATAATTAGTTTCTGGTGTATCAGTTCTAGCTTATTGGGCAAGTAATTGGATAATTGACATAGTAAAACATTTGATACCTGCAATTGTAAGTGCATTAATGGTGTTAGCATTTGATATAGATGCATTAATATTGGATGGTAATTATGGAGCAGTATTTCTATTCTTTATACTTTATGGATGGGCTATTATACCTTTTAGTTATGTATTGAGTTTCTTTTTCAAAGTGCCAGGAAATTCATTATTATCATCCTTCTTTATTCATCTTGTATTTGGATCAATCATTAGTATAGTCATTTATGTATTCTTCCTAATTGAATCTACTAGAGATGCTGCATCATATTTAGTATGGATCTTTAGACCAATTCCTTCATTCTCTTTTGCTTTGGGATTACTTAGAACAAGTTTAAAACAATTTTTTGAATTGATTTTTTAGAATTCAATTACTCCACCTAATACATTTGCAATGAGAGTAGCAGGTGAAGATTTATTAGTACTTGCAATAAGTGGAGTTGGATATATGATTATAGTATTTATTTTGGAATTCTTTGAAGATAATGGTTCATTATAAAAATTGGGATCTAATGAAGCATCCATTCCATATAAAGCAAAAATACTTGATGATGATGTTGAAAGAGAATAATAACTATGTTAAAATTATAAGCCTTAAGATCAAGCTATTTTAGTTAGGAATTTAAGAAAAGTATTTATGTTAGAAAAAAAATAACATAAAGTTGCAGTTGACAATATATCATTTTCAGTAGGCAATGGAGAAGTATTTAGTTTATTAGGAGTAAATGGAGCTGGTAAAACAACTACTTTTAAAATATTATCAGGAGAATTAAAACCAACTTCTGGAATAGCTTATGTTTCTGGACATAGTGTTATTGATTAAATTTAAGATGCCAGAAAAAATATTGGATATTGTCCATAATTTGATGCTTTATTAGATAATCTTACAGTTTAAGAACATTTAGAATTGTTTGCTAAAATTAAGGGAATTACAAATACACATCTTAATGAATTAGTTGAAAAAAAGATGGTTGAAATGGATCTTAAGAGATTTGAATCTGTAGAAGCAGGTTAATTATCAGGTGGTAATAAAAGAAAGTTATCAGTTGCTATTGCTATGATTGGTAATCCACCTATTGTATTTCTTGATGAACCATCTACTGGTATGGATCCAGAAGCAAGAAGATTCATGTGGAATGTTATATCAAGAATATCCACTTAAAGAAAATAAAGTTCAATTATATTGACTACTCATTCAATGGAAGAAGCAGAAGCATTATCAACTAAAATTGCCATTCAAGTAGATGGTAATTTAAGATGTTTTGGATCTGTCTAACATGTTAAAAATAAATATGGTTAAGGATATGAAGTTGAAATTAAATTATAGAAACCATAAGTAAATTTACTTGATTAAATTATTAATAAGATGGGATTAAGTAAAGGTATAAAGTTAAATTAATCAGCAACTCTTAATGCTTTATAAAAGATTAATTAAGATTAATTAATGAATTTTATTAAACCTAAAGAATCAGGATCACATTTATATAATGATTTAAATAGACATGGAATAAGTGTTGAAACATTAGCAGAGTATGTACTTGTTGAATCAAATGGAAAAGAATTATTAAATTTTATTTAGTAACAACTTGGATAATATGAAGTTATTGAACATTTCTAAACATTTTATAGGATTAGATTACTTTCAAACATAACAGCTGGAAAATTATTCTCAGCTTTTGAAAAGAATAAATAATAATTAACAATTTCTTAGTATTCTATTAAACAAGCTTCTATAGAATAGATATTTAATATATTTGCAAAATAAGATTTATAATAAAAAGATCAAAATTAAGAATAAGTTCACATTCAAGTTTAATCATGATTTTATATTGATTTTTATGTCGCATATTTTAATATATAATTTAAATTTAAGCTATTTTATAAATAATTATATATATATCTATTCAAATTGTTTCTCAATATCTCTATTACAATAGATAATTATTGTATTGATTATATTAATACTAATATGAACTATAATAATTTCCTAATTATTAATAATATTATGAAACATATTTAGAATAATCCATATAATTTTAAAAATATGCTTATGTTTAATATAAATTAAAGTTCTCTTAGTTTTAAAATTAGTTTTCATTAATTTATGTATTTTAAATAGGAATTAATTATTAATAATTATTATTTTCATTAATGGAGCTGTTTTTCTTAATTTCTTCCTTTTATTATTTTTAATGGTTAAAATTTGGTTATCTTATGATAAATATGTTTTATTATAGTCTAATTCTTTTAAGAATAGTTTCTTTTTCCATCTACATCTAATCCTAATTAATCATCAGTATATTCGTTTTATTTTTTCTTAACAATAGAACTTCACTTTTTGACTCTAAATATTAACTACTAAATAATATTTTAAATCATTACTTAGCATTAACTAATTCTTGAATCAATTATCGTATATTTTGAATTTCGTCATTATCTATTTTAATATTTTCTTCTTTTTGAATGAACTAATATTTAGTTATCAATTAGTTTAATTAACAACGAACTTCCTCTTTAAAAACCAATTAGATTTCTTGATTATTTTCCATATATATACTCATTAAGACACTTGGCTTTATGGATTTTAACATTAAAGAAGCTTAATCATTAAATATTTATAATTACGTTTTATAATGCCAACCTACTTACACAATCTTCTCAATACTCTCCTGATTGTTGCATAGAAATAGTTTTTACATATTAATTCTGAACGATTTTTCATCTTTTCTGTAATTTTAGTCCAACAATTACCATATAATTTTTATAGAGAAAACAATTTTATTTCCTCTTCTCTTGTCCATTAATTTTTATTTAAAGTAGGTTTTAGAATATTTTGATATCTTTCTCTACAAGCAGCTGCACTTCTTATCTTACCTTATGATTTATATTGTAAATGTAGCAATTCTGCTATCTTTTTCCACTATTCACCATAAATTTGATGTAATTCTTATAATTATTAATCTTCCTAGAAATTATTTATAAGAATTACATATTAGTTCCAATTCTATCGACTTTCCCTCATAATTATAAAAATACCCTATTTGTTTATTTTTATAAATTTAATTAATTCCTAATTATTTAACCATTTATTTACTACTAATTATATTCAGTAATCTTATTTATAAATTCAATTAGTCCTATAATTTAAGCTGAAAAAGAATACATTATTTAACATATAAAAATGATTATAATTAATAAAAATTTATATAATAATATCATAATTCTATTAACATATTTGTATATTTTCCAATTTACTGTTCCTTTTTAATTTAACATAAGCCAAGGCGACTCATCAATAATAAATCATAAAAGCTCTTTGCTTTATTTTCTTCTTATCTAAACTTAAAATACTAAAAAGATAATTAAAATAAATAATAACATTTATTGAACTAATAACATTTTCTTTAGAAAATTCATTTCTTAAATCTTAAATCAATCTCTTATATAAGTGATATTCATTGCTATTTATATCTATACTTTTTGAATTTCTATTAGAATCCATAGATTAAAATTCAGATATTTCCTATTAATAATCAAAACTATGGATATCTTAAAATTAATTATTAGAGTTCTCAATTGTTGTCATACCTTACATTTTTGAATAAGAAGAGAGTGGTTAATTTTTACTATATAAATAATCTTATGATTTACTTATTAATTATAGTTTAATTAAGGGGTATTTCATATTGATTAATCATATGAATTAAATCATCTTATTTAGACCAAAATTCAGGTTAAAGATTCATAAGATCCATTTTCATTTAAAGATCATCCATTTTATCTTGATATTTTATAAATTCTTCTAAATTTCTTTAATAATTCTCTTAAAGTACTCTATCTTTATCTTAATGATCTAATTATTTAGATAATGTTGTTTATTATTTTTTAGTATTTCTTTTACTCTTATCTGTTAATTTAGTTTGATTCATTGCTTATTAATTTTAATCAAAACTGATTCCAAATTCTTCTAAAGCTTTCATAATATTTCCATGTCTCACTTCAACCCTAGTATCCATTATTTCATCATTTTCATCTTCATTTTGAAATTAAAACTATTCCTCTTATATTTCATTATCTGCATCATTTATAATAATTTAAGGATGTAATGGAATTTCTTTTGAAGAGGCTTAGGATAATTCTTTTTAATTTCTTCTATTATTTAAGATTTCTTTTAAAGATTATTTTTCAATAGATTAAACATCTTTAAGAATAAAGTTGGCAGTTCCAAAACCATTTGAACTATCTGAGTCTTCCTTTCTTAAATATAGATTAATATCAAATGGAGTTTTTTATGAATCTAATTACAAACGTTCAGCACTTGCTATGTTTCTTGGATTGTCTCTTGAACTATTAGAATGTTCTTGTAATTCAGTGATAGCTTCTTTTTATTAGTTTTATCTTGATTTTGTTTACTTATTTTTTGAACGCGCATCTTTTTTTTCTACTTCAAAGAAGTTTTCTTTATTCATCATTGAATTCTGTAGACTAAGAATTTCTTATCTTAGAAGCTAATATTATTTTAAATAAACCATAGCCAATCCATGTAAATAATTAGTACATTCTCTAAATGAAGCTCCATCCTATATGAAGATAATACATTGATTTATAATTTTCTCTAGATTCATTTATTATAGCTATAATTTTGACAATTTACCACCCATATAAGAAATTTATATGATTTTATTGAACTATGAAGTATTAATTACATCTTCTTCTTCAATCATTTATTAAATTTGAAAAATGTGTTTGTTATTTTTTTAGATTAATTATTACTTTAGAAATGGAGATGTGTAAGAAATGTATAAGATATATAATATTATATATATAAGAACATTAAAAAAAGAGTCTTAAATATTTTACATTATAAATTTATAATGTCTTAATGTGAGATTGAGTGTTGTGACAAAGGAATAGTGATTGATGGAAAATGTCGTTGTGATATAGGTGCATTTGGTGATGAGTGCTTTGATAATTTATAAGATCTTTACATAGCTCCTTATTACACCTTCTAGGGTGTTTACTGTGCTGCTTTTGTTTTTATACTCTTTATAACAATTCGTCAATTCTAAGCCTCTTTAAAGACATCCAAAATTCCATCTTATTACACGTAATTGGTCTGAACAAATTGTAGTTGTTTATAGTATGGCTATGCTTTAATAGGGTCACCTTAGAATTACATACTTGTTCTAACAATAATATTATCAACTTGTAAACTGATTTGGCTAATTCTGGATCCATTTGAAATTTATGTAAATAAAAGATGGTAAACCTATATTAGAAAGGGAAGACGATAGTAATTGAGAGATTACTTTCAGAAGTGGTTTACACATTATTATTTTATATATATGGATGTCTATTGATAGTGTGGTATACAATGTATGATGAAATCTCATTCAATGTATATTAAAATAAAGAGGAGAGGAAATTCATCTTCAAATATTACAAGGAAATATTGAAGTTAAGACTTTTCATAGTTTTCTTGGTGTAGATTACAGTCAGTACCATGAATGGTATCAATTTTAATGTACTAAACTAGGGCTAAGAAAAGGAGTTTAGTATCCTGCCTTTTTGATGTTCTGTTATATATTTCTATTGGTCAATTTCTTTTTCTTTATCTTTGAATTTTTGATTTATGGAAAATCTCTTTAAAAGTGTATTAAAGAATAAATTTAGAATTGTAAAAGATAATTCCTAGAATAGCAGAAGAATAATAATGATTAAATTGATTAAATCCCTTAAAATGATAGTATGAGTAAATCTCCAGAATCAATGTAAAGGTATCTCAGAATGTCTAGATAAGTGAGTATTGAAGATCAGAAAAATGAATTTAAAGATGAAATCAAATAGATTGAAGAGGTCAAACCAAAAATAGCAGTTACAAAAATTAAATCTGTTTCATTTGCTAGAACATTTATTAAAGGAATGCGTGGTTCAGCCTTTTTTAGATAAGAAAGTTAAAAATAATTAAAATCAATTAAGAAATAGGATAATAATAAAGCTGATTCCAATTTAAATTAAAATGAAAATTAATTTTAATAAGAGTAACAAATTGAAGAGATGAATAGTTGTTGTTTATAAGAAGATTAATAAAATGAAATCAAATGGGAAAATGATGATGATAGATAAACCTATTAAGAAACAATCAAATTATAAATAAAAGCTGTGAAAGAAACGAAATAAATGGCTGAAAAACGAAAATAATAAGAAACATTAACTCCAAAATAAAAATATAAAAATGATAATAAACAATTAAATTATATGAATAATAGTTTAGAAGATTAAAAAACCTAATAACTTCGCTATTAATCTGATGAATATTAAGAAAAATTTAATAATAAATCAGCTAATTTAGTAGTAGATAGATAAATATTATTTAAAATATAATTATTAGTTTATTTTGGAATTATTTTAGAAATCTTATTCGGAGGTTTAAGTATAACAGTATTATTAACAGATTTAATAAGAAATCCAGTTGGATAACTAATATATTTATATGGATCATCAACACTGCAATTTTTTTCTTTGATTACAGTTCTGAAATTGTTTCGAGACATAAAAAATTAAGAAATAAAGAATCTAATATGGATATAAAAAGTAGGTAGTAAAAAAAATAAAATTAATCAAAATTTTATGTTCTCCATTCCAATAGAATAAAAAGATGATGAATAAAAATAAAAATTAGAATAGAGAATAAATATGATTACTCTATATTGATATCCAAAATAAATCATTTTTATTATAAATATATATATATATATTCTCTTAGAATATTTTTAGAATTAGAAAACTTTAATTTTATATAAACTCAATATATATATATATAACTAATAAAATTAAACTACTCTAAACTTTTTATTATTTAACATATAATTTTACTATAATATATAATTGCTGAAAGTTGTTTTGTTATAAACAAGACAATTTTTATTTACAAATGATGTATAGATATTAATGGATGTTTGAAATTTTAGATATTTTTATTTTTAGAATATGTATAAATAGCTTAAAGTTTTAGATTTATCTAGGATATTAGTTGGACCATATGCTACAATGCTTCTTTCTGATTTAGGTGCTTAAGTTATAAAGGTTGAATCATTTGAAGGAGATGAAACTAGAAAATGGGGACCACCATTCTTTAATAATTAAAGCACTTATTTCTTATCAATTAATAGAAGCAAATTATCAATTTGTGTAGATCTCAAAAAGGGAAATTAATTCATCAAATAATTAGTTGAATAATCTGATGTTTTAGTTGAAAACTTTACTTCTGGTGTAATGGATCGATTGGGTCTAGGTTATGATGAATTATCAAAAATAAATCCAAGATTAATATATGCTTCTGTTAATGGTTTTGGATCAAATAATAATTAACCAGGATTTGATTATATTATGTAAGCAGAAACTGGTTTTATGCATATTACAGGAGAGAAAGATAGAGAACCAATGAAAGTTGGTGTTGCTATAATTGATGTATTGACAGCTTTAAATCTTTGTAATGGAATATAAGGAGCATTATATCAAAGAATTCACACAAATAGAGGATGTCATATTTAGACATCTTTATATGAGAGTGCAATAGCTAGTCTTGTAAATGTGAGTGGAATGTATTTAAATGGATAGAAGGATATGCATAGAATGGGTAATCAACATCCATCAATTTCTCCTTATGGTACTTTTAAAATAAAAAACAAATATATTGTAATAGGAGTAGCTTAAGATAATTAATTCTAATCTTTATGTAAGATTTTGAATCTTAATCATTTAATAAATGATGAAAAATATAAAGAGAATAAAGGTAGAGTTTAGAATAGTGAGAAATTAAAGAGAATTATAGAAGAAGCATTAGAGAATTGGGATGTTGAAAATTTAATAAATGAAATGAAAAAGAATAAGATTCCAGTAGGAGAAGTAAAATCAGTAGGATAATGTTTAGATAGTTAACATTCAAAATCATTGAATATGGTGATAGAACTTGAGAATGGAGAGAAAATAATTAGAAATCCATTAAGTTTTAGTAATATAAATTTGGATTATCCAAAATAGGCGCCTTATTTGAATGAACATAGGGATGAGATTTGTAAATAGTTTGGTATCAACAATGTTGATAAATTAATATAGGATGGAATATTGAAATGAATATTGGCGGCATTTTATATTTTTTTATGGGTTTAACAAAAGAATATCATTTTTTTGTTTTTTTTGTTGGTTTAACAGGCTCTTCAGATTCTTCATCATCTTCTATACTTTCATCATATGAATCATCTTCATCTTCATCAAATTCATCATCATCATCTTCATCCTAATTCTTAAATATAATTTTGATACATCGAGAACTTCCTCACCTTTCTCATTTTTATTGTCTAATACTTTAAGGGATGGAATAAGTTAAAACACCTTTTTATGATATCCTGCTTCTTTAGTCAAAGGGTTATCTTTCAACTCTAATGATTCTAATTTGGTTAGTGTGGCTAATGGCTTCAAATCCTATCATGTTATTCTTCATGATTACATCAACAGACTTAATATTATTTTGTGATAAATTCAAGTTTAGCAACTCTTTGAAATTATCTGATATAAATTTAATTGCTGTTCCTGTTAAAGAATTGTTTTCTAACTCTAAATTTTATAATTTCTTTAATTTAGGGAATCCTTCAAGAGTAGTTAATCCACAATTTTCAAATGTCAAACCTAGAAGCTATTCATGTTGAGTAAAGAGAGTAGCCATTTCCTCAGTGAATTTTGTGATTTTCACACCTTCAATATTTAAATCCTCAACTATATCTTATTCTTCCACTTATTCTTGGATTTGCTATTTGAGCTACTCCATTAATTAATTATTTATTTTTATTTAAAGTATATATATTCAATTATTTGATTTTAATAATCCTATACTTATATAGTGATATCTTAATTCATATAAAACAAGATTGGAAATTAAAGATTTCTATGCATTTATAAATTATTTTAATTTATGTTTATAATTCATACAAAACTAATTGCCTAATTTGCAAAGAAACAAACAATCAAATCTATGTTTGCTCCTATTCAAAAGTCTTAGTAAATAAAAGAAAGTGAAGAATTCAAAGAAGTTAAGAAACTATTTTATAAAATTAATGATGAAGATAACATTAAATAAAGCATCCTTGAAAATTATTAACCTCAACATATACTTAAATAAATTGATACAAATTTGACCAATTATTTCTAAAAACGTAGTGTAGATATCAAATCTATTAATTTCTTATTATAAGCTATTGTTGCATAAAATAAATTTGATTAAATTGATGAAATACAATAATTCATGGCTAATCTTAAAATTAAACCAAATCTATAAACACACATGTGCTTTATTAATGCATATGGTAAGTTCAGAAATGTGGAGAAAGCTGAAGCTTGTTATCAAATAGCACAAAAATGTATTACTTAATATTATTGAGAATTTGGATCCTCCTTGCATCTCTATAATACATTGATAAATGTCTATTGCAAGAACCTTTAATCTGAAAATGCTTTGAGAATATTTAATGATCTAAAAAGAGATGGATTCGAGCCAGACCTACCAATCTATACAACACTCATTAATTCATTCTATAGAGTTAAACAATGGAAGAAATGTTGGGATCTATTTGATGAAGCCAGATTGGAATCCCATCTAAAACCTGATGAAAATCTAATTGGATTAATGATAGAAATATGTGCAGATGTAAATTCTATTCATTATATATTATTATAGACACATGAAGCTGAAAAAGCCATTTAATTATATGACTAAATGAATGAAATGGAATTTAGAGACACTACCTATATTTATAATTCTATTATTAAAGCCTTAGGTTCAAGAAAAGATGTAAATTTATTCTTTTATTATTAGTATGCTGAAAAAGCCTTAGAATACTATAGAAAAATGGTTATGACTTCTATTTAAATGGATTCAGATACTATTGTTTGTACTTTAAAAGCATGTTCTTAATGTGGTGATGTCAAAATTGCTCATGAAGTCATTAAATAAATGAAATAGCATTAAATTACACCTAATAAATATATCTATACTTAAATTATTAGAGTGTATATAGGAGCTTGTTCATTGCCAAATTTAGATAATAAAATTGTTGATGAATACATTAAAGATGCATGGAAGATATTTAATGAAGCAGCTTCAAAATAAATGATATCTTCAAGAACACTAAATTCAATGTGTGAATTAATGGTAGCAGCAAATAGATTACCTGATCTTGAAGGTTAGGTATTACCATTATATGATTAATATTAAATACCAAAAGATCAATTTACTTATGAATAGATTATAAGTAATATTCAATTATATTTCCTAGAAATTTTATTTATTGAAAAAAGATTATTAGATCTATTCAGAATATTTGATATTGTCAGTACAAAAATGTAACCTACATTCTAAAGTGTTTCAAATTATCTTGATACAGCAATATTATTAGCAGATGAAGAAAAAGTAATTGATGCACTTGAATGGTTCAAAAAAATAGGTAATTTAGATTATTATATAATAGATAGATAACCAAAATATAAATAATTAAAGTAATTAGGTACAATGAAAAATCTACCATTAAGAATCCATGCTCTTATGAATGAATATGATGCAAAATTTGGAAAAGTTAGTGATAAAATTTATAGAAATGAAAATAATTAAAGACCAGCAATAAAAAAAATATGATGATTATTATTATTATTATGGGTTTATATATTACATTCAATGTATATTATTAATGCCTAAATCATGAATATTCTTAATTAAGACTAATTCTTTAAAAAATAACATTGCAGTATAACTTTATTTAATTTATTTAATAAATAAACTAAAATTTGTAAAATGCTGGATTCTCATCTTACAGATACTTTGCATTTGCTTAAAAAGTAACCATAACATAGATGCAAAGCAGAAATAGATCTATTAGTCTAAATGACCTAAGAACTACCATTTTTTAAGTAGTATTAGAAGCAAGATAATGGATTACTTATTCATCGAGAGTGCTGTAAATATATGTTTATTGAAAAATTCTAATCAAGTGAAGTTGTCTTTCATTTAGGTATTAATATCTATATCAATTAGATACAATTGGAACAAAATTTTATGTGATTTTAGATGGACAGGTAGAAGTTTTAATAAGAAGGAGAGGATTTGATGAATTAGAATCTGTTAGAATCCTTAAAAAAGGAGAATCCTTTGGTGAATTAGCACTTATTCATAAACAACCTAGATTGGCGACTATAAGATGTGTCACTGATTGCATATTTGCTATTTTGGATAAATAATAATTTTAAAAGATATTACATTATGAATAAACTAAAAAGATAGAACAAGTAGTTATCTTAAATATTTTAGAATATTGATTTTTTTTCTCAAATTTCAATTTTTAATTAACTGAATCGAACATAATTAACATCGATATATTTGAATTCATTTTTGTATGAATATGAAAAAAACCAAGTAGTAGTCTAAGAAGGTGAAAAGTCTGATAGTTTTCTTATTGTCAAATAAGGTTTATTTTAAGTTAGAAAATAGAAAAATAAATCTTAACCATTAATTGTAATAATTTTTATTTTATTTTAGTTATTTGAAATAGGAGAGATGTAAGTTTTTGGATTTTATCATCTATATAATAAAATCCCTTATGAATATTCTATTATTTGTTTATCTTCAAAAGGTTTGATATATAAAATACACAGAAATTCATTAATTGAAAAAATATTTGAATCATATTCTTAAGATCTAGACAAATATAAAAATGAAATTAATTTTTATGCTAATTATAAAGTAAGTTAGGAGTAATCAACACATCTAAAATATCCAAGATTTTTCTAAAATAAAACAGAAGTTGATGAAGAATGGGAAATTTAATAAGATTAGGTTTCATCTAAATTTAATAAAAATTAAAAATTTAATAATTTCAATAATAAGACAAGAAATCAAATGATATAATAGAAAATGGACAATCTTGTAGAATAATAAAGAAGAAAATAAAATAATTAATAAATTACACCATAAACTAATGGACTCTTTTAAATTTTTCTTAAATCTCATAGAGGATTAAAAGATTCAACCTTAAATTTAAGATAAAAAAGTCCTTCTGTACTTGAGTGTTAAAATAGATAATTTGGAAGCAATAGTCATTTTGTAAACTCAGATGAAATGTCTATAAACCCATTTATCACTTATAGATGTGGTAGTCCTCCTCTAAAAAATGATTGTATAAGACATAATATTTTAAAAACATCAAGTAGTTAAAGAACAATATTCAAATAGCCAAAGCAAAGTAGTAATAAATTTAGGATTTAGTAACATAATATCCTAAAAAACTCTTTTATTTGTTATAATTAAATATAGTTAAGTCCAAAAATTACAAAGCTAAATGTATATTCTAATTGATTTTCAATATTTGTATATTTTGAATATAGTCATAAAATATTATTAATATTAATAAAACATCATTAAAATAGAAACTTAACTTTTTTTTATTCGAAATCTATAAATTCAATTTAATGATAACAAATACTAGTCGATTTTTTTGATTTTTATGTTAATTTGTTTTATTATACAATTTGGTTGTACTAGAGTATAATTAATAAAACAATGCAATATCAACGTAATAGATGTAACTATTTAATTTTGTTAATTAAATTAAGGAATTAGATTAAATTTAAAAAATACCATTAATGAAAAACAAAGATAATTTGTCTTAATTTGCTAAAAAATCTGTATTTGCAAGAATAGATTAGAAAATTGATAACTCTATTATAGAAGATCAAGTTAAATTTGTTTTTAATTTAGCAGCATCAAGATAATGATTCTAAAACTGTAATTTAAACAATGTAAAAGGACATGACAAACTTTCAGGATGAGAAATAGAAGGAAGATCTTTCTGATGATGATTCTCCCTCTAATAATATTGATTTTAATCAAATATATAGAAACGAAATGATGACTTTGGAATAAAATGTACCAATTTCATAACCGTCTGAATAAATTGATGAAAATTATCAAGAAAATTAATGTATAATGAGTAAAGACACTACTTATTAAAAATAAGAAAACTAAGCTATTTTAAAATAATTACCTTAAAATACTTAATTAACAAGTGTAGAATAAACTTAAAGAACAGAATAAGGTTTATTAGAAATTTTTAAAAATAAAAGTAATAAAATCGTTCCTGAACCATAAAATATATAATCATCTCTTAAACCATAAGAATTTTATCCAAATACAATTTATGAGAATTATTCATTTCTTTCCTAAATATTTCTGATACATATATTTAATTTTATGAAGGCTGCTTAAAAATTAATTAAATAATAAGGAATTAAACTAAGTCTTATTCATCTTCCAAAATAAGATGATGATGATACAATTTAACCTAATTTTTAAAAAGCTAAGAAATTATTTAATTTAAAAGTAATATTATAATTAATTTAATATAGATATCAGAATAATTAACATCATTTTCATTATTTAGAACATTTTTTTTTCATGACAATAAATGGTTAACATTTAAAATTGTTTTATTAGCAATGAGTGAAACATATTCTAGATTTATAATGTCTATATTAACATAAACTCTTATTGCAGCAGTTAAAAATGGAGATAAATAGGATGCATTTATTTAGGCTATGATATTAGCTCTATTATCATTGATAGCTTTAATAAGTAAACATTATTAATTGTATATCATTAATAATTTTTCAACTAAAATGAGAATGATTTTAACTAATTTTGTTTTTGACAGAATTTTAGAGTTAAAAGCATATTAAATAAATGACCTTAATATGGGTAAAATAATGAATTTGGTTAGTGGTGATATTAATGCTATTGAATTTTAATTGAATTTTGTTTATTCTTTAGCTATCATACCAGGTTCAATAATATTTGCATCAGTTATTTTGTGGGTATTCTTAATATATTAATTTAGTTAAGATTTGATGGTCCAATTGGTTTGATTGCTATTTTAATATGTATAGTAATCTATCCATTGTAAGTTTTTATTCAAAAACAAGTTTAAAGAGTTTTAACAAGGGCTAAATAAAAATAAGACAATAGAATTACATCTTAAAATTAATTAATTGAAGGTATAAGATTAATTAAAATGTATGTATGGGAAAAAGCATTTTCTGATAAGATACAATAATTGAGAAAAGAGGAAGTAATGTGTTATTTCAAGATTCATTTTTTAAATCTTATTGATAGATCATTTAATTATAGTGTACACATTTGGGGATCTTTTCTATTTCTATTAATAATCTACTTTAATGATATATATATTGATGTATCATCAATTATAGGAACCATTTAATTAATGTCTATGATAAAATATTATTGTGTATTTTAGGTATCGTATGCATTTTAAGCATTTATGACTTTAAATGTTATATTTTAAAGAGTTGTTTAAATAATGACTTCACCTTCATCTATGAGTGAAAAGAAAAGACACATATTGACAAGCATTGAAAATGGTAGTGTAATCAGAAAATCAAATACAATTCATGTAAATGGAAAAGAATCTGAAAGGAATTAAGTAAAGATGTAGAGTTCTGTTATAAAAAGAACACCATATGTAACTATGAGTGAAGTAGGGTTAAGATGGAAGGCAAGATCATTTCCAGTATTATCAGATTTAAATATGGAAGTATTTCCAGGTTAATTAATTGGATTAATAGGTAGAGTTGGATCTGGGAAGACTACTCTTTTATCAGGAATATTAGAAGAATTACCTTAAATTGATGGAGAATTTTCAGTTAAAAAGAATATTAGTATAGCTTTTGTAGAATAAGATCCATTTATTTATACTGGAACAGTGAGAGATAATATTTTATTTGGAAAAGTATTTGAACATGAATTGTATAGAAAAGTAATGCAAGTTTCATGTTTAGATTAAGATGTATTATCATTTTAAGATGGTGATAAAACTTAAATTGGTGAAAAAGGTGCTAATTTATCAGGAGGTTAAAGAGCAAGATTAAGTTTAGCAAGAGCATTATATTCATTAGCTGATTTATATCTATTTGATGATCCATTATCAGCAGTAGATTCTAAAGTAGCTAGAAAGATCTTTACATATGCTATAAAAGAATTTATTTTTAAATTTTAACCATAATATTAATAGGAAAAACATAGTAAATATCATTAAGTATTTTAAATGTCAATTCCTGCTGTAATTTTATCTACACATTAAATTTAATTTGCTTTAGAATGTGATTATGTAATTATATTAGACAAAGGTACTATTATTACTCAAGGTACTTATAAATAAGTTAAAGAAAGTTTAGCTTTATTTAATTCTTCTATTGTAGAACCTATTAAAAAATAATTAGTCAGAAAATAAACTAGATTAGCTACTCTACTTAATAAATAATAAGAAAAAGTAGAAAAAAAAGAAATTGTACAATTATTTTCAAAAGAAGAATTAAATTAGACAGATGCAAGTTGGTAAACATATAAAAGATATTTTTTATTTTGGAAACCTGTTTTTATGATTATTATTATTATTGGATAAAATGTTGCAACTGAAATTATCAATAATTACTATTATAGAGCTATGGCTTTATATGATGAAACTAATAGATCAGCTAATACTTAATTATTTTATAATGCTGGATTATTAGTTTTAGCTGCATATTGTAATAATATTATTAAGTATTTCTTAAATATTGTTGGTGTACTTACATCTAATAACTAAATTCATAATTAAATGTTGAATAGACTTATTAGAGCACCAATTAGTTATTTTGATACAAATCCATCTGGTAGATTAATCAATAGATTTTCAACTGATTTATCTTTGGCTGACAATTAAATTCAATAGATTATTACTGATATCTTTGAATAAGGATCTTAATTTTTAGTATCCTTAGTAACTATAGCTATTTTATAACCATTCTTTACATTTCCTTTAGTATTTACTATTACAATGACTATTATAATATTTACAATTACTAGATAAGTTGTTTCATAATTAAAAGTTTGTGATCTTATTTAAAGATCTCCTTTATTTGATTAATTTAAAGTTTGTTTATATGGAATTACTTAAATAAGAATCAATAATAATAAAGAATGGATAAGAGATTAATTTTCTATTTTATGTAATTAATCAATGCAAGCAAATTTAATTTTTTCTTATTCATAAAGATGTTTTGGTTTTTATATTGATATTTTTGGTTAATTCACCAATATTATTGGAATTTTCTTAATTATTGCCATGATTGAAGATCCAACTTTATTTTCATAAGCTCTTTTATTACTATCTACTTTTAATACATAAGCAGGAACTTTAAGATAATTTATGGCTTTTGATTCAATTATGAATAGTGTTAATAGAATGTTTGAAATTTGTGATATTGTTGTTGAAGCTTAAGTTACTTAACAAATAGATGAAGATTTAATAGTAATTGGATGGCCTGAATTTGGAAAAATATAATTTTAAAATGTAGAAATGTAATATAGATCTAATATGCCTTTGATTTTAAAAGGAATGAGTTTTATTATAGAAGGAGGAGAAAAAGTTGGAGTTGTTGGTAGAACTGGAGCTGGTAAATCATCAATTATTCAAACTTTATTAAGAATTACAGAAATATCTCCAAATGGGTATTTAATAATATTATATATTTAGTAATATACTTATAGATGGTCAAGATATAAGAGAGGTTGGTTTAGCCAAATTAAGATAAGAAATAGCCATTATACCATAAGTACCATTCTTGTTCAAAGCTACTATTAGATAAAACTTAGATCCTCTAAATTTATTTGATGATTCCAAAGTCTGGAAAGTTCTCAAGGATACTGGATTAGTAGAATATGTTTTAGAATTACCAAAATAATTATAATCAGAAGTTTAACCAGAATTATTTTCTATTGGATAAAAATAACTTATTTGTTTATCAAGGGTTTTATTAAACAAAAAAAGGATTCTCATTCTTGATGAAGCTACTGCCAATGTTGATATGGCTACTGATGCCTTTATTTAGAATACTATAAAAGAGAAATTTAATGATTGTACAATAATTACAATTGCTCATAGACTTAATACTATTGCTGATTATGATAAGATTTTAGTACTTGAAGAAGGAAAAGTATTAGAATGTGGTCATCCATTTGAATTATTAGCTACAGATACAAAAACTGCTATAGGAATTGATAAAGAATCTGTTTTTGCAATGATGGCAATTTAAACTGGAGTAAAAAATGGTTAAGCTATTTTTGATTTAGCCAAAAAGGCTTATTTAAAAAAAATATTAAAAAATTAGTATAAAAGAGCTGAAACAATGTTATAATCATCTGTTCATTTAAAACAAGAGAATTTTACTTAATCAATATATGAATAAGAGTCATTATTATAACCAATTGATCCAAAAAATTAAGTACATTGAATTTTTATATTTTTATAGAAACTCTAATTAATAAATAGTTATTATTTATTTAAAATTTAATTTCATATATATTATTTAAGGACTCATTTCTTACTAATAATATTATTATTAATTGGAATCTGAATCTATGATTTAGGTTAGACCCTTTGTGTATTACTAGCTTATTTCTATACTTCAAATTATTTATATAATTATGCTAAAGAAGGGTTTTAGTGTTCACTTACAGGTTTAGATTATGGTGAAATAGCCATTTTTTTATTTTATGGACTTATCAATTATTTTAGATAATTTTGTTAATTGAAATTCTAATGAGTTGGACTTAAACTTAATTATTATTAAAGTTTTGAAGTTGGTGCTTATTACTATTTTGTAGTAAGAACAGGCCTAAATTTAAATGATATTTTTACTTAGATTAAGTATTTTATAACAATTTCTATGTTTTGAGTAATTTACTTTACAAATCAGAATCCAATTATAAATTGATTGGCAATGACTGAATTGAAAAAGGTTCTTTTTTCTCTTAAGATTTACTCAAAGTAGATTCAGTAGGAACCTAAATAAAAATAGAATGAATTACTGTTTTCTAAGCTTGCAAAGCATCAAGATCAAGCAAAGCTTATAAAAGATAAGATCTTTAAACTTCTACTTCTCGATTAAAAGTATAACCTATAAAATTAACATCTTTTCTTATGGATTTGCCAGAACTTATATTTATTATATTAATAATTACTCTTATGGTACCCAAGGTTCTTGTTCTTCAAATTTATCAAAATTTCTAGTATCTAATTCAGATTTAATTTCTGGAATATAAGGTGATACTTTAGATCTCAAACTCTTCCAATCAATACCAGCAAAGAATGGATGTGCCTTAATTTCATTGACTCCATTGACACCCAATCTATTTGAAGCATCACTCATTAATCTAAGAATAAGATCTGTTGCAGCTGGTGATAATTTGGCTTCAGGAGGAATGACAAGATGCTTTCTCCAATTAATGATCTTTTAACATGTAGATGAAGGATCATCTGAAAAAAATGGAGGATATCCTACAAGCATTTCAAATAGAATTGCTCCCAAAGACCACCAATCTGCAGTCTCATTATAACCAGATTTCCCAAAAACTTCAGGAGCTATGTAATCTGGTGTTCCAACTGTACTATATGCTTTAATTCTATTTCTTTTAAAGGTTGTAGTGTTGCTACCTTTGTCTTCAGGTTTATGTACACTTATTCTTTCATCTAATCTGGTTCCACGAGATTCTACATATTTACATAATCCAAAATCACTTAACTTTATATGTCCATCTGCCTAAAGTAAAATATTATCTGGTTTTAAATCTCTATGTATATATTTTAATTTATGCACTTAATCAACTGCCCTTTTTAAAATAAATTCTATATTACATTATTGATTCTGCCATGTAAAATTAAGATTCTTTTTCGGTAAAGATGTCTTTCTTCATAAGTAATGTCATTAAATCTCCTCCTGGTAAATATTCCATCACTAAATATAAGTATCTACAATCGAGAGAATTTTGTACTTCTCATCTTAGAATGAGCATTTCAATTGAACTATCCAAGCATTGTCTGATGCTGCTAATAAATCTCTTTCGGCTCTTACATGACATACCTTGGTTATATATTCAATACCTAATTTTTATAAAGCATTTCAGATTTTTTCATTTTTTTTACTGCCACAATTTCATTTGTCAACTTATTTTTGCATAATCTGACTTCACCAAATGCTCCTCTTCCAATTATCTCTACTGATTCAAAATCTTTTATGCTAAGCTTTTATCTTTGTAATCTCAATATTTCAGCTTCTTTATGAAATAAGTCCTATTTTATCACTTGTTATTCAATTTAAGTATAATTCAAATTTGTCAATTTTTGAATTAATTATTCCCATTTTTCTCTTTTCTCTTTTTATTCATAAAGAAGCTTTTGATATTTCTTCTCTATATATTATTTTGCAGCCTCCACTCTTTCTTTTGTTGATTATGATAACTTTAACATTTATGTTTTTGAGGGATCCATAATAATTAAATAAATTAATAATTTTAATTGAGAATTCATAAATCATAATATTTTATAAATACTATAAAATTGATCAATAAACACATTCCTTTCATTTCAATCATTAATAATTTTAATGTAATAATCTTTCTAAAATTGTATAACAATAAATAATAAATCAATAATTATTAATCTAATTTGATTAAATATAAATAGAGACTTTAATACCATTGATCATAATCATTTTTATATTTGAAAACATTATTATATTTACAAAGAATAATTAAGTAATTTATTAATTTTATTAATAATAAAGTTAGAAAGACAATTTTAATTAAAGCATTTTTATAAGATATCTTATTTATTGTTATTATACTTAACATAAAAAATTATTGAAATTTAAACAAAATCATTAAACTTTATCATTATTCTTTATATAAATAATAATACTATATAATTTCTTATAAAATTATTAATAATTTATCAGTTAACATGAATTCTGTCCCATTCCAAGACATATTGAATAAAACAAACAAAACTCGATGTAATAGTCCTTATATTTCTTCATGTATAATATACTATAATATCTTAAGGTTCATCTAAAAGATAATCAGCTGTATATTCATCAAATTCATCATATGCTGAGTCGAATCAAAAAACAAAGCCTGATGAGAAGACCATAAATTAGTTATATTCCCTTTTTAAAAAATAAGGTTTTGACAATATAAATGGACTGCTTAAATTTTTAGATGCTCAACGTGATTAATAAACAAGAAAAAGTACATCACCAATGCTTAGGACAGTTTAGGATGAGAATGATCGAAAAAAGTTTGGGATCATGATTAATGAGGCAAAGTAGGGTTTAAATTAGTTAGAGCATAAAATCATAAATTTATAAAACAAATAAGAATGTAGAAACAATATGACATTAAAATATAAGAATCTATTGACAGAAGATGATGAAAATCATGAATATTTGTATGAAAATAGATAAGACTACAAAAAGTTGTATACTTAAACACTTAATGAAAAAGAATAACTCTAGAAAAAAGTAGATTTAATAGTTTAAGAGAATAAATAAAGAGATGAAAAAATCAATTCTTTACATTAAGAAGTTGAATTACTTAAAAAATAAATACAAGGATTACTCATACTAAAAGAAGAGAGTTCATAATCTCCAAGACCTTCTATAAGTGGTTCTGATTATACATTTACACTTAATGTTTGTAATTCAGAAGTTAGAGGAGATAAACCAATCTCCTATAAAGATTTTTTACATACTTAAAGTTAGTAGATAAAACGAATTTGATAGTAGAGATTATTCATCATAATATACTCCAAGCATTTTTACCAATATTATTTAGAATATTTGTGTTGGCACCTGCTCCAATTAATATGTCTGCAATTTTATAATGGCCATATGAAAGAGCTAAATGGACAGCTGTATTTCCATCATCCTGCTTAAGTAAAAAAATACATTTTAAATGTTTATATCTGCTCCTTTCTTAATCAATTCTTTAACCATTTCTTTACATCCACTTTTGGAAGCCAAAGTCAATAAGGTATCATGATTCTCTAATCTTTTATCTATGTACATTTATGGAACTTATTAAATATGTTCCAAAAACTATTTATTAATTTGAATATTACCTCTTGTACATCATTATCATAAATAAGTTATTCTAATATTTTTAATTAATCGAGGTTTTATCTTCTACTATGACCAAGAGCTTGGTTTCTCATACGTAAAGAATAAGAAAACATACTCAAAGTCTAAATTAATTAATATAATTACTTTATTTTCTAAAATTGGTTATTATAGTAATGAAATATTTGATGATTTCTATCTTTTTGAAGATATTATCTCTTCTTTTAATTCGATTTATTCTTTAGGATGATTCATTCTATCTTTCGTAATTTTATCAAAATCTCTAATATTTTAACTTTTTCTAATATTAGGAGGATTTGTTTAAGATATAATATTTGAAGAATCAATTGCTGATTTAGATTTAATAGATTTTAAGGATGATTATGGGCTCATTTCTAAATTAGATAGATTTTCTTCTAAATTTTATACACTTGAAACTTTGACCGATTATTGTGATTGATTAGTTGGCTTAGTGAGATATTATGTTGAAGCTTAAGTAAAAATGTTATAAGTTAATTAATTTGTATATTGTGATGTTGGTTTACTATGGACATTAGTAACATCAGGTGAATTTGATGTATTTTTTGAATTGATTTTTGGTTTAATAATAACAGTCAAACTATCCCTTTATAAATTTCTACTTCGACCTTACTATTTTAAACTGATTAGTTTTTATTTTTGAAGGAGTAAGAGTTCTGAAGATTATTGAGATTATTGAGATTGTTAAGATGAAGAGATATGTTATTATGGGGCTTCAAGAATAGATGATTAAACAAGATCAGAATGTTCAACATCATTCATTCTTTATTAACTCTGATATCTACCAATGAGTATATTTTCATATCTCATTTCAATTCCATGATACATCATTTTACGTACTTCTTATTACTTATAGAAAGAGTCTAAATTTTTTAATGCATTAGTATCACAATCTCCATGAATTAATTTTTAAATCTGTTCTTTAGATTATTCCATCATTTGAAATGTTAATAGATCATTCTTAGTATTTTAATCTAAAATACTCATAATAGCCTATCCATTCATAGGACAGTGAAATTTATTCTTCACCTTCTTAATAGTATTTAACAATCCAGTTGATATTTCTAAATTTTAATATTTAATTTACATTTTTAATCATTGACAACATCTTCAACAAATATTTATGATTCAGAATCATCACTTAGATTTTTCATTGATTGAATTATATTTTACATTTTACTCTCATGTCTTTCATCAACTTAAAGTCCTAATCTAGTTTTATTAAATCAATTACTTTAATTAGGTTCTTCTAAAATTTTATCAAATGATGCACTCTAATCTGATTAACTAGATAATAAACTAATTGAATTATCAAAGTCAAAAGAGAATTACTTTTTTTTCTAAGGGATATCATATCTCTCAAGTACTATTTGCCATTCTTAAACTAAATTTGATATTTCAACACTTTTAATTTATTTTGTAAAATTTTAACTTGCTTAAAAAGAACTAACATATATTTTAAAAAGATTTACATTTATGAACCAGTTATCATAGACACATATTAATAAAATACATCTTCAATCTCCTTTAAATTATGCTAAGTATAAGAAATCTTTTAAGGTATTTTATGTAATCTATTTTGATAATATAGTCTCACATATAAATTTGACTAATTATAATATTTTTCATTCTTACTTTAGAATATTCTTAATTAAAATCTAAATTGCTGTTATCTTCAATAATATTTGTATTTTAAATACTATTATATACATTATGATTTGATATATGATCTTTATTTATAATAACAGATTAAGATGCTGAATTTTATATTTTTTACAATTTAAAAGATGAATGTAATGAAGATGAATGCTAAATAGCTTTTTTAGGTGGTGAAATTGGTTAAATTACTTATTCATCTATAATAGAATCCATATGAACAATAAATTTAGGTTTATTAAATTCCAAAATTGTATTTTACAATAAAATATTAGTAATTGTAATAGTAATTTTATTAGCATCATCCATTAAATTAGGTAAAATATTTTCTAAATTACTTTATAATACTGGTCCTAAACCAATCTGATTTGAAAGTACTGATTGTTTTTTAAATTTGTTTAATAATGAAAATTATTATTATTATGGTTAATCACACTCTTTAGTTGTCCATTAAGTATCTTTAATCATTTATATTTTTCTTTAAAATGCTTTATTTGTAGTATGTAATTTTTGCAATTAATTTTAAACAATAGTATTTATTTTATGATTATGTTTAAAATTATATTTTTCTTTAATATATTTAATAGATTGTTTAGATTTATAGCTATCTTTATTTGGTTACAAATTCTTTGCTAATATAAAATTTCCTTATTCAAATTAATCACTTATTTTTTACCTTTCCTCTTCATGTTTTGAACTAAATTCAGGTGAAATGATGACTGTAAATAAAGATTTTAACTAATTTAATATAAATATTACTTCTCTATTTTTAAACATATTTTACACTTATTATGATACAACATTTTTGAATTTCATTTTAACACTCAATTTTTTCATAGCATTTGATATTTATAATTCATCTTCATCACAAATGACCTCTTTTTCAGTTTATATAATCTCTTCTTGTTGTTCAGTAGGATTTTGATGGTCAATTAAGTCATTTGGCTCAGTAATACTAACCTTTCTTTTTATTGAATTGAAAAATTCAGAAGCTTATTTGTTTTCATTATTAAATTAATTTTCAATTTCAAAGTTTCCTTAATCAAAACATATTTTTTCTTATTCTTAAAAAAGTTGACTTTTTGAATCTTAAATTTCTGTTACTTATAAAATAGGGATTAAAGGTATTTCTGTAATTCGAGGAGATGTATTTTGTATACTCCTTTGTGATTCTGTTTACAATGAAGGCAATGTATTCTTTCTGAAAGTATCAAATCTTCTTGTATCTCTAACTTTATTTTATATGATCAAGAATGGAGCTTATAAAGAATCTGATTAAAATATCATTTTTTCTTATCTTCCTCTTCTTCTAATTGGAGGTTGTGGTTATTATTTGATATCGGTAGAGAGACTTTTGATGTGATGGGAAACTTATTATTTTTAGGGGAAGTGAAGAGTAGAAGTTTTAATTCTTAAGGAATCATTTTAAATAGGCTTATTAATATTTTATGGACTAAGTAAAGGCTTCACTTTATTAGAGTTGCATTTATTATTTGATGTTTATGTTTTTGCAGAAGATAAATATTCTGATAAGATGCTTGGAGTTGAAGTGGTAGGACCATTATATTTAGATAATGCCTTATAGAGTTGCTTAAATAGAATAGATAACATAGTTATACTTATTTTAGATTAGCACTGTCGAAAAAATTTTAATTCATTATATTATTTGTAATGTAAATTGCTTATATTTTTTTAATTTTTTATAATTTCTAGATGAATCCTTAAAAGTACACTTATAGAATAACAGTGTAGACGTCCGGCATTTTTACTTGATGGAATATAGATGGCACATCAAGGAGGAGTGAAATAATATGATTCAAAAAAAGACAAGTACTTGAAAGATTACTATTAAAATGTGCTTAAAAACCAAAAGGACAAAGGAACTTCAAGATTTCATACAGAGAGCAATCGATAAGCGAACAACTCTTCAGTTTTATCATTAAATTAAAGCATAGTAAATAAATAATTATAAATTTTATGAAGCAACTTCATCAACGACCTAGTATTAGATAAAATCAACTTAATCGTGTTTACACTTAAAATTAATATCCTGACAAATCTATGTCTCCCAACATGCAAACGAGATTATAAAATACACCCAAAAATAAAAGGGAAGGTGGTGTATCGTTACCAAAATTAGATTCCACTAACAGCAACCTCTAAAAGCCTGTCACCAGAGAGTAATTATTACAATTCCTTGATTAAATAATGTTTGCTGTTGAAAATGTATAATACATTGTATCATAATATGAAAATCCTCCTAGCGAAATATACCAATCATAGCCAGTCAGACAAATGGCAAAATTTAAAATTACACAAGAATAATAAACTGATCACTCATATATACAATCTTAATTAAAAAACAAATAGTAGTATGTCAATAAAGTCAATAAAAAAACATAAACCCCAATTAAATAAATGAGGGCAAATTCTCAAAATTGTGAATAACATTAAATGAATAAAAAAACAACTAAAATTAAAACTGAATTTACAGAAGAAAGTGATGGTACTGAAAAAAGACCTACAAGATTTCCTAATATTGTTTAATCATCTCAAAAATAAAAGATTGAAAAAATATTACCTTAAAATAGAAAAAATAGAGTATAATCTTAAGTAATATCATTTTCTTATATTAATTAAAAGGAAGATGAATTAATTCAAAAAGAAAATACTAATAAATAAATTAGTAATAATTAAACACAACAAAATAGTGATTAATCTAATATCATTTATGAAACTTCTTAATAAAATTAAACACAAAACAATGTCGATCCAAAAAATAAACGTCATGTCACTCCTTAAAATAATAAATAATCTACCTATTTAGTAGAAACTTAGAAAAAACAATAAAGATCACCAAATAATAGTACACATTAATTATAAAAAACTAATTAAAATGCTATGATTATATAAAATTAAAATAAATAAGACGGAAATTAATCAATTTAATAGATAAGCTCAAATCGTTATTCATTAAGTGATTTTGAAGATGCAGATCCAGAAATCTTATTAAGTAAAAGTTCTTTATAAGATTAATAAATGAGTTAGAAAAAATAAGTTAATGCATAGAAAACTCCAAAAGTTAAAAAGAGACCTATTTAAATTAAAAATACAAATTAAAATGATATCAATGGTCAAGATCAACCTAAGTAATTTGATCAAAAAACAATAGAATTAAGATAAAATACAAATGAATAATCTAATAAACCTTAATAGTTATAAACTAATTCAAATGAAGGAGATTATGAATTTTCAAATGAATTTTTATCAGAATAAACTAAACAATTAACAAAAAACAGTTCAAATACTTAAAATAGATAATAAATTAATAAATTATCATAAAAACATAATTCATCAAAAAATATTCTTTAAATAAATCCAGATCCTGAATTTTATCCAGATAATGTTTAAAAATAAGAAATATAATATAATAATGATTAGAATGAAAATATTCATTAAAATCAAAAAGAAGACAATAAAATAAATCAATAAAAACCAAAAGCAGATGATTAAGCACTTAGATAAAATCAAAATCAAAATGAAGAGGATAAAATAAATCAATAAAAAGATAATTAAAATTAAAAAGAAGATGATTAAACACTTCAATAAAATGACAATTAAAATCAATATAAAGAAGATTAAAAATAATAGAATCCACATCAAAATGAAAATGAAGAAGATAATACAAATCAATAAAATTAACTTTAAAATTAAACCAAAGAAGATACAATAAATTAATAAAATGATAATTAAAATCAAAAACTAGAAAATCAAACACAATAGATTCAAAAATTAAATTAAGATGATGAAGAAGAAGATAAAATAAATCAATAAAAGTAAAATTAAAATTAAAATCCAAAAGAAGTTGATGATCAAACATAATAAAATGACCATTTAAATTAAAATGAAGAAGATTAAATTAATAAATAGAATGAACAGTAATAAAAAAATGATACTAATAATATTGAGATAATTGAGAAAGATAATTTAAATAAATAGCCACAGATTAATTAGAATGATGAAAAATTAGAAAAATCATAAATTTCTTAAAAATCTTAAAAAAATTAATAAAAAATAGAAAATTAAGAGGATAAGTAGTAATTAAATGCTTCAACAATTTCTTAAAATATACATCAAAATAAAGATAAATAAAATTCTAATGATTAAGCACCTTAGAATTAGAATGTAAAATAAAATGATGAAGAATAATCTGAAGTTAATTCTATTGTGAAAAGTATTTATGTTTAATCTAATGATTTGGTAAAGTAAAAAAGTGACCATAAATCTGTTATTTAATTAGTTTAAAATGAAGAAATTAATGATTAATAAAAATAACTGAATAAATAGCAAAATGTCTAATTAGATAATTTTTAGGAAGAGTAAATTAAAGATAAAATATCTCAGTAATTAAATATAAAAAATAATGAAGATCTTGGTTAATCATAATTAATTCATGAAATCAAATCTGAAAAATAAGTTGAGAAAAAAGATAAATTTGCTAAAACATATTTTTAGGAAAATTATTCTTAATAAAATTAAATAAAATTAGCTTAAACAGGATTCAAATTTTAGCCAAAGAGTTTGTAATAGAGTGGAGCCTATTAAATTGTATTTGATAAAGATAAATACAAAAATAACGAAAAAAATAAAATTAATGATGATGATAATTAAAAATCAAATTATTAAATATTTGAATAAAATAAAACAAAAAACTAAAAATACAAAGCTTAAAAGTCTTTATAAATAATTGGAAGTAATTAAGAAGATAAAAATCAAAAAAGGAATATTAAAAGCCAAATTTTAAATGATAATGAAAAAATTGATGAAGGATTTATACAATTATTAAATAGAAATAAAAAGAATGAATAAAATAACTAAGTAAGTAATTAAAATGCAACTTCTTAAAATATCAGCAAACAATAAAGTAATGAAAAACTCTAATAATAATAAGTTATAGCTATTGAAGCAACTTAGAATCATAATTAAAATGAATAAGAAGTGATTCCTTTGACTAATAAAAGATCTCAGCATATTGATAATAATGATTCTTTAAAATAAAGTTAATTGAATAATAAAGAAATTTTAAATATAAATGAAGGTAATGGAAATTAAAATAATTAAATATAAGATGAAGGTATGAAATAATCAAGAATTCAAGATGAAAGTTTAAAATAATCAAAAATTCAAGAGAACAATAATTCTTAGATTCAGGACTTTTAAATATAAAAGATGTTAAATTAGGATCCATAAGATATTGATAAAAATTGATATTGTTTTCTTAAAAGTAAAATTTTTAATTGATATCCTTCTTTAGATTGTTTTTAAAATAAAATTATAAAAATTTATGAATGATAAAAAAATAAAAGACTTGAAATTTAATTTCATTTTAATTATAAATATTTATGGAAGTCTCATTAAATTTTACAGAAGAGCCTAACCCAGTGGTTATAGGGTGTCCATAAGGATTCCCAAACTATTCTAATATTTAAATTCTAACAAAGAATGGTGAAGATGTAAGTGAACCTTAAACTAGAAAAGTTATTAAATTATCCAATGATTAAATGACTTGGATTGGAAGACAAAATCATACATAGTCTAATAATTTTATTGGTATTAATTATACATAAAAACAGGTATACATTAAGGAAACACAATCTCATTACATCCTGTATTAATACAAGCTACTCTTTAATAATAAATACATAAATAAAATAAACAATAATAATCTAGAAATTCAGCACTTGAAGATGGATTAACTTATTTTGAACAAAGGAAAATGGTGGCTGAAGAAATGGGTACTAATAAAAGTAGAAGAAAAATGAGATAGATGGAAACAAACAAGGTTGAAGAAGAGAATATTGTTTAAGCAGAATCAATTAAAGAAAAGTTTAATTAGAAATAATAAGAAATTTAAGAACAATTAGAAGTAGAAAAAGAAATCCATTAAATGGAAGAAGCAGCAATTAAAGAAGAATTACTGCCAGAATTTGTTAAAGGAAATGTTCCAGTTTTCTAAATATATAATGTAAGATCAATTGTATCTGAAGAAGATATGGAATTATTAGACATTTCAAAATTATAGGTATTTGTTAGCACAAAAAGGGAAGATACTTTACATCATTATCATCCTTAAGTAATATAAATAGCATCAGGATTAATATTTGATAATAAAACAAAATTGACTATCTTGAAATATTTAGAATATTTAAATATTTTGTTTAAGTTCTAATTTAAATAAGTGTTTTCAAATAAAAATGCTTAAAATATAGCACATGAACTTGGAATTTATAATCATAAATTAGTAACACCTATTTTGGAGAAATTTTATTAGGCAACTCCTGGACAAGGAGAAAATATATTTAATTTTAGCAGATCAAACTTTCTGAAAGATAAGTATATATGTTACATAATAGTATTGCATTTATTCATACACAAATTTTAATTTGACATAATTCCATTAGCAAAACATTTGAAATTGGATATAAAAAAATTAATTATGTATTGCAAAGAGTGTGGATGCACAGTTACAAAAAACAATGAAAAATAAATTGCTAAGTTGAAGCAATTTAAATAATGATATCAAATTATTGTATAATAAAATCATTCTGTTTAATATGTAGTTGTAAAATTTTAGATGATTTTTTGAGATTGAATAATTTTTGAAGGAGATTTAGGTTCTTATCTTAATTTAAAAGGAATAGTCTAAAACTTTATTCTATCCATAAATTATTGTACATTATGTTCACTCTTAATTGTTCTTGAGCTAATATTTAATCTAGGGCTTTCGATTTGTGTCTAGATTTTTTCAATTAATATATCTTTCCGAGATTATCCTCCTTTTGTATTTAATATCAAATCAGCAATTTTTAATTTTGTTTCAATTATAGTATCACAAAGTTTAAGTTCATTTTTTTACCATTTTAACCCTTTAATGATATATTGAATTACTATTTGGTTTGAGATATTTTGTCATGCCTCTTTAAGTTAATTATCCTGAATCTACAATTTATTTTCTCTTTTCATATTCTCTTCTTTCCTTTATAATAAATTATTTCATTTCTTATTTCTTAACAGATGATTTGATTAAAGGAACAAATTAAACAATTGACCTACAAGTTTATGGAGTATTAGTTGAAAATGGACTTGCCATCATATTTGATGTACTTGATTATTTAGCATGAGAATTGATGGCTTTATTCTTGTATATAATATCCATAAAATTGTGATAATATAAAATAATAATATTTGATTCTTTATAGATGAAATCTAAAGCCTTTAATTAGAGTTGTTCCATTGAGGGAAGATTAAGAGGTACTATATAAAATAGATTTCAAAGCTCGTAGTTTAAATGCATCGTATTATTACGAATTTTCATTAGTACCAAAATGTAGAGTCTCTTAAGCTACAATTATCAAAACAGATAATTAAGAGAAAACAAGAAGATTACTATTTCATCATAGTACAATGTTGATAAACAAATTCATTTAGAGGGAAAAGAAATCATAAAAGTAAAGAGTTTTGAAGGATAAGATGTATGAAATAAATGAATCCCAGTAACGGAGACTTAGCTGTCATTGTAATGAATGTGGAAAAACATCAAATAAAATGAATAAATTTCATAATATATTACCGAAATCAGAAAAATCCATTAAAGAATTCTGGTCCAGTTCAAATTTACATCCATAATAATAATCTTTACTTACAATCTCAACCAAATCATTAAAGTCTACTACAACTCTCCACTCTATTGATATGAGTCCTCATAAAATCAGATCTAAGATTGAAAGTCCAATTTAAAAGAGATTAAACTCAAACTATAAATTAATTAGTGTACCTTCTTTAAATTTGAAACCATATCTTTGGGAATAATCACCTTAAAAAAAAGTGAATCATCTCTAAACAGACTCAACTCAATTAATACTTAAACCCATATCACTAAGAGCATCTGCACCTAATTTAGAAACATTTGATTATTCATCTAAACATAGTAGTCCAAGAAGAGGATAATCCAATTAGAATATAAAATAAGAAATCCAAGTATTGACTTAAAGAAATTTCTCTAAAAGAATGATTTAAACTTGTTATTTAAAGACATTCTCTGGTATTCACATACGTAATACAATTATGAGTACAAAAAAAGAAATAAAGAATTGAACTAAATTATTAAGTTTTATTATGTTAAATAATTAATGATATTATTTAAGAATAATCTTAGAACACTCATTTTTATATTAATTATTATTATTATTATTAAAGTTAATGAGAATTAATATCATTTTACTTATTGATTCTTCCATTGTAAAGGTAATAACCATGTTTTGATTTCCTTATCTCTACTAGAAGTCAATAAATGTTGATCCTCTTCAATCCATTACATTTATGTGATCTCAGAATCATGTGCTTTCAATACAAATATTAATTATTTTGTATCATAATCCCAAAATTATACTGTACCATCACTAGTTCCAACAAACAACTCCTTTCTTTTTTATGACCAACAAAATTTATATCCTTTTGTTTTTGTATTTATTTGACCAATCCAACGAAGTTATTTTTCACATTTAATTGAACCTATGTCTATCATTATTATTTCTCCAGTCTCTTAACCAATAGCCATTAGAAGATTTTAATTTGAATCTAATTTTAAACATTTTAATAGTCTTATATTAGTATTTATGAAATTCAACTAAATTACTTTATCCTATAATTTATGGTTTTAAATACCTCATTAATGTCAAACATATAAATAAATCCATTCTTATCAGACACAAATGACTTTCTGCGAGACTTACTAACTACTAAATCAGTTAATTCATATGGACTTATTTCATTATCTATAAATAACTAATTTCAATACCATATATGTATATTGATTTAACGGCATTTCTTATTTTATATCGTTTATCCTTCGATACTGAATGAATTAAGCTTCTCTCATTATCATAGTATAATCCTGTAACTTTACTTGAATGCTGTTGAATTTCTGCATCAGTTTCACATTTCTTGAAACCTTAACTATATGGTACTTCAAGATAATTAATTGAACCACTATCAAGACTAAAAAGGATTTAATTCATATAATTACCCTACTAATAAGACAAATGATGATGGATCCCAAAAACAACAGATGGCTTATGAATTATACATCTTTGCCCATTAACGTGTATATAGTCCATCCTATTATTGAATCCAACACTCTATGCATCCTACTGGCATCACTGCCTATTACCCATCTTCCTTTTCCCAAGGCCCTTTCATATTTGTCAGATATGCATCAAGTCGATTGAATATAGAATAATCAGAATTCACAACAAATAATATTCCTTATCCAATACAAAGGTTGAAGTCTCTTACTCCATGTAAGAAACCACTAAATTCATGAATAATTTATGGTTAATTCACTACTAAGGTTTTAGCATGTTCTTCTAATTTTAGGAATTCTTTCATCTGATTTGAGGATAGAATCTCCTATTTTGAAGTTAACAACTAAAAATAATAAGCTTAATAAACCTTTAAAAATTTATCAAGTCCTATTCTTCTTTGCTCAATATCATCATGTGTTTTGGAGAATAAGAAGGATGTATAAGTTTTCTTAGGTAATTCTGGGAGCTAATTTCTAAAACAGACCTTTAATTATTTATAAAGATCATCGAACTCAGAATATCTACATAAGTTAATAAAAACAACAACCTTTTAGTAATAATCCAAGACTGGTTTTCAAAGGTGATTGAAATATTATACATTATTTTTGATTTATCAGAGAAGTCTGGCTTATAGGAAAAGACTGAGACCTAATTTCTAAAAGAAACTTATTACATCTAGTTATTTATGCTATGTTTCCATAAGTTTATTAATTTAAAAATATGAAAAAAGTCTTAACTTTTTAGAACTTAAATATTTGAAACTTGAATAGAATTAGTACACTAATAAATTTGTGCTTAAAATAAAGTGGATAATCAATGTATTTCATTTATATATTATATAATTTCAAATATCTATTCAATAAAGATTAAAACAACAAACAGAATCCTTATTGACTCTATAATTCTATAAAATTTTTTTATAAAAATGTTGTAATTAAATAAAAAATTTAAATATTGTAATTAATACTTAAAAATATATAGATAAATATATATGAATTGATTTTTTAATATTGTTTAATTATCATCTCAAATAAAAAAATCAGGTGCTAATTATGAATCAGTGAACTTTGGATCACATCTGTATATGCTAAAATCTTTGACTCCTACACTAGCCAAAACTTCATCATCAATAAAAAAGTTTCCTGTTGTCTTTTTGTGACAACTTGTTAATATAACATGTGCAGAATCAGCCATAATTTCTACATTTCTAGATGCTTACATCATAGAGTCTCCTCCTAGAACATTTTAAACTGCAGCTGTTGCAATTGATGTTCGTGGCCATAAAGCATTTACTCCTATTTAACCTTTGAATTCTTCACTCATTCCTAAAACACACATACTCATTCCATATTTAGCCATAGTATAGGCTATATGTGGTGCAAACCATTTTGCTTACATATTTAAAGGTGGTGATAAATTAAGAATATGAGGATTAGATGATTTTTTGAGATAAGGAATACAAGTTTTACTCATTAAATAAGTTCCTCTTGTATTAATTGAATGCATTAAATCATATTTCTTCATGTCTGTAGATTCTGTATCTGTAAGTGATATTGCACTTGCACTATTTACTACAATATCAATTCCTCCAAATGTTTCAACAGTTTTTTATACAGCAGCTTAAATATCCTTTTCAAATCTGATATCACATTGAATTCCCAAAGCCTTACCTCCTGCTTTTTCAATTTCAGCACAAGCTGAAGCAATTGTACCTGGCAATTTAGGATGTGGGTCTACAGTTTTGGCAAGAATGACAACATTAGCACCATCTTTGGCAGCTCTAATTCCAATAGCCAATCCAATACCCTAAAAAAGTTATTAAAAATTTGGATATACTCTTGATCCTCCACTAATGATTACAGTTTTGCCTTTAAGATTGCCAACCTATTCAAATGGGAAGCAATCAGGATATTTCATAACCCATGGATATGTGACATTTGAAGCAGGTGGAGCAATAGTATGATTGAACTAATTGGAAAGTGTTTGAATTCTTTACATTAAAATTAATACGAATTATTAATAAAGACTGATGTCATTATATAATAGATAATATTTACTATTAATTAACTATTAATAAATGATAAATTTTTCAACAGAAGAATTGATCATAAAGACTAACAATCATTCTTAATAAGGGTTAACATTCTAAGAATTAAATATGAGCAGTTCTACCGATCAATGTATCAAGATTTCTAAAAATAAATTGAAAATTAATTATACTTTTCTTAAATTTCAAAATTGACATCAATACGATAAACATTAGTATTTTCAAGATGTCTTAATAATGCTTTTACCATTTAAACATATGGTTTATTTCTCCTTAAATTTATTATATTAATATAAATACTGATCTTCTAGAGCTTCTTTTGATAATTGTATTCTAGCTGAATCATAAGGAGCATAACTATCTTAAATGCAACTGAAAAAGCACACATTTTTAAACCAAGCTAAACCTTTTGCCTATGCAAGTTTTTAGAGACATGTTTCTTCAATATTACGATTATCAGTCATTTATAACTATTCTAAACATTTACTTTTTCTCCATTATTTCAATACCCACATACCAGCATCAACAATTTTACTAGCATTATAATAATAACCTAATTATGGAGATGAAAGACTAATGTAAGTATACATTTTGTCTTGGTATTTATCTAGATAAGGTAATGAAGCTCTGATAATAACTCCTCCTAATGAATGTCCTATAAAACTTAATCTACCTAATGTATTTTCTGGACAATTTTCAGATATGAAATTAATTACTTCAGTGGCTAATTTTTCTCCCATTTCTTATATGTTTCCTTCTGTATTTTCTTCATTTATTGATGAACATAAAAACATAGCTTCTGGATGTGATAATGATATATAGTTCTTAAATAATTTCATATCATAAGAGTTTCCTTAGAAACCATGAACTAAAACTATTAAATGAATGCCTCTATATGACATTATATCATATTCACTATTGGTGATATCTGCATCTACTATATTTTCTTCATTTTTATCTTTATCTTCTCTAGGAGTGAATTCTTCAAAGATGATTGGTTATGTTTCTATTTTAGGATAGGAATTCAAATCTTCAACTCCTAATTCTTAAACTTTAGTTTCTTGTCTCATTTTCTCACTTTTAGATTTATGTTCTATACCCAAATTCTTATCCAATAATTATTATGTTTATGATTTAATACAAAATTATTACCATCTATTCTTAATTATTTTTTAATAATCAAATTGTAATAATGCTACACAAAATCTTGGACTGATTCGATATAAATCAAGAACTTTAATCCACATTTAGAATAGTTGACAACTTATTAAATTAGTTTCATTAAGAATTGAATGTATAATTGTTTCAGGATCTGCAGTATGGAATTTCTCCTCTATTCTTTAATTTAATTCTTTTCTTGTTAATTATCCCTTTATATTTTAATAGGTTTCACTTGTTATATATTCAGGTACAATTAATTTAAGAGGTGGGTATAGATACTTTTTGAAGTGTTTTCTTTGCTTTTCTAAAATACATTTAGAATATATCAAATTATAATGTTAATAAAGCTATTCATAATAGCCTTTTAAGCTTTCAACAAATTCTTATTGCATGCTATAATAATCTAATCCTTTCATGTCTTTATATTATTTTTAAATGGTTTCATACATTGAAATTTGATCTGAATTGATTAAGGGTTTAGATTAATTTTTATTTTTATCAAGAGTATTAGGAACTTTACCTTCTAGTAATTAATTGCGTTCTTCAAATTTGAGTCTAGCAAATTAAAATAATTGAATAGGATGAGTTCGAAAACGATAATCCAAAGTTATAGTATGTACAACCATATTTGCTTAACAAAAGTTTTGTTCTTCAAAAATGATTGGTACAAATTAATGATTAGGTTGTAAAACATTTTTGATTTTAAATTTAGCTGTAGCTTAAATTTTACCATCAGGAATTGCATAATCTTCTTTATCTTATTTAGTATAGAGAGGTTCTTGTTTTGGTTGATCTTTTTAAGAATTCAAACAATCAAAAAACATTAAATCAACTTACATAATAAGTGATTGTTCTTTTTTGGGACCTGCATCGAATTCAATCCTAAAATTACAAATATCATTAAGTTCAATTTCCTCCTCACAAAATTTGATGAAAAATGCTTTTGTATAAAATGCTGAATTAGATGTAACTATAGAAGCTGGTCTAAAAATGTGAGTTTCATAGTATTTAGGAGGATTGACATTCTATTAAGCCTCTTATGGATAGGTCTTATAGGATTCACAAGGATCATGTGGATGGGCATAAATTTTATTAATCTAAAAATGAATTAATAATGTCTACATCTTATGGAGCATCATTATGAATAGTGATTCTTAAGAAATAAACTCCTTAGTAATAGAGATCAACATTTCTAAAACTCTCCACATGAGTTACAATTTCGACTACACTTCTTAATGACATTTTTGAATTATATAATTATTAATGTTCTCATTATACTGTGATTCTATTCAGAATTCCATGGTTATCACAATGTCCATCATGAGGATAATGAAGCACTTCATTGACTAGATAATCGACATGGCCATTGTGTAAGACTATAGGATGTCCACAATTTGGTCCATGATAATGCAAAACGTAGGATTGTGGATATTCTGATTCTTATACATTTCCTTAATTTGTTGCTAAACAACAATTCACTTCTTGTGGACATTATGAACAATCTATTTATGCAAATTAATGATCCTTTTTAAAATGTTAATGATCTTTAACAGGATCACATTCTAATTTTGTAGTATCAACAAGTTCATGATATTCAATTTTTTAATTTTCTAATTATCATATTTAAATTACCTTCATTGTAATAATACAAACATCCATTAAAGAGTACATCTACATGATTTTTATGAATTATTTGAGGATGATTACAAGTAAAGAAATCTTTGAGATTCTTAATTTATTGATTATATGATTCACTAGTGAATATAGGTTTATCTTTCTTTTGATGCATTTCTTTTTCATGTTTTTTTAGACTACATATATAAAAGTATGTTTTGCCACAACCATTTTCACATTTATATTATTTTCTATCCTATTAATGTTTTGAATTATGTTATTAATAATTTTGACTAGTAATGAATTGTTTACCACATTCTTCACATTTGTAAGGTTTTTCATTTGAATGTTTTCTTTGATGTCTCTTTAAATTAGAGATCTAATAATATAGAACATTATACTTAAGAGAAGGCTTATTTACATTCCTCACACTCATAAGGTTTAGCTCCAGAATGTGTTCTTTGATGCTTCTATAAAGATGAATATTATCTAAAACGTTGTTAACATTAAACACTTTTCCATATATAAATAAGTTATTTTATACCATTCATAAGGTTTCTCTCCTGTATGTATCATTTAATGTGCTTCTAAAGTTCTTTTAAGTTTGAATTGCTTTTCACAAGTATTGCATGTAAATTCAGTCATTTTAATTAAATGGATTGTAACAATTTTCTCAATGATGAAGATATTCTTAAAGATTAAAATCGTATTCAACCATTTGTCAATGCAATTATACGCAATAAGCATCTTTTCAAAGACAAAGTAATATTGGATCTTAATGCTGGTCTTGGATTACTTCCTATATTAATTAGTAGATCTGGTGCTAAACATATATATGCTATGAAATCACATGATCATGCATAAAAGATTCTAGAATAAAATAACATAAACAATGTTACTCTTAATAAAAAGCCCATAAAAGATGTAGAATTAGATTGCAAAGTTGATATCATTATTTCTGCTTGGATGGGCAACATGCTTTTCTATCATGGAAACATTTTAGAATTAATTGCAGCTAGAGACAAATACCTAAATAAGGATGGACTCATATTACCAGACAAAGGTTAATTATATCTTCAGTCTATTGAAGATGGAGAATATTGTGAATAAAAAATGACATTTTGGTATGCTTTCCTACCCCTATAATAAGGGATTCTGTCTATGGAGTCAATATGAAATGGATGAAACATTGGGTTAAACATGAGCCACTCCTTGAAAGCATTAGAGAAAACTAATTAAATAGTGATCCTGTTTTAATATATGAAGTTGATTTGTTGAAATGCACTATAGAAGATCTATCTTTTAGCAATTCATATCAAATTCAAATCAATCGATAAGATTTTATCACCGGAGTAATAATATGGATGAAATATTCATTTACTCTTACTCATTTACCAATCAATGTCATCATGGGCCCATCTAAATCTCCATTTTGGAAACCAGTAATTTTATATTTCAATGAAGAAATACCAGCTTCTAAAGGTGATAAATTAAAAGGTAATAATCTAAAATAATAATCATAGGTTCTTTGGCAATGAAATTTAATTCAGAGGATCTAATTGATATAAAATTATCTGTTCATACAAAACAATATCATTAGATTTAATATTTTAGATTAAATTGATTAAGTTTTAACATAGTTTATAAATAATATTTACATCCTTCTTTAAATAAATATAAATGGATTTAAAAATCATTTATTATGTATATATTAAGATTTATAAATATAATAAAACATTAGTAATAAATTATACATATATTGTCTATAATTTAAGAACAAAATATTTAATTAAAATATATATGAGTGAATTTTAAAGGAGATCTAGTTAAAGGTAAGGTTCAATAGAACCAGATGCTTAAGGACTATCTATTTAATATGTTGCTGAAGATTAAAATCTACAAACCTAATATCTTGATCTAAAATTAGCAAGGGATGAGACTAAGAATGTATGAATCGATCCTAAAAATAGTAAAAAACTGTATTTGGTAATTAATTTGGTTATGCTGCTAAAACCACAAGAAGAGTTAGTGATACAGCTGATGATGAAATAAAAGAAGCTTTGAATTTTGATATATTGTAAATCAAACCTGGAAAACCATATAAAGGTGCTAAAACAAAAGAATCAAGAGAATCAGCATCTAAAATACTTGAAATTCTTAAATTAAGAGACTATTACTCATTTGATGGTCATGAATAAAGTGAAATTTCAAGTAAATTTGTTCAACATAATGCAAAAAATGAACCTTATATTATTTGGAATAGAAGAGTTGATGTATTACCTATTTTAGAGAATACTGAAGTTCTATAAGAAAATGGAATTATTTTTACTAAATCAGGTGAGAATATTGATGTAATTGTACCAACAATGTTATAATTTATAAGTGATTTAATTAATCTAATGAAATGTGTTGGTAATAATTCAATTGCTAGTTTTTGTTATGATAGACTCAAATTCTTAGAATAGAAATTTTAAATGCATGAAATGTAATATATTAATATCAATATTAGTTTCAATCATTAAAATGAATAATTAGATTAAAAAAATATTATAAGAAGAGATTTTTATAATGTTTTTAAAGTAGATACTCATATTCATCATTCAGCAGCAATGAGTGCAAAACATCTATTGGAATTCATATAAAGAAAATATGAAAAAAATGGTGATGATCATGTAGATATTAATAAAGATGGAACTAAAATTTGTTTAAGAGATATCTTTAAAAATATAAGTGTCGATCCTATTGATTTATCTTTGAATTCCTTAGATGTACAAGCAGACAAAGGTATCTATAAAAGGTTTGATAGATTTAATAATAAATATAATCCTTTAGGTACTCCTAAATTAAGAGAAATATTTCTAAAAACTGATAACTATATTAAAGGTAAATACCTTGCAGATTTGACTAAAGAATTAATGGATCAATTGGAATAACAATAATATATTGGATGTGAATGGAGAATATCTATTTATGGAAAATCAATGGAAGAATGGCATAAATTAGGAAAGTGGTTAATAAAAAATAAACTTTATTCATCTAAAGTTAGATGGATGGTTTAAATTCCAAGACTCTATAGTGTTTATAAAAAATCTGGCATGATTCATTGTTTCTAAGATATGATTGATAATTTATTTAGACCACTATTTGATATTACAATTAACCCTACTATAGATCCTTTTCTATATTAAGCATTATTCTAAATAACAGGCTTTGATACTGTTGATGATGAATCCTTATATGAATACTTTGCAATTTCAGATTTAAAATAATCTCCTAAGGATTGGGCTGGAGATCGTAATCCACCTTATACTTATTGGATTTATTATATTTATGCAAATTTATATACTTTAAATGCTTTAAGATAATAGAGAGGTTTAAATACTTTTAAATTTCGACCTCATTGTGGAGAAGCTGGTAATGTTGATCATTTAGCCACTGCTTATTTAGTATCTGATGGTATAAATCATGGATTAGAATTATAAAAATCTCCAGTTTTATAATATTTGTTTTATTTAAAATAAATAGGAATAGCAATGTCACCTGTATCAAATAATAAATTATTTTGTCGTTATTAAAAATCTCCATTTTAAAAGTACTTTCAAATTGGTTTGAATGTTTGTTTATCTACTGATGATCCTTTAATTTTACATTTAACAAATGAACCTTTATTAGAAGAATATGCAATAGCATCATAAATTTTTGATTTATCAGCCATAGATTAAGCTGAATTAGCTAGAAATTCTGTTAGATAAAGTAGTTTTGAGAAAGAAATCAAAGAATTTTGGATTGGAGAAAATTATAATGATAGAATAGGATAAAAAAGTAATTATATTGTATAATATCATTCATAGATGCTGAAGATAGAAATAATCTACCAGCCACAAGATTCATGTATAGAAAAGTGACATTGAATGAAGAGTACGAACATCTTGAAAAATTAAATTTTGAAGAACTGTTTTGATACTTAAAATATTCAAATAATTATTCTATTTAAACATATTGTACAATATAAAAAAATCAAATTATTCCTAAATATGTTATATTTCTAAATACAATATTATATTATATTATATATATATATATAAATTTGATATTTATTTAATATATAAGAATCTATTTTTTAATTGAATAACTCTAATAAAAATAGTTAGAAATCTATTTAATATTGAATTAATTATATTCTGATTTATATATGATATATTAAAATAATTTATATAATTTTAATGGTTAATATTTTATATGTAAATATATTATAATTATCATAATAATAAATCGTTTATCGTTTAATTTCTAACTTCAAAATTGTAATCCTAATGATTAAAGTTCCTTTAAAAACTATATTTTAAATATTCATCAAATTCTGGCTATTACATTTATACATGATTTAAGTGATCAACTTCTTCCTCTTTCTTTATATTCTAGTACTATTCTATTTCTTATCCTTAATTCCAATAATCTTAATGTAAACCTGCATAATAGTATTTCTATTGTTCTAAAAGCATTAAATAGTAAGGATCGGCAGCTTCATAATTTAAAATTAAATTTGCTTCCTCTTTTATTCATTTATATTAATTACCTGCCTTAGGCAAATCAGATTATGGGTTCTTCTTTTTTCTACCTGCTCTACTCCTTTCACTTCTTGGTAAACGTTTCCCATTTTCTCCTCTCAATGCATAAGGATTAAATTTCTAATGATGACTTCTACATTAACTAGGAGTTCTTGTTCCAATCAATTCACTCATCTATTTGAATATCTTAGATGTTTTCTTCATCATAGAAGATGTCATAATATTCTCATACTATTGTAGAAATTAGATATAAGTTGTATGTTCATCAGTTGACCAATGTCCAGTATTTATATTGTCTTTTTTAGGTTTCTTTGTTAATTGATTCTATCCTTTCTCCTTTTATGTTTATTGAGAACCCTCCTATGATACTGCTCCTTCATTATTTTGATTAGAAACTAAATCTGACTATAGCTTAGGCATAGGACTTCCCTATGTAAAATGTAGAACTGTATAAGGAGTTATAGGCTTTAATCTTGAATGAAATTAATTTTATATTTTACATCTATTCCCCTTATTAAGCTATTTATTAAAGATCTTCAACAACTTGTTTTTATGATTCAAGGGTTTTCGGTAACAACCCTTATTAATCGTTAGTCCTGTTTGCAATATATAATTTAATTACTTATTCTTTTTAATTTTTTTATTCTTTATTTAACTTGGGATTTCATGCTCTTAAACATACTCAAATTAATATTGAGGGTATGCAGATGGATGAAAATTCTAATGGATAAAGTTATACTCATTGTAATTTGAACTGGAGCTTAATTCTGAATTAATAATTTATTATTAACATACTTTGTTGTTCGATCTCTGCTTAATATTGTACTTAAGGTTCTAAGACATAAGGATAATAATTTGGAAATTATTGGATGTTCATCTTATATTTAGAATATTTATTAACTATTCTAATTAATATTAAAATAAATTAATATTAATCTAAGCTCTTTCACAACTAAAAACTTAATTTATTAAAATACATTAAGAAATATTAACTTTTTATTTTAAGTTGTTTTTATACTTGAATTTAAAATAATAAGAATTTTAATCTAGAGATATGATTAAAATTGCAATATATCTATGTTCATTTAAATGAATAAGATAATTTTTATAAAATATATTTATATATAATAAAAGAAGAAATATTAATATTATGAAATGTAATAGCATAATATTATTTTTTATTCTAATAGAATAGACTTTATGCTTTGATGGAAATGATAAAATACTACTTAGTTTATCTTAATCATTTAGTTCGATAATTGTTACAGAGTTAGGAGATAAAGTAATATATTATATATAATACGATAATAGACCTTTTTCTTAGCTGCTATAATGTCAATAAAATATAATCGAATAGCAGTTTTAATTGGCTCTACTCTTGCTCTTATACTCATCACAACAATAAGTACAATTTTTGGACTTGTGATTCCTGAATTGATTTCAATCCTATATGCATAAATTATAGTTTCGATTGTTTTTTATTGTTTTGGAATTAAATTCTTATATACATGGTACACTATGAAAAAAGAGAAAGAAGATTTACAAGAGGTTGAATAGGAATTAACAACATTAGATAAAAAATTGATGAATTTACCAGATCCTGAGACAGATCAAGTTAATGATAATGTTACTAAAAGTAAGAATCTTAATATTTATAATAGATTTTATATAAGTACAATTCTAATCAGTGGTTTGGTAAGCTTTTACTTTAACGCTTTTGGGTGAATGGGGAGATAAAAGTCAAATTACAACTATAAGTTTATCAGCAATCTATAATCCTTATTATATTTTCTTAGGTGCAATCATAGCTCATTTTATTTGTACAGTTATAGCTGTTCATGGTGGAAAATTGATTGCAAATAAGTTATCTGAGAAAAATTTCAATTTTCTAGGAGGTATAGCTTTTCTTTGTATAGCACTAATAAACACTTATATGGCAGTATTTTTATGATTGTTTATATCTTTTTATTTATATTACATTATATGTTTATATCTTATAATAAGATATTAATTAAAAAAACTACTGAATTAAGTGATATTATTCTTGAATTCCAATATTATTTGTTATTTATTTAATTTTTTATTATGCTAAATAAGTAAGTCGTAAGCAGAACTGCCCCTAAAAGAAATTTGATATTTTCACAAAGTGTTCTAGAGTCTAACTAAAAATCATCTTTATAATAATAATCTAGTAGACATTTCAAAGTGAAATCACAAGTTTTGTGTAATACTCCTAGTGCCTAAGAAAAGTTTAAAACAGATTTGTTTAAAGAATAGAGTCTCTTTAGTGAAGACTCTGATAATGACTTGTTTCGTGAGAGTAGCTTAAAACCACCAAAGACTGCTAGTTCATTCAAGACCAGATCAAAGATACTAAATTAGATGGCTTATTTGACATAGAAGATGACACCAGATTATTAAAAGAGAATGCAACTTATTTCTCAGGCCGAGTAAAATGGATTTGTTATAAGAGGGACAAGGTGCTTGACTTTCGTATTGAACAAACTGAGTTACCAATTCAAGTAAATAGTCAGTAGTTGAGTTTTGGAGAAACCTTTATTAATTATTAGCATGATAAGGTATAAAATATATTCAAAAGTTTTTATAAAGCATCCTATAGAGTTATAACCTGAATTATGGAATGTCTAGTCAGTTAGATAGATGGAATTTTATTATTACAAGATTAGATCAAAAATGTAGGCTGTTCCATTATAATTCTATATGAATTAAACTGAAAATACAAATTTTAAAATATTTGTTTCATCTGTTAATCCATTTCCAACAAATTTCTCTTGTGATTAGATAATATCAGTTAAGGGATGGAAATATAAGGTAGATGAATCTAAAATATTTCATTGTGAATATATTTATATTAGTATGGTCTGTGATTTAGATACTTAAGTGAAATTAAAATATTAATTTGGTACAAAAATAATGAAAAGACCATAAACAATGTAAAAAAAGATGGAAACTGAATCTATCTTTCTTTAAAATCCTTAATAATAATAATTAGAAAGAATGAATTCTGATTTTTTGTTAGCTTAGGTAGCTGAAATAAAAAAAAGAAGAAAATAAAGATTAAGATAAAGAGGAATATTTAAAGATTTAATAAAAGAAAATATTTAAAAAGTAGTAGAATATAATGAGGAATAATAAAGGAGTTTTAGAGAAATGAAAAGAGTACAATCTGATAATAGAATAGAAGATGTTTTATTTAGAAAGAAATAGTTAAATTAAAATGAACAATAAAGAAAAGTATATGAACAAAAAACAAGAGAATTAGGTAAAATATTAAGATAAAGATCTAATTTTGTATAATCAAAAAAAACATTGAAAAATAAAGTATGTTATCATTGGCTAAATTTCATTTATATAGCTTTAATAAGTAGTAAAATATTACATGTATATTAACACAAAATTGAAGCATAAAATTAATCTACTTTGATGGCATTTTAAGTTAAAAGAATTATGAAAAGAATTCATAAAAGACTCATAGCAATTAAAGGATTAACATTATATGATAGAGTATTTTTTGATGTTAAACTGTATAAATTAATTATAATATAATTAGAGCTTCATTATGTTTTTGTAGAGCAGTTTATTAAAAGTAAGTAAAAGAACATATATAAAAAATAATACCCTTTCTAAAATAAAGAGCTGAATTACATCATTTTAAAAATTAAGTAGTGAGTACTCATATCAAGATATAAAAAATTAGATAAATATTTCAAGAATTTCTATTGAAATTTAAAAACTATAAAAAATCATTATTAGGTTTATGGTAGAAGTATTTTAGAGAATAACTTCTTAAGAATTATAATCAATTAAATTAGAGAAAGAAAGAGATGTATTAACAATATATATTTTTACTATAGAATCAAGAAAATTATAAGTATCTTATTATTTTAATAAATACTAGTATTCTATAAACAGAATTTGTGAATACATACAGTAAAGAAATGTTAAGGACATTTTTGAAAGAAATGAGTGTCTATTCTTAATATATAAAAAAATTAAGATAATAAAGATATAATAAAACTAAGAAGAGAGATTTAGAATTGTATGAATAAGTTATTTACTAACCAAAAATGTTTCATATACCAAATTATGATGAAATTTTAGAATATCTTCCAATATTGATGAGTAATAATAATAGATAAGATGCAAGAAGTTCATAATAGATTTCATAATCTTAAATCTTAAGTATAGGTGAAAATAATGAAAAAAAGAGAAAATAAGTAAGAATGAAGAAATGAATTTATATTAATTAATTATGTCATGATATAAATTATTGATTATATATTTCTTTTTCTTAATTTAAATAATATCATAGAATAAAAAGAGAACTATGTTTAATTAGATTGAATTAGTATTTATAATAAATTCTTATTGTTGATATTTCTTAAAGATATTTTTTAAAATCTAAGAAAATGATTGATTAATTTTTTATAATTATTTTTTATATCATTATGCTGTCCATCCTCCATCCATTGTATAGGCAGATCCTTTGATTTATGAAGCTGAATTTGAACATAAGAATGTAATCAAATCTCCTAATTAATCAGTTGATACTGGTGTTACAGATGGTTACTTTTCTTCTAATAATTTAATTTATGCTTCTTCAAATGATATCTTATATTAATCAGCTCTTTATTAGATTTATGTCTCTATCAATTTGGTCATTACCCATCCAGGACAAACTGCATTAATAGTAACTCCTGTTTTTGCAACTTCAAGAGCTGTTGCTTTTGTTAATCCAACAATTCCATGTTTTGCAGCTACATATGCACATTTGTTTACAGAAGCAACCAAACCTATTTAATAAATGATGTTTATTACCATGAACACTAGCTATATTGATAATACGACCCCAATTTTTATCAAGCATTTATGGTAATGCATATTTAGTTGTAAGAAATGCAGCAGTGAGATTTATAGCAATAATGTCATTGAATTTCTATTCTGGGAAGTTAACTGCTGTTTCAATATATTGTATTCCAGCATTATTTACTAAGATATCAACACTTCCTAAAGCTTTACTAGTTTCTTAGACCATACTTTTAACCTATACTATATTTTATATAAAATACTTAAGTTCCTTCTTTCAAATCAGCACCATGATAAAAGGTCTTTACTTTAAATTAGCTTTCTATTTCTTTTCTGATTGCAGTAACTTCTTCTGGTTTTGCAAATCCATTGAGTCCTATATGAACACCTTAAGATGCCAATTTCTTTGCAACAGACAAACCTATGCCACTTGTTGAACCAGTAATCAAAGCTACTTTTCCTGGAAGATTAGCAAACATTAATAAATTATGACCCTAAATTAAATATTATTAGAGACTGTATCCAATATTACTATTTTGATTAAACTATAAAATACATATAATTTATATTAAATATGACAGAAGGACTCAAATTTGTTAAATATGTTCTCTTAAAATAAGAAAATGATCCACTTGAATATTGTGTTTGTACTCTACCAATCTCATCAAATATTGGAATTCCTCAATTTCCTTGTGAATTACCTAATAATTTTAATCTTTTTCAATCAAATGAAATATTTTCATAATTAGGAATGGTATATGTAATTTTGATTTCTCTCAGAAAATAATGGATATTGAATTAGAAGAAAACCATAAATTAATGAGGAAAATTTGTTGTCTTAGTTTGAGACCCTTAAATATTACATCAAGAGATTTTAATAATAACATTCCAATATAAACATAAAGAAAATTTGCAATTCCTTTAATATAGAAAAATGAAATGAAAGTTAAATATGATGGTGAATATGCAGGTAAATTTTTTTAAGAATAATATTGCTCTTTTATGAAAGGGATTTTTCATTAATTATTCATTTATGATAGTAATGAGTACCTACCTTATTTATGAGATTAATGCTACTATAAATTAAAAAGGATTAATATGATTTTTACCTTTTTAATCTTGTAAATCTATCAAATATTAAATAATTGATAAAAGACCTGCTGAAGAATAATTAATTATTGATAGTTATACAAATAATCAAATTGAACATATATTCTATGGATGGTCTAATGAATATTATTCAAAAGGCTGATTAATGTAATTAATAATAATATTTAAAAAGATGGTATAAAATTTCCAGATAGTGCTTGTGAGAAAGATAAAGCATTAATAATAATGTATTATATATTTATTGATTATTTGTGGTTTGAAAACTTTTGAAGATATATTACTTATTCATAAATACTTTTTATTGTCTTATTATTATTTTTAATAAAAGTTTTTGGCTTATTCTTCTTGTCCTTATTCATCATCTACAAATTAAAACAAATTAAAAAATTGTTATTAGTTTGACTTTTACAATTCTGGCAATTATGATTTATTTTCTCTTAAAAACTACAATAAAGATTAATTTTACTTTGATGAGTCTTCTTCTCTCATCTATTTTATCATCTATAAATTATTAAAATTCTACATCATCTTTTGCTTAAAAACAAGACACAGCTAAACAATTAATCATATTACAATATACATAAATTATAATAAGGTCGACATTATTTTTATTGATACTATTCATTATCAATGAAACTCATACAGTTTTTGTATGCTTCTTATAAGCTTTTACATGACATCTGACCAAGAATTGGATGATCAATTTACTTATCACCTCTAAATAATTATAATAAATTAAGAAACATTTAATAATGAAAGAATAGCTTTAAACAAATTAAACATATGGTACTTATTAATCATTAAATTAAGATGAAAATGCTACAGAATCTGTATTAGTAAAGTATATTTGAGTAATTAGGAACGAGACGTTTAATAAAATCAAATCAAATATTCGATAGCTATGTTTCTATGTGGTTTAATCAATAATACAGGATATGTGTTAGTTGCTACCTCAGCATAATCTATTGCTAAACATTTTAATAAGGAATCCTTTATGAGTGCATTTAATTTGTAAATGTTCAATTCCATAATAGTTCTTTAATCTTCCTATCTATTGGAATGGTCTTTATGAATGCAAAACTATTTATTAAAATATAACATAAGAAAAGAATTTATGTTGCAATATCATTATCTGCAGTGAGTTTTATTATCATAGCAGTATGGTAAAATATATATATTATTATTAATATAGCACTACTATTGAATAGGATTATGCATTCTACATTTCCCTTTTAGGAGCTACTTTGTGTGGTTGTATGTAATCTTTTGGAGAAGCTACAATGCTTGGTTATTGTAAATCATTTAGTTCTTCTTTGATTGGATTTTGGAGTTCAGGAACAGGATTTGCAGGAATATTTGGATCTGGATTTTTCTTAGTACTTAGAGCTCTAAAATTTACTGATTTTTGGGTATTATACAATATTATATTAGATATTTATGACAGCTATTCCATTTTTATTAATATATCTATACAATTTTTCATGGTTAGATAATAAAAGAAAAAGTTTATCAAAAGTTTAATTAGTGGAAGAGGAAGAAGATGAAAGCACAAATAATTTATAAATGAGTTTTGAAAATATGAGATATGTTCTTAATTTAGCTTGGTCATATTCCTTAAATTTAGGAGCTGTTTATTTTTTTGAATATTTTGTATTAACTTGTTGGGCAGATCGTGCCAATCCAGCCTAAACTGATGGAAATTACTTTTAAAATAATGCATATGCTATATTGGCATTCTGTTATTAAATTGGTGTATTCATATCAAGATCATCACTTAAAATTATATAAATTAAAAATGTTACTTTATTAACAATCATTTAAGGAATAAATTGTGGAATTTGGGCAGCAATAGCTATAGCTTATTATTATTCAAATTATCAATTAAATATTGCTATACAAATTTGTTTGATGTTATGGGTTGGATTAATGGGAGGTGCAAGTTATGTGAATGTAAATTATCTTATTGTATCTGGAACATTCTTACCTTAAAATTGTAAAGAATTGTGTATGTGCATAAATTCTATGACAAATAATACTGGAATTATGTTTGCAACATTATTTGCTATGGCAATTAGTAATTTTTGGCTTAAATGATTTTATTAAGATAAATGTATATAAAATTCTGTAAATATAAATATATTGTTTAAATTACCTTCTCCATATTCTATTCTTTAATTCTTTTTTTTTAACTTTCACTTACATATTCAATTAAATTATAGATGTATTATCACATAATAATTAAGTATTCTAAAGTTGTTACAATAATATATAAATATATATATTTTATTGATGATAATCTTATGTTAGACTTCCTTTATTGAGTAGAAATTTAGTTAGTAATATAAAGACATATATATTTTTCTATTTAAATTCTCATTATGACAATAAATTAGAAGATCCAAAAACATATATTAAATAATGTAAATAAAAAATGTGTAAAAACTAAATTATTTATTTCATCTAATATATTAGACTATAAGTAAGTATATCGTATAATAATTAAGATATTAATAATAAAGAATTTAAATTTATATCTAAAGTATCTTAATTATTCAATTTAATTAAAGATATTAATTGGATTCTTGATTCCAATTAAAACTCTTTTAATCATTTGTTCTCTCAATTAATTCAATGCTACATGTATATCTTTGCTTATATTAATTGCTAATTCTATAAATATATATAAAATAGGTTATAGATCTTTTAATGCTCTATATTTTGTAACTCTGAATCAACTTTAGATACGATTTTTCAGGTTAGAATTAGAAATTTTAAGGCATGTCAATTATTATACTATTGAATAATTTCGATTTAGATCAAATAAATACCTTAATATAGACTTAATTCTTAAAAATAATTTAATCTCTATATATAATCTCTGAATCCCTTCTTATCAATAATATAAATTATGAAATTAGCATAATCTGGAAGTGCAGCTGTATAGATTTTTCAATTTGTTTTTTTGCGATGTCCAATTTGATTGAAGAATATGATTTTTATCAAAAAATTTTGATTTTAAAATGTTAAAAGTTTCCTTTGAAGATTTTGTGCTAAGATTTTTATTCTAATTACTTTTTTATTATTTATTTGTAAAATTTCTATTATTTAGATTGTTGATATTTTCATGATTAATATAATTTTTTCTTTTTGGTTATAATACTATTTTATTACATTATTAAACAATTTAAGAAATTGTTTGCAATTTTAAGTTTTTAATCATTATTTGCTAAAATTATTAGAACCATTTTGTTAATTAGATGAATAGTATAAAAAATTGATGTGGTTTTCTAATTTAATCTCTACTAGTCTCTGTAATTAAAAATTCAGATTTTAGAAAATTTATCTATCTGATCTTCTATCAATTTATTATTTTTGAAGTAGTTTTGTGTTTATCACCTTGGATCAAATAATTTAGCAACTACCTTGATGTATTTTTATATTGATTAAAAGCAGTTAATGATCTATTTTAATTGTTATTAGTAATGTCTAGTTTATTAGATTAACTAGTTACTTCTATTTTCAGGTGAAATTTCTTTAAAGATTTAAATGATTTACTTAAATAAGATGATGTCTTTAATTGATTCTAATAATTTGACAATTTTGGATTTAATCTGTATTAAAACATGTTTGAAATTATTAGCAGAGATTGATTAACAATAATTTTATTCTAATAAAATACTTATCTCAAAATAATAGGATATAATTAAAAAAGATAAAAAATTATTAAGAATACATTACATAATCATATTATGCCTATTCAAGATTATAATTAAAGGTTTTCTTCTTCTGTGTAATCTATCAAGATTTTTCCCAAACATTTTTACTCTTATAAAAACTATTAGCAATAAGAAGAATTCAGAATCATAAAATTCCTTTAATATTTTTATAATTTACACCCCTATTTAATTTAAAAATGATTAAATTTTTTATGCTCTTTTTTTCATGTTATCAGGACTTAATTAATTAAAGACAAAATTTGATGAAAGAGTGAGTTTTATTTAGTATTTTTTACACAAATTTTTCTTAAATTTTATTAACTAACTAAAACGAATTCTCATTATCCACTTTTTTCCATATTCATTTACTTCAATCTAAAATCTCTATAAAATTATTTTACTAAATAATATGCATGTTTTAGTTAAATTTAAACAGCAACTACTCTAAACCCAATGTAAAAGATATTTCTTTTTTTTTATTTTTCGAGAAACTATAAAATAGGAGAATCTATTTGATTTGTGGATTAATCTAGGTTTAAATTAGTTGACTATTTAGAATATGAGAGAGTCAAACCCTTATTCATTTTATTAAGAAAAATAATTTAATAAATATCTAAGAGTTCATGATTTAATAAATCCATGATAAATATATAATACAAATCAGAATCTTGTAAGATTGAAGATAACGAAATCAATTTTATAATTTTGATATAATCAATATCATTATATTCTTTTCATAAAGTATTATTTTTATAAAATTACTAATATTTAAATATATAATTATATTAGAATTCATTTAAGTAAATTATATAGAAATTTGAATTCTATTCTAGATATTAAATTGTAAGATTCTTTAAGATTAATTTAGTCTCATATACATTATTCTATTTAAACAATAATCTAGAATGGTAGGAAAATAATTATAATAATTCTAATAAATTAAGTTATAAATATGACATAAAGTTAGTTTTGTAATAAAAAATAAAAAATATCTAATATACTACTTATTTAGTTGTTTGATGTACTTTAGTATTAGTCAGTATTAATCGACTGAAAATAAGAAAAGGAACTTTCCTTATAAAGTTATTCTATAGTTCTAATAAATGTTGATAAGAATCCAACATTTATAGATTTGTGAACAATAACATTTATGTTTGATTAGTATGTATTTAATAATATTTATTATTAATTACTTTCATGATTTAAATTCCTTTGAAATTTGACAGTCTACATATTTTATTAGAAATCATAAAAAAAAGTACATTGAAAAAAACAATTTATATGATGTAAAATTTAATGTAATATTATATTAAAGAGAATCTGATTACAAAATATTGATTCTATAGTTATAAGAGTATTATCAATTTAGTTTTATAAAATTTTTAGTATTTTAATTAAGTTATTACCTTTAGTCTTCAAATATGGGTGGAGCATGCTCTGGAACAAAATCATAGGCCAAACAGAAACTACAATAATAGGAATTAAATATAGTTGATTAACCATATTTAGAAGTGCTATCCATTCCCCAAAGCTAATCATCTTCCAAACCTCCAGAATAGAGAAGTGAAACTGGATAATCTGTTAAGGACCTTCTAATTTTATACAAAAAATTTACAGATTTTTTTGGATTAGTTGGAAATTTGGATCATTTACCATAACATACAAGAGAATAATTACATAATTGTATTATTTAGAGATCTAATATTAATATACTTATTTCGAATAGTATTAAAAGAATAATGAGAGAATAGTAAATAATTAAAAGGGTTGAAGAAAGTGATTATTATTTAATACATAATGATGAGAAATTCGCCATAACATTTACATAAATTATGTAAAAATTATCAACCATCATATTAACTGAACTGAAAGATGACTAAGACTTTTAGGAAGCATTTCCTATGCTTAGTGTTTCATTCGTAGATTTAGCCTAACAGATAAATAATGTTATAGAAAATTTTTAAAATTTCAAAACTCTCTCTTCCAAAAAATAAAGAACTAAACAACCATAATCAGAAGAGAGTAATAATCAAAAGACAACAAATAAGACATCTTTGTAATAGTGAATATATCTATCATATTTAAATTAGGGATTAATATTATTTAATGACCTTGTGCTTAAGTATCTTCATTGGAAAATTATATATAAATATTTATATAATTTTTAATAGTTTAGATTAATTTTATAAGCATGTACTTATAATTTTACTTTATTCTTATTAATGTTGAAATTAAAGTAATTTTAACAAAAAGATAGTAATGTTAAAAGCTGTGTTTAACATTTCCAAGATGCTTATAATTAATTAAAACTCAACTGTTGAAAAAAAAATTATTTATATTCGTTATTAATTATTAAATTCTATATTTAAATTGCATAGATAAAAAAGCATTTTGAATCAATAGTTTTAAATCTAATGACAGATAATCTCATAGCAATTTGAAATATCTACTCAAAAGAATCTTAGTCTAAGTAGATAACAGTATATAAAGAAATAATAAGTGTTAAGTCAAATTGAATCAGAACTGAAAGATTATGATAGTTTATTGTATTTACTAAGTATCATTAACATTATCTGACAGTAAGGATTAAAAGGAAAGTTAAAATACATTCTTTCAATCAATAGAAAATGAAAAAAAATTAGAATAAAACTTTAATCAGATATGAATAAGAATTATAAACATATAAGTATTATATGAAATTTAATCAATTAAATTATAGTCTAACTTAATTTAATAATCTCATTTTATATGTGGATATATAATAAAATTAGCATTATTCTTTTTTAATTATATCATTTCACCATAAAATGAATAATAGATTTAGTTTTTTTATCAAAATGATAATATTCTAAATGTATTATGTTAAAATATGATGCAAGAAAATTAATTTTCAAACATCGTTTCAGATTTAATTTTATTTGGGTTAAATATTAATTATGTTATATGTATTCAGCAGTCAAACTTATACTTAATAAAAGATGGTTTATACTGATTACTGATGCTTATTATTCTTTTTATAATCATTTTCTTGACAATTTCAAAATATCCTTCAGAATTGCCATATCATTATCCTTATTAAAATTATATTTTTATTATATAGAATTTTATTAAATCCTCTCTTATTCTAACCAGATTATTAATGAAGTGAAAATCTTTGTAGGTAGAATGCATTTTTATAATATAGGAAGTTTAATTTAACTTTGTCATTCCTATAATTTATAGAAGGATTTATATCTAAATTTAGGAAGTTAGGTGATTACCTTTTTTCTCTTTCTAATATACCCTACAATTAAATGAATTGAATAAAATTTGATAATTGATTGAATATTAAATTTATATAATATATAATGAAACTTGGAGATTCTAAATTGGCCTCAGCCATAAAGAATGTTATTATAGCAAATAAGAATGTGGAAATAATCAAAGATGTATTATAAGAAGATCCAAGAGAAATGAATGTGTCTGTGTTTGATTAAGTAGGACAGGAGAATTAAGATGTGAAATATTTGGATTTATTCATTCATTTAACTGAATAATGTCTTAACAATCCTAATAAATCTGCAACTCTTTGTACAGATCTAATTCTTAAAATATCATATGTAATATCTGATCCTTCTAAATGGTCTAAACATTTCAATTCTAAAATTTAGTAATTAGTGTAATTATTATTAGGTTTTAAAAAAATCAAATTCATGAAAAGATCAATTAATTCTTATCTAATTGTACCTTATTAGTAGAAAATTAAAAACCTGTTCAAAAGATTATAATAATGGCTTTAACAAATTTAGTTACAATAAATGAACCTGAAGATGAAACATTATGTGAGTCATGTTTAAAATCTTTAAAAATATTGTATAAGAACAATCCAGATTTAAAATAATTACTTAAAAAAACAATATAAAAGAATATCCTAACTAATTTAGAGCAAAAAAGTTTTCTTACAATTCCTATTTGTTTACTTAAGGGTTTGACTGATTTTGCATCTGAAATAAAATTAGGTGATTGGATGACAGATTAATAATGTATTCTTTTTGGTAGATGGCTTGAATAAATCTTTGCAATATTTAAAGATGATAAATCAAAGATTGATTAATCAGTAGAATGTACATTATAATTAATGAGTAAATGTTTTGTTGCAGAATCCTTTGCCACTTAATTAGAAGAATTTATAACAATGGATGGAGTGATGGATATTTTAAGTTATTGCTTTACTATCCCAAAAAAGGCTAAACCAGATGAAATTTTTACAAAAAATAAAATAATAGTATATGTTTTTGAGATGATCAGTTCATTAAATAGATTTCTAAAAAAATCAAATTAAACATAAAAAGAAAAATATTCTGATAAAATTTCTACAGAAATTAGTAAAATGATAGATGAATTGGAATCAGATAAATATCATTTTGCTAATTCTGACTCTGTTAAGACTTAAGAGTAATGTTAAATTATGAATAAGAAATTAGGTTCTTTAATTAGAGCATATGGTAAGATTTTAGTAGATAATCCATAATATACAAAAATATTAACAGATAAAGAAATTAGTGATCCAATTAAAAAAAAAGAAAGGGAACTTTTGGCTAGTTAAAATGAGAAAACAAAATCAGATAAGAAAGAAGAAAAGGTGATCTTTATATAAGTTTTAAAATTATTGACTATTAAGAAATTAGATCCATATATATATGGAAGTCTTTGTTAATTTTTAGTAACAATATTAGAGAGTCAAGTTTGTGATCTATATTTAGGTACAATAGTATCAACATGTGAAAATTTTAATAATACTTTATCATTATTATCAAAGAATCAATATAATGAATTTTGTTTAATGGCCAGAGTATATGGTAATGTTTAAGTAACTGCAGAACATACTCTAGCTAATATGCCAACTTTAGAATTATAATATGCTGTACTTCAAATTTTAAAAGTTTTTGAATGTATGTAAAAAAAAGCTTCAGATCCTAATGATATATAAAAGTTTTAAGAAAAATTGAAAACTTTAGAATAATGGTATTATAAATCGATCATTTTGTCTTGTTTAGAATCACCAGTAGAAGATATTAGAATAGTAACTACTTATTTATTATCAAATATACCAAGTCGTAAATGGGAATTTGATGATCTAAAAATTATGTAAAAGATATTAGAAAAATTATAGTAATTATTATCAGATGGATAAGGAGAAGAAGTATAAAACATAAATAAAAATAGGAAATTTCATGTTTATTAATGATTTTTTGTAATATTGTATCATCAAATGCAAATCCAGTTTCATATCAATTCAGATAAAATACATCATCATCAAATTTATGTGTGGTTGCATATAAAATGTAATAGAATAATATATATTTTAGATTGAGAACTAATATGAGTAGAGATACAAGAGGAGATGAAAATCAGACAAGATAAAAAATTGCATTAAGTGCTTCTTGTGTATATTTATTAAGTCAATATCTTTATTCATCATAATTAAGAAATAATTTCTTTAATTAAAAGGCACTTTTTGAAATTGGTGAAGCATTAAGATTAGAAGATCAATTAGGAACTGATATTAAAACTCCATTATCTATAGAATCTATTTGTTTAGTTATTTAACCATTATTTCAATCTATAGAATGTAAATTTAATTTAATATTCAATTAGCTGATTTTGGTATCAATATTACTCACTTAAATTTCTTTAGAGTTTTGATGTAAATTAGTAGTATTTTGAACTTTTAAAAATATTATTAAACATAATAATTAACTAAAGCAAGAGCAGAAATAGAAAAAGAAATTTAAGCTTAAAAAGATTTAATGTAATCTAAGAAAAATAAGATGCATAAGGTTAATATTGCTGAAGATTTTGATTATGATAATAATTAATCTGCAGATGATATTTTAAGCCAATATAAAAGAAATTTATATTAGTAATGTTGTGAATAATGGGAGGATTGGAAAATTATTAAATTTCCTAATTATAAATCTCTTGAACTCATAGATGATTTAATTAGTGCTTTTGAAGTATAACATACTATATTTTCATCTTAAAATGGAGTAGATAGATTACTTGCTTGTTTATAACCATTAATTTAAAATGTACATTTAGATTTAGAAGAAAAAACTATTTCATTAGATCCTATATATTAATAAGAAGGAAATGAGTATCAATCCAAAGTTGTCACTTCTAGTTTAAGTAAACATGCTATTGTTAGTAAATTGGTTGGATATCCTTAAAATTAAGATTTAAATGTTTCAAGATATTCATCCTAATTTTTTGAAGTAGTTTAATAAAAGAAGATATTGGCTAATAGTATGGTAGATCTATAAACATTTTCAGAAGATTAATTTTATGAATATATGTCACTTTCTCGTAGTCATAAGACAAAGATTGCTTTAATTACAAGTGCTTTTCTTTATTCTTGTTATATTTCTATTATTTTTGCACCTGAAGCATCAATACTTTGTAATGCTTTAACTGAAATATAATAAAAAGAGAAATTGATAGGATATATTAAATTATGTGCTGCTTCAGATTGGTATAATTCATGTGTTTCTATTAAATTATTTAAAATTTATAGATTGATAGGTAGACATATGATATTTTTTTTCAATAGTGATAATTCATTTAATTTCTAGAAATTTGTATAAGAAGAAATGATTAAATAATTAAGATAAAGTAATGAATTACCTGCTGTTTTAGAACCTAAATTAACAAAAATAAAGAAAGCCATAAAAGAAATAGATGTAAAATAAAAATAATTAAAAAAAAAACCTTTGTTTTCAGCTCCAAAACCAGAAGAATATTTAGAAACATGTTATTTAATTAATAAAACTATTTAAATTATTTTGAGTGACTTTAAAGAAATCATTTAATCTCTTAATAAAAAGTATTATTATTTAATTAATTTTCTTTAGTTAATTATTACAACAATTAAAATTAGTTAATAGTATCTTTAAAACAATACAAATAGTATTTAAATAAATGTTAATGTGTGTAGTAGAAATTAGAATGGATGAATATACATAAATATTTTCAGCTCTACGCAAAATTTATAAATAAATTGGAGCTTAAAACTTTTTTGATGAATTAACCATGTGTATGTAAAAATTAGATAAAAAATTGTCATCTATGTCAAATCTATTTTAAAATAATGATTACTTACAAAAATAATAATATTAGTTATATGTCAATTTAGCATAAATATTAGGAATCATATTCATATAAAAAGGACAAAGTTTAAAATAATTATTTGGTAATTTATGTTAAAGATTTGATTCCTCTAAATTATCTGAAGCTGTCAATAATGGTATTAAAGCATGGGTAGCATAAATGGTTATGCTTCATTAATTCACATATAAAGATATCTATAATCCATTTGTTAATTAAATTCCTATTCATGAAACAATAATTGATTTTAAAAAATAAGAATCCTATACAAAATTCAAAAATTGTCTTCTATTAGTTTATAATACATATTTTGTTGTTCTTGAAGTTATAGGAGTTTAAGTTAATCAAGATTATTTATAAACTTAAGTAACTTAAAAGAATTACAAGATTCATTTACATGTATAAGGATAATAAGTAAAAATTATTTTATATCTTTTTAGATAAGAGAATCTGTATGTTAAATGTAATAGTAGGCTAATACAAATATGACTGAAGAATAAAGATAAGAATTACAGGAACATATAGAGGAATTTAATGAAGGATTGAAAGTTATGGATTTATAGATAATGAATTTAGATGGTGGATCTAAAAAGTCTGATCTTGATTATCTATTTTACTTTTAAACAAAATGGGATTGTGCAAAATATGTTAAGATATTTAATCTTTTGTAAAATGCTGATACTAATTTTGAAAATCCATTGATTTGAACTTCTAAGTTTTAATTTAATATAAATTATAACAATATGAATAAATTTAAATTAATCATTTTTATAGGATCTACATCTCCTATTAATTAGGAGGAATTTAAATATGAATGGCTTATGGATTTTATAATTATTAGTTTTCTAAGTGATCTTATAGAGCAAAGTTATTGAAGATTTATTCTATTGAGGCTTACTTTATTGAATATTGAGATATTCTTAATACTTTTTTCTATTAATATATAAAATAATAATTACATTCTTTTCAAAGCCATCAAATAATCCACCAACTGTTACTTGTCCCATTAATCTGAATCTATAAAATGTCTAAAAGTGTTCAATAATTTCAAATTACCCATAGGACTTCATAATGAAATCCATGAGAACTCTACCCATACCTTCAACAATGATAAATTCTGCTAATGTTTCAATTGCTAGACCATTTGGTTTTCTTAAATCATTATAAATATGAGATCCAGAACCTCTCATATTAATTTCTTATTCTAAAGGTGCTTAACCTATTTATCTTAAAACTTCAACTGTTTTTTATTAATCCAGTCTAGAACCCACATGTAATTACATTTATGCAATTAATCCATTAATTTCATTAGTTATTGGTTTTTCTAATTTAACTTCAATTTCATATCCTTTTCCAAATTTATTTTTAATATGTTGAACTGATCCTAAACATCTAAGATTTCCATTAACTTGAATAGCAATTTTAGTTGACAAAGCTTCAGCTTCTTCCATTGAATGAGTAGTAAGAATGATAGTACTTTATTTTCTTTGAGTGGCAATTCTTGATATGACATTCCACATAAATCTTCTTGCTTCTGGATCCATACCAGTAGATGGTTCATCTAAAAAGACAATTGGTGGATTTCCAATCATAGCAATAGCAACTGATAATTTTCTTTTATTTCCTCCAGAAAGTTATCCAGCTTATATATTTTCAAATCTCTTTAAATCCATTTCACTAAGTTTCTTTTCAACTAAATCTTCCTTTTTGAAATATGGAATACCCTTTATATCAGAGAATAATTCAATATGTTCTCTAACAGTTAGATTGTCTAATAAGGCATCAAATTATGGACAATAACCAATATTAACTCTTGCTGCTTCTAAATCATCAATAACACTTTTTCCAGCAATATAAGCTTCTCCATATGTTGGTTTTAATTCACCTGATAATATTTTGAAAGTTGTAGTTTTACCAGCTCCATTAACTCCTAATAAACCAAAGACTTCTCCTTAATCAATAGCAAAAGAAACTTAATCAACAGCAACTTTATGTTTTCCTGCTCCTAACATAAACACTTTCCTTAATTTTTTAACAAGAATAGCTTTTTCATTTGGCTAATATGTTTCACATAATTAATTTTCTTTTGCAACATCATCATCAATAGGTTTAGGAATATATGGAATAGATTATTCACTTGATCCCAATTTCTATAATTAACCATTATCTTCAAAATATTCAATTATAAACACTAAGATAATGTATAAGACACCAGTAAATGCCAAAAATATCAGATCTGCACCTGCAACTTCAATATCATATGTGCTTTTTGTTTCAGTCCAACCTTCAAGAACTTTATAAGTAGCTTTGGAACATGAATTGACTATTCCATAAGCAAATGAGAAGGATGGGATAAATCTAAAGATCCATTATAATATTTTGGCTATATCTCTTGTTGATTTAATTAATCTTAGAATATAAACAACTAAACTAATAATAGATCCAACAACTAGATGTAAAAAGAAACTTAAGAGCATAGCATTACCTTATTGTCTGAAAAGAAAACTAAATAAATAGCAAAATGGTATCATTGACCAACCATATAAGAAAAAGATAAGCCAAGAGAATCCATAATTTTCATCTTCAATCATTGCTGTAATATCAAATGCTAATATTAATAAACAACAAACAACTGAAGGTATTATATGTTTTCCAACATCCATTAACCAATTACTAAACCAATATGCTTTAACAGAAACACCAGAAACCAATTATTAATGTTTTAAATTAATTTCTCTTTCTTTCACAATATATGATATAATTGATGCTGGAATAAATGCCATTCCCATTGAAAATACTAATGCTGCCAAAAATCCAGTTACTGTATTCTAACCCTATAATTCTTCAAATGTTCTTCTCATAGGACTATTAGTAACTTTAATTTCATAATTATCTCCCTTTAATTTTTTGAGAATTGCTTAATTCATTTAATTAACCATTACAACTGGACCTTCTCTGAAAATTGAATTAACAAACATATAATATTAGAAATTGTTATTTGTATTTGATGTCAAATAATACCATCCTATATCTGATCTTAAATCTGATGTATCAAAATAATTCTAATCAATTTTTCCTAAATTAGTTAAAGATGCATCTCCAAATACTTGTTATTTTTCATCATATACAGTCATCTATATGTTTTTGAATAAACTTTAATCATTAATACCTCCCCATAAATAAGTTATGTCTGTTGAATAACATTCAGAAGGTGGTGTTAATAGAACAATTTCTGGTTCAGTGATAAATTCAATAGTCATCAAAATTAAACCTAATAACACAACTAAACAAGGTAACAAGATCTCACAACATAAACTTCTAATATCTCTCTTGAAATAACGAGATCTCTTTATAATCAATGATAGAGTGTGATTGAAAAACAATTAAACAGAACTTATTATTCTGATTTAATTTATATCAAAATCATCTATTTACATAGCAGCTTGATTCTAACCTTCCTTCTCCATATATTCATTTACTTGGTGATGACCAGCTCCAATTTATGCTACTTTTAAAAAGACTTCTTCTAAAGTAGTTATACTAATTCCATAACTTTAAATATGTAATGGTTTTAGATTTTTATCTAATTCTGCAAAAAGTGAAGGGAATTTCTAAATTGCTTATAAAGGTAACTACAACAAGATTTCTGCTGATACTTTAGAAATCAATATTGATTCAGGACAAACCTTTTAAATTGCTTCAATAATTGGTTCTGAATCTGCCAAAGTACTTTCTTTTACAATTGTTAAATTGTATCCATTTCCAAATTGATTCTTCAAAAATACACTACTTCCTGAACATTATAATTTTCCTTCACCCATAATACCAATTCTATCTCCCAAGAAATCAGCTTCATCCATAAAATGTGTTGTTAAAACTATAATTCTATCTTCCTTATAATTTTTAAGCATCTCCCAAATATATCTTCTTGCACTTGTATCCATACCTGATGTTGGTTCATCCAAATAAATTAATTTAGAATTTCCAATAAAAGCCATGGCAACTGACAATCTTCTTTTTTATCCACCTGATAAATTCTTACTCAAATAATCAGTTTTTTCTAACAAATCAACATCTTCAATCATTCTTCTAACAGCTGCTGGAATCTCTTCAGGTTTCATTCCCTTAAAAGTAGCAAACATTTCTAAATGTTCTTTAACTGTTAAATTATCAAACAAAATATCATGTTAAGGACAAACACCCATGAATTATCTAATTTCTTCAATTTATGTTTCAACATCTAATCCAAATACTGTTGCTGAACCTTCAGTAATATCTAATAAACCAGTTAACATTGAAATAGTAGTTGTTTTACCAGCTCCATTATGACCCAACAATGCATAAATCTAACCAATATACATTGTTAAATTAACATTGCTTACAGCCTATTTACCACTTGGATATATTTTGGTGAGATTTTAAATTTGTAAAACTTCCTTTCTTGTTTCTTAATCTTTTAATGCTTATTCAACTTCTTCATATCTTTCTTAATGAATTTGAGAAGCCTTTCTATTTAAAAGCTATTCAATTTTATGTGGTTTATTGAAATAGGGGATACAAAATAAAGGATGTAACTTCTTACCCCATTCATTTGGAAATACAAGATCTAAATAGATAGACATAAATAAATAGAAGAAGATATTTAAGATATGCATAGACAATGCCATATTAACAGCATAGTTTTCAACCTTTGTACCAATAGTTGACATTGATACTCCTCTACCTTGAGCCTCAAATAGAATCATAACATCAAATGCAAAAGACATTCCCGCATGACTTGATACTGATGCTCCCCAATATGTTGCTTCAGGTACTAGATTTTATCCACTTCCAATAAGACTTATTACCATGTACATCAACAAATACCATACAATTGCTACAATCAATCCAAATAAGGCTCTAGTGAAAAATACACTAAAAAATTAATATTTTTATATACCTTATAAACATTGATTGGAAAATGAGAACCATACAAAATAGCCAATAGTTTATGAATAGTACAAATCCATCAGTGTTTCTGAATACCAATCCCTTTAGTAAAATGGTTGCTACTATTGAAATCAAAGTGTAAATAATAAAATATTAGATTATCCAAGATAGATAAAATGAAGTATTATTTAAACCCATCATTTTCATACCTTCTCTGAGTTTCTTCTCTTTTTCATAAATTATACCATAAGTCATTCTCAAATAGATAATCATTAAAGGTAATATTAAATAGATACCAAAACCTCCTCTTAAGAAAGTAGCAAAATCATCAATCACTCCTTCTCTTCTGTGAACTAAAATTATTAAATAAAATATTACTAAATGAATAAGTTGGTGTTATTTTAGCATCAGCAGCTGCTTCTCTTCTTATAATTATATTATCTATAAAGTTTTAAACGGTTAACAATCCTGATTCCAAATATGTATTGGCTTTGTCCAAATCCTCATATTTAATAGGATCAATATCAACAAAATTTGTAGGTGGTATTTCATTGTTTATCATACCACTAGAATTGAATCTTAATTAATAATCATAGACATTTGATTATGTTTCATTGAACATTACACCAAAACAAACTCTAGGATAATCAGGATCTCCATATTTTGATGAAGATGTATAATCATCCAGCTCTTCATTATTTTTAAAAATGACTACATTGTAATGATAATACTCTATAAAATATTAATATAAGTTTTACTTGTGAAAATTTCAGAAAGTTCTTTTACTATCGGATGATCAGCACTTGGACCCATTGCTATATCACCATTTCTCCACATCCTTTTCTAATCCTATCTATAATTATCAATACAGTTCCTAACATAACATTAATAAATTACTTCATTGGAGGTAGTAGTCGTAGTCTAGTTGTAGTATTCAATTTCTTCAAATTATCCGATAAATCAAGTTAAGGGTCTCTAAGTTTATATTGAATAAGATTTTATTCGATCTATTATTCATCAATGTAAGGTTAGAGTTAAACAAGAAAAGGAGAACCTCTCCAATCTTTTAAATTGTTAGGATCATAAAAGTTAGCCTCTGCTACATCTTCTTTTTCAACTGCCGACCTACCATAAAGTTAAGAATTACCTTATTCCTCCTAATGCCAGAATTAATAACAATGGTAAAATCAATTCACAAGTTGAACAAAAGCAGTTTCTTTTCCATAATATCCAGTTTTTTCTTAGTAATGCTGATAAGTGTCCCATGAAAGATGGTTTTTCTTTTAATTTATTTTTATTATAAATTTAAGAATTCCGTGAGTTCTTAAATTGCAAAAATTAAACTAATTGCACTATCATTTGAATAATATGTATTATCCGAATTATTCTGATTATGTTTACATTTTCTAATAAAATTTAATACAGTCAACTATTATATACTCATTGACTTTCAATTCACTAAATAGATCATAGATTTCTAAATAAGATTTATTTATAGATCAACCCTTCTATTGCTATATAAAAAAAATGATTATTCATTATAATTTAGATCTCCTTACTATTTTATTATTATCTAATGATCTTATGATCAAAACTTTAAAACATTAAACTAAGTTTAAGGCTTTAGAGAGAATTTCAACAATTTCACTGAACAATAATATATGGATAGTTTTATTGATATTCAAAGAAAATATAGATTAGATTTTTTATGAATAAATCACAGATCTAATTGTCTTTAAAACTACATAAGAGTGTTTAAATAATTAAATACACATTGAATCACACAAATTATATTATAATATAAATTATTAATATATATATATATAAAAATTATTATGGATATTAGATTAAAAAGGTTTGATGTATTTGGATTATCAAAAAATTAATAATCACAAAAAAGATTAGATTCAAAGAGAAAATCAGAAGATAAAAGTTTTTTATAATTAAAATAATATAAGCATGAATTCATTAGAACTCCTTCTAATTCTAATACATGTTAAACACAAATGAAAAAAATGAGATTAAAACAATAACCATAAATCAATTAAAATTAGATCTTATCATATTCACTTTCTATTTAACATATTGAATAATTACCTAATAGATCTCTAGATCCTAAAGTCATCAAAATAATTCTTCCAAATAATAATAAGACTATTCAAAATCTAAAAGAAGGATTAACAACTAAGAGAAATTATTATGATAACTATTTTGCTCATAATAATTAAAATGAACAAAAAGTAAATTTATTATTTATATTCTTTGTAGGCATCCTTTCCTACTATAAAATTTAAAAATAAAATTGTTAAATCATAATTTTAAGCTAATTTGTAGTTCTATAAAAAATAATAAAGCATTCCAATTTAAGTTAAATTAGCTAATCAAGATGATATCAAAAAAGAATTATAAACAATAAGAAATAGATATGTTAAAAGCAGAACTGAATTTGAAAATTCTAATGATCACAACAAGCCATTACTAAGAACCTCAAAGTCAAAGTTTCATTTACTTCAATAAAGAAATTAGAATTAAAAGTTAATTAATATAATTAATAATTCAGTTGAGTAAAATATTCATATTATATTAGATCTTAAACAAATATAGATCCTGAGTATTTGGAAGACTTTTAAAAATATGATAAAATGAATTTAAATCGGTTTAGGGATGAACTAATTTAAAATGCCTGATTTCATCCATACTAGATTATAATATATATAAATTTTCAATTAATTAATATTTTAACTTAAAACTATCTTAAAAAATAAAAGTTTCATTTAGTAATTTGGATATAGATATCTAATTCATAAAATAGATTGAAATATTAATCATTTTAGATTTCCCTAAAGTTATGATACTTCATGATACTATTATTATAACCATATTAAATAATTGGAGATATTTTGTTATAATTATGTATTTTTTGAGTCAACAAGTCTAGGTTATTTTAAATTTTGCTATTGATTTTGATAAAATGGTAAAGGTGTATGAGATTTTACTGAAAGATTAAAACTTCTTTAACTAATTGAATTTTAATTATCATATTCCAAATAAATATTTGAAAACTATTCTAAAATTTATTTTATAAGTTCTATTTCTTATTAATGCTGTTCATCATTTGGTATTAAATTCATTGCTTTGACAAGATGCAATTATGCTCTCAAACAATAATTATCTATATTATGATCACATTCATAAATTGTCTATATGATATTATATATATTACTTTTTTAAGAAAAATAATGATCTGTTTAATTTGTGAGTATAATTCAATTTATTATGAAAATTATTGACAAATAATCTTTTATTAGTTTTAAAGTTCTTTCAAAGAGGCTGTCAAAGAGTTTTATTAATTAATGTTAACAAGATTATCATCTTCAAATTCCTTTTAATATATTTTAAAGGATTTAATTTTATGGGAACTAACGATATTAATGAGATCTTCCCTCTAATAAATTGTTTTTAATTACTTTTTAGTTTTTTTGAAGTGAACATGCTTAAAAATATAAATGTTTTTTCCAACTCTTTATTTTAGGAATCCATACTGATTCAATTATCTGATAAGATATAAAAGAATCATACCTCGAGAAACTGAAAAAATTAGTTTGTTTGTAGTGGACACTTAATACTGTTTTAACCAATTTTTCAATATCATTAATTTGTATAGCGTCACCATCCTCATTCCAATGAATGACATCACTCATTTGATTCTGCATTATGATAGATAAATTACTTCAAGAATATTATGTAGTTTACTAATAAACTTTGAACATTTCTTCTAAATCATAAAGAGGTATAAATATTAATGAAAATACTACAGGATTATAATAGTTTTTATTTTTTATATGTATAATAATATTTATTGACTCATTGAATGTTTTATGGTCTCGTTTCTAATCCAAAACCTTCTTCAAAAAGAGGATCTTCAATTTAGGGAACTTCATTTCCATAGATGGGATAGTTTGAGATCTATTACATATTTCTCATCCATGGGACAGGAAGTGTATTAAGTTTACCTTAAGATTTGAATAAATATTCGCCAAAAAGTGATTAAACAACTGCCTCACCACCAGCTGTACCTGGCCACCAAGCTGCCACAAATGCTGAACTAACTTAAAGTGGATTAGTAATAATCATAGGTCTACCACTAAATAAGATTGTGACTACTGGAATATCCACATCCTTCTATCTAACAATATTAATGATCTTAAATAAAAATAATAAAATACTTGTTTTTCATAATCTCCAACATTTATCTCTAGAGTTGTTGGTTATTCATCAGGTAAATATTGATTAATCCAATTATTATAGATACATCCTTATTTATCTTAAGTTTTGCAATATTCACAATCTATATCTCCCATGAATTCAGCATATGGATTCTCTGCTAGAGTATTGATGATTAATGTATTTTCTCTGTTAAATTAATCTAAAGTATTTATGATGTTGTTTCTGAAAGTGCTTCTTTGTTCATTAATCAATTATAGATTTGTTGGATCTGAATATTATATATAATAAATATTGGCTGAGTTAAATCTACTCTTAATAGCATCTAGTATAGATGAAGCCTTTGATGATACTTTTAGATCATTTGACCAATAATCATTTCCATTAAATCCTTACCATCTTATAGTCCAACCTCCATTTTAAGCTCCAATATTATCAAAATCTTAAAAGACTCTTTTAAATTCACCTTTGAATGACCAAAGTCTTTCTCCCAATAGAATAACATTAGTTATTTTGAATTTATTAATTGGTAATAAATTTTATTTGTTTTTTAATAAAACCAAAGATTCTTTTGCTGATCTTAAAGCATCATAATATTCAGCATCATTATCCTCATTTGAAACTTCCTATTTTTCAACTTTCTCTTCTTTTTTTTCTTATGTATAATTATATTTCTTAGCCAATGTTTCAGGTACATCAATTAAATTCATAGCCAGTTTAACTGCCAATATTCTTTTGACAGCATCATTCAATCTTTCTGTTGAAATTCTACCTTATGCTATGATATTATTCATAACTTCCTCATACCATCCTACAGCACCATCTACCATTTACATATCCATTCCAGCATTAAATGATTTAGTGTATGCATCTTCAATTGACATTTTTGCATGAGTTGTAGGTAAACCTTAATATGCTACTTTGATTGCAGCATTATAATCACTAATAATAAAACCATCAAATTTCTATTGTTATTTCAAATCAACATTAATTAAATCACTAATACTCATTGGTAATTCATTAATAGCACTATAACTAACCATAATTGTTCCTGTATTAGCTTCCAAAGCTCCAATATATCCTTAAATATTATTGTTATAAAAAACATCAAAATTCTCAACTCTACAATTACCTTCATCATATCCATTATAAGTTGCACCATCACCAAAATAATGTTTTGTTGATCCCAATATTCCTTTTATTTTTTTTCCATCATCATCTTATAACTCCTTTATATATGCCTTACCAATTTCTTTAACGAATTTAGGATCTGCCCCTTAGGTTTCATAAAATCGTCCCCATTTTGGATTATGGGAAACAGCCACAGTTGGGGCAAAGGCAAAGTTAAAACCACAATCCAAAATACTTTGTTTAGTCCAATAAGCAGCTTTGATATAATTTTCTACATTGTGACTAGCAGCCAAACCTATATTGTGTGGGAAAAGAACTGCTCCAACAGAGTGTTGGTTTCCATGAACAGCATCTGTACCCAATAATAAATTTATTTATGTTTCCCCGTGACCAGGAACATTTACAACTACCTTCTATTTCAAGCTTCTTTAAGCTACATCTCTCCAATTAGCATTAGTTGCTTAGAAACAATTGTCTGATGCAATTATGTTTCCTCTACCATCTGGACATCCATTACCACCTACTAATATGGAACCCAAGAAGTGTTAAGATATTTGTTCATAATGGGTATTCCCTTGTTCATCATTAAAGCTTGTAATATCAACTTACAATGTTTGACCTATCTTTTACTGCAAAGACATAGACTTGGCTATCTCATCGGCTAATGGATAGTATTATTCAAATAATCCAACTCCATTAGTTAAGAACAAGAATGATACGAAAAGCAATTAGTTAATCATTATTTTTATTATTACATCATAAATAAAAAGACGTAATTTCGAATTGAAAAATAAATTTCAAATTAAACCAAAACAAAACTAAATAAGAATTGATAATTACATCTCTCTATTTCAGTTTCATATTATTAATAGATTGAACTTGTGCCTTATATTTTCTACCATCAATTTGTAATCTTCCAATTTCTTACAATTCTTTTTGTTATTTCTCAATAAATTGCTATAACTTTTTTTATTGTTAATTTTGAGTCTCTTAAACTTTAATTGGCTATTATGTTTTCTCTTCACTCATCATAATTACTCCCACCATATAATCATTTAATTTTTTTCTAAGATTAAGATTATCTTATAAAATATCAAGAATTTTGGATAAAATCTCATAACTTTCATCACTAGAATTTATCTTAAATCCCATTAATTCATTTTTAATATATGATAATTTTTCATTACTTTATTTAATAATATTAGCCATTCCAGATAATTAATTAGTCTTTTTAGCTATTTCAGCTATGTTACAATCACACATTTCTCTGAAGAAATGAGTAATCTTTTCCATAAATTTTTCTAAATCTACTTTATTCTATTCTAAAAACTTTTTCTTTAATGTAATTTTTCTATCAGTTTCTACTATCCTTAATAAAGAAATTAGATTTTATAAATCTTTAGCTTTTTCTCTTTATTTACCTAATTCTTCTTATCTTCTTAATTTAGTTTCTTCTGATTAATTCTATCTTTTTAATAAATTATTCTTAATATTATCATTAGCTTAAAATAATTCTTTAATTCTCTTTTATTCTTTAATTTTTAATTCATGTTCAGCTGATTTACCTTGATCGCTTCTTTCTAATTTTCTCACTTACATATCCACTTCTTCTCTTTAATTATTCAATTCATTTTCCTTAGCAAAAATATCAACTAAATTTATATATACTTAAGATTTTACATAATTATTATTTAATGCTCTACAAATCTTTTTCTAATTATAGAATTTCTTCTTCTGTTTATTTTAATGTATTTTCTTAAGAATTAGATTATCCAGTAGCTGATTATATTTAAGTTTAAATATTTTTAAGTAATTAATCTTCACCCATAGTTTTTTCAACAATAGCAGGCTATTTAGCTGATAGACTCTGTTACTCATTTAATTTTTATTATAATTTCATAATTTCTTCTGAAGCTTCTTTCAATTACATATTTACAACTTAATTTTCTTATTCCTTTGTAATATTATCTATATTAAATAAATAACCTAGATTATTTTTCCCATAAACAATCTTTACTTCTCTTGCATTATCCCAAGGTGTTTAAATCACCTATTAAGGAGAAGAATGATCTCCATCTGATAAACCAAGTTAATTATTTGAATTATCACCCCAAGCAAATAAACTTCCTTTTTTTGTAATGGCATAAGAAGAATCTCCTCCAGCATAAATTTAAACAACAGGAGACTTTTTGAAAAATTCTATTTCTTTTGGTAAAGATACTGGATCTAAATCATTTTATCCAAGTTATCCTGCTTCATTTCTTCCCCAACTATAGACAACACCATTTACATCCAATGCAAGAATATGATTATTACCTGAACAAATTTACATAATTTTAGTCTAAAATGAAACAATGGCTGGTCTTGAAGCCTCTGCTTAAGTAGTACATGTTCTACCTAATTCTTCACAATTGTTTCCCCAAGAATACACTTATCCTGATGCTATTGAAAGATTATTAGATATATAAATACTTGACAATAGAAATGTATTAGCTATAGTAGTACACATATTTAAAATGTAGACTCCTTTTGGACATAGATTATAAGGAGCAATCACACCATTATTTTCAGTATTCTCCTCACAAAATTTCATTGGTTAAGTTTCATAAATCTAGGTTGCCCCTACTTTATTTGCCATAATATCGAGAGTATTTTAATAATAAATTACATTTTGTAATTTTAATTCAGATAAATAATTATGAACGAAACAAATACTAGTGATCCTTTCTCTTAAGCTAATATTCAAAAGGCTGATGCATTCTTGGCTCAATTTATTGATATAAAATAACTAATTCCAATAAAGGAAGGATTAACAAAAGAAATGATAGAATACTTTAATTCATTTAAATTCTCAACTTAAATATAGATTGGACCATTAAATTATTAAGAGAGATAAAAAAAAATATAAAAATATAGACTAAAAAAAAATAACAGATAATTTACTAAAAAGAACCATTATGATTATAGAACTAAAAAAGCAAAATCTCGATAAAGAGAGAAAGGAAGATTTATTTCTAACAAAAAATGAATTTATAGCAATATATTCATCAATTACCACATCTTAATTAATTTATATATAAAATGAGTTAAAAAGGAAAATTGTTTTTATCATCAAAAGTTGATTTAGGTTATAAATCTAATGAAGACAGCATTCGTCCTGCAACTACAGCAGCTGTTACAGGAAGTGATTTTTTGTTTGAAAGTAATATCTAATAAAGCACATAAAAATCTATATTTATGAAACCTAATTCCTTACATACAATAAGAAATATCTTTGATGGTATTATATATATCATTACATAGAGGTTAATAATGAAGAGAGGAAGAAATACAAAGATAGTTAAGTTGGGCCAAGATATGAAGATGATAAAAAAGAAAAAATAGTAAAGTGGTCTATTGTTGGTAAGGCTGAATAATTTTTGGCAGTGAGAAATAAAAATAGATAAAGAGTTGTAATTAAATAAAGAAAACAAGATGGAGATGAATCATTTTCTGATGATGTACCATCTGTAAAACCTTTAGTCTTATAATAATCTCAATCTTAAATGTCTGGAATGAATTAGTCTAGAAAGATTCCAAAGAAACCTAGAGGTGAATTTAAGATGTTACCAAGATAAGATGCATTAGTAAAGTTAGTAGAAGCTAGACGTAGAATTGAAACTGATAAGATTGATTAAATTAAACAAGAATAAAAACTTCCTCTTCATATAAGAAATGCAATAACTAGAGATAAAAGAACTTTAGAATCTTTTGATTAATTAAAAGATAAATGGGAATTTGTAAATAATTAAATTGCTTCTAATTGTGAGAGATCTCCTACTGATACTATATTGATTAGATCTGATAATTTTAGGGATCGAATCACAAAATTGAATATTATAGAATCTCATAAAAATGAGGATGAGAAACATAATGATAGATTATGGTATCTCAGATTAAGATGGTATGATTGTAAGGATGATAGACCTCCATTTTCATTGATTACAACTTAAAGACCTAAAAGTATTCCTATGACAAGTAGATTAATTAATAGATATGTAAAAGACAATAAGGCTGAACATCTTAATTAATAATAAAATTTTGTATTGTCAGATATATAGAGTAATTTTAATACTAAAGTTATTGATAATCCATATTTATAGGTTGAAAAAGTTATAAAAAATAGTATTAATATTTATAAAATTTTAGCTAAACTTTCCAATTTGTATAGTAAGAAATTAGATGAATAATTATAAGAAAAAATAAAGGATAAACCAAAAAAGAAATATGTAGACACAAATGAATATTTAGAACTTGTTGGTTAAAATGTATACTAAAAAGAATTAGAATTTATAATGAAGGAATAATAATAAGAATATTAATATTTTGAAGAAAAACCAGATGAAGAAGAAGTTTATATTGATAATTGGAATAATTAATAATTAGCTAAAATGGGTTAACCATTAATATAACATATATGAATCTACAAATTTGTTTGCAAATAAATGACTTAATTAATTTATTTCAAATTATTCATGTAATTAAGTATAAATTATATATCACTAATCAACCTATGGTCTTAACAATTTTAGTAGAACTACAATTAATCCAATCAGGAATTACCTTTTTCATTTCATCATTTGTCATTTTATTAGTTTCCACTAAAAAATTATAATTAATAATAAAGTACAATTGCTAAAATCAAATAATTCTTATATGTTGAAATTATAGATTTCTTATAATTGTTTTATTTGATTTAGATCTCTCAATTAATCAAAATAAGGATGACATAAAGCTTGAATTGGAGTGAATCTAGTTTTTGGACAATATACAAGCAATTTAGAAATTAAATCAATAGCCAATTAATCATTAGTTTTTATCACCTAATATTTAAAAATAATATTGTTTACTTTCTTCCAATCCCTTGCTTTAATTTATGGAAATTTATATTATTACATATCATAATCTGAATTCATACTTAATACCTGAACCTTGTTTGGAGTTCCAAGCACTTTAATGATCTCAATCAATTAATCTACAGCACTGTCACCCAAAAACAATGGTTCTCCATTAAATAATTCAGCTATTATACATCCGACTGACCAAACGTCTATCTAAGTATCATAGTTAACAGCTCCAAATATTAATTCTGGAGCTCTATAACATCTTGAACAAATGTAAGATATGTTTGTTTCTGTTTTTATTAGTTTTTTGGCACTTCCAAAATCACATAGTTCTAGTTTATGTTGATTAGGATTAACTAAAATATTATGAGGCTTTATATCTCTATGGCATATGGACAATAATGATATATAACTAATTATTTCATAATCTTTTTTACTATATTGATCTTAGCAATTAATATGAATAAATTTTCACCAATATTTCAGGCATTCTTGCTTATGCTTATCTAAAAGATTTATTGTAAGTATATAATGATTCTGGATAATAATCCATAACAACATTCAAATACATCTCATCTTTGTTATCAGAAGGTGTAAAATAAGAATGCTTTAATTTCACTACATTATGATGATTTAACTCTTATAGTATTTATAACTCTCTGTTTTTATATCGTTTATCCTACAATACTTTCTTAATAGCAACTATTTCTCCTGTTTCATTTACTTTTGACTATAAATCTTTATTTGTTTTTTACTTTATAAACTGTACCAAAAGATCCACTACCTATGGCTTTAAGATTTTAATAAGTATATGTAGAATAATCTTGTCTAGTTGTTTTTACTGGGATTAATAAAGATTTTGTGTTGATCTTATCTATTCCATATGGTTTCTAACATTTTTTAACAGTTCCAGATATTGGTTTTATTGAGTTTTCATTCTTTAAACATTATTGAAATTGGGCATTAAAATCTTTTACTATAGGTTTCTTAGCTGGTTTATTAAAAGATATAAGTTTATTGCGAAACTTGAAATTGGAAATATCTTAGAATGACTGAATATCTTGTTCTGCTTCATCATAATCAATAGTCTCCGTTTAAACCCTCCTAGCTATGTTTGAATCACTAGGCTAAATGTTAAAATATTATTAATACTTTCCCTATGGCATTAGTTTATTTTTTAGCACTTTTTGATGCACTTTAATACATACAATTTAACGATTTAATTTTAAACAAAATAATATAATATCATTTTAATTAAGACATCAATTTCTTTTTGGAAATACTTACATCTTTATACTAATATTTAATATAAATCTTCTGGATTAAAAAAATACAGAGAATTGCTGAAAAATAATTAAATTTTAATATTAATTATTCCACAATTTATAAATTAAATAAATAATCTTAAAAAAGATAATTCAAACACAAAAAAAAACTATATATTCATTTTTATAAGCTCTCTGATCTTGATGAAAATATTCTATTTACCAATTTAATCTATGCTTTTTAATTTACGAATGATTTCGAAGAATATTTTCTTGTTGGTTAAGTGGGTTGTTTTTTTGATTATCCAAATGGATCCTTTACTTTTATTATATATTTCTTCCCTTCTAAACTATTGGAAATTTTGCTGATTACAGAATTATTTTCTAATTATTGTGTTTCCCAACTACTATATTCTTTTATAATTGGCCTTCTAATATTAAAAGTAGATTTGTAATTAAGAACACTATAAGGATTACTTGAATGTTATAAATTCAAATCTTAAATTTTAGGAATATTATTGCTAAAATCTTGGGAATCTTATGTACTTTATTGAGTACTTTATTTGGTACTTTATTTAGTACTTTAATAGCTATAGAGATTCTCTTGTTTACAATCATTCATTGAATGAATAGTAGTTTTTCTACAAAGGACATTTTTTTAAAGTATTTTAGTTTTAGATAGTATTGATTTGATAGCCTCAAGGTTTTATTAAGGCAAAGAATTTTCCCTCTTTCTTTTTTAAAAGTTTTGATTCAATTTTCCAATTTATGGATTAAAGAATTAAGCTGTCTTTTGTAACATTTCTTATTTACCAAAACTCTATTCAAATATTTTCATTTCAAATTTAATATTAATAATGGATTAACAATAAATAATTTTATATAAATTAAATTTCAATTACAGCCAAAATTTACAATATTATATTCTCTCCCTTTCCTCTCAAATTACTTTACTCTATTTGGTTTTGCTTTACCCAATTTACTTTTTTCATTGTCCTCTTGAGAAATAACCCTATGAAAGGTATCCAATTTATTTAATGGAGATTTTCGTTTTCTTGCCCAATCACTTGATATTTCATTATCAAAACTTGTCTTATGTATTTTGTTATTCTCCTAATTAAATGTTTCATCTTTATTGGCATTAATCTGATAGTCTACATAAACTACTTTATGTACTTTCTATAACTGATTTTTAAACTATATCATCATGATGGAGATTTTCAATTAAACGATGTTGCTTATTTAGGAAGTTAAATTATTCTTTTTTATGTTTATATTCCTTTTATGCTTACACTGTCATTTGTAATTCTAACTTTCTTTAACTTGGAAAAAGAGCTGTTTGTTCATACTATAGATTGTCCTTCTAAAATTTTTAGGTTTTACTCAAAGAACGAATATTTTCTCTAAATCTGTTAAATGAGTCTGTTCTTAAAGGACTTTATCTATGCTTAAAAAATAGTTTCTTTTCATTCCATTCTCTTTAAAATCTTTAGGTAGGATCTATGATAAAATATTCTTCCCTGATATTTGATAAATCTAAATCAGAAGGCCAATCTAAAGGTTATACAGATTTTTTGGCAAAAGATGAATTACGTAAAAATGAATTCATTAAAGTAACAGGATTTTAAGGTTTTTCAATTTATTCTACTGATTTATCTTTAAAATAGGTTTAATATTCCTTTGAAAATTAGTAAAAAGAATTAGTACTCTTAATTATATTCATTTTTTTATTATATATATTAATTACAATAAAAATCAATACTCTTCTTAAACTTCTTACATTCTTATTTTCTTTTTTAATCTTTTCTATTTGATTCTATCCTTTTCATTTGCTTTATCATCTTCTGCATGTTCAATTAATTTCTATCCATATTTTAATGTTCTATCTTCATCTTTCTTTAAAACTTCTTATTATCCTTCTAAAATTTCTTATCTTCTCTTCTCCTCTGCTGTGATTTAATTACCTAAAATAATATTTAAATATTAATACCTTCATTATCAAAAAATACTTTATTTCTTCCTCCAAATATACCATCTGCCTTGACCTTTTTCATTTATCTTTTAGATGTCACAAATTTGGGTTGTTCAACTTCATCCTCTTCTTCTTCAATCTCTTATTAAGGTTTTCTCTTTAAAAATTCCCCTTCAAAATCAAAAGTCTTAGCTTTCATATCCTCAAATTTATCAAATCCACTCTCTCTAGATATTTACTTTAGTTTTTTAGCTTCAATTGGTTTATTTTAGTCTATTGCCATTTACTTTTTAATTTCAATTTTATCTTTAAGTTTTTATAATTTAGATTTTTTTTCTGGTTTATTCTCTTAATCAGACTCTTCTTATTATTAAATGGTAAGAATTGGAACTTAAACTAATCCCATACTCTCAGCTAATAAATCAGTTTTGATTTCCTTTAACTTAAATATTTCCTTATCTGCATTAATATCAATAGATCTAACATAACTAATAAAGGCTCTTTATGCTAAATATTTTAGTTCTATATTTTCAGATACTAAACTCTAAATTGTTTATTTAATTGTTAATTGTTTATTGGAATTCAAAAATTTTTATTTAATTTCTACTCCTTTCTACTTGACTTTATCAATAAATTTAATTTCAGAAGGTAATAAAAAGAGCATAGAGAATCCACCAGCTATATACCTAGCAGTTCTTCCAACTCTATGTACATAAGTAGATGGATCATCTGGACAATCAAATTGAATGACCCAATCTACTTTTGGAAAATCTAATCCTCTTGATGCAATATTAGTAGTAAATAATGCAGCAGCCTTTTTTTCAGAAAATGTAAAAAATATGGCTGTTCTTTTATCTTACTTTTATCTACCATGTAATTCATATAATTGCATACCTAATTTTAATTTTCGAAACACTTCAAATAAATATCTTACTTATTTACATGTAGATACAAATATTACAATTTTCTATTTATTATGTGATTTTATAAATGAAAAGAGAACATCTATTTTTTCTTCAATTGGTGTTACAATATAAAATTATTATAATTTATTAGGTGTTGACATCATATTATCTGTTTATTCATTTGAATCTGTAATCAATTTTTCATGTAAAAAAATGCTCTCTGGATTCATAAGAGATATTTTACACAATTAATGAATTGATTAATTGAGAGTAGCAGAAAATAACATAGTCTATTTCTCTTTTGGGAGATAGTTCATTATTGCTTTTAAAGGTCCCCAAAAACCCAATTCTAACATCATGTCAGCTTCATCTAATACTAAGACTTTTAAATTATTTGCATCAAATCCAGGACTCTCTTCAAAATGTTATAAGAGTCTTCCAGGTGTACATATAATAACATTCATTCCACTAATTCTATCTCTTTCATATTAATAATTTTTTCCACCTATTAACAAAGCCATTGATAAAATATGATAAGTATTAAGTGATTTAAAAACCTCAAATACTTGCATTGCTAATTCTCTTGTTGGTAAAATTATCAAAGCTCCTAAACCATCTAGAGGAGTCCATTTATTGACATAAAGATTTTCAATTAAAGGTATTAAATATGATAATGTTTTTCCACTTCCTGTTTTAGATGCACCTAAAATATCTCTTTCTGCCAATGCATGTGGTATTACACATCTTTAAATCTCAGTCATTTTAATAAACTTTCTCTATTTCAAGGCTCTAAATGTATTAGTTGAAATTGGCAGATCTTCAAAATCTATCTTAAATTTTTATTTAAATTCCTCTTTTGAATAAGTGTCTCTTTTTTTTAATGCATCCTATAACTTATAATCATAGAGATAATCTCCTTTATTTGGTATAGCTTTTTGTCTGAGTTAAATCAAATGATCTACATCTTAAAATCGACGCTTGTGATTGTTTTTCATAAATTATAATTTTAATTTACTTTAATTAAATTGTCTAAAATCGATATATTATATTAAAAAAGCCACAATGATAATAATTTTATTGATTATTTTTTAATATTGATTTCTTTTTTTTTAAGTAATATAGTCATCAATACCTAATCCAAAATCATATATTACTCTATCTTAGTTCTAATCTGAAATTTAAAGTCAATTCTTTTGTATATAATCATTCTGACTTTCCATAAAAAATAATTAATTTATTAGTTAAAATAAGAAGATGTAAATAGAACTTTTACATATTGATTTTATACTTAATTTAAAAGAATTCTTAAAATATATTATTGATTAATTATTATTTTATTATTGTTTATAAGTAATATAGATGGAAACAGTTTCTTAATAGATTAAACATCTGAATCAGAAAAACTAAGAACTTACTGCTCTTGAGAATCGATTAATATAATTAAAACAATAACTTAATTTATAAGAAGCAAACAATAATATAATTTAAGCAAAAGTAGAAAAGATTGTCAATGCTAAGAAATAGAAATTTGAAGATCAAATGGAAGTATACCTTAATGGTAATTAAATAGCTTAGCAAAATTATGGAAGCAAACAATAACAATGATAATGGAATACAAAATTAGATTAGAAAAAATAAATAATAATAACAGGAGGAAGCAAAAAAGATGAAATAAGATATATTTGATGAGAAATGTTTGAAAACTGCATTAGCTAAATAATAACTGGCATTATAGATGTATTAAAACAAAAAGAAAAGAGAAGAAGAACTTTTAGAGAAATAACAATAATATGCTAGAGTATCTTATTTTTTTAATAAGATAGATCTCTGAATGGGAATTTAATATGAAATAAGATTTGGAATAAAAAAAAGCAGAAAAAATAGAGAAAATTAGATAAGAATAAAATTTATTTAAAGAATAAATTTCAAAACGATTGTAAGAGTAATAAACTCTATGTGATTAGATGAGCACTGAAGAATAGAGATTGCTTAAGTAATTTATTTAATTAATTTAAGTAAATTAAAGGATTCTCAAATACATGGAAATAATTTAAAAAATGATCTTATGACAGCATTAAATTTAAGTATTAAAGAATATAATAACATCTCTGGATTACGACCTTAAAATCCTAAATCCTATAGTTTATAGAAATTACCTAAGTAATCTTAGAATAGTCCTTATGCTTAATTACCAACAATGTTAAAATTGAAAGTAAATGGATAACTAAGTAATTATTTGAATAGTAATTCATCATTTCGTGAATCTTTAATGAAAGAGTATTAGTTTTCACTTCCTTCTTTATGTAAACCATCTTTTAATGAATAAAAATAATAAGTAGAACGATTGTATCAATCCAAAACAATAAAGAATATTAAATAAGATTTATAATATATTCTCAACTTTTGTGATAATAAAAGCAAATCTTCTTATAGTAAATAGAAAGGGAGAATGAATTAAAGTGAAGTTCTATCTTCAGATAATCATTCTATCTCTTAAAAACAAAATCGCAAAATATCTCAATAACAATCAATTAGTAAATAACAATCTAAAGAATTAGAAAAAAGCACTTAGAATTAATAATAATCAAATTGATTTATTGTATTGAATATTAATTAATTAATATTATAAACATAATTAGATAGTAAAATTATGTATTAAATAATTATAATATGTAATCATTAATTGGATCTATTGATTCTTCAACAACTGGCACTAGATTTACTATTTGTAATTTGAAAGGTGAATAACTTAGTTATCATTATATAACTCATAAATAAATCACTCCACATTAAGGATGGTTAGAACATGATCCAATAGAGATATTAAATAATACTAATGAATGCATTAAGTAAGCATATAAAAAGATGAATGGACTACATAAATTAGTAACAATTGGTGTAACAAATTAAAGAGAAACAGTTGTTGCATGGAATAAATAAACTGGATACCCATATATGAATGCAATTGTATGGAGTGATACAAGAACACATGATATATGTTAAGAATATTTAAATAAGCATCCAAAGAACTATTTTTAATAAAAAACTGGATTGCCAATTAATACTTATTTTAGTTCATACAAATTAAAATGGATGATCGAAAACAATCAATCTCTAAAAGATGATCTTAATACAGGAAATGTATTATTTGGTACTATAGATTGTTGGATAGTGTGGAATTTGACAAGGGAAAAGAATCATTTAACAGATGTAACAAATGCATCAAGAACTAATTTGATGAATTTACATACTCTTTAATGGGATGAAGAATTATTAAAGTATGAATTTTATATATATTTAGATAATTCAATATTCCCAAAAGTTGTTTACCATAAATATAAGCTTCAACTAGTAATTTTGGTACATTGAAGATTGATGAATATGAAGGAGTACCTATTAATTGTGTTTTGGGTGATTAATAAGCAGCAGCTATTGGTCATGCCTTATTTCATGAAGGAGATTGCAAGAATACACAAGGTAGTGGTCTTTTTATTATGGCAAATATTGGATAAGAAATTAAAATCTCAGAATATGGTTTATTAACTACAGTCTTATATCAGAAAGAAAATGAGAAACCTATTTATGCTTTTGAAGGAGCTGTTGAAAGTGGAGGTTAACTATTCAATTGGGCAAAAGATAAATTATAATGGTTTGATAATTGGGAATAATTGAGTTAAAGTACAGTAAATACAGAAGATAATGGAGGAGTATATATAGTACCAGCTTTTAGTGGATTATTTACACCATTTTGGAATTTTGATGCAACAGGAACAATAATTGGTTTAAGTTATTACACTACTAAAGATCATCTAAGAAGAGCTATATTAGAATCAGTTTGTTATAGAACAAAAGATGTAATAAAAGCTATGGAACTATCAGGAATTAAGATTAATAAGATTCATGTAGATGGAGGATTAACTAAGAATAAGGAATTAATGTAATTATAGGCAGATATTACATAAAAGAAATTAGTATATCCAGAAATAATAGAATCTACTGCTTCAGGAGCTGCAATGTTTGCTGGAGTAGGATTGAAATTATTAACAGAATAAGAGATTATTTAGAATATGAAAGTCTAATAGATTTATGAAGGTAAAAAGTCATATGATAAACAATATAAATAATGGGAATTAGCAGTTAATTGTGCATTATAATTCAAAAAGATTGAATGAATATTATTTATTTAATATTGTAATATGTAATGTATCAGGCTACGAGTATGCATGCACCACCAACTGCTTTAATTCTTCTTTCTGCGGTTTTGCTAAAGAATTTGGCTTTAACAACAACAGGTTAATTTGGGAGTCTACCCTTTCCAAGAACTTTGAAATAGCCAGCCTTTGTAACATCAATCACAGCTGCTTTATCTTTTGAACTAGCATATTTTTTTCTGGTTTCATCTGTGACAAGTGACCATAATTTGTCAATATTTACAACTGGTTTATGAAGAGTATTCTTTTTTAAATGGAAATGTCTCATTCCAGTCTAAAATATAGATAAAGATTAATACTTTTTGGAAATAACCTGGATGGTATTTATTGAAATTGATGCGATGATGTGTTAAACCTCCTGAAACACCTCTACCGCTTGGATGTTTTCTGTGTTTACCAACTCTACCATATCCGTGACATACATGTCCTCTCATTTTACGGCATTTCCTCAATCTGCTGACCATTACTTTTTTATTTCAAATAAAAAGATTTTAATATGTGATTAATGTTCTCATCCCATTAAATATTAAATTAACATCCAAATATATATATATTTATGAAATACATTCCTTCTTAAATGATGATTGAATTTATATTACAGAAAATATCTTGATTGAAATACATTCGCCACTCTGATCTATTTTTTTAATCACCCAAATTATTTGCAAAACTGATATATTAATATTACATCTGTAAAATATAGCAATAGTCATTCTCAATACTAAAATCAATCAAAAAGTTTTCCATTTATATTACAATCCTAATGTTATCATTATTAGTGCAGATTGAGGGGCTAATTGACTCTATGAATATAATAAACAAATTATTCCTAATTATATAATCGGTGACCTTGACAATCTTAAACCAGAAATTTAGAACTATTTTTAATCACAAGGTTGCTCAATAATTAAAATTGATAATTAAGATGTGTCAGATTTTGAAAAAACTATATCTTATATTTAATCATCAGAAAAATTCATCAAATCATTATTTTAGGTTGCTTAACTGAAAGATTTGATTAAACTATTAATTCATTGCATACTTTAGTTAAGTTTAATTAAATAATAAGGATTTATTCAGTTGTTTGATATATTATTAAAGGAATTCATACTTCCAATTCTCTGAGATTGAATAAATTAATGAGATTAATCTATTTTCATAAGGAAATGAAAAGAGGATAAATACTAAAGGATTGAAATTCAAAATAAAATAAAATAATCCTATATATAAATTCATAAGCATATCAAATAAGGCTATTGAAAACTAAATTGAGTTCGATTCCCTTGATAACTTTTTCTTTGTGATTTAATTGAAAGATGAGTACATCTTGATATATTTATTGGCAATCATAACCAGTCAAAATAACAAGTTATCATTTTATTAAACTTAAGTACTGAATCATAATAAATAATATTATTATTTATTATTTGATTAATATTACACTTAATCATGTGATTTACAATTCTTCTATAATTACATTTTATAAATTAATATATTATTATTTGAGTCATATTTCTAATTTAATTTTCCCTAATATTATTTATATCTTATTTAATTATTTAAAGAATTTTTAAAAACGTTTTGGAAACCCTTCAAAAAGAAAATTACTTTTGTTAAACTACCATAATGATTAACTATCTTTTTATGATCAATTCTAGCATAATTAATAAATCTATTTGAAATTTAATATAATAAAAGATAAATCCTATTAAATAATACTAAAAACATTAATGAAAAAAAAGAAAGTTAAAACTATTAACATTTTTAATTTAGAATTCGTCTATGTTTCTATGAATTAAAAATAATAATATAGTTAAACCTAAATATCCTTTCAAAAAATACTTATATAATAAATAATCTAATATATATATCATTCATCAATAAATTTTAGATTTAATATACTACAATCATCACCCTTTACTCCATTAATACATTCACATACACCATTAATACAAACTCCATTATTGGAACAATCATTCAGACAAAAGATTGTTGAACAATCTTCTCCTCCCCTTTTATCCTCCTATTTACATCTACATTAAGGTGATGGAAAATATTAAATACAAGTTCCTTCATTTGAACAATCATTTAAACATTTAGCATATTAACTACAATCATTGCCACTGTATCCTTCATCGCATATACATTTTCCATTTTAACAAGTACCATGTCCTTAACAATATACACAGATTTTCTCAAATAATAAATCATTAAAACATATGCTTCCTAAACATTGTAAATCTTGAATTTAACAATCATAACCACGATAATCATCTTAACATATATAGATACCATACTATTAGCTTTTAATATTCTTTTGATCAGTATAATCACTATAAAGGATACTCGAGGAATTTAATAGAAATGTCTTGTTATCATAAGCAATCATTTATTTAAACATAGATCCAAAATTTAATTACTCATAATTTTTATACCATTCCCAATCATAATAAAAATAATATGTATTTTCTGCATAAAAACCAATCATATTTATATTTGGAAAATATTATCCAATAGGAGTTGTTCCAAATTTTATAATAGAATCAAGTGTAGTTTCTTACCAAACCTAATCATCTAAATAGTATAACCAAGACTCATTTTGATTAATATTATTAGAATCTCTTCCATAAAATAATTTAATGCAATTACATTCATCAACATATACAATAACACTATATTATAAACATTTTGGAATGTTTGAAGATTAGCATTAAGAATTATCTTAGATAGAACTAACTGTATATTTATAACCTAAATTCTTTAATTTTTATAGCTTAGGAAAATTAGATGTAAATTAAAAATCTTCCATAGACCCATCCCATAAGTCTAATGAAACTGTTAATTTTTATATAAAATTATTTGGCAGAATTGAATAGGTAATTTAGTTATTAAAGAGATCTTCAAAATTATATTTAAACAATTGATTTCTTAATTCAGATCCATCAAATCCACCAAATATATACATAGATGAATTATCTCTAGTTAAAGAATAGTTTTAAAATTGATTTTAATGTTGAAGTCTTTTAAATTGGCTTCCACAAGTATATGGTAGAGGATATATCAAAATCTAATCTTTTAGTACACAAATAAAATTTTAATTTCCTTAAGAGTTTTCATATAAAACACTTTAAACTCCAATTTCAGATGAGATTAAACAAATTGCAAAATAAGAGTCTAACCTAAATATAATTAAATCATTTAATTCGCATTCTTATTGATTTCCACTTTCAAAGATTTAACAAGTTTATATATTTTCTTTAATACTCTAGGTTTTCCATGCAATTGTTATTTTTACAATAAATAAAAATATCATTGTTTTTAAAATCAATTAAGTTAATACATTGTAATTTACTTTGATTTTTTACTTTAACTATTGTACAATAATTATCTTCTCTTTATTTTTAATATATTTAGAGTCTAAAAAATCTAAATTCTAATATATAATTAAAAGTTTACTTCTAATATTGAACTTAAATTTTAGCATAATAAAGAAATGGAAAATCTAATTTTGTATATAATGATTATCTTAATGATACTTTATTATCATATTATATCACCTCTTTAGAGATGGACATTAGAATATTTAATATAATTAAATTTCGTATTTATCACATGAATTTGTATTTTATATTTGGTAAAGTGATTAAATATGAAAAATAAATAGAGGAATTTAGTATAGAAATGAATATACAATTCAAGTTTTGTTTTTTTTCATTTTTTCTAAAATTTAACACGGCTTTTCACATTCTGTATGTGTACAATGATGTCTTTTCACTACTTATTTACAGCATTTGCATTCTTTTTCTTTAGATTCTCTTTTTTTTCTTTTTTTTTCTTTTTATGAGTCAGATTAACTATCCAAAACAAAATCTTCATCTTTTTACATTAAATCAACAAGATTTACTCTCACAGGTAAATCAGCTATATGATAATTTAATTGATATATACGTGAATTTTTAACTTTGATAGCATCTAATAATTTTGTGATTTAATCATTTGGTAATCTCTCAAATATTTTAATGAGATCATCACTTACCTTTCTTGAAATTTTAATTTGCCCATTTTCATCATTTAATTTTATTTTCTTTTTTATTTATTCATCTCCACTTTCAACATTAGTCAATCCTAATTAGTTACTTCTCCTATTATTATATATAATTGTACTTATTTTCAAGTTTAGAAGAACAAGATTAAAATTCTGATGACTCTTAACTTTCACTCATTATTAATAAAAATATATATTTATTGATTATATATAATATAGTTACATACAATAAAATATCAATTTAGTTATGATAATGCTATTTAAAATTTGAATTATTCACTATTCATATATTACAATTTGAATTTTAAGATTGCTATTGGTATTAGATAAATATTTTTAAAGCTTCTTTTTTTCCCTTTGATAATTGTGAAAATTAATTTTGATTCACAATCCAATAAATTATAAAACAACAAAATTTAATTAAGAGAAATGTATATAGACAGTATTCAAGAGTCAGACTCAAGGATTTCTGAAAATGTATAATGCATAGGTCCATATATACATTAATAATCAACAAGATAATATTAAAAAAGATAATATTCTCTAACATCCATGCCTTCTGATCCAATAGATGATATCAATTAAAATAAAAATGATTAGATAATTTCTGATTAACGTAAACTTAAATTTATAAAACAAAAAGAGAGTTTAAGAAGGTTTTAAACAAAAAATCATGTAAACTCAAATTTTTTGAATTTTAGAATTCACCTATTTTATCAAGACAAGTTACTAAAAAACCTAATGGAAATATTCATTAATAAGTTTCTCATTCCGTATTTGCAGCTAAGACATAAATGAAGAAATTTTTAGGCTTGTTACTTAAAAATAGATACATTAAAAAATTTGCTTAAAATTTATTCTTAAAATCATATGTGCTTCCAACTAGTAAAAAAAATCTTTTATTAACAGAATGCTATTTATAAGAAAATTAATTTTAAAATGAATTAGGTACAGTATAATAAAAAATTAGGTAGATAAAAAGAGCTAAAAAATAAGTGGGTATTTATTCTAACCAGGTTCAAATTTTATAATAGTTTTTGATACCTACATAATCCTCATTTATTTATTTAGTTTATGGCTAAGTCCATTTTTAACTAGTTTTACTCCAGATCATGATGAAATAGCTCAAACATCTATATTAATTATATTAGGATTGGCTTTAGAAATTTTTATTTCACTTAATAGAGCTCTAATAATTTAGGGTGAAATTATAGAAGATCGTAAGACGATAATAAAATAATATGTGACCCAATAATTATTTTATGATATATTAATGATAAGCATATGGATACTCTATTTTCTTTAATTTTATAGAATTTATGTTATTAATGAAATTTTAGGTATATTATCTAGTTTAATAACTATAAAAAAATTGGCAAAAAATTATTTTGGATATATTGAATATCTTTATTTAAAAGGAGGTGTGAATAGTTTAGTTGATCTTGTTACTCTAATTATATTAATTTGCTTTTATGCTCACTTTATGGCTAGTATCTGGCATTATATAGGGTCACTTAATAATTTATTTGAAAACACATGGTTAATAAAATATAATATAATTGATTAATCAATATGGCATAGATATAATTATTCATTCTATTGGGCAACTGTCACTATGGTAACAATTGGTTATGGTGATATTACACCTTAAAATTAAATAGAAATAATTTTTTCAAGCATTATGATATTGATTTCAAGTTGTGTTTATGCATATCTGATGAATTCTATTGGAATACTTGTAAAACACATGAATGATACAAAATTTAAATACCGAAAGTAGATGGCAATAGTGAGTTCATACATGAGGAAAAATAATGTTAATTCATAAATATAAGCTAGAGTGAAAAATTTTTTGTAACTTAATATTTAAAATGATAAAAATGAAAATACAGAAGAATTAGAATCTTTATTTTAAACATTTCCTTAGAGTCTAAAAGCAGATATGTTAAATAATATTTAAAATAATTTGATAAATAAGATAATGTTTTTAAAATAGAATTTTAGCAAAAAATGTTTAAAGCAACTTTCTAAAAAAATAATTAAATTTTAAGCTGTTCCTGAAGATTGCATATATAAATAAAATGATTAAAATGAAAAAAATTTGTAAGTTTTTATTAATATATTAGATACTTTTTAATAGAAGGTAGTGTAGAGTTATAGGAGGATAGAACAAAAAAATCTTTGTAAATATTGAAGAAAGGTGATTGTTTTGGTGAATATTAATTTTTTACTGGATTTCCTCCAAAAGTAAGTGTTATATCAAAAGGTTATTCAGAAATTTGTAAAATAAGTAGAGATAATTTATTAGAATAATTACCTAAATTTTAAAAAGATGCTGAGAGATTTCATCATATAAAAGATTCTATATTATTCGAAAATAGTTTCTTCAAAATCTTTTTATAATGCCATTTATGTGGATAATATAATCATTAGATTATTGATTGTGGCATGTTATAATATAAACCAGATTTAGAGTAAAGATTAAAGAAGTCATTTTACAATTCAAAATAAAATAGATCATAATGGATTAGAAAATAATTGAAATGTAATTCTTTAATAGCATAATCTATTGTAGCCGAATCTATATAAACATATTAATAAGTTATTGAAGAATAGATTGTTTAAAATGAAAAAATTGATACAATTGGTGAATAAGATTAAACATAAACAAAATTAATTGTTCAAGAAACTCAAGAAAATATGGTATAAAAATCATAAAATAAAATAATAATGTCTTAGCAATAATCATTATAGGATAGCAAATAATATTTATCTGGTTCTTTTTAAAAATATTCTAAAAATATGAAATAGAATACTATTTAAATAATAGAAAGAAATTCATTTATGGAATTATAATAATAACCATAAGTATTGAAATAAAAATCAGATGAATCTTATTTTGAATCTTATTTTGAGTCTTTGAGTATCCCATTGTTATTCCATTAAAATAATATTGATCAAATGTAAAATTATCGTTATTATTATTCTGGACATAATTCAACAGATATTATTAAAATGTACAATAATATTTAAAATAATAAATATAAAGGATAATCAGCTTTAAATGAACTGAAGAAATTATACAATAAATACACATTTAATTAATCATTAATCAATATTTTGATTAAAACTAAAAAAATATGATAACCGATGATATTATTTAGTATCTATTTAATTTTTACATCATTTTCTTATGAATCTTGCTTTGATTAATTCAACTCTTAATCGTTTTTACTAATTAATTGAGACATTTGGCATAAATGATTTATAAAACATTTTTATAAATTTGTACTCTTTCTTTTTAATCAATACATATCCAATTTCATTAAATATTATAAAATAAAGACAAATTCCTATTATAACAGTTATTCTATCATATTTTTTATTATAATTTACAATAATATTAGGCTTACTTAATCATGTTTTTCTAAAGTTGTTTTCGAGACTTAAACCCATATATCCTTTGCAAGAATGTAATGATCAAAAACAAAATAATATAGCTAAATTATAATAATACTAATACCTTATTAAATTCATATATAGTTGAATATGTAATATTTTCATATCTATCATCATTTGGGATTAACAATTTAAGTGCTACCTAAGAAAGTAAATAATCATATTCTCTGATTCCTCTAGTTAATCCTCCATTTATACTAAGTGCACATTAATCAATATTTATTTAAGCTTAAGATGATATATTAAATTAATACTGTCCCCATCACAAATATTATTATCAAAAAAATAGATTATTTCATCAATATCAGATTGATAATATACTGGAAATTCAGATGATATTTAATTAAAATAAGCTTGAAGTATTATAAAAGCATTTGTATCATTGAAAGAATATTCTTTATATTATTAGCTAGTATAAATTTCTTTTAAAGCTGGTAATATCCAAGCATTTTAACTATTAAACATAAATTAATTCTTATTAAATAATTCTATATTATTAATTGTAAAATAAATTGTGACAACTCCAGCAATACTTATTAATGCTATTAACAATAAATTCACTATTATTTTGACAACTATTTTCTAGTAATATTAAAAATCACATTACTTTCAAACTGAATAGAAGTGATACCTATTCAAACTTGATTTTTGTCTTATTCTCTATTTATTCAATATATTTTTCTGTATCCAATATCTTTTTATCAAAAACTGTTTTACTAGTGCTTTCTCTCTTAGATATTGCTTTACTCAAAGGGCTATTTTTATTCATCGATATAAATTATTATATGTTTCCATCTTTAAAAATACTAATTATTATAATTTACATTCATAATTTGTTACATAACAAAACTAATTTATGGTTGTGTTGATTTTGTTGATGATAGCAATCTTCTCTTTAAAAGGTATTATAGCCTAAACTCTAAATAAGACCTTGAAAAAAATTAAATAAATTTATACATTATATTGTTTCTATATTTAAAATTGGAATCTTATTAAATACAATAAACTTGCTAATTATAATATAGTCTATAATATTAGAAATAGTATGAAATTTGAATTAGAAATTTCTTAAAATCCTAAACCTTAATTTAATAAATGATTAATTGAACTTGCTTAAACTTATTAAAATTGTGGTAGCTAACTTATATTAATTATTATATACCATATATAAACGAAATGTTTCTGCAATTCCAAAATCTTCTTTAAACTCTGAAGATGAAAGCATATTTAATAGATAAACATTAGCTTAATAAACTGTTTGAATATCTAATCCACTTTCATTAGAGTTACTATGAAAATTCTCATACAACATTTTCAAAAAATTTGGTTCCCAAAAAACATAATACATGTAATCACCACATTTTTAAGTTATCTTTTAATTATATTCATAAAATTCCTCTTTTGATTAATATCCAATCAAATCTCCCTTTATTAAATCTGAATAAGTGTAATTTCTATTAAACAATTCTACATCTATTTAAGCATTATAAGATTCTGCTACTATTATTTAATAATGAAAAAGATAATCAACTAAGATTATCTAAATATATATTAATTATTAATTACTGATTCTTCTAATGTACTTGTGTTGTAAATAAATGAAGTCATAAAGAAACTTAAAAATACTATCAAAATTTGCAAAATAAATATGAATCTACTAATATATTCATATTAAACAATTGATGGATTATCTTTTTCTATTTTATTTGTATCCTCCTTTAAAAAATCACTATTACAAGTGATAAAATTGATATTTTTATACTGATCATTTTAATCAAAGTCTTAATTAACTTACATTTCTTGTAATAATACTTTTCCCATAGACTCTCTATTTGAATATAAATCAAATTAATCTCCTATTTATTACCAAAAAAATACCATTAATTGTAATACATAAATTTCTAGGACTTTGTTGTGTAACAGATGTTCTTTTAGTTGGCTACTTAAGATAGATTCAATACTATACCGAAGATATCATTTAAGGTGCTTAAAATGATAAAGTAAAACAACTATTCTATCTCTAAGGTAAAGGATTTTCTTCAATCAATTCAGTCCTTACTATTTTAATTAAAATATATTTATTAGATTGTGAAGTCTTTTCTAATTTTAATGTCCCCTCTATTCTTAATATCTTATCAACACAATCTTCAGATTATGTATACTTTTAAAAAAGTTCCTCTATTTTTAATATAATTAACATACTTATTATTTGAAATTTCTCTTTCCTAATAATTTCTTAATAAACTTTACATCTCCTTATAAATTCACTTCTTACTATTTTAAATTTTCCAGATTCATTTTTTACTATTAATTTTTTTCGAAAAGGTTCTGCATATATTGCTTACTTATAAGATTCAGATAATTTTGATTAAAATTCTTAAACTAATTCATACTTTTATTTAGGAACTCTTAAATTGAACAAAACTTATTTTACTTTTGACTTTTGTTAATCCTCAATATTAATAACATCATCTTAATTTAAAAAATTTTGAAAACTCTTTTTCATTTCCACTTAATTTTATAAGATAGATATTTATCCATTGCTTGAAGTTAAAGAACCTCTAACCATAGGAGAAGAATGTTATGTGTAAAATAGACGAGATAAATTCTTTTCTAAATTTGGAGCATTTAAACTAAAAAATTCTTTATTCTCCTTAGTCAAAAATTTCTCATATTAAGAATAAACAATTGTTTTAGGAGCCAATATAAATAAACTTAAAGACTTTATTCCTATAATATCTTATAATAATTAAGTACAAGAGTCTACTTCCCAATCTTCATTTAATAATAAATATTCTTATTTAGTTTAAATTTATCTAAACATGGCTATATATTCAATTTAATTTGAAATATAATTATAAATATACTTCAAATACTTATAAACAATTACAATATGACCTGAATCATGCATACAGAATGCCTTCTTTCTTTTGTATAAATTAAAAGATTGTCCAGTTTATTAAAAATGATTGATATATTAGGAGTGATACTATTTAAACATTTGTGGCATTAAAATAGAAGCAGAACTATTTACTAAAGCTTATCTTGTGTAATTTAATATTGAAAATGTATTATTTGTACAATTCTTAATAATACCAGCTTAGTTAATTTAAATTACAAAAGTATTGCCAGAGATTAAAAACTTTTATTAATAATAATTGATTGGTTCTTCATCAGATGATTTTTCATCTATCTAATCATCCTTTAAAATTTATTCTAAATTAATTTAATAATCAGGTAATATTTCTAACTCTTGTAATTTTAACTTTTTATTTAATATAAATAATTTAAAGAAAAAATAATTAAACCATTATTTATTTCTAATTGGAACTTTGTGATTATAATGTAAACTTAATATCAATTTCTCTAATCTTTAAAATTTTTTAATTAATTAACTTATTTAATTTAAAAGAGATAGTTCATCAACTAATTTAATTTTTTCATTTAATAAGTAATTCCAAAACTATAATTAACATCCAAAAATATTCATCATAATTTCTACTGTTTCTTTAATATATGATTCACATAATAGTAATTAATCAAATGGTAATTTTGATTTATAAGATTATTCATTCTTTTATTTTATTAGTCTAGAAATTATCAATCTAATGTTTATTACATTTATTCGTTAAAGTAAATTTAATTTATCTTAATTTAATTTATCAATTTATATCAAACTTTCAGAATACAATTTTAATTTATAACACAATAACTCAATTAAAAGAATCTTAATATTTTAATCCTATGTTTTAATTTATGCATTTTCATATGTACATTTTAAGAAAAAAGTAGAAATTCTACCAATATTTTCATAGATTGCATCTCTATTAATATATATTTTTTTATTTCCTTTTGAACTTATCTTATATATAGTTTTTAAACGATAAAAGCAATTTATATTTACACACAAAGATTGATGAAGATGGATAATGCCTCTTAACAAAAATATATTTTATGGATCTTATTTCAAATATACTATTGTTCTTTAATCTATCATTTTTGTAATACTATAATTAGTGATTGAACTTAATATTAGATATTATCTTATTTTTGAATTCAATTTAATCAAAAGTATAAATGTTAATAGAACCTACATGCAATAACGATCCTCAAATAAGTTGATAAAGTATGATATTAACAAATTTAAAGCAAGCGTGAATTACATACTAATGATAATCTAAAAATAATTGTTTAAATATTTATTTGAGAAAACAGGTAAATCCTAATGCATTTATACAAAAAGTATTAAAAATAAGAAAGCCAATACTATAGGAAATGCTATCTTTTAATAAAATTGATAATTACACTCAATTTACTGCTAGAATTTATAAACAACTCTAAACAACTACTAAAATATATTGTTATAATATAAAATAGTAAAGTTTTCGGGGAATTTATTTTTAAAAAGTTTTTTTTTTATGAATGGTCATAATGCAGAAAAAGTATAAGGATTATTAAAAATAATAGTTATAAAAGGATTGCAATACAATCAAGAATAATAAAAGCTAAATTTTGTATTTATTCCAAATAAGTATTTTAGATTTATAATAAAAATCCATTAATTGACCAAAAATAAGGTTATATGAAATATCCAATTATCTATATAATTATTTTTCATAAATTACTTAGCCATAAATAGTAAATGCAACATTAGTCTTAGTATTTTTTTTCTTTATGTAATACAAGATGATAAACAAAATGACAATAAATATATTAAAAGCAAATATAATTAGAATATAAATTGAATGTAGTATTGAGGATTTTAATAAATACTTGCCAACATTTAAGGAGTCCAATATTAAGTAAAGCTAATTTTGTTAATAGTTGTTCTTATCAGAAATTTTTAGATATCTATTTAAGAAATAGGTAATACATTTCCAAAAGCGGAGAAGTATTTAATATAGCTCCAATAGAGAGATAAATAAAACTGGTGTAATAGGAAGTATTCATAGATTCTTTTAAATCCATCCATGTTTATTAAAACAACATAAATTTAATAATTACATATTCCAAATTAAAATATTTGAACAAAAAAGTTATAGTAATTTTATCTTTTTGTTGAAATTTCTTACTATGAACACAAATAAAAAATAACAAACATCATTGTTTTGAAAGGTATGAAAATATTCGAATTTATTTAAAGAATTAATTAATCAATATATTTTTAATTATATATATTAAGTTTTTAACGATAATAATAATTTTATTTAATATTAACAGAATGATCATCGAAAATCAAAGGTGTTTTGGAAAAGAAATTGTTAATTCATCTATCTATCAATCAATGGAAACAGGGATGATCGTTGAAAAAACAAAAAAACCTTTTTCCATCATTCCCAGAGTATTTGCTATTAGTTTGGATGAGAAAGAAAATAAATTATTTAGAAGAGAATCTGAAAGAATTCAAATAGAATTAGAGAATGAGAAGCCAAAAGAAACTAAAATTCCACAAAATGTACATTTATACACAGATGAAATATTCCAACATTTATTAATTGAAGAGGTATATAATGAATTACTAATTTATTTAGAATAAATATTAGATAGATTAATATATGACACCTGAGTTGTAGCCAAATATAAATATGAAAATGAGAGCAATTCTTGTAGATTGGCTTATTGATGTGCATGCTAAATTTAAGTTAAGAGATGAAACATTATATCTTACAATTTCTTTAATAGATAGATATTTAGCAAAAGAATAAGTGACAAGATTGCGTTTACAATTAGTAGGTGTAGCAGCACTCTTCATAGCATGTAAATATGAGGAAATATATCCACCTGCATTAAAAGATTTTGTTTATATCACAGATAATGCCTATGTAAAGAGTGATGTATTGGAAATGGAAGGTTTAATATTGTAAGCTTTGAATTTCAACATTTGTAATCCAACTGCTTACTAATTTTTATCAAGATTTTCGTCTGAATTAGATCCCAAAAATAAGGCTTTAGCTTAATATATTTTAGAACTTGCTTTGGTTGAATACAAATTTGTAGTGTATAAACCATCCTTAATAGCTTAAGCTGTTATATTTTTGGTTAATAAAATAAGGTATTAATTAAGTTTATAGTTAGATCTCCAAATTATAGAAATTAAAATGAAGCTTCATTAAAACCTTGTGCTAAAGAATTATGTTCATTATTATAGGCTGCAGAATTTAATTCATTGTAAGCTGCAAGAAGAAAATTTAATACAGTCAAGTTTTATGAAGTTTCAAGGATTAAGGTGGAAATAATTAACAAATGAATATAGTTAAATTGTTAGTTTTTTTTTCCTTAATAAATAGTTACATTTTTACAAATTATTTATAATGTTTAAAAAATAAATTTCAAGTTGGACTTAATTCAACTCCCCAAAAGTTTTGAATAATAATTTGAACTCACCATCAATAAAATCAGATTAGTAATCAAAGGATGAAATAGAAGAATAACAAGACATGATTATTGAAGAGAATTTTATAAAAAATGTAGGGTCTAATCAAAATTAAAGATTTGAGAGTGATTTTACAGTTGAAGATTAAGATAAAAGTATTTATTATAATTATTAAATAATAGGAAATATCTTACATTAAACTGCATTAAGACAAGATAATAAAGTTTTGGAAATTTTAATTGAAGATTATAAAATATTACTTAAGGATAATAAAAAGAAGTTTAAGTATTAATAATAAAAGAAAATTATTCCTTAAAAAATGGAAGATGATGAAGAAATAATTGAGATTGATTTTGATTTTGATGATAATGATGGATTAGAAATTTAAGAATAAATTAAAAAATATGTTCAATAAAAAGATATGTTTGGATGTTCACCTATATAAATTTGTTGTTTTTTAAATGATCCTAAATTGTAAAATAATAGATAGGAATGTTTAAGGATTTTGATAGAAAATGGTTCAGATGTAAATTGTATCAATCCTCATAGTAGATGGGCTCCATTACATTGGTGTGCATTCTATGGGGATTAAGTAAGTGTTTAATTCCTCTTAAAAAAGAAAGCTCATAGCTTTTTGTGTGATAATAATGGACTCTATCCTATGGATTTAGCAGGAAAGAATGGCCATTAAAGAGTATTATAATTAATAATAGATTAAATTGTGGCATTTTTAACTGAATGTTAATAATTTTGGATTAATGAATTAAAAGGAAAGAATGAAAGTGAATATATATAATTTCAAGAAATATGTCATTAATATGAAGCTGAATTGTAAAACCCTTTATTATATACAAAAATTCTATATTGGTGTTGCCTTTATAAAATAAATCACCATATTAAACATATTTTAATAAATTTACCTAGAATTTATATTATGTTTCCCATTAAATCATTGGAAGGTTAAACATGTTTACATGCTTGTTGTTCTTAGAATAATTATGAAGCTTTAAAAATAATTATAAAATTTGAAATATTAGATCTATCAATGAGGGGACCTGATTCAAATAAAAAGAAGAAACCAAATAAAAAATTTAGAGATAGAGAAAATTATTATTCAAAATCTTTAATTAGCTATTTAGAATAGATATGCAGATAAGAATTACCAGGAATAACTCATATATTAGAAAACAGAGATTCATCAATTTATAAAGAAAGATATTATCATGAGCTTGAAAGATATCAAATTTAAGACTTAAAATATAAGGAGGAATTAGGCAAATTAATTATGAGGTTCATGTAATAAAATGAATTAAAGAATGATAAATAATATTACGATAAAACAAAGGAATTATTTTGCAAAAATGTTTTATCAATTGATGTAAAAGACAATCATGGAAATACTGCTTTACATTTAGCATCTTTAAATGGTGAATAAAAAATAATTAAATTTTTATTAAATAAATATGCAGATCCTGAAGCTGAAAATAATGAATTTTTTAGAGCTAGGTAATTAACAAAAGATACTGCTACATAAATTTATTATGATGGTTTAATTAAAAAAAAGAAATATGCTCAAAATTAAAATTTGGTTCATTAATCAATAGGGGAAATATTTGAAAAGCATAAATAAAAAAGAGAGAAATAAAAAGTAAGTTTTGAAGATCAATATAATTTAATGGAAAATATAGTAGCAAAATCAAAGTTTTATAAATCATAACTTAAAACAAAGAGGTAAATTCAAGCTTAAAAGTCAATAAAAGAATAAAAAACTTTGTCTTTATTTAATGAGAATGAGTTAGAAAAGAGTCCAGATTTTTTAAAATCTTCAGTGTAAAGAGAAAATTAGAATTTTTTACATAAAACTGCAAAACCTAAAAAAAATAAAAATTAAATAATTCCATTAGATATATCTAATTCTATTTAATAAAATTAAAAGAATAATTCATTTGATTGTTTAGAACAATTAATATTATTTTCAAGCTAATTATTTGTACCTGATATTGTATTAAAATTTGATCATTCAGTAAAAACTAATTTAATTGACATTTTTAAAAGTCATAATTTGTAAGAAATTGAAGAATAAAAAAGAATTATAGATTAATAAATTAATTTTTAATTAGATTTATTATAAAAAGCTGAATTTGAAATATATATGATGTAGTCATTTATATCTTAATAATAAGTTTACATTATGTTAAGATTGAAAGAAGAAAAATTGGAAAGATTAGCAGAAGAAATGGAAATGTAGATTAAATTAATTGATTCTTATGATTTAGAATAATTTAAATCAAATTAAAGGAATAAATTTGAACCTTTTAGATCTAGTTAAAGGTAAAAGATTGTATATGATCATTTGATTAAATCTATAAATTTGGAATCTTTACTTAAATCAAAACTTGTTGAATCTTGTTATGCTATGCATACATCAGGAGGAATTTAAATTATTAAAAGATAATGGTAAAAATTATCTTTTGGTTTTATACCTTAACCAATAAGTCAGATTAAAGATTATCTTAATGAAGGTAGAGGAAGAAATTTTACATCTTTAACAACAATGAGATTATATTTTGGGGAATAGATTTCATTTTATTTTGCATGGATAAGTTACTTGTCTTGTGTTTAACTAATTATAGGCATTCCAGGATTAGCACTTTAATTATATGCAATATTATATGATTTTCATTCTGATTTAATACCATATTGGGTATTATTAGTTACAATATGGTCTACTGTTTAAATTGAATTATGGAAAAGGAAAACTTCTGAAATCAATACAAGATGGGGTTGCATAGATTAAATGCTATAAACTGAATCCTCATATTATGAAGGACCTTTGAAAGATAAATTTTCAGGAGATGAAGAAATTAATTTTATTACAAGAAAATTGACAAAACATTAATAAATAACAAAAATGGCTATTTACTTTATTCTTTTCATTTTCTTATTAGCAGTCTTTTTATTTTGCAGTCTTGCTATTGTTTATGGAATTGATTTATTAAAATAAGAACTAATAATTTATAAAGGATTTATTTTTTTACTTGGAGCATTATAAGCTGTTGCTATATAGATTTTAAATATTTTGTTTCTTTACTTTTCTAAATGGTATGCAGATTAAGAAAATCATAAATTTGAATTAAGTTATTAAAAGTCATTAATTTACAAAAATGTATTTTTTAGGTTTATAAATTCATATATGCCTTTAATGTACATAATTGTTACTTCCAATAAATATAATCTTGAAGATATCTTTTATTTTATAATTCCATTAGTTTTAGTTAAAAAAGCATATTATATTGTAGTTAATTTTCTAATACCTGTTCTATTATTGAGAGGAAGAATAAGAAATTACTTTTAAAAAGTAAAGGAAATAACTATAAAATAAAAGAAAATTAGATTAGCTAATAAATAACATCTTTAATACTTAGATGAAATTGAATAATTTTGGGATTATGATGAATTTAAAAAAAATTACAAATTAGATATTCAGGATAATATAGATGTAGATTTATTAGAATCAGCAGCTAGACCTGTTTTAAAAATAGAGAGTGAAGAAGTATTAGAGGAAAAGATTTTAGAAGAAACTAAGAATCATAAATTTAAATATATGCCTTTTGAAACTAAAATAGATGTAGATGCTATAGAATTAAATTCTCTGAAAGATGATTTTGAGGGAACTCTTGATTATTTTATGGAAGCCATAACAGATTATGGTTATTTTATTTTGTTTTCTGCAGCTTTTCCAATAGGGCCATTTGTAGGTATTGTAATGAACACTATTGACATACAAGTAAAATTATATAAATTAATTTACATGACAAAAAGAATAAAATCTGAAAGAGTTCCTGGTATTGGATAATGGTTAAATGTATTGGAATTTTTAAGTGCTACAGGAGTATTTACAAATTTTGTTTTACTTTATTTTAAGCATAGATATGCTACTTTAAGGATGTTTACTGATTAAGTAGATTATGTTATTGAAAATGATTTAGAATTATGGTATTTTATGAGTTGTGTTATTGCAATATCTCTTATTAAAATATTAGTTAGAGAATTAATACCAGATAGACCTGATTGGGTTATTGAAGAGATTGATAAAATAAATCACCGAGAACTTGTAGAACAATAATAGAAAACTTAGATTAAATTAAAAGATTTAGATAGACATTATAAGGAATTAAAGTAATTCTTTTATATATAATTGTTATTAGGGATGAGAATAAAAAGTTAAAAAAAGAATAAGGAGAAATAGAATAGTCAACTGAAATTAAACTTAAATAATTGGATACAGAAATAGCTAAATTAGAATCTTAATTCTTTAGCATTTCAAAATATAAAAAGTTAGATAAAATAATTTAAACAGAATATGATATGATAGTTTAAAGTGTTATGAAAATTAGATATTATCAAATTGATAATGCTTTAATAATAAAAAGAATGCTTTAATTTCTTTAAGCAAATTTTTCAAACTTATCCATTTGTTAAGAATGTGGCAAAAATCCAACTATATTAGAATGTATTGAGTGTACTGAACAATTTTGTGCTGCTTGTTATTAAAAATTACACACAATTACATAATAAACTTAACATAATGTAAATTTAATGAGAAAGAAAAATGAAATATTAGAATAAATTGAATTAAATGTAGTTATTGATAAACCTAATTAGAAGATGATACCTAATGAATTATCTAAATAGTTGAAATCATAAATTAAAGTTTCAGAACCAAAAAGATGTTGGAAAAAAATTGAATACTTTTTTATTCCACTTTAATTATAAAATGGATAACCAAAATTAAATGAATTATATAATTAATTTGGAGATTATTATTTAAGAGGTCCTGGATTAGAATTCAGAGATTTTAAAATTTATGTAGAAAAGATTGTTCCAATTAAAGAATTAATATTAATAGAAGATTCTACTTTAAGAATTGAGGATAAAATCTTTTTGAATAGAATAGCTTTTTGTTTATTTAGGAAGAAAAAGAATTTAGCAGAAATATAGTTATTTCTTAAAAATTGTAGTACTCTTTAAATTGGTTAATTGGAATAAAAAGTCTTATTATTTTTTGATCTACTTGATTTGAATGAGGATGAAGAAATATCAAAGGATGAATTAGAAAATTAGTTTTTATTATCATTTGTATAAGATGTTCGAACAAATAAAACAATTTTAGAAATGATTGATTCATTTTTCATTGATAAAATTAAGAAAAGAGATAAAAAAGAAATAACTTAAAAGTTTTTCAATAAAGTGCAAAGAAATAATGATTTTTAATCATTTTTAGAAAGTCTTTTATAAGTCTAAGGATTAAAAAATTGATTGAATTCATACATTTTCTCTAATTATTAAGGAATTTGCTGATGGTTGATCTTTCTTATGCTTATTTTATTTTTGTTTAGTAGCTTTGGTAATTTTGTGGAACATATATTTACTTTTTATAACTTTGAATTTTTTTTATCTGAATTACTTTTAAAATCTTTAGTACTCCTATAAAACATTTTCAATGTTATTATGTGGAAAGTAATATTAAAATGAAAATACTGAATCAATTTCATCATCATAATAGTATTTGTTATCTATTATTTCATCTAATTAATGAAAACTTTTAAGATTTTAATTATAATCCTTATTTTCTTTTCTGGTTTCTTCTTTAATTGGAGCCAATTAAGGAGCAGATAAAGAATTTTTAGCATCCTATGAAAATACCTATTAAATTGATTTTCTTTTCTATGTTAAAGGAGTATCAATTTCTGTTTATCTAACACTTTAACGATTAGATTATCTTTTATTTAAATGAAAATTAAATTCTTCAACTATTCCTTATCCTGATTTACTATGTGCCGAACTTTTTCTTGATTAATGTTATTATCCTAATTTTGAAAGGGAATCTCGAACTTTTGTTTATTCTATCTCTGGTACTTTACTATCTTATGAGGAAATCTCAGATGAAGTATCAGAAGGAACTGAACCTATCTTTTATGTTTATTCTATAGAATCTTCATTATCTAGACTTTTGTGTAAGATATTTAAATATCTTTTATCAGATCTTTTAAAATTTGATCTTCTTTATTCTGTGTTGAATAAAGATTTCTTAATCATAACTTCAATATTAGGCTTATAAAATAAAAAGTGACAATCCCAAATAAGGTGGTTTTCATCACATGCATAACATTTAAATTATTCATTTTGATATTTTAATTAAATTTAATCTTTCATTTATTAAAATTTTTAATAATCTACAGGATTATCCTTTATTAAATTAAGAAAATCTTCTCTTGCAATTTTATAGATTTAACTGAATGTAACACTATATGCACTACAAAATCTAGCTTAAAAGGATAAAAATTCTAATTCTCCAAAGGTTTAACCTTTAGTAAATATTTTAAGAATCTTTCCTGAATTATCATCAATTAATTATATTTCACCTTTTTAAATAATATAAATAGATTTATCGTCATTATTTTATTATTTATAAATTAACTCTTTAGGTGTACATTATTAAAATTTAACATGATCAGCAATTAATCTAATAGTTGATTGAGAAAAATTCTTTTTAAAAAAGTCTGCCTATTTCAAAACTCTTAATTATACATCCTATAAAAGTTCTTATCTCAAATTATTTGATAATTGATTTAAAACTAAATCAATCTCATTTTTACTACCCTTATTTTCTTATTCAAAAAAATATTTAATATAATTTCTTATTCTACTTTATAATGATATTTAAACTTCATTAAATTACATATAATGGTTAATCAGTAAAAGTGTTCTTTTATATACTTATTATTAATTGTCAATGTTACTAAATATCTAACCAATAGAATTTATTGAAAATGCAAATATTCCACTAGCTAGAAACATTAATATAATAGAACAAAGAACTTCATAAATATTTTATCCAGTAACATCTCCATAACCTACTGTAACCATTGTAGCAGTAGCCCAATAAAATGAATATCCATAACAATAAGATATTGGAGCATCAATTAATTTATATTTGATTATCCAAGATTCATTGAATTAATCTAAACTTTTTATACCCACATAATACCATACACATGCCATAAAATGAGCAAAATAGAATATTACAATAATTAATTAGGATAAATTAGCTAATTCAATTAAAGTAGATTATGTTGTCAGAGTCTCTTCATAAGTTTTTATCTTCTTTTTTAATTTAAAGAAATTAAGAATAAATTATGTTAAAACTATTATTTCTTTTATTAAATAAGTGTCAATTGGCTATTCTCTTATGATGATGATCAAAGTAATCAAATAAATGATATCTTCGTACAATTCATATTTTATATAATAGAGTAGGATGAAAAGGCGATCCTTCATAATTTAGCCTTGATCAATAATGCCAACATTTAATTTAATTATTAAGTCAAAAATCATAAAGTAAACTAAGGATTATTCAATATTTTTTATATCAGTAGTACCCTCAGGAGTAAATGCTATTTTGAATGGAACCCACCATAATAAAAACATTATTTAAATAATTCTAAAAATTTGCCAAATTAGGATAAATTTGCTGGTTGGACTAAAGGTTGGAAGTTTAATTTTAATAGGTTCAAAAAAAATTTATTTTCTTATTTAATCTTTATTTAAGTCTCCCAGATAGGTTTCTTTAAGAAAATTAATCAGATGGGTTTTTTTATTTTTAGGATAAATATAACCTATCCTCATAAGTTTATCTTTGACTTCCAATATGAGTTTGTTCCTACTTATAATTTATTTTATTCTTTTAACTGTTGGTATATGAGTCATTGTTCGATTCTAATAACAAAATATTAGTTACTTGTAAAACTAAAGAATTTTTCATATTGATACCATTAATAGATGGCTATTAAATAGATTCTTTAAATGGAGTATCAGAAACTGATTCCCAAACTTAAATTTAAGATTATTCTGTATTTTTGTTAGGCACAGGATTATAATCTAGTAAAATTGAATGAGGCTTAAATTTATCTTAATATCTATCGGAGAGTCTAGCAGAAGCTTAATGATAGAGAAAATAGAACCTTACTGAAGAGAGAGGTGATAATCTTCAGAAAATTGGTCTTCCATTTAAATATAATTATATGAATTGCAAATTAACACAGAATTAATTCAGTCAACATAATCAAAATCAATTGCATTAATTACAACTTCTTTATGCTTTGAAACTATATTATCTATTTCTTATTTGATTTAAGCTTCATCTTCTTATTTTATTTGAAATCTTGCTGTAAAAACTAATTTTTTTTCTTTGTATTACCACAATTTCATTTCTTAAGGTTCAAATCCTCTATAATTAAACTAAAAATAGATTATAATTCTAATTACATCATGAGAAATAGCAGCTAACACTTTTTTACCTGAAAATGGTACATGCATCAATAATATTTTACTTGTATCTTTAAGTAATGTAATTGTTGTGGTAAGAATGAGTAATGAAATAATGATTGAGGCTATAGGGTCAGCCATATGAAACTAATAGTAATATATAAGCAATGCAGATATGATACATGCAACACTTCCTAAAGCATCAGCTAGAATATGTAAATATACACCAGATAAATTATGATTATGATCATGATGATGAGAACAATGATGATGATGTTTTTCTTCCAATTATTAATCTACTTCTTCTGAATGAATATGTCCATGATTATGAAAGAAAAATAATCCAATTACATTAACTAGTAACCCTAAGAATGATACAATCAACATCTTTTCAGGAAGAACTTCTTAAGGAGTTATTACTCTTTCAAAAGATTCTGATATTATTTCAACAACTGCAAATAATAAAAATACACCATTTGCATATCCAGATAATATTTCTACTCTTTCATAACCAAATGTATATGTTGAATTTGCTTTTCTTTTGGCCATAAAACTAGCAAATAATGCTATTGCTAATGCACTTGAATCAATCAGCATATGTAATGAATCTGTGATCAATCCTAAACTATTACTAATCCAACCATAAATTAATTCTACAAACATAAATGAAAAATTAAGAGATAGTTATATCATTAACTTTTTTGAATCTGAATTATTTTTTAAATGATTAAGGAATGCTTGGAATGAAATTTCATCATCTCCAACTATTCGATTATTACTCTATATCAATTATTAATCTTCTTCAGTATTCTCAAAGATGTTTAGAGTAGCTAAAATTAAAAGACTTATCCACATCACTTAATGATTGAAAGGATCAAATATTTTATCTTTCAATTCATAAATCAAAAATAAGAGACACATTATTATACCTATAAATTTGTTGTGTTGGTCTTTTGTGATATTGTAGGTTATTTTCTGCAAACCCAAAAAGAATAAACCTATCATTAACAAATTGAATATAGGGAATTCCATTATATTAAATCCATCCTAATCTTCTGAAATAAATATCTAATGATTTACAATAACAATACTTCATAAATAGATACTGTGAGAATTATACCTAAAGCTAATACATATGATAAAATAGTTGAGATCTCATCTTCTTTCTGTATTTAATATGATTAAATGACTTTTTTAGTAGTTTTTTCTATTAGAGTTACTATAGTAAGTGAAAATAGATTTATGTCTGTTCCCCAAAAGAAAATGATAATTACAAAGAAGATTTTTATCACTTTGAATTTGTTAAGATTCCTAAAAGGCAATTAATCTGCCACGTATGAACTTATTATATAAGAGATTGTTACATCAAAAATGAAAACATGATTAGACTATATAATGATGAAACATAGTGTATTAGTTTCAAAGTAGCAATACCTAAGATCTTGAGTGGATTTGCAAATGTTTTAGTTTTCAATGTAATTATTCTCCAGACAAATAACAATATGAAAGTTATCATCAATAGAGTATTGATTTCAAATATGTTTGGAATCTTCTAAGCATATGTCTCAGATATTGACATTTTGATTGCCTGTTGTATGAAACATTGAATAAATGAATTCATATTTATATTGAATATAAAATGATGAATCTCATCTTCCAGACCATGAAGCTACTTATTTCTTGAACATAATGATGACTTCTGCAAGAATGGCATTCTCTTCATCTCTTTTAGCCTTGGCTTCAGCATAATCAGCTCTCTTGTTTTCCAAGTCTGATTAAGCTTAATCTAAAGCATCTTGTGATTCTTAAAGAATAATCTTTGATTTAGCTTATTATGCTAAGGCAGCTTAAATTTACTAAATATTAAATTAATTAATATTACAGTAGCCAATCTATCAGCATAGACTTATTTTCTTTCATATTCAACTTTGAGATTTTCTACTTCAGCTTCACTCAATGAAACCCAACCAGCTAATTCCCATGAGGCATTGATTTCATTAACTTCAAGAGCTTCAAGTGAGGCTGCAAGGTTAACTTCAAGTGATTCCAAAACAACCAAAACTCTTTCAGCTAATGTTGCTCCTCTGCTTACTGAACCATCTTCTTATTTATTGGCTAATTAGAGGAATGATTATAATTCTTATTCTTAGAATGTATTGCTGTATTGCTTTAATTTTTCAGCAACACTTTGAACTTAAACTAATTCAAAGGAGTCTCCATTGACAATATATCCAGCAACATCTTACTTAAGTAATCTTACAACTTCAAGAGCTTCTCTATTTTATTTGATTGATCTAACAAAGAGTTGATTGCTAAGACATTATTCATCAAGAAGAACTTAGATCTTTCTATTAATTTCATCTTATCTTTATTCATTCCATGCAAGATAATTCTTTGTATCATGGAGATCTTATTCAAATTGAGCTCTGTTCTCAATTGATTATTGGAATAACTTTTGATTCAAAGTCTTAATTTTTGTAAATTACTCTATTGTTCTATAATTAGTAAACATAATTACTATGCACCAATCCATTCATCTGTTTCATTCTTTTAATCTGCTGCAAATTGAGCATCTTTATTTGATTGAATTAAATCATTCAATAAACCAAAGACAGTGTCAATAGCATCACTTGCTTTTGTTCCTGTTTAAAGGAGTGCAAGAATTTAATCTTAAGTGGATGTGGCTGAAGCTAATGCTAATAACAATACAAGGGTGATTGTCACTTTCATTATTTAATAATAATTTATAAAAACGGGTAATTAAAATTAAATAAATATGAACGATGATGAGGGATTTATTTCTGAAGAATCAGATTAAAATAATTATTAATTAAAACTACCCAAAGACCTCTTTATTGACACATCCATCAATATCCAAATACCTTTACATAATATTGAATACAAATGTGTCTATTTAAAACATAAGTAAACTACCTCATATAATTTCAAATACCATTTCAATGGATTACTTTTAGATGATCATAAAATCATTAAATCTTAACCTATAATAAATAATGGAATGTTCAATTCCAATTTTGAATCAGCCAATCTTTATGCTGCTTATGAGATAAAAGACAATGAATTTAATTTAATTTTATAAGATGATACAAATACAATTGGTTATTCATAATGGTTCTATTTTGAAGTTAATAACCTTTAAGGCCAAGTTCTCACCTTTCATATTATCAATTTAGTAAATACTTTTAAACTTATATAGATTAAAGAATATAAATCATTAAAATATGGCCTATCTGTCATGATAAAGGATGGATCTAAATGGGAAGTTTTGGAAACTAATGTTAAATTAAAATCTTCATAATACTATAAATTAAAAGTAAAATTGTGAATCAATTTTAATTTTAGTATCCCACTCATATGTGTAAATTATATTAACTAACAATCATCATACCATCAAAATATAGAAAATTCAAATTGTCTCTTAATTATCCTTACACAAATACAGATCTATATACTTTCCTTAAGAATAATTATTAAATCCTTACTACTTCACTTTCAGGTTTAAATGTTCCCATTCTTAGATATGGATCACCAAATAATGATGTTATTGTTATAATTGCTCGTTAACATCCTGGAGAAACAGTATCATCATTTGTTTGTTAAGGTTTTTTGAGTTCTCTTGAAAAAGATGATATATTAACTCAAAAGTTTCATTTTATTATTATACCACTTTTTAATCCAGATGGAGTAGAATGTGGAAATTTTAGATGTGATTTAAGTGGTAAAGATTTAAATAGATAATGGCATAAACCAAATCCATAATTGCATTTTTAAATAATTGAAACTAAAAATCTATTAAAAAATATCATTCAAACAAGAAATATAGTTTGCTTTATAGATTTACATGGACATTCAAAAAAGTATAATTAATAATAATTCAATTTAGATTAAATTCATTTATGTATGCTTGTAGAGGAGATTAAGATGCAGTATAATGTAGAATATTACCATATTTATTTAAAACAACAAGTAAATTCTTTGATTTTAATTCCTGTACATTCTCCCTTGAACCATGCAAAATGAAAACTGCTCGAGCATTTGTTTTTAAATTAGTTAAGAAATATTTTCCAAATGAAATACATGATATATTTACTTTAGAGACTAGTTTTTTTGGATATAATGAATTTTATTAAATCAAATAATTCACTTAATAAGATCTCTTATAAATAGGGTAGGATCTATATAAAAGTTTAGTACTTTATTATACAAATATTACTTTAAAATAATAGATAGCAAATGAATTAGAAAAGAATCGACAATAATATCATAATCAAGATCTTTATAGTACAGAAGACTAAAGTGATTCAGATCCTGAAAATGGTATGATTATATAAAAATAAATCAAACAAAAGAAGAGGTTTGAAAAGAAGGTTTCTATTAAAAAAGAAATTAGTTTTATTAAAAAATTGTAATAACCTTAATTAACTTCATTTAATAATCATAATTATGAGAATATTCGTTATTTTTCTATGCCTAAAAGTAAGATTGAAAAAAGACAAATGAAGAGTTCAAGTTTCCATTAATAAATGAATATCACTTAATCATAAATAAAAGATCTTTCAGCTGATATTACTCCTACTAATAAATTTAAATTAAAAACACAATAATCTAATAATAATTAAGAAATGGAATAAAGTCAAAATTAAATTTTAATACCTTCTTAAAAAAAATAGAATTTCCAATTTTAAAAATCTAATTTTGTACCTCCAATTCATAATGGATTATCAATAAAAGTTGTTCATAATAAAATAAGGAATGAATAAATTTAATAACAATAATAAATGCCATTTTAATAATAAATACGACTTAATCAATCATTTTAAAGTACTTAATATAATAGTCCAGAAAATAAGAATTTAGCAGTAATATCAAAATCAATATAGAAAAAAGATACCTGGGATCCAAGATTGATATTTGAATTTACACAAAAAGTAAAAAGAAAGAATACATAAAATAAATTTATTTGATTAAATTGAATATATTATATTGAATATTATGAGAATGGATATTACAATATTTTATTATTTTTTAAAGATAGAGAATATTCTCAAGTCAAATAATTAAGCAATTTTGTATAATTAATTTAAAAATTATAATATATAAAAAAAGTATCTAATTTTCATAATTAAACAATTTAATAAGGTTAATATGATGATGGATCAAATTCATCAAAGCTTTTCTATTTGATATTATAAATTTACTACGTTATAACCTTTATTAAACCTTGTTTTCAAATTGTTATTCATTAATATTACTATTAACTAATAGATATATTAAGAATTATCTACATTATTCTTAATTTAATGATAATAAATTTTGAATATGTATGATAATTAATGTATTAAATATAGAGTTGAAATAGTAGGAAGTATTAAGGAAAACGAATATTTAATTTAATTTGTGATCATGAATATTAATTAAATTATAATAGTATATGAATTAAATTCAATAAGAGATAACAACAATCCCTACAAAAATCTTTAGAAATGCATAATGGATATCTAAAAATTAAAGTGTTAATAAAAGAAAAAGTCCTAATTATCCTTGTAAGAGATGGGGACATACAGCTGTCTTGCATGATAAATATATGTATGTTTTTAGTGGTTGTGGTAAATCAGACAATGCCAAATAATGGGAATAAATCTATCGTATGGATTGCTTAACATTTTAATGGGAAAGATTGATTAGTCCATCTGCTTAACATCCAGCTGGTAGAGATTCTCATTGTTCTGTTTGTCTTCAAAATAAGCTGTATTTTTTTGGAGGGTCTAGTAATGATTACATAATGGGTGATTTTTGGAGCTTTGACATTGAGACATCAGAGTGGACAGAAATATAAGTGCCAAAAGATATGCAAGCTAGAGAAGGACATTCAATGATCGCTTTATCTTAGAGATTAATTTACATATATGGAGGTTGGGACTAAGTATAGAACACAATGACAGAATCACATTGGTTATATGATATAAAAACTAACAGATTTTTATAAATAACTAATTTCACTGGAGATGAGATGATTAAATTAGAAAGTCATACTGCAAATAAGATTGGAGAAAGTGTGTATATATTTGGGGGTCAAGGTTAGATGTCACAAAAACAATTATTATTTTATAAAGATTTATATAAATTAGATTTTGAGAGTGTGAATGATTTATAACAAAGATTTGATTAATAAGATTCATAAGAGGACAAAAAGTAAATTAATGAAAACAATATTGTTATTAAAATTGAGAAGATCAAACCGAATGGTTCTTAATAGCCAACACCTCGTGCTTCACATTCTGCAGTGGCTTATGCTGATCGATTTCTTTTTATAATAGGAGGAGAAGGGTATATTTATTGAAATATTAATTAGTTATCAATATGATTAATAAAAGGATAATGAAGAAGAAGCAATAGAATAAGATTAAGATGATAATTTTTAGAATATGGATGAAGAAGAAAAGCCAATATATCCTAAGAATGATATATGGATATTTGAAACAGTTATGAGGGTAATAGTAGTTAATTAAAGTGTTAGACTTGGAGTAAATTAGTACCAAGATCTAAAACACCTATATTTTAGCCAAGATTTTCACATAGTTGTATTGTTTTTAAAGATTAATTAATTGTATTTGGTGGATTAAGAAGTATGGGTGAGGTTCTAGAAGACATCATGGTATTACATTTGAAAGATAGTGAAAATCATTTATAAAAGTTTTCAAGAGATGAAATGAAAAATGTTTGTAAATATTGTTAATTGATATATGGAAATTAATAAGAGGAAGATATCTCTTTTAATAAAGTAGCAGAAAACAATGCTATTCGTTAACCAAAATTATCTTTGACTTTCATTGATGAGTAATATATTTATAATATATTTAATTAGAATTTCCAAACTAGTTTAATCACCTATGTCATGTTTTGGTTTATTCTTAGATAATGCTAAATTATCAGAAGCTTCTGAATTTAAAATTGAATATGCTTAAAGAGTAAGAAGAAAGAAATCTTAATTTACAACTGATGATCTTTAAGAGAAAATACCTTTAATTATTTTATTTGAAAAAGAAACAAAAGATTTAGAAGATTTAAGTGATTATTTATTTAATTTTGATATTCCAAAGAAGAAAATATGTTTAAACAAATAAGATTATGAATAAATAACAAGAAATGGAGGAGAAGGTTTAATTTAAGAAGAATAATAATAATTCAATAAAAAATAATATGCATTGAATTTTAAAATTGCATCTCTTAGATTAGGTGATAGTGTTTTAATTTGTCATAAATCATAAAATAATTATTATGTTGGTTTTATTTCAATGAATAACCACATAAATCCTAGTGATGATTCCTTAACATTTTATAATTACACTCTTACTATTACTAGTGAGAAGGAGAGAAAAGTAGATTCACCTGAAAGTAAATATGTATTATTAAATGCTATTACTCATCTATTAATTGAAGAAGATTTCATATTAAATTGTAATTACAATTATACTAAGATTTTTATCTTTGATCTTGCTAAAATACATTCTCATTAGAAAGTATTTGAATTAAATCTTTATAATGATGATATCATCTCAAATACATATTCAGCTTTTGATTTAAAATTGGATGAAGCCATTAAATATCCTGATTATTCTTTAAAGGAATATATTAAATTTTATTCATTAGATCCATTTCCTTATAAAGTCTTTATTAATGATTTACAATAAGCTTAATCATCTATTAAAAATAAGTTGGAAAATAAATTCAAAGTAATGTTAGGTAATGGTAAACTTTTCAATAAATTAAATGAATGCACAGAAGCTTATGGAATATGTAGATTACCTTAAAATAATATAGGAATATTTTTATATTATTAAGGTAGATTGATTAACAGATACAAACGATCTTTGGGAGTATTTCCAAGAGAATAAGAATATAGTGGATATTTAAATTTATGCAGATTCATTAAACCTAATATAACATAGGAAGTAAGAATTCATATTTTTTATTATTAGGGTTTTTAAAATTCATATTTAAGTTCAATTTTATTTTAATTGCTTGGATCATTAGAGGAAGAGTGGGAACCAGAAAGAAGAAAAGAAATTAAAGTTTGAGTTCCATTTTTTATGTCAATCTACATCATCTAAATTATTGATACATTCTCTTTCTTAATGTAATCTGTCTAAATGATTTAGATAATAAAACATAATAAAATTAATTTTATTTTTTATCAAGTAAAACAATCTAATTTAGAAATGAATGATAATCATGAAACATTTTTTTTTACTTAGAAATAGAAAAGAAGAATACATGAACAAGATTATGCAATGAAAGTTGTTTCACATACTAAGGTTGATAAAGAGACTATTTAATTGAGTGAATCATTGTTTAATGCTAAAATTACAGCTAAATAATCATCCTGTATTATAAGAGATATCTAAAGAAGTGTTTAATAGAAAATTAAATTTTATGATGAATATTTGAGAAACAGTGATTCTTTTAGAAAATAAACAGATAGAAAAAGTTTAAGTCCAGACATCATTAAACCTAAATGTATTGAATAATTATTATAATCCCAAAATTAACATGTTTCTGAATAGCAAATCACTGTTAGACCTAATCATATCAATAATAATTAATAATCTATACAAATTCCAATATAAAGTTCTAATTCAGTTTAATAATCTCGAAAATCTTAAAAATAATATACTTAAAGCATTTCTCCTATTAAAAAGTAATCTTAAAATCCTTAAAGAAAAAAAACAACAAATAATTCATCACCTCAAATTAAACCCAAAAGTAACTCTTAATATGTGCAATAAAAAGAAAGATAAACTTGTTATTCCAAAATATAAACTAAGGAATAAGAATAAAAAGAACAGGAGATTATATAAACTACAAATAGAGCTTAGACTTCTAGAACAACTGCAATTGCAGAACGAAATGAAGAATGGAAATAAAAACTTAAAAATAAGATGGATAATCAATAAAAGAAATAAAAATAAAAACAAATGGCTGATTGTACATTCAAACCTAGAATTAATAATAATTAGAGTAATGGAAAAAAGTATTAAAAAAGTGCAAGTAAAGAATTTTAGACTGAAATTAAAGAATTGATGCATCTTATTGATAATTAAAGTCATGTCAAAATTAAATAATGAAAATTGAAAAAATATATATTATTATTGTTTATAGAATATTGAATAATAACAATCATAATAATAAAAATATTTTACTTTTGAATTCTTTTACAATCTTCTAAAATAATAATATATGATTTTTTATTTATAAATTTAATTTTTATGCCACCCAAAAGATAACATCATAAAACTTAGTCCTCAGAAATATCACCTTTGGCTCTAATGAGTTATCTCTCAAATAGAGAATAAATTTAAGCAAGATTCTCTAATTCACCTACATTATAAATGGATTTTAAAGTAATATAATTAATTCATTTCAGGCTAACAAATAAATTATTCATTAATAAAGTCCATTGCTAAAATAGAATGGTTCTTAAAGTAATTTGAGAATTACATAATAATAGTATTAATTTATTAAATAATCTGAGGTAAACATAAAGAAAAATATAATAATCAGATTTGCTCAAATCAAAAGATTTCATGTCTCCGAAATTTGTTAGTCAAGAAAAAAAGTTAATACCCTAAAAAACTGTTATCAGATAAGGAGGAAATCATATCAAAACTCAACCCCATTCTCATTAAAACTCCTAATCATAAACCACAAAAATTGATAAAATATAAGACGATTACAAATAATTATCTCTCATCTCCTCTGCATTACCAAAATCATCTGAAATTATTTTGACCTAACCTTAATCTGCTACTAATAAAACAGAACTCACATTAAAATAGAAAGCTGATTTAGCTATTTAAGAAATGAAATAAAAACAATAAGAAGAATTGTTATAAAGAATAAATTTTTAAAAATCTTTAGGAGTTTCTAGTGCTAAACATTAATCATAACTGTTTTTATAATAAAACTCATATAAATCAAGTAGCACAAAACAATTAGAAAGTTAAAAATTAAAAACTCATTCAGCTTCTTAACCAATTATTGAGTTTACTCCAAATAAACCAATTACAACTAGGTAAGGAATTTAATTATTTAATAGAATGTAATTATAAGATACAATAAATCTTATATTATTATGCAAATCTCTTAAAGAGAAAATAACTATAGATGTTTAATAAAATTCTATACAATTTTTGGTTGATTTAGTTAAACAAATAATTTCTAAAAACTTTGGAACAACATTACCAACAGTTATTGGAATTATTACTTGTAATATTTCAATACCTGTTGATTATATCTTATCTAAAGTAGATAGACCTCTATCTCTATTAAGTTCTAGCCATCTCTAACCATTAATTATTGAACCAGTATTTGCATTAGAAAATGAAATAAAAACTCCCAGACTCAGTTTAAAAGATTTTGAATTTATAAGATGTATAGGAATGGGAGGATTCTCTAAAGTTTATATGGTAAGAGAAAGAAAATCAGGATAATATTATGCAATGAAATTAATAGAAAAGAGTCCCATAATCTAATAAAATAAATAAAGTATTATATAAAATGAGAGAGATATTATGTCTATACTTAATCATCCTTTTATTGTAAAAATGCAATATGCTTTTGAATCTAGAAAATATTTAGTTTTTGTTTTAGAATATTGTTCTGGAGGAGAATTATTTTATCTTTTGAGAAAAGTATAATTCATTAAATATACATTTAGGTTAAAAGAATGAAGGAAGAGGAAGCATTTTTTTACTTTTCAGAAATTTGTTTAGGCATGAAAAACCTACATGAAAATAATATTATTTATAGAGATATTAAACCAGAAAATATATTAATTGATTTTGATGGTCATGTCAGAATAGCTGATTTTGGTTTATCAAAGCCTAATATGACAGAATAAGATGTTGGATATTCATTTTGTGGATCCCCTGAATATATGGCACCTGAAATGTTATTAAAATCTGGACACACATTTCAATTAGATTTGTATTGTTTAGGAGCATTGCTGTATGAACTTGTTACTGGTTTACCTCCTTATTATTCGAGAAATACAGAGGAGATATACACTAGAATACTTAATTAGAAGTTAAATTTTCCTCCTTAATTATAAATGTCCCCTTAAATTAAAGATTTATTGAATAATTTATTAGCTAAAAATCCAAAAAATAGAATCGATTCTATTGATACTTTATTAAAACATCCATGGATGATCTAATGGGGTGATAAAAATTTATATAAAGATATTTTATAAAAAAAGATTGAACCCCCTTTTAAACCAGATCATTATTCGTTTAATTTCGATGAATAAGAATTTGGCCAAGGTGAGGCAGAATTCTTAGCATTTATAAAACCTCTTTAGTAAAATATCTCTGAAAATTTTCCTAAAGAAATTATATTAAAACAATTTTATTATAATAATAATGAAGCTAATTTTTAGGAAAGCACTGGTGGTACTAGAAATAATTAAATGGAATATTAATCTATATAAAAGTAAAAAAGTAAGAAATTTAATACATTTGAGAGTGAAAATTAAATGAATCAATAAGATTAAAAAATTTATATTTTAAATTAAATGAAAACTCAAACAGATCACGATTAAAAGAGAAAGTCAGCGTGAATTTAAATTTAGTTTATTAAATATTTATATATATATGTATTAAATATAAAATGAATTTGTATTAAATCTTCAATTTGTTTTGTAATTAAATTTTAAAATATTCAATAAATAAAGTTAATTGATTATAATTCTTAGTTTTTTATGATTTATTCATTTATTTAGATAAAAAACTAAACCACTTTTATTTTAAACAATCTTTAACTTTTTACAATATTTTTCATTATGAAATTTTTAACAAAGATACATACTGAATTAATGATGAAATTGTATTTTCTACAATATTCTATATGAGATATTCATTGGCATTATTAACTAATATTATTATTTAGTAGTAATTAATTTGTAGTTTATAAATTTTAATTATAAAATAATTACTTAATGTACTTAAAAAAAATAATAATAATTTGTTTTATAAAATAGTTAAAAAATATATATAACACTAATTTATTTCATTTTTCATCATCCGAATTTACAATTTTGATATCAACTCCAATTTAATCAAAAATATCATTAAAATCATCTTATTTACTTGGCTTAGTATTTTATTGTTGTTTATCTTCTAAAAATTATGTTTAATGACTAATATAATTATTATTATTTTAGATTTGGGAAGATGCAATTTACTATGGAAATACTGGTGGCAACCAATAGTTATTGAAAATACTTTAATTTAAGGGAACATAATAATTAGGTTGATTTGAAAGGTATAAAAATTATTAAATTGATTAAGTTCCTATTGAAGTTCTTAGATAATTCTAATTAGGATCTGATTAAGTGGATGAAGTTGTAGCATTATCTTCTATTTTAACTTTCTTTTTAATTTGATTTAGGACTATATTTTAAAAATCTATCACATTATAAGGTGTTAAATATAATTTATTATTTTTATGATTAAAAATAACGACTCCACACTTTTCATTATTAAGAATGATATTTGGATCTACCTTCTAAATAGTAAGTTCTTTTTTGTAAAGTATATTTTTGGATGTTTTAATAGATGGATCTTCATGAAATAGATTAAAAAAATCATCATTTTTTATTTTTTAAGCTTCTTCTATCTTCCCTTCCTATATACACTATTCAAAATATAAGCCTTAAATTGCTAAAACTATAAACTGCCATTCATAGTTATCTATTTCTTCTATTGGAGTGATGTTACCATATCTTTTAGCATAGTCCTTTCGCAACTTTTACACTTTTTCAAATAAATGAGGATTTATCGTTTCAAATTCATATTTCAATTTTTCTTTTTTTAGAAGTGAATTGTATTTATTCTTTAATGAATTCTCTGTTCTAACCCTTCCATAAAGGGTTGACAACTCTGACCATTTCTTACCTTTCATTAATATCGTTTTCAACAAGTCAATTTCTTATTACTTATCCCAAGGATCACTATTTTATTATCATTTTAATACTTAGAAATATTTGGATCTAAACGATTAATCCATCGTTCTCTACATTATTTAGGTTATCTGAATATTTTATTATTAGATCTTTTATAAATTTCCCTTGAAATTTAAGACCATTTGTTTTCCTTACCTGTTTTTTTAAATTCTCTAATATTTAGAAATACACTTACTCATGGACTTTGTAAAGTAAATTGTCTTCTTATTCAGTCCAAGGTGCTTCAGATAAAGGAATTTTATATTTTTGTTCCCATTTTAATCGACATTAATGAGCATTTCTTCCTAAAATCATTTTTGATATTTCTCTCCATTGATTAGTAGCCTTTTAAGAACTTTATTATATTGAATACTAATTATTTATTATCTTTAATTCCTTAATAGATATAATATCGCATAACAATCCAATAAAATAGTTTTTTCTCGAAATCACTCCACTTTATTGATTTTTTTTTTGCATTTTAGCTAGAAAATTCAACAAAACTGATACATATTCTATTAAAAAAGTAATCTAGCTTAATCAACTGTTAGCCAATCTTTATAATTCAATCTTAAATTTTGACCTACTTTGGATAACAACTCAAAGTTTTCCTTTATAAAAGATGTTTTCTCAATAAATCCAAAAAACTCCCTATTAACTACTTCATATGGATAGACTAGTGAATAATCATCTATTTTATTACTTGTTAAATCTTCCATTTCACAACTACCAATCAAATTGTGATCATTTTTTATTTTAGTACTTTTTTGGTCAATCATATATATTATTAAAAAAATACATTTATATTAGAATAATAACAATTTAAGTAAATAAACGCAAATAAGGATTATGAGTTATTAAAGTTTAATAGGAATTTTATTATTAATCTTGAATAAAATAAAAAATAAAAGTTTTGAATATACGAATAAATTTACTCATAATTCAACTATTTATTTAATCTAGTAAATTCATTAAATATTAAAATAATATTAAAATTATTAATTACTTAGAACCATAATAAAAATTGTATATACAATAATTCATGGGAATTTATGTCTTTAAGGTATCTATTAATAAAAGTTATTTTTATTATTATTGAAACTATACTGAAAAAATACTTATTACTAAAAAAATATTTTAATCTAACTATTGAAATTACATTCTCTTCAATTTAAATGTATTAAATATCAAGTTATAACCTATTTGTATATTAATACAATTTATATTCTACAATCATAAATAAACAATAAGTTAAGATAATATTAATTATTCATATTATGATAACTGTTTAAATAAGAACCCCAAAAGTTAAATTATCCAAACATAGAATTTAAAATAGTTAGCCCACAATATTAAACTATTCAAATTTAAATAGTTTTCATGAATTTTTTAATAACAACTCACATAGTAATGAAAAGAGATAGAGCATATTTAATAGTAGATGCAAAACTGAAAATACTTAAATGGAAGTGTCGATAAAGCCTAACAAACAAAAATAATCTAGTTAATCAACAACTATTAGTTTGGCAAGCAGTGCTAGTCCTAATTAAGGTATGAAAAATGTAAAAGCCAATTCTAACAGCAGCTTTAAAATAATATAATAATCTAATCATCTCAATCCATTTAAAGAGAACGCAACAAATTAAAAACTATAATAGTAATTACAAAAAGTTGTTGAAAGAACTAAGTTGATGATGAACAACTATCAAGTAGTTTCTAAAAAATGGGAATAAAAGGAATAAGAACTTAAAGAAGAAATAACCACATTAAAAAAAATCATTGATAAATAAAATGCTCAACTTGAAAAACATAATTTAAATCCAATTTATTTCTGAGAAGCCAAATATTTCATTGATTTTCCATTACTTTATATATATATTCATTAAAATTAAACTTTCTTATCCATGATAAATTTTATTATTGAATGCAACAATAAAGACAATAAGAAATTCTGTAAGAAATTATGGAGAAAACCACATTTTATAAAGGAAAAATAAATCAATTTTTAAATAATCAAATCTTTGAGTAAGATTCACTAAAGGCAAAAATTATGAAATCTAAGCAAAATATTATTAAGAAAACTAATTATACCAGAATACATGAAAAAAATGATAAATAAAAGAATTTCAAGAAAACTAAATCAAGAAAAGAGCGTAAATAATAAAAATTACAAAAAATGATCTATAAATTTAGTGATTTGTAGATTGAATGAACGTTATAATAAAAAAGTAAATATATATTAACATAATGATTTATATTAAAATTTAATACAAGGTATATGTAAAATAGAATTAGTTGAAGAAAAGTTATATTTATATAAGAATGTAGGAAATTTTGAAAAATTACAAATATATCATTTTCTCATATAACTATCCCAATAATGTAATTTATTATTCATTTTAGCAAATATTAAATTAATAGACTCTTCTCATAATTCTAAAAAGTGAATTTCAGCATTTTCATTACTGTCCTATAATCTAAATTTTTAAACATTTATTTTATTGCCTCTTAACTAGAATCTTTAAAGTCAGCATTAGCCATCAATCAAAATAGATTAATAGTCGATTTAGAAACTCTTCTTAATACTACATACACCTTGACATATTTTGATTTAAATAATATCTATAAATTTTATTTCTATCCTCCAAAAGCTTCTACAATTTTTGAACATAATTTTAATGGAGAGGGATAAGGTTTAGATTCTTTGCCTAAAATAATTCCAAAGTCAATATGAAGCATTTTGCCTAATTATTGATTAATAAATTTTCTGTTTCTGTCTTTAATCTTTAAGAAATATATCAAACGATACATTTAAACATAGATAATTCATCTTAAAAGTTTGATTAATACTATATTGTGCAATTTGACAATTCAATCAATATGATTTTGAATAATCTTAAGATTTTCTGGATCTTCTTATCCTAAAATATGAAAAATTATTAATTATTGAGACTAACATCTATTTTTCTCTTAATTTTCCCAATCTAAAGAATGTAGATAAATTGTCCAAGCACAAAAATATTAAATTGTACAATTTCTGTATTAAAAAATAGTTATTGTTGATCATTAATTTTTAATTCTCCTATCAAAGGTCTATCCAATATTTTCCTCACTTTTTCTTCTTAATCCTTTTTGTGATTTTGAAGATTCCTGGATTATCACTATATCTTAAAATAAAATTCATCGTATCAAGAATTGGATCTGGCTTGCAAATCTCTTAGTCAAAATCATTAATTCTGAAAATACTTAATTAATTGTAAACAATAAAGAACTTATGTCTGATTTGAAATTTATTTTTAGGTTATTGATAATATCCTCTTATTATTATTTTGTTTCATTTTAAGGAGAATAATAATCTCAAAAATAGAATATGGTATTAGATTTAATTAACCTTCTAAAAATGCTCTAGATATAATCTTGCTTAAATACTACAATTTTAATTGAAGGTTTTACTTTGAGAAATTTTAATTGTGTCATTTTACTCATTTTTTTGAGACCTCATTCATTTTTCTAGTACAAAAAATTAAATAAATATTTATCTTTAACGAGACCTTGTGTTTTTGTATCGAAACTAATATCTGGTTAAGTACTAGGCCAAAATAGGGAAGTTGATTTTAACTTCTTTTAATTAGAGATTTTTCATCAAATAAAGGAAAGGTAGTTGATCCAAAAAGTATTTTTTAACTGAGTACTCTATATACTCAAAGCTATAAAAAGAATTATATGATAAATCCTTAATATTCAAATTAAAAAAAAGAATTTCTTATTTTTTGAAGGGATGCCGACAAAATGCTTTAATGACTTGGTAGATTATTAAAATTAACCATTTATATAGAGCGATGCTATTATAATGAGTTACTCTCTTTATTTAGATCATCCATCTATTATATATAATTAATAAATTTTACAAGTGAATCCAGTACATTGTTTCCGTCCTTTAAATTAGAGATAGTCAGTTTAACTGGTACATCTTAAAGCCAAGTATGAGGAGTATAATTTGTATAATTTTATAATTCCATAAATATTAAAAATGGAGGATTTCTATGTGTAATTTAAGGAGTTTTACGATAAAGTTAAAGACATCACAAATGTTAGATTTGCCTACATGAAAGAATTATATAATCTTGGATTAGAATAATTCCCTGACAACTTAGAGATTTTAAACTTTCAAAAGAATAACTAGGTTAGCATTCAGTCAGGAAACACAAAATTAAAAAAGAACTGGTCTGATGATGATAAAAGAATCTTAATATGGATTATTGGAAAGTACATGGTCTACCACAAAAGAGATTTCAAACAAATAGTAAAGTTTTCAACTATTAATTTCTTTAGTGTGAAGATGATTGGTAGACTATATCATCAATGATGTTGAGAAGAGACTCTTTCTAATGTAAGCAAAAGTGGCTATAGATGTTGAAATTACCTCTTTAATAAGCCCCTTGGGGACAAAACGAAGATGAAGCTTTAGTTAGAATAATAAGTGAGTTTTAGGCTCAGAACAAAGGAAATAAATGGAGTCAAATTGCAACTGAACTCAATAAAACTACAGGTTTAAATGTTCATAGAAATGGAAAATAATGTAGAGAGAGATGGAATAATCACTTAAATCCATCAATTAATAGGTAATTATTTCAAGATATATAAGAAATCCTTGGTAATAATTAGAAGATTTGGAACTCATGAGATTGGCCATTTAAAATGGAAAAAAGTGGGCATTAATTTCTAAAAAATTGAAATAATAGCGGAGTGAAAACAATGTAAAAAATAGATTTAATTGTTTAATGAGAAAAGAAAAAAGTGGAAAAAATATCCCTTAATCTTAAGATGAAAGTGATAATGATAATTAGGAATCTTATGTATCAGATCCATCAGCTGAAGAGTTAAGTCCAGAAGAAATTAAATAAATTTAAGCTATAATCAAAAAGATAGAATGGAGAATGAAATAAGATGGATCTTCTTATGATATTAAATAAGAACATTAAGATTAAGTATCTAAAAAGGTTTAATTGGATAGAAGAGCTATAAAAAATAAATAATAATAAGAAGAGAATCCAATCAACAATAAAATCTAAAATGTCAACAATTTCAATAATATCAACATTAATATTGAAAACTTTACTCCTTCTAATTTAAACTAACATAAAAATAATAATACTAATCATATTTAATTATAAGTTATGGAATATAATTAAAATGATGATTAGAGTTAATTATCTTTCTGTTTAGTTAACAAAGAAAAAGGGTTTATATACTTTTTAAATTAAGAATAATACAATAATTATGTTAAATCTTAAAATCAGATAAATAATAATCCATTAATTAACTTATCTAGTTTTTTAGGTGCTCAACCTCCAGTTAGTAATCTAAATTTTTCAAATAATATTGCTCTGAATACAAATATTGAACTTGGTTAATAATAAAATTAATAAAATAATAATTTAGATTGCTTTTCTGAACATTAAAGTTTGAACTCTTATTATTATTAATGTTTGGCTATGAATAATTAAATGAATTTTAATTAGCTTCCACAAACTAGATCATATTTGAATTTACCAACTCATTTAAATAATAATTTTACTTCCAATCCATAATATCATTCAGGTTACAATTATCATGTGACTTGCTATCAATAGTAATAATAACAATAACCATAACAGATGATGTATTAATCATAAACTAGTGACAAATTAGATCTTTGATTTATATTATTTCATTTAATTTTAAACATAGTTTTTAATTTTGAAATTGATAATAATAAAAATTAGGATTATGTTTAAAGAAAATATGAGGGTTTTTATGTTTTTGAAAAATTTATATTTATAAATAAATAGTCAATATTAACATTAAATTGATGTTAATATTCAACCTTAAATAGGAGTTCTGACATTTTAAACTTTTGATTACATAACAACATCTGTAGAAAATTTACATGGTTGTTTCTAATATATAAGATTTAAATTTACTGATTAAATAATATTCGAGTCATCTTCTTTATTGTTTGTTTTCCTTCCATTTTCTTCTGAATTAGTACTATCACTAATAGGAAATACTTTCAATATTTGAGATTACTATTAATTTCCCTATATTTATTAAATCTAATCATTATTAAACTCAAATAATGTAGAGAATGATTTTGATGATAAAAATCCTGATCCATATGGTATAATTGATCTATTTGTTTATTAAAGTTTATTAGAGAGATCTGCTTTTTGTTATTTATGCAATGATAATAATAATTGTAATTCTCTCTCTTATCTTTATTCTAAATCTAATAGGGTTTCATCATTTTATGTAATCTATAATATATATAATAAGATTATACATAATATTCTTTATATTATTTGCCAAATTATTATTCAATAGAGAAATCATCAGCAGTATCCATGCTTAACTTATTTTATTATTCACAATGTCTTACTTCAGATTGTTTCATAGAATTAGGATTGAATTCATGAAAGAGGATGAGTTTATTAGTTTAATTGGTAAGGTTATTATTAATGTTATTGGTAGTATTTCCTTTAAGTTCAGTGATGTTTTTAGATAAGTTATTTTTGAAAAAGGAAGAATCTAGAAAATATAGAAATAATATACTTTTGCTATCATGAGAAATCTAATTCAAAAGAGATTCATTTAATTAAACAGGAGAATTGTCTTCATCATTATTAGTGGATTAAAAATATTAATGTAAGAGTTAAGTGGCAGTAGGTCTCTCATTTGCAGGTTTGAGACATCTAAATTTAATATTATATTTTTACTCTAAAATAATGGATTTAATTTTTTCATTCAAAATAACCTCTAAACTCTAAGGTTTTTGAGATTCCATAACTTTTTTGATGACTTAACCAGTTCCACCTTTACATTCACAAAAAGGTTTCATTCCAGTCACAATTTCTAGAATACACATTCCAAAAGCATAGATATCAACCTTAGTATCATAATTTCCATGATAAATTTCTGGAGCCATAAATTCTGGAGTTCCCAATACTGAACTTGTATTATTTGATTACATTCTCTTAATTAATTATTTATGATTACTATATTGATAAACCAAGATCACCTATTTTTAATTCATTATTGTTTGTGTCAATCAATATATTTTCGCATTTCAAATCTCTATGGATAATATTTTGTTAATGCATATATTCCAATCCTTCCAAAATCTATTTACACCAATATCTTATAACTTTAAACTTTGGTCTTGTAATTCTCCTAAGGTAACTATTTTATAATACTTTGAAACTTACTTTTTTAATGAACCTCCATTAACAATTTCTGTTATAAAAACAATTTCTTTCTTCTATTTACTTTACCAAGAATGAATAAAACTAATTATATTCTTATGTTTCAATGTTTTCAATATTGCAATTTCTTATCTAGCTCTTCTTATTTCATCTAATATATAATATGGATTGTAAAATACTCTCAGAAACATTCATTAATTAAAATACATTCCATGCTACTTCACATCCACTTTCATTATCATATCCTCTGTAAACACTCTTATATGCTCCTTTTCCTATCTCTTCATTGTACTAAAAATTATATTATTTTAATACCTTACTAAAGCGACCTGTAGGATCATTCTCTATTATTTTAGAGGTCTGTTCTTCATCATCAGATGAAAGAGATGTATCATCATTCATGTTTTGATTTATTTCACCAGACTTCATTACAAGCAATAATTAAATTACCTCAAATATTTGTAAATCTGAATTAATCAAATCTTTTATAAGAATCATATTGCGTATTTTAATTTGGTCATCTTTCATATTTTCAATTCTCTTTTCATTCGGATTTAAGCTATTTTGACAGATTATTGAACTTAGAAGTCTAAATTTAGAAATTCTTAAAAACCATCATAGAATTGCCTTTTGCTACATTCAAATCTAAATATGTATTATATAAATAAAATTAAATTCAATGGCAGAATAATATAAATGTTAAACAAATTATTAATGTTCAAAAGAGTCTAATTGATGGTATTATAAGTAGTGTAATTCTCTATTATTTCATAATTAAACCTAAAACCATGTTTGTAAGGAATAATTCAATTTTATTATTAATTGATTGAGCATTATATGTAATAAGTATTATTCAGATGATGATGATACTCTAAGTCTTTTATTTTATATTTGTTGTAAGTACTAAATGTGTAGTAGCCATTAATTGGTTAAAAAGTTTTAAAAGCATAGGATTATTTTATGAATTATTTATTAATATTATTATTTTATAAACAAATAAAGAAATGATTACCTTTTTACAATAGGTCATTAAAGATAGTGTTAGATATTATTGGCTATATCATATTGTTGATAATCACAATTTATCAGTGCAATGTAATTTGTAATGATTTAATGTCTTTTATTGGTTTGGTATCAATATTAATAGTATTTTTTATTTGATTTTTGTGCATTCATTATTACATCAATACAAGGAGTGCTAAGTATAGATACATACTATTATGGATTAAATAATAAAAATAATTCATTTTTTTTTAATTTGCTAAAATTAAATACAAAACTTACTTAGATCAAGATACAATCAACTAATACAATAATGTGTATTAACTATTTTATACTAACAATAATACTTATATATATTAATTTATTTTTTATAGTAATTATTATCACTACTGATAAAAATAATAGTTGATGTTTTCTTAGTTTTTTATGAATGCTTTAGCAATAATCATTATTGAGGGAATTTTTCAAAAAGAATCTTTAAATGATTTAATAGAACATTAATAATTAAACTATATTGAGATTTCAGAAATTAAATGATCTGAATATTATATAAATATTATTCTTGTAAATCTTATTTATATATATATATATATTTTAAATAAATAAATGTCTTAATAGTATTTATAAAGATATATTAATTGTATGTGTATGATATTATATTTTCAATTATTTCATATGATTATCTGTATTAATAAGGCCAAACTCAGGATAGTTCCAGATAAAGTTTAACACTTACCCCAGATATATGAAATAGTTGTTGATTCTAAGCAAGCTTAGCATTCATTTTAATATTCTTTTTGACAAGTTGTATCATTGCAAGTATATGTTGCACAAACTTCTTTTACAACATTATCACAAGAACTTGGCTTTGTATTACATTTTTATTATATGGCATAGTTTTATGAATCTAAATCTTAAGCTTCGTTATCATTCTAAGTATCAGGTTATTTGTCATCAAGATCATTTTGATCTTATTCATACACTTATCTAATGAATTAATACAAATACTTACTTGTATTTATCACAAGATTGTTTAACATATCCAACTACATCTTTTCTAGTACAAGCATCACAATAATTTCCAGCAGGTTTCATACAAGAATCTGAAAAACATGGGGTTGATATGAAAGCACAAGTATCTGTATATTCATCAGTACAAATTTCAGGTCTGGGTTCTGTGCAATATGTAATACTATCATCTGGAGGATTTTATGGATCTCTAAAAATTATTAAATTAAAAAGATACTCTTTAGGAATTTCTTCACATTCTCCATAAAAATATGATTCAATATTTTTATCAGAACAGGCTTCACATTCATTTCCAAATGATCTTCCACAAGGAGCCTTTAAACATTGAATACTAGGAATGAACAAACCACAAGTAGGTTTATAACTATATTTATTATTTTTAAATCTTACACAGCTGGACATATAGGACTATCAGATTTTGGAATATCACATTTGTATATTGTATTTGATGTTGTAGATGAATTATTTCCAGAATCTGAATTTATTGGTTCTTAAGGTTTTGTTGTCATGATACATGCATCAAGTTCATAATAACTAGCTTTTTCAGCTCTACAAGCAAAACAAGGATTCTCAAAAGTTCCCAATTACTAAATATAAGTTTAAATCTTACATATCCTTCTAATGAAAAGGCACATACAGGTTAATTTTCTTTTGTACAAGATACTGATGTATCAATTTCAAGTGGGCACTTGATTTTATCAGCTGCAGTGAATAATATAAGAGTAGCTACTATTAAGTAATTCATTTTTTTTAAGTTATTAATACTTAATAATCAAACCAAAGGAAATTTATATGAAATTATTTCACTATTTATAGTAATTACTAAAATTAGAGAAACAATTTAATAACAGAATTAATCAATAAATTTCAAATCTAAATATTAATGATTTTATAAATTGAAATACCAATCCTTCATTAATATTATTATTTTTTTTAATTTAATCATACTTTTCACAAATGTTTATAGATTTTTATCATATCAACATAATCTAGGGTTTAGTTCATATTAAATATCAGATAAAATCATTATGAATATACTATAATATTAATACCAATTTTATATGTTATAAGTATGTCTCTTTTCATTATTTGATTAGATATATATAAAATATGAATAAGAAAGTATATTCGGTAAACTAAACTTCTTAAAACAATTAATAAAAATTTTAATTAAACTGGTAAAAATACTTAAAAACAACTAGATTAGTATAATAAATATATATATATATAAAGTAAAGATCAAGGCATTTATTATCATATCCTTTCTCTTGTATTTGAATACAGTTAATATTAAATTAATCTAAATAATTATTCATAATATGTCAATCACATAGTTCATTTAAGATGTAGAGGAAAGTTAGTGAATGACAATTATTAAATCTTTTAATTCACTTCCTCAGCCTTTGTCATTTCTCCTGGTTTTTAAATAGGTGCAATTTAATGCAAAGAGAAATACTATTTACTTAAAATTGACTGCCTTTAATATTCTTCTTTAGGAGATTATATATTTGTCGTTGATTCATATGTTTTCATTTCTGATTGCAATTGTCGAATTTAGTTTTGATTAAACTCTGCAACATTTACTGAAAATTCCAAATATCCATTCATACTTACTCCTCCAAAGTATAATACTTAACTTTTGTATGCCACAGCAGAATGAGAAGCTCTTGGTCTTGGAACATTACCATATACATCTAATTAAACCCATTCTTTTTCACAAATTTTATATGCAAATAAGTCATTAAAATAAGGATGGCTCCTAGAATCATCTCTACCACCAAAGATAATAATAATATTCATATCTTATACATATGAGGCAGTATGTTGAATTCTTGGAAGAGGTGGTTTACCTGAAGTTTCTGGAATAACCCAAGGATTATTTGGTTAATCTAATTTTAAAAGTGCCATAAAATGATTGTAGAATTATGTATTTTTATCATCGTCTATGTAGCATCCTCCAAAACAGTAAATACCTTCATATTCTAATGCTTTATAAGGTTTGCCTCTTGTATCTTTTTTCTCAAAAATCAATTATGGCTTATTATAAGCACAAACTAATTATTAGAATGCCAATCCTTTATTAAAAGGATTCTTATATGTATCTAATGGATTCCATTTACAAAGATCTAAATTGTAATAATTAATAGATACTTAAATTCAAATAATGAATATCATTAAAATTTGAAAATTTACTTCTTATACCACCCATAACAATTAATCCTTTTCCTACTATACAACTTCCAAAAGATCTTCGACTTTCAGGAATATTTTCATAATTTGGTTTTAATAATTACCATGTTTTTGTTTCTAAATCAAAAATTCTTGTATCACTTAAATTTTCTCTTAATCTTAATGCTGCATTATATTGCATTTCACCTCCATACATGATAAGTTATTTTCCATTAATTTAAGTATATTATTGATTATCATATGAAAATTGAGTTGACAAAATCATTGGATAACCAATACTATGTAAACAATGACCATAACGATTTAAAGGAATATCACCATTTTATTTAATCTCTCTAAATTTTTTAGTTTATATTTCATATTCAATTAAATCACCCATAACTTCACTTCCTATTCCACCGAACATATATATTTTGTTTTAAAAATCAGCTGCCATTGTATTTTCTCGAATAGTAGGTATCCAACTATGTTATAATTTGGAGAAAAAGGCTCCATTAAAATACATAGGATAAGACACTTTTTTTTTGGCAATTTATTGAATATTATTAGGAGATTTATCGATAATATTATTAAAAGGATCAATTCGATGTGGAACTTTTTTGACTTATTTTTACATTCTAGTAACAGTTCTTATTTATTTCTAATATTATAGAAATGATTACTATCATATTTTATTAATAACCTTAGTATTCATAGTCTTATTTATAAAGAGTCTTTCTTAACATTAAGATCATTTTCTTATTTTTAGTTAAATCATTTTAGATTGTTTAATTTATTTATTATGATGAAGAATCATTTGTATTTGTAGGGAAATTAAGTTTTGGATTCAACTCATTTAAAGATCGAAAACTAACAAATTAAGCATCACCTGATTAGACTGTAATCTATATCATTTAAAAGACAATACATTAACATTAATTCCTTCTGTTGGAAATCGATTTACTTATGAAAAATCTAAGGTTGGAAGTTTTTGTTAGCTGGAAAATCTGTGCCTTTCAGCCATTTAAAATTAATAATATTAAATTCAAAGTTTTATGTTAAATTAATTTAATTTTGAAGCATTATTTTTCTACTTTTAACTTCTTAATTTTGCAGTAAATCCAAAAGATTTATCTACTTTGATTTATCCTTTTGTATTATCTCTAATCTATTAATTTTAAGTATCCATTTAAATTAAAATCCTTCTTAAATTATTATGAGGTAGATAATTAATATAATTTTACATTTTATCTATGTTAATATATGTAAACTTCATAGAATCGAAAACATGATCAAGCATTTTAAAAGAAAGTGTTGGTTATAAATTAGTTTGAGATACGATTGGTTAAGATTGATTTGTTGAATTTTAATGAGATGTTTCTTTATTAAATTTAAGTTGATTATTTGCTCTTAATGGAGTTCCAGCTGAAAATTTACTTCGAATATAATTTTAACTTCCAAGATTCTAAATAATAGTTGTTTTTTTTGCTGGAGTATTTCTAGCATATATAGGAGTACTAGATATAAATTCTATCTTTTTAAATTATTAATCATCATCTTATTCTATTATTTTTGATTCTTTTCTTGAAAGATTTTCAGTAAAATCAGTAATATTATTCATCATATATTATTAAATAGTCATTTTTACTTCTTCCAAAATCATTTTACTATTTAATTTTACACAATTTCTACTTACTTATGATCTATTTTATTTTAGTTTTAATTATTATTATTTTTTTAATTTATGTTAAATATTAGGTTAATAAGAAAGTAAAGGACAATTTTATCTTAAATGTGTACTTCTATGACAAAATTAGCATTTATAATTTAAATCAATTAAATCATTATTATTTGCAGCATTATCTTTAATTGAATGATATATTTCCCAATCTTTTTTAGATTCCAATATTAATTTTATAAACTATGATTTATTTAATTTCACTAATTAACAAAAATCATCACTTATTATATCAATTTTCTTATCACCAAAACCAGTAAAAAATTCATATTAATTAAATGTTTCTCCTGGTCCTAATTTATAAATTAATGAATTTGTAGTATTTTAAATAAAGTTCACATTCCCTTTAATTATATAAAATCTAATATTTTTATTATAATTCTTACAAATATAGATCATCATCATTTAATACATTTTCCCCTTTTTATATAAATTCTCCTGGTGAAAATTAAACTATCTTTACTAATCCTTATATCTCTTGTAAAATTTATTTACTAAAATTACAAGACAATACTTTTATATTCTTTATAATCTTTCCAAGTATATCTGCCTATAATTCTTATTAAAGTCCTAAAGATAATTTATTAACTAATTTATTTGCATCAATATTATCACCTTCTTAATTATATATTAAATATTTTAGATTATTTCTTACTTTATTTTAAATTTAATCATCAACATTATTAGATTTCATATATTAATTCATTATTATGACTGACTTTCTTATAATAATTTCAATTTATTACTTGTAATTTTATTTTACATCATTAAAACCTTTCAATAATATTCCAATTGCATTCATTGAATAAGCAAATACACAACTTGAAAAAAACATAGCTACATTAGCAAATGCCATTTCATAATTATTCTTAGGTGTAATATCTCCATATCCAACTGTTACCATTGTCATTGTAGCCCAATAAAATGCATTATTATATTAAGTCCAAATAGATTCATTTTCTAAATCATTATCTCTAATCCAATTCATTCTTTCACCATTTGAATTCAATCCAACCATCAACCACAAACAAGCCATTATATGAGCAAAAAAATATATACTTATTACTAATGTTAAAAGATCAAAAGCATAACCACCAAACCCTTTTTAATATAATTATTCAACAATATAATCATAAACTCGAAAGATCCTAGCAAAAATAATAATCAAAAGGAGGATTGCAAATATTTGAATAAAACTATTTTATTCAATAGCACTAAAAGATATCATACTCCATATCATTATTGAACAAACATCTAAATGAGATGATTTAGCAAAGTAATTAAGAAGAATATCGCTTCTAGTATTTATTATTTATCCTTCAATATAGATTTCTTTATTTATTGAAATAATTATCTCGATAATATTGGATGTTATAAATAAACATCCAAAAGAGTAAAAACTTATTTCTTTTGAATTTGGAAATGATACAACAAGAGCACAAATCCAAAGAGAAATAAATAGTAAAAGAATATTGAATATTTCCCAATAAAATAAATATATGTTTGATGGAGATATGATATTATTTTAATTTTTACTTCTATTCTAAGCTAAAAATTAATAATATTATATACTTAATGCTTTTTTGAGTTTATCCTTCTATAAATAATTTTCAATTGATAATAATTTAGCTTTAAATTTCTATGGCATTATGTATGAAAATTATAACAGATTGTTTTTGAATTTCTCTATGATTTTATTTTATTTTGCTATCTAAGTAAATTTTAATGGTTCTAATTTTTTAGATGTGCTTCTAAATGATGTCATATAAGCTAAATTCATTTCTTTATGAGACTCGCTTATGTTTTAACTGAGTATTTCATCTTAATTTCTTTCACTTTCTTATTATATATATGAAGATGAACAATCTTTAACATACCTGATATAAGAAGATCTTGGAGAAAGCTATGGTCCTCTTGGCATATCAGTATTCAAGACAATTATACTAGGTGAATCCATTATTTATAAATATTAATATTTTAGTAAATAGATTATTCTTGATTGATTTATTGAAAAAATGTTGATATTTCATATTTGGATTTCAACAATGAGGTTAAAATATTTATGATTATAGTAAATCTCTATTTCTAATAGGAGTATATGTTTTTGTTAAACCATTTAAATCTAATCCTTGTCTAACAGCATTTTTATCAAGAAATTTCTCTCTCAGTTTAATAGAATTGGAACAATTATTTTAAGGCATATAATTCTAATATTCTTTAATCTAATCTATTTCATTTGAGTGAAATTGGTAAATAAAATAAAGATAGTAAATAAATGAATTTTCCTTAAATATCAGTTCCTTAGTAACTTCTTTATTATTTTCCATTACATAATAATTTTTAGGATGAGACCCTTTAGATGAAGGATTGAAAACATATCTACTAGATTTACCTTTCATCATAGCTAAAGATGGAGGTCCAGTATTGATTGTTGCATTAGTAGAAGGATTCAGATGAGATCCTAAATTTTCTATAGGTTAATCTTCATTGTTCTTTATTTCAATTTAAACTGTTTATTATTGTTATTAAGTATTAGGACTTTCTTCAGAATGCTTTTGAATTTCTCTAATTACTTCATGAAATGTGCTCTACTTTTCCAAAAATTCCTCAACTGCCTTAGTAATTTGTTATTGGATAAATAATGATTTTATTTTATTACCCATTCGTACAAATGACTTCCTTTATTGAAATGGATATTTTCTTTATTCTCTTATTGATATGATTTGTGGATCTGGTTTATAATTGAGTAATGGACAATCGATATTTGAATGAGTATACATCTTGCAGAAATTACAATTTTAGAATATTACAAAATAATTTGAATTAAGGATTAAATTATCTTTGATATTGTGAAATCTTTCAAAATCTTTATTGGAAGATCTTATAATTTTAAGAAATATATCTCTTTTAATTTAATAAACTTCAGAAAATCCTATACTTTATGCACAAGTTTTAGTAGTAAGGCCAGTAAAAAATTAATATTCTCCAAAAGTACTAGAAGATTTAATTATTTATAATACTTTTCCACTCTTTTCTTCTGTAATTTAAATTTATCCTTCTTTTATATAATATCTATAAAATAAATTGTTAAATTAATTACAAATTATTGTCAAATTAATCTTAATGATAAATATAATCTCCTGGTGTAAATTTTAATTATAAGAGATTTTAAGATACTTCTGATTAAGTTTACTTTGTAAATTATGTTGTTATTATTTTAATTTTTTACATAATGTTCATTTATACATTTGTTTATAATTCTTACTTTAATTAATTAGGTAAATCATTTATAATTTGATTGACATCTTCATTATTTTCTTTTGATTCCATTTCAACTTAGTATTTTATAAAATCTCTTACTCTACTTTATATCTATTAATCAACTTGACTTTATCTCATATATGAATTCATTAAAATTAGAGATCTTTTACATTTATATTTGGCATCTTAAATACTCTTAAGAATCATTCCAATAGAACTCATTGAGTATCCAAACATACAACTTGATAACAACATAAGTAAATTAACAGTAACTAATTCTGCTTCATTTTATGGTGTAATGTCTCCATAACCAACAGTTACCATTGTCATAGTAGCCCAATAAAATGAATGATTGTATTTAACTGAAATGGATTTGTGTAAAAGATTATAATGAATTAACCAACAATTCTCACTATTTGATGTTATATCACCAACATGATGAAATACACAAGCCATTAAATGAGCAAAGAAATATATCATCAAAATTAGAGTTATAAGATCAACCAATTAATTAACAGCCCCTTATAAATATAGAGATTCTATAAAATTTTCATAATTTCTTTTTACTTTCAAAATAGTAATTGTTAAGAGAATAAAAGCTATTATCTCATTTGTTACAGGTATTTTATTAAAATCAAAATACATCAAAAACCACATTGTTAAACTTATAAGATCTTCCAGTAATTATCCTTTAAAATAATGTTATATAATTTCTAATTTATCAAAAATTATTTCTCCTTGAATCATAATAGGTCTATTCAAATTGATAATGATATCAATTATGATATGAATAATTAAAAACATCTCTGCTGCACTATAACTATCATCATCCACAAAAGATGATACAAATGGACATAGCCATAAACTAAAACAATGAAAGAATGTAGCACTCACATCCCATACCATCACTAATTAACTTCCTGGAGCAAATATATTTGTAGTACTACTTTAATTTTTATCTGTTTAATATTACAAATATTTATACTTTAGTATTTTGTTTTATCAACTTTAGATTGAATATAGCTTTCTTAATTTAGAAGGTACTTATTATGTTGAGATAAAATGTATGATTTCATTAGTAGAGTATTTGCAAATTTTTAAATGAGTTAATTCTGTTACATGGTTCTTAAGATTGACAATCCTTCAAATTTTCTTGCTTAATCTGATTTACGCTTATTTTACTTTTATTTACAACACTTTTACTTATTATGGTCTTGTAGATTTTCTTCTAGCAATATTAAAATTTATAGTTTTCTTTTTTTCTCCAGTTTCGTAAATACTCATCTTTATACCTTCACCATTATTTATCTTAGGCTACTATTCAGATTCTATTGATAATCTCGAAGGTGACCTATCTTTTTCATAACTTTTAAATGGATGAGGATCATGTTGTAAGACTGGTCCCATTGGGTTATCCAAAAGATTTCTACTACTGCTTTATGAAATCATTTAATTATCGTTTATAAATTAATGATTGCTAAATTTATTATTAACTTTTCACATAAACTTTTAAAAGTCAAAGATTTTAATTACAATTATAGATATATGAAAAGAACTTTTTTACTCTCATTCTTTACTTTACAAAAAATTAATCATTAAATAATTATTAGATAAACAAAACATGATTATCTAAATTAAATATATATTTTGAAATCTTTTTTTAAAGTGTACAATTATTCATTCTATAGAATATTTATATAATTAACATAAATAATTTAATATTACTATTTTTAGATGGTATTATTACTTTATAAAATTTATTTGATATTTTTTTATGTTTTACCTATAATTTTATGAATACTTATTTAATTATATATTAATGTGTTTAACAATAATTTCAAAAATATTTTGATTTAATGATCAACATTTATAAATATTAGTAAAGCCAACTAAAATTATTAGTAATTTCAAAGTATTATAACTTAATTTCATTATCTAATAAATACAATTAATATATTAGATGTAGCTAATAATTAATTGATAAATATCAAAGTTTTTATAAATATAATTGACTTTAATGTATAATAAAATTATATAATAATCTTTTTTACAATGGCTACAAATTTTATTTCTTTAAGAGAATTAGAATAATTGGCTTCAATTAAATTAGATTCAAATGCATATCAATACTATAGATCAGGAGCAAATGAAGAAATCACAAAAAAAGAGAATATGGATGCATTTTAAAGAATTTATTTGAATCCTAGAGTTCTTAGAGATGTCTCAAAAATTTGTACTAAAACTAAAATATTGGGTCATCAAATTGATTTACCAATTGGTATAGCTCCTGTAGCTATGTTAAAATTAGTATTGAAATTATTTTTAATATAAAGGCTCATCCTTTAGGTGAGGAAGTAACTGCTTCATTAGCTCATTAATGGAAAGTACCATTTACATTAACTACATTATCTACTTTGTCTTAATCTGAAGTAGCTAAACATAACAAAGATGGTTTGAGATTTTAATAATTGTATATACAAAAAAATAGATAATTAACAGAGGCATTAGTAAGAAAAGCAGAAAAGGAAGGATTTAAAGGTTTAGTATTAACAGTAGACGCACCTATCTTGGGCAAGAGAGAAGCTGATGAGAAATAACGGTACTATCATTAAATAACCAAGATTTGTATTGCCTCCTCATTTAAAGTTGGAAATTTTGGAAGAGTTAGCAAATGAAGCAAATATTAAATTATAATCAGTGGCTAATAATCAAGGTTCAGGATTATTGAAGTTTTTTGCAGAATAATTAGATTAAACAGTGAATTGGAATGATATCAAATGGTTGAGATCAATTACTAAGGTTCCAATAATTTTAAAGGGAATTCAATGTGGATAGGATGCTAAATTGGCAGTTGAACATGGTGTTGATGCCATATGGGTTTCAAATCATGGTGGAAGACAATTAGATACAGTGAGAGCTACTGTTGATATGTTACCAGAAATAGTGGCAGCAGCTGGTTCTTTGGAAGTATATGTGGATAGTGGAGTAAGAAATGGAACAGATGTGTATAAATGTTTGGCTTTAGGTGCTAAATGTGTATTTGTTGGAAGACCTGCTATTTACAGTACAGCAATTGGTGGAAAGGAGGGACTCAATAAAATGTTTTAGATTTTATAGTCAGAATTGGTTTCAACTATGTAATTGATGGGTGTGACATCAATTTAAGAAATCAAGAGTGATGGCATAGTACCAAAATCAAAATTATGATATTTATAAAATATATATATATATATCAAATATCTTTAATGTATTTGAAATTTTAGGGCTCTCTTAGTGCTCTAAGCAAATTATATCTATATTTTAAGTGCCATCCTGTATTCATGATTCGAGAATTATAGATGTATGCAACTGATTGCTACCTTAAGAAATATTGGCTATTATATATTTAATTATATTAATTTACCTAAAAATTCTAAAAGTTTTATTGAATTATTTTAGTTTTTCATCTTCACAATCAACCCACAATTCCCTTAATTATTAGATATTTGTCATTTTATTTTTTTTCTCCTTTAATATTTACAAAAAATCTTCAAACTCTCTTGAATCCAATAGTTTTAAACCTATGTCTTTATTTTGTGTAATGTAACTGATAATTGCCTTTGAAAAGTTTTTGGTTATATTTTTAGTATCATTTACTTTACTGATCTTTTTCTTTTTTTTTATTGAAAATGAATGATCTGACATCTTTTCATCATCATCTTATTCATCTGAATGAATTGATTGTGATTCTTCAGGTTTCCCTGAAAATACGAAAAATTTGTCTTTCACTTTAAAATGATCGGCTTGTTGATTAGTTTATCTATTTTAAGCTATATACCTATCCACACTCTACATAATAGGATTCATTCTCTAAAATGTAATTTCTTAAGAATAATGAGGAGCTATAGTTTAGAATGGTGAAACTAAATATGATTAATTAAATACAAGGAATATATGGTAACTGAGGTTTTAATAAGGAAAATTAACCAAAAATACTATCAGTTGATTCAAATACTTTAGCTTTTTTAAGATTTATTTCATCTTTAAAGTGAACCTTAATAAATTTTATTAATTATTATACATATATATGGTTTCCTTAGTAAGGCAATACTAATATATTGGATTTTTTCTTTTTATTTTAATGACGTATAAGATTATTTAAGCATTTGATAAACTAGGATTATACTTTTTATATATGATCCATCTATATAAATATATATTGATAAATAATACTCTAATTCTTGAATCTGCTCCATCAAAACTTCGATAGACATTCTATAATTAAATTTATTATTATAATATTTGATTTGGAAAGCTTTCCTAACTCATAAGATTCCCTATCATGTCGTAGTTTTTGATAAAATAATTAAATTATATATTAAGTTGATTTTCATTATTGCATAAATCATTCAAAGATGAAATTCTTTCTTCCTACTTCGGCCTAGCAAACTGGACATAAATGAACTGCATCTCGACAATCATCCATCAATAATGGGATTACACAAGCACTAAGAAATTAAACTATCATCATTATTACCATAACAACTTAGGCAACATTATCAAGGCCATTAACAATTGACCCTTACCAATCTTCAATTAAACATTTGTTTAAATTTGATTGTTACAATTAGCACAATAAACTATATGAGGTTGTCTGGTAAATTAAATATTCTATGGCTATTGTGGTATTACCAACTAAATTTCAGTGTTATTGCAAATAACAGTCTTTTTTTATTACTATCCAACACCCAGATGATTCATTATAATATTTTATATTAATAAAAATTTCCATATTATTTCATTTTCGATTTGAATAGCATAAATTTTAAACATTATCAATAGATAAATATTGATTATTAATGAATAAATAATAATTCATTAAAAAGTGACTCATCTAAAACATCAAATAAAACAAGAATGATAATAATATAATTATGGAATTGTAATATATATATATATTAATTATAATTTCATTTTTTAGATGACTTTTTAAGTAAAGCTTTTTACTTATAATTGTCTAATTATTCTAAACAAGACACTGAATTAATTGTATCATTTTAATTTTATTGTATTGTATTGCAATCTGTTATTGAATGGCTAAATTTAACAAATAAGCTTTTTTCTAAATCACATTCTGATTTTGAATCACTAATACTAATATCAATTTAATTATTTTAAATTTCTTCTTATGTTTTTCTTTCAAATTAATCTAAATTTGGTTGACTTTTATTAGGTATTATATATTATTAAATAAATAATTTCTTACTTTTTTTATTTTAATTTTTATTATCATTAATTGTTTCTAATATAGATATCATATCATTTGTTGTATTTTTTTCATTTTAAATCTAAATTTTTTACCAATTTTGAATCTTTTATAGAGAAGCATAAGCTAAGAAAACTTTATATCTTTCATCATTTGTTTAATATCTAAGACGATTTCTAATCTATCTAAAATTTTTTCTCATTTAAGATTCTGTATTCCATTTAGTAAAAACATAAGAGTGATTATTAAGATTTTCATTACGTTCCAATTTTTCAATAATATTTAAAAAGAATATGTTTTCATCTTCATTAATTCCTTTCTTAATTAAATCATTGATTTTATTTTTAATTTCATACAATTTCAAATCAATAATTTTGTTTATTGGTGTTCCCATTTTTGCAAGATGATAAACTAAGGATTCCTTAGATAATCCTAATACAATTAGATCATTAATGAAGATTTAATAAAATTCAACTAATATATCTTGAGACAAATTAGAATATGTTTATTTATGGGGATTTAGTATTATCATTTAATCATGAGTTAAAGGAAAATTGAAAGCTTTGACAAATTTCCTAATCAATTATAAATCCTTATCTGTTTTATAGATATCTACAAAAGAGAAACATAACTCTGGAGTTAGAATAGATGTATTATGATTTAATAGATGTAGATAAAATCTCCTAAGAGTACTCATATAAGAGTCCAAGTTATTTAATTCTAATTAATCATAGATATTGGGTAATTTTGTAATACATTCTTTGAGATATTGATGAAGTACTTAAAAGAAATAAGGATATACAGATTACCTATTTTTGGTTATTATTCTTGAATGTTGAGTGCTGTTACTAAATCAAATAAGGGAATCACTTATAATACTCTAGTATCTTTTTTAGCAGATTCATTAGTTTTGACAATTTGTTTTGTAGCTATAGTTGTGAGATTATACACATGTTCTTTAGAGAAATGATGGATATATAGTGTTGCTTCTTCTGGTTCCACAATTGGGAATCTTATTTGACAAGCATGACAGAAAATAATATTTTGATCTTTATTGATGTCAAATATGATTTTGAATAGTTGTTCGATTGTGGGTTTATCCATTGAAAAAAGTAAAAATGTGGAATATCTTTGAATTAAGTTATGATTTATTTGGATATTGTTACAAATATTAAATTGATAATTATAGATGTATAATAAATATTTATATAGATGAACGGATATAACTTAAAATTAATAAATAAATAATATTTGAATTTGAATAAATGAATTGGTAACACCCATTCGTTGATGTTTTCAAATAGTTTGGTGTATTTGAGATAGCACATACGCAATCTAAAGGTTAAGTTTCAGTTGTCCAAGTAAAATTGTAAATTGATTATTATTAGGATAATTAAATTGGAAGAAAGATAATAAGATTATTAGGAGCAATATCAGCAAATAATATGGTTTAAATTCCAGATCCTTGTTAAGGAATTAAACAATTAGGATTAACTGGTAGATATATTTATATTGAATTCATTCCAATTAAAGGTAGATATTTTACAATGCATTTTGATTTGTAAATTAAAGATAGAGATCCATTAATTAAATTAACAGTATCTAATATGTATGATGTTCATAAAGTATTTATTAAAATAATAACATAAATAGGTTTAATAATCATAATTATTGATTCCATACCCTAAAAATGCTCCAAACAAATGGACTATCTTAATTTTAGATGTTGAATACTTTTTGGGTAATTTTGGATTATTACCAACCAGTTTATATAAGTCTTTTAAAGGAATACATTCATTAAAGTCATTTCAAATTTGTAGTTCTATGAATATTAGAGGAATATACACAAGTGATAATCTCTATGATTGGGAAACTATGCCAAAATAAATGTTATTTAAATTGGCAAGAGGATAAAAATGGACAGAAGAATATTAGATTGCATATTGGCCTACTTTGGATGTTCAACCTCATGTTTTCAAATAACCTTTAGTTGAAGTAACTACTGATATACTTGAAAATTTATAGAAAATATAAGACAATAAGGAAAAGTACAAATAAGAAACATAAAAGTCATTTAAATAAAACTAAATATAACATAATACATAATAAATTGAAGAATTAGTAAAAAGAAGACCTGGTGATTATAATGTAGCTTAGAGTAAGTCTGTAGATGCATAAGATCATCCACTTTAACCATATCCAATCTAACAATTAGATAAAATTATTGGATTCACAGTTAATTCATGTCCTGATATAAAATGGGGTAGACAAACAGAAACATAAAAATAAATAACATATGCAGCTGGGTCATTATTGGTTTAAAGTAACATTTAAGATGGAAAGTAAAAGTTTTTTATGGGACATTCTAAAGCTATATCATGTTTGGATGTAAGTAAAGATGGAGAATGGTTAGTAAGTGGATAGAGTGAAAAGAATGCAATTATAAGAATATGGAAGAATAATTGTGATTGTTTAAGTGCATTTGCTACTCCATATTCTCATTTGAATTATTTATCATTTAGTTAAGATAGAAAAATGTTAGTAACTGTTGGATAAGACGAACATAATAGAGAAATTATTATTGTATGGGGATTAGAAAAAATAGAAAGTAGTAGAAAACCTATATTATTTGCTAAATAAACAAGTTCATGTAATATATTGGCAATCAAATTTTCACCTGTTGATAATAATAAAATACTATCTTGTGGACATGAAAATATTAGATTTTGGAGAATCAAAGAAGAACATCTTCCTGGAGCAAGTGTTGTATTAAATCATCATGCCAGAAATACAACATTTACTAATTTTGATTTTGAATTTAATTATGAAGATTAAAATGTTAGTAACATTTATTTTGGATCTAAAAATGGATATCTATTTTAAGTTGCTTATTAAAGTTAGAAATTAATTTAAGTATATAAAGTACATAATGATGCAGTTACAGCTGTATGTTTATCTGCTGGATTTTGTATTACTGGTAGTTTAGATTAATACCTTAGAGTTTGGCCATTAGATTTTAATGAATTTTATATTGAAGCTAAACATGAAGGAATAATTACTTCATTGGATATATCAATTGATGGTTTATAAGTAGCTTGTGGTACATCAACAGGAGGATTAGGTATTTTAGATATTAGTAGTCATCATTACAAGACTGTAATTAGATCACATACTAATGTTATTAATTAGATTTAAGTACATCCATTTTCTAAATTATTAATAACATTATCAGAAGATTGTACAATTAGATTATGGGATATTGAAAAATCTGATTAAGTTTATGAATTCACATTTCCATAAGATGATAAATGTGTTTGTTTATCATCATCTCCAATTGGAATGTATTTTGCTGCTGGATTCAAATCTGGAACTCATAGAATATTTGATATTGAATAGACATCTATTTTAATTGAAGGAAAGTATCATGATTTAGAAATCAAATGCATATAATACAGTTCTAATGGATAATAATTAGTTATTGGTGATGCTAAATCAATCTATAAAATATATGATGTAAGTAGAGATTATTAGCCTATTAAAACTATTTAACATTCAATATAATCTTAGAATGTTTGTGGTTAATTTTCAAAAGATTCTGCAATTTTATCATTGATTGAGAATTCAACTAATATTGAATTATGGGATACTTCATCATTATAATAAATTTTAAAGATTTAAACAAGATTTAATTTGAAAATATTGAAATGGGCAGAAAATAATGTAGAATTATTATGTGGTACTACAGATGGAAGAATTATTATTTATGGAATTGAAAGAGTTAATGAAACTATTACTGCATATTATTTAAGAGAATAGACATTTATGCATAAGTAATCATTAAATGATTTTGTTGTATCACCAAATATGAAATATCTATTCTCTGTAGGTGCTGAATAATATTTAAAAGTTTGGGATTATGAATTTTAAGTTAAAGGACCAGGATCTTGTTAGGTATTTATTGGTCATTCCTCATAAATAAATTCTATTGATTGTGCTGATAATGGTAGTACTATTATTACTGCAGGTGGAGAAGAAGGAATATTTATTTGGAAGTTTCTTGGATATACAGGTAAAAATGAAAGATTGATTAGAATGGAATAAGAGTAATTAGTATAATAATGTACTAAAATTGATATGTAACCAGATTAATTTGAATAATAGGATTAATAATAAGATGAATAAAATGAAAAATTAGATGATTATTATGATATTTAAGAAAATAATGAAAATCTTTAACCTAATAAGGATGCTCATTTGCATACATTTTAATAAAGCTAATTAGTAGAAATGTTTAGTTTAGTTCGATAATTACCTTAAAAAGAGGAATAAGAAGAAGAATAAGGATTGACAAATAAAAATGTCAATACACCATTTAAGCCTGATCATTTCAAACCATCTAGATTATAATAAGAATTTAAACCTATTTCTTTTGAATTTGAAAGATAAATTCTAAATAGAAGGAGATCAAGAAGTCAACTTAAGAAATAATAGAATAGATAGCATTCATCTACTTAATTACCTTTCAGATAATATATTTTACCTCAATTAAAAGGGTAATCATAACAACCTACTTTATCTTGTAAATATATGGTTGGTTATAATACAAAAACACATGATAATATCATATGGTGTTAATCTTATGGTTGGTATGCATATACATCACAAAATTATGTTATCTTTGAAAAATTATAATAAGATAGAGAATAATAAATTTTGAGTTTTAATGCCACGGTGAGTGTTATATACCTTGATAAAACAGAAAAGCATTTGATTGTTGGTCTTGCATAGAAGGTATAAGATGCTGCTCCAATTTATGTTTATGAAATCTAAAATAATGCAAGTTAATTGGGATTTAAATAAATTGCTTAGATGAATTTTCATACTTAGGGAGTTCATCAAATTTTGCTTACAGAAGATGAAAAATACCTTATATCTGTAGGAAATGGAAAAGAGTGTACAATTGTAGTTTGGGATTTCTCCACTAAAAAATTAATTACTTCATCTTATACTTTAGATAGAATAAATGATATTAAAATATCAAAATATACATTCTCTAAAGAAAGAATCTTAGAATTTGCAACTGTTGGTAGAGATCAAATATATTTATGGGCATTTACCAAAGATCATAAATTAGAATATTTTGATGTGTTTATACCTAAAAATATTAATACTAATGAACTTGAAGAAATAACTACTTTTGATTATATAGTTTATGAAAGGAATAAAAATAAATAATCAACATAATCAATAACTCTATCAGATAGAGTATCTTTTGATAATAGTTAATAATCATAGACTGTAAAAACTGAAGAGATTCTTTTGGAAGAGGGTTCAAAGAATCAAATGTCTTTTCCTTAATTATAATAAGAACCAACATAAGAATCAATGAAATAGTAATAATAATAATAATAATAAAATAAAAATTAAATTACTTAATTATTAATATTAGGATTAAAGTCAGGGGAAATATTGATTATGAAATATGGAGAATTTAAATCAATATATAGAAAATAAATTACTAATGCTGAAATCACTTATCTTAAAGTAAGTTAAGCAGCAGGCAAGATTATTTTAGGTAGTTTAGAAAATTCCTTTTTTATTATGGATATCAAATCTGTATAAACATTGTAATCGTTTTTAGATTCTGGATTTGCTTTTTAGAGAATTCAATTACCTGCAATGGTTTCATCATATGTATTAGATCCCTTTTATACTTAAGGAATCTTTGGATTAAGTAATGGTAATATATATTTGATATCTTTTACAACAAAACAATATTTCCTTTTAAATGCTTCAAATTGTGATTAAAGTGAGATTGAAATTAAATTATGCAAATTAGTTGAAGATAATATTTTAGTTACAACTTTCAATCAAGGAATTGTTAAATTATGGAGAATGGATTCAGCTGAATTACTTGTTGAATATTAATGGGATAAAGAAATTGTGTAGTTTTTCTATGATGCTCAAATCAAATAAATTGTATTTATACAGGAATTTGGTTAAATCAAAACTATTCATATAGATAGATTGGATATTTATGATTAATATTATCATATAGGAAAAGGAGGACCAGATAAAATAATTTCTTGTGTTTTTGGAATCTTTGATTCTATTCCAGGTAAATTTGTTTTGGATGAGAGTGGTTAACTATTCTTTTTAGAACATTTATATAAGAATTAAGAATATATCATCAGATACATCAAAGCATTAGAATTGCCAAATGTTTGTTAATTAGTAGAATAATGTGAAAAGAGAGTAATTTTTGCAATAGAACAAGATACTGGAGTTGTATCAACATTATAGATTGATTACAATTCAACTAGATAATATCCTTTTGCATTTACTCTCTTTGATTAGGTCAATTTCTTAGCAAATCCTCATGGTAATTTAGACAATGAGTAATCTCAAAAAGATACTTAAACAATTTACTCATCTGTTGATACTCAAACATCAATTATGCCTGCATAAGGATTTGATAATGTTTATTTTGCTATACTTAATACTCTTCAATATCTTTATGGTAGAAATTATAATAAGAAATAAATCATCTTATTAATCAATCTTAATGATTTCCCATTATATTTATCATTAGATAACAATCTCAAAGTTTATGTAGTCACTCAAAGTAAATTATTTAATTAATTTAGATGGCTCTCTTGAAATTGTTTTACCCAATGAAGGTACAAATCAAAATTAAATCCATATTAGTTAATTAAATAGTTAAATTGATCATATTATTTGTCAGAAAAGAAAAACCAATTTTGTTATCACCAATAAAACTATCATGAATTTTTATTAATATATCTGAATTATTATAATATTAATTTAATTATTATGTAAACACACAAATTCTAAAATTAATAATTAACATTGTTAGACTTAGTTTTAAAGAATGAAGATGATCAATACAGAATAAAATCATAATCAAATTCTAGTAGATTTGAAAGAGAAGATACTCATCATTCTTAATATAATTAATTAGGTATCTCCTTATATTATGATGCCAATATTACCGGTAATGAATAATTTGTTAGCAATTAATTGTTTCGTTCCATTCTCAAAAATATTGAAGATAAACTCTTAGAACTTGAAACTAGAATAGATAATAAAGATAATTTGACTAAATTCACATATCAAATTGATCAACTTAAACATCAATAATATCGCAATCCATTTCTTAAAGATGATCTATTATTGCAAGAATACAAACGTCAAGATAGTTAAATCTCAGAAATGATTGATGATTAATCTGTAAGAGATACCGGAGTCAAATTTCATAAGCCAAGTAGATCAAGATCAACTTGTACTAATAATTATGATGAATAACTATCTTCATCCAATAACAATGCTTCAAATCTGAGATAAAGAAAAAATAAAATAACTGAAGAAACTACTTTCTCTAAATTAAACCTTTTTGAAAAGAAACTCACATAATTTCAAGATTAATTCCAAAAATTACTATAGAAAGAAGAAATCTCATTTAAAAAACTAGAATAATAAGTTTAAGGTGCTTTAAAGGAAGCAGAGACAAGATTAATTTAAAATACTAAATAGATGGATAAATATACTGATAGTCTTAATAATTATAGTGAATATTATAAAGACTTTGTAACTAAATTTCAATAACTTACTGCTTAAATAAAGTATGGAATAATAAATATTATAGCAATCATCAATAAGAAATAAACAGACTATCAGATGATTCTAAAATTCCATTTATTTAATTAGAATCAACAATTGCTGCAATGAATAAACTTCAAAATATTCACAATGATTAGATATTATCAATAAAAGAATCCTACACTTATTTAGAAGCAGATGTACTCATAATAATGAAAAATTATAAAGATCTTATACTTGATAAATAGAGTAAAATTCATAGGTGAAACTCTTTATTAATTTTATTATTACTTTATTATTTTTGTTGAAAAGGTATTAAATAAAAATAAATAATTCAGACTCTATACTATAAGTTTTAGTATAATCAACAAAATAAATATTCTAATTATTTTCCCTTTGAATTTTAACAATATTATATTTATAGTTCCTTTTTAATCATAATTTTTCCATTAAATATAAAAAAAACTAAAATAAGTCTATTCTATATTTAAATATTTAAATAATTTATTACTTTATTTCTTATTTCATTTCAGTTTAAGTTTTTCTATTCTAAACATAATTATTTAATCTTGCTATTATTCAAAAATTCGAATCTGAATTTGTTTATTTTTGTTCAAGAAATTAAGGATTGTATTATACAAAACAAAAATTTCTATCAAATTTCACTTTGTGATAAAACAACAAATATTAGATAATAAATTTTCATAATAAAATAAATGCAATTTAATAAACAAAAATAAGAGTATTAAGATAAAATCAATTCTTTTCGTAATCATCCTGCTTTTAACAAATTACACTTTGACATACTCAAAGTCATTATTGATTCTGTTAATGTTATATACTTTATCAAAAATTAGAGAGTTTATATTGAAAATGAGTTAATGACAAATGTATTTATTGTAAAATCAGGAGAATTTAAAGTAACCAAATAAATTAATATATAGAGATGAGTAAAAGGATGTTGTATTAAAATCCAGTTTTTTCTTATCTAAAGAAATGGAATTAATTTGAGATTTGTTTGCTCGAAAAAGGGGAAACCTTTGGAATTGAACATCTTGATGTAGAACCAAAAGGATATTACAAGTATTCTGTTGCTTGTCATTCATATGAGGGATCATTGTATTCTCTAAAATTAGATTAAATTTCTTAGATTTTAAAAGATCATCGTATAAAGGTATCAGCAGAAAATCTCTTTTATTACTAATAATAATTAAGTAAGAATAGACTATATATCTATCGAGAATAATAAATTAATTAATTACATTAAAATGTTACTCAAACCTCAAAACATAGAGAAGTCAGATCATTTTCTTATGCTAACAATGAAAATGTTAATAACAATTATAGGTTCTAAAATCGTTCTATCAGTTATGATGAATCATATTGTGATAAAATACAATAGTTAATTAATTACTAAAAACAAATAATAAATAATCCAAGAAGGATTATTAAGACAGAAGTATTAGAGGATGATTCGTATATAAATTAATCAGTAAACAATCACATAAGAGCACTCAAACCATATATCAATAACTTTTAATCAGGAAAAAATCTAACTAAACGAACACATGTAGGTTCTTAAGATCGAATAGCAGAATTAAATCAAAATGAAAAGATTTTTAAATTGAAAGTTCTCTTTAAATTAGGATATAGACCAAAAAAAAAATTATAAATAAGAATGCATTAAATTCATAGCTAACATTTATCCAAAATATTCCCGTTCCATCCTAAATGATTAATTGATAATAAGGTTCTTTTTTACAATATAATTTTTTAATAATTTACTAATATGTCAAAATAATAGCAATAGCAACTCTCATATATATGCAAAGACACACAAAACCAAAAAAGCCAAGGTCAAAGTAATAGAAGAGTAAATATAAATGATCTTATTATTAGATGAATAACAATCAAAACAACTTTGATGAAAAAAATGTTTAAAATCAAAAAAAATAAAATAAATACAATAGAAGAAACAATTCATAAGAAAAATAATAGAATAGCCACAATCACCAATCTTAACCTGTTATAGGTACTTATAAAAATAATTTCTTCAGCGAGAGCTCAAATTAATCAACCATAAAATAAAATTTATGATTCTTAAACATTAATTTCAGCATATCATGAATTACTTTAACCTCCAAAAGAAATTGAGGAATTCTTTGAAAAAATACCACATCTTTTTACATTGGTTTCTTAAAAACCTTTAATTTCATCTTCAATATAATTCAACCATAGTGATGAAGATGAGCCAAAGTGGATGCACAATAATGAGAATTTTTAGATCATTGATATTGAAAATGAAATGGAAAAAAAGAGAATAGAATATTAAAAATAACATGGAACATTTGAAAAAAAACAAGAGGAAAAATCTAAAAAATAAAATGAAACTAATTCAGAAGAAATATCAGAACTTTAATAAGCAAAAGAGAAATATAGATAATTAAGAGAATAAGAGGAAAAATAATTATAGGTTGCCAATGAAACCAAAGCTAAATTATAAGAATTATTTACCTTTTCTGAATAAGAATAACCAAAGCTTGTAAATTCAATCAACACAAAAATACTATCAGTAGAAGAAGTTGAAAAATAAGCATTAATTTCTACAAGTAATAAATAGAAAGATATCATCAAAATTGAATAACCAAAATAAAATACTTAATTTTGTTTTAATGACTTTAATAACAATGAATCTGATTTATTTTTTGAATAATTAGAAGAAATGGGAATTCATATTCAAAGGAAACCACAAGTAACTTAATAGCCTATAATTAAAATTTCAAGGGAGAAAATTAAAACTGCTCCTTTTTCACTTTAAGCCTAATTACATTCTAGATCTACAAAAGAATCATTATGGTATTATATTGATAATTTTGGAAAAGTAAAAATATTTTTAATGTTAAATTTTAGATATAAGGTGGATTTACAACAGAAAATATGGATTAATGGTTTGAACATAAATATTTAAAAGCAAAGTTAAATATTTCTTGGGAAATACCAGGGAAATGGATTACATTAGAATAATATTTAATTAATTTAGATCAAATTGAAAAAAAACTATTAGATCCAAAAAGTGCAATGGATCCATTAACACTCAAAACTAATATTAATAATATTTAATTAAATAATCTATAGTAATTATAATAAATTAATACTTTTAATGTGAATAGTTTTCAAAATTAATAAGTTAATGCTTATCAATATTAATAGATAAATAATAATTAATATCTGTAGTATCAAAATTAATAAATGAATAACTAATAAAATAATGTAAATAAAAAAAAAAATAATAATAATTAAAACAATAATAATGGTAAAGTCTAGCAAAATAATAGATAAGATTATCAAAAAAATAATTAATCATTATATTGATTTAAGGTTGAGAATTATTTTATAAATTATTGATAATAATTATATGATAAATCATTTATGATAATTAAATTATCTCTATAAAATATAATATTATATACCTTTTATCCTGAAAAATTGTTTTAAAGGTAGGATTCTTAAATTTTACTTGGACTTTCATACCTTAAATATTAATTTAAATATTACTTCAAATAACTAGTTGATAAACCACTACTAATATTGATCTTAGATTAAAGTAAACTAAGATTAGTGGCTTCTTTTCTGATTTCATTATCAATACGAATGAGTTCTTTTTAATATTCATCTAAATATAATGGATCAGGAGTGAAACTAGATTTAGATACTTTAGAAGTAGCTCCTGATATTTTTGATTCTGATTATAATTTATTAAAGATTTCTTATTCTCTCATAATTTCCTTTTCATAATATTTGATCAATGCTGATTCATCTCTTTTTTATGTATAGATATTTGGAATATTTAATTCTTCACATAGCTTTTTAATTTTAGATTCTTCATCTTTAATTTGTTAATGATAATAATTTAATAAAGGACTATCATAAGAATAAGGCTAACTCTCTTATAGAACTTTTGATTAAGCAATTTGATCTTATTATTGTTCTTTATTTTATTCCTACTTTTAAGTTTAAGTTGGATTAAATGATTCTTAGAGAGCATCACTTTTTTATAAATCCTATTATGAGTAATTAACATCTTAAACTTCAATTTAATTTTCTGCAGGTTATTCCCCATCTTATTATTCTTAGTTTTATTTAGGATCTTCATTTGGCTAATTTTCTTATTACTCTATTTAATAATAGATTTAATAAAGTAGATTTTATAAGTTGTTTAAATTTCCATCAATTATAATAAGGAATTTATCTAGAATTTAATCATCGATCTCCTATTCAATTGTTTATAACCAGTTTTTAAGAGAATCTAGAGTGATTTAATTTTCGTTCTCAAAAATTTCTAATTCTTCAAGATTGATTGGATCTGCAATATTTTAATATTGACTAAAAATAAAAAAAAAATAATACTTATAGTTGTTTTTTAATTGTACAAAGAATGCAATTAATTTTGATTCAACATCTTTTGGTAAGAGCATACTTTAAGGCATTTCATATGATTTATGATTAAGTGCTTAGTCTTTCACTTACTCGTTAGTTTTTGGTAAGATTACTTATTAGAAACTTGAAAATAATGAATAAAAAGTTACTCTGCCAATGTAACAAAGTTATCCTTATCAACATCCAAAACTCTAAAAATGTAACTTAACTCCTCTTAGGTAACTTAAACATTGTTATCATCTAAAAATTCTAGAATCTATTCCTCTTTCAAAGCACTTTATCTTGGTTAATCAAGTCTTTTATACACTCAATATAAATATGAGAATGGATACCTGTGTTGAGTTCAAACATTTCTAGACTAGCTAAAGCAATTCTAATTTCCTCCAATTTATCCTCACTTTCAACTGTGAGTTAGATGAATTCACAAAAATTCATAATAGAACAATAAAATGAAAATAAAATTTATTAAATTTTATATGATAATCTACTTTTAACTACATGATTAAACTTTAGAATTACTCAATTTAAATTTAAAAAAAATGATATTCTTATCAGAATTTGATTAAATAGTATAATAATTATATAGTAGAAGAGATTAAAAATAAAGATGAGGAAATAAGAGAATAGAAGAATAGAAATGATTTAGCAAAGGAAAATTCGAAAAAATAACAAATTAAACAAAGAAGAGCAAATGTTAAATTCAACTGTAGGTCTAATTAAATGATAATTTATTGTTTTGAAAAGTTTTATATGATTGGCTGAGCAAAGTGAGAGGAGAGAAGAAAAACAAGTTTATAGATTTCTGTTTTACTTCTTTTTTAAACTTCCTAGAATACCTGAACACAATTATATAATAAAAAGACTAATTATTGCTACCTAAGGTAGGGAATATATAAATAAAAAGAAAAAAACCTGTCAAAAACTATTTAAATAAACTTTAGGATTATCTCATAAAGAATATCATAGAATGGTCAATTTAAAATAAGTATGCAAGCCAAATGGGGCTTCAATTGGTGATTTTCTTATGTTTATGTGTAATGTTATTAAGGATTATTGTAGAAAAGAAAGTATAATAATAATATGGATAAATTATTAAATAATTATTAAGAATAAAAATTCAATACATGCTTATTTATTTACTATGAGAAGTTTATGGTAGAGGATTTTAGTACTTATTAGTAGTATTTTAAGATGCTATTAAGTCTTTTAAAAATAATTTATATGGGCTATCAAAGAAATTTATAAGGTATTCAATGAATGAACTCTAAGTTATTGCCTTAGGAAAAATCCATTGAATCGGTTTATAAATGAAAGGTTCAAACAAATTTTCAATTATTAACCATTCAAAAAAAACAAGTATTTATTGTTAGATGATGTAATTGATTGAAGAATAAACTTAAACAATATTAAAAATATTAATTCTAATATTTTAATTTTTAATGATAATAATTTAAATTAATGCTTCCAAAGTTTCTTTCTTCATTCTTGTAATATTTTATATATTATCATCCAACTTTAATTAATATAAATTAATTGGTTATGATTTACTATATTATTGGATATTCAAGATTAATTATTTGTTTTGATTTAGATTTACCAATCCATTCAATTTACTATATAAAAACATCTTTTTATCTAACAGATTTAAAAAATTTTATAAAATGATTTCATTTAATACTAATCAAAAGAGAATTAAATTAAGTTAAAATTAATATTAATTTCTGTTTTACTTTTCATTTGTGTATAAACAATTAATGGGATTTGGGACAATAATAATCAACTCAAATATGTTTGATCAATATCATCTTTAGTTTATTTGCTATATTAAAAAAAGAAATCTCATATAAATAAGTGATTACTAGATATAGTATCTCTTGTTAAATAAAATATAAGAAAAATATAGAAACTATGATTAGATTGACAATAATTAGACATATGGGTATTTTCTAATTTTATTTAAGACCTATTATATAGGTTATAAAATAAGAGATTTTAATTTTGTAATCCTATGTTTAATTGGAAATTAATTAAGAATATTAGTTTTATGATTTTACTGGATGGTCTGTTTTATGATTGCTTTTTGATTTGAAGCTTGTATAAGAAACAAAAGTATGAATATTATGATAATAATATCTATTACTTATTAACATAATGAAGGGTTTTAGGTTGAATATATATATAAGTTTTATATATATTAAATTCAATTTAGGTGACATAATCTTAAATAAATATAGAAGAGTTTAATATATTATTTATTTGAAAGAATATACTTATATTTTAAATAAATAAATGGGGAATTGTGTTTCTACTTAAGATGATATCAGAAATGCAAACAAAGTTTCACCTGTTTCATTGTAAGAATATATATATAAATAAAAAAAAGAACAATAAAACATTTCACTTGGAATCGCGATTCTCATGGTTTATTTGATTATGAAAACAAGAATGTTATAAAAGGTTAGATAAAAACAAATACATAATTATGTAATATAGAAACTTAAATTAGTGAGATTAGTTCGTTAAAAAGAAAATATTAAAATAATCTAAACAAAAGAGGAATTATAAGTAGCAAATAAGTTTATTGATATAGTAATTCTAAAATTAACCAGATGTCATAGAATTACTTAAATTGACACGTCAATTTTCAAAATATTAAGTTGAATCTAGTTTGAAGATCTCTAAGGCAGAAGATTAAGAAGGTTTAAATGATAACTGTCCATGGATAGTTGTAAAATCAACAAAAAGCAAATTATCTGATGGATAAGTATAAAATAAAAATGATCAATAAAGGGATATGATTTAAAAGAAGGAGATTATGTGAAATTAGGGAGAGTGAGATTTAGAATTAGAGAAATCAAATGTTCTGTTGATAATAATAATACAAATAAAGGTAATTAGGAACCAGAATTGTAAAAATATGTATCAGAAAAATGTTTAAATACAATGAATATAAATACATAAGAAGATGATAAAAAAAGTTAATCAGAAGAACCTTGTTGTAAAATATGCTATAATGATTCCTAAACAAATGAAAACAATCCTTTAATTGATTGTTGTAAATGTTAAGGATCTGTTAAATATATACATATCTAATGTTTGTAAACATGGTTAGTTAGTAAATTATAACCAAAAACAACTAAGTTTTCAGTTTCATTTCAATGGAGATAATTTGATTGTGAAGTATGTAAGGCCATTATTCCTAGTAATTATAATTATATTAAATATCTAGGTAGAATAAGATATCAAGACAGAATTTTTGAGACAATAATTATACCTAAACCTGATGCTCCATATATAACATTAGAAATCTTAAGTAGAGAACGTAATAAGAGCAAAGGAACTCATATAATTAGTTTTGCATAAAAATAACAAATAAAATTAGGCAGAGGTCATGATTCAGATGTAAGAATAACAGATATTTCAGTATCTAGATGTCATGCTTTGATTAAATTTATTAATTGTAAATATTATAACAGTAATTCTAGCTGGATTTATACTTGAAGATTAGTAGTCGAAATTTGGAACTTTAGTTTTATTGAAGATTCCTGCTTTGATGTCAGTTGATTTAAATAATAATATGGCTATCTAAGTTGGTAGAAGTGTTGTTAGTTTTTAAGTATCAAAGGATTGGAATGTATAATCATGTTGTATGTATTCTAGATAATCTCATCAATAAATAGGGGAGGAATATCAGAAGATTAACAGTTACAAGATGATACAGATTTAATAGGAAATGCTGTTGGTGATGAAGATTAAGCATAGATTGAATAAGAATTATAAAACTTTGAAGAACATACACCATGACTTTGATAAATTATGTTTTAACTTTGTGTTTGCTCAAATAATTATGGTTCAAGGATAGTTTTATTTTTATCTGAGTTTTTCTTATTCTTATTATATTCTTTATTTTTCTTTCTCTTCTTCTTATTTTAAGTGCGTTTCCATATATTCAACAATTCCATGTGGTGTTCTATCTCCATTATAATGAAATATTTTATCATGATAAAAAATTCTAAGAGTTGGATATCCTCTAACATCAAATTTCATACATAGAAATGATTCTTAAGTGCAATCAACTTTGGCTAAAGTAATTTTGCTTTTTTTTTCTTTTAGCATAGTAGCAGCATTTTCAAATTAAGGCATTAAATTTTTGCTAGTTATAAATATTGACTTACCAATGTGGACACCAAGGTGCATAGAAATCTACTAATAGAACTTAGAAATTCATCAATGCTGCATCAAAATTATCCCTATCCAAAACAACTACATTTTATTCTCTATTAAACATCACTTAATGATGTAAATGATGTTATTTTTGTTTGCCAGTTGCCAAAATTAGATTAACCAATAGTACTAAAATCATTAAAACGAATTAATTTGATTAAATAAATATTTTATATTAATGAGATTCTCTAAATTTTTTGGCAGAATCCTCTTAGCCATTTTATATGTAAATGCTGGATTCTCTCAATTTTTCAATTAAGATTCCTACATTCACTATGTTAACATACGATATCCAGTATTTTATGGATACGCATTAAATCTTATTGGATCATACTTAGAATATATAGAAATATTAGTATAAGCAAAATAATAAATAAGAAACCAAATAATTTTATTCAATATACACCAAATCTAATACTAGCCTTGGGAGTAACATAAATATTGCTTGGATTTGGTGTTGGTTTAGGAATTCAATAAGCTGGGTATTGTTTAGCCTTCCTAACTGTGATTATAACTGGATATGCACATAATCCATTAATTTACTCAAACTAAGTGTATTTGAATTTCTTAATTGTTTATTAGGGATATTAATAGGGAATATTTATAAATAATTTTTAATATTGGAATCATAGGAGCTTTATTTTTAATTAGGAAAAACAAAAATAATAAAAATGTGACAGTCAAAAATACAGCGTATAATTAATATTCATTTTAGTGAATCAGACAAAAAAGAATAGAAGAACACAGAATAACCTAAGTAATAGAATAATGAAAAAAGTAATCAAGAAAATACAAAAAAAAGAAAAGGAAAAGCTTTATGAGTAATTTATTTAGTTTTGTTAATTATTATAATGAATGATTGAATTCTTAAACCATAAATTAAATAAAGATAAATTTATTTTAAAAAAATGGTAACTAATATGAATATTCTAACCCTAGGGACTTGATGCTTATAAAAAGACAAGAGTTTAAAGAAATGTAGTTAGAAAAGTAACATCCACAAATCTTTATTTGAAATTATTAATCAAAGTAATTTGATGATTCTTATTTTTTATTAGTTATACAAATTCTTGGCAAGAAGAACAGACTCTAATTTTAATTCAACTATATTAAGAAGACTTCAATCTACTAGAACAGCCAGATATCCAATTAGTGTTAGCAGACTTGTAAAATAAATTAATACAGCTAAAGATAAAACTAGAATTTTAGTTGTTGTTGGTACTGTCACAGATGAGTAATTATTAATACTATAGCAATCTAATAGCATTCGTTTACTTAATGTTCCTAAGATCAATGTTTGTGCTTTAAGATTTACAGAAACTGCAAGAAAGAGAATTTTAGCAGCTGGTGGAAAAGTGTTAACATTTGATTAATTAGCATAATAAAATCCAACAGGTATTGATGATAATTATGAATTTTTTAGGAACAGGAACAATTTTATTAAGAGGTCCAAGAATAAGAGAAGCTTTAAAACATTTTGGAAGAGCAGCTGGTTTACCAGGATCTCATGCTAAACCTTATGTTAGTAATACAGCTAAAAAGGGTAGAGGTTCTAGGTGATTTTCTTTACCTATATTAATATATAAAAATAAACAAATTAATTATCATATATTGATTTTTAATCAAAAAATTATTTAATTTTTATGACAGATAAAAGAATAGACAAATATATTTTTAATGTGAAAGATAGAATTGGATAAGGATCTTATGCTGAAGTATTTAAAGGAACAAATGAAAAAACTGGAGAAAAAGTGGCAATCAAAATGTTAAGCAAATCTGTAATCAATGCGTAATTTTATCTATTTATTTATTTAGAGATGATTATCTTAGGGAGGGACTGATTTAGGAAATTAAAATTATGCAGAAATTAAAAAGCCCTAATATCGTCTAATTGTTAGATGTTATGGAAACAAACAATAATTATTATATTGTTTAAGAATACTGTGATGGAGGGGATTTTGATGAGTAAATTATCATATTTTACTTTAAGACATCTAAAAAAAAAGAAGTTACTCTAAGAAAAAGAAGCAATCAAATTCCTAGTTGATGTACTAAATGGATTTACACATCTTATTAAAAATGGTATAATTCATAGAGATCTCAAACCAGCAAATATTTTAATTGACAAATAAGTAAGTTCAATAATTTATAAAGACTTACAAACTAGCAGATTTTGGATTTGCAAAATGTGTTGATAATTTTAAAAAAACAATGATGGCTTCAATGGTTGGTACTCCATTATACATGAGTCCTCAAATCTTGGATCATAAGAGATACAATTCCAAAACTGATGTTTGGAGCATAGGCTTTATCTTCTATGAAGCATTATTTGGCAAAAGTTAATCAAATTTTTAGATTTTTTCTAGCTCCTTGGACAGCCAGATCTCCAGCAGAATTACTAAAAAATATCAGAACCTAACCTTTAAAATTTCCTACAGATAAAAATTAAGTCTCATAAGAAACCTAAGATTTGATTATTGGGTGTCTGCAAGCAGATGAAAATAAAAGAATGTCTTGGGAGGAAATCTACAAACATCCAGCAATTAGTCAATATTTTTCGGTAATTCTTTTGTATTTTATCTTTTAAAGGATTTTATCAAAGGAAATAACAAATTAGAAGATAAGGCTCAATATTTAATTAATGATATTAGATAGATGATATGCAAAGAGAAAATTGATATTCATAAATTATTTGCAGATTTAGACATGTCAAAAGATAAAGCTTTAGATGTTAATGAATTGGGAAAATTTCTATAAAAAGTAGATAAAGATATTACAAGAGAAGAAATTGAATATATATTTAATAAATTTGATGATGATGGTAATAATTAAATTGAATTTGAGGAATTTAAAAAATGGTTAGAAGATAATTAAGTAATTAATTTATATATATTTATTAATAGATTGTTACAAATGCTAATCCATAATAATAATAAAGAGGAGGTGGATCACAGAAAAAATTGTCTATTTTACCCCATTAATTAAAGTCTCAGAGTTCTATTGAAGAGAGAGCTAATTATGTTATAGAGAAATTAAAATTATCAATCTAAAAATATAAAATCAATTTGTTAGATTTATTTAAAAAAGTGATAATATATTTTGATTAATTTAGTTTGATAAATCAGCAGATTAAAGATTAGATAAAAATGAAATGGGGTTACTTTTAAAGAGAATTGAGCCTAACATTTCATAAGAAGAAATAATTGCTTGCTTTGAATTTTTTGATGCTAATGGTGATGGTGAAATCACATTTTAAGAATTCTAAACAAGTTTAAGTGAAGAAGTTGGGAAAAAGAGATAAAGTATAGACCATCATGAATGAAATATTTGCATTATAATATAGTAATTATTAAAATTAAATGAGTTTTGATCAATTATTGTTATCTAGACCACTTTATAGTCCAAAATACAAACATTAAGCATTTACTATTCATTCACATAATCCAACTCCTTATAGTATTACAACTTAAGTTTCACCTATTGAATCTCCAAGAATAGGAGACCTTTCAACAATTCCTAAGACTTCTGAAAGAGGATAATTGTATGATAAATTAAAAGCCAGCTTGAAAAACTAAGAAGTAATAAAGTCTATTTAGAATGGAATAAAAGGTTAAAAGGTGAGAGATGCTTATAATTTACTTTCAGATTTCAATGATAAAAAATAAATAATATAATCTTTAAAATCATTATCTACAGCTGATGAAAGGTAATTATATTTTTAATATAATTTATTGTTTAGAATTTTACTAATTGATAAAATTTTAGAGAGAAAAGAAGAGATGTAAGTAGCTGCTCTAAGATTAAAAGCAAAAAAATTAGAACCAATTTTTAATGTTATAAGAAGGAAACTTAAACTAAAACAACCATTAAATTCATCTGCAGATAGAATGAAAAAGTAATCAATTTTTGGTTCAAGATCAACTGATCCTACCAATGATATATAAAATCCAATGCATTCTTATAGAAATTTAGATGAATAATAATAATAATAAGATGAAAATACTAGAAAAGAATTAGTTATGGAGAAAATATAAAATAAATATGCAGCATCTGTTGCTTTTTCTTGGTTAACCAATAGAACAGAAAAATAAGGTATAAATTATAATTTTAATGAAATTTGAGAATCTTTAATCCATAATTTATCTCCAGAATCTATTAAAAGACATAATAGAAGAAATACTACATTAAAATAAAGTCATAAAGGGATAACAGGTTTAAAATAGATGATTACTAAAAAAGTGAGTGAAAATTCTGATGAAATGATTAGATTAGGATAAATGAAAATGTTAGAAAATCAATAAAAATCTTATAAATCTAAAGATATAATAGCAAAATCAAAACCAAAGGTAGATACAGGGAGAATAAAGAGTGTATAAGTTAATAGATCATTAAGAAAAAAATAGACTTTAGATTTCTTTACAAATGAAAGAAAAGAAAATTCAGAGTTAACATAATAAATAGCAAATGAAAAAAGTAATTTCATGTTAAGGAGAAAGTTAATCATCAATGAATGACTGTCATTATTTTATATTCTTTTTACTTTAGATTAATTTTCGTTTTCTATAAGGTTTTTCAATGTCCTTAAATTCAAACTATCTAATTGACAATTTTGGTAGCAATTCTATTTTTTATTATTTAGTTTTTTCAATTTTTGATATATGAAGTTAATCATTTAATTTCTAAGTACTCTAGACATTAGTACTATAAGATCTTAATCGATGATTAACAATAGAAGGAATTTTATTGTTGCAATTTTCTCTTTAAATAGTTTATTTATTGGAATGTTAAATGTTTAGTTCTTCTTCAAGTATTTTCATTAATCTTTGAATGAACTCCACTTCATGTCTGCTATATTCTTATTTAGGTGCTAATATGAATGATTTGATTAATTGCATAAAAAAATAAATAATATTTTTGTTAAATAAAATAATTAAAATTTCATATCATTAAGCTTCAGAATCTCCATCATTATCTTTTGAATCAATTACTCCAGATAATTATCTTTCTACTAATTATCTATAAATTCCATCAGGATTATTAAGTAATTCTTAATGTGTTCCTTACTCTGCCACTACACCATTTTGTAATACAATAATTCTATTGCAATTAACAATAGTACTCAATCTATGAGCTATTACTAAAACAGTAATATTTTTGCTTCCCTTTTAAATTAATTCATCAATAGCAGATTAAACTTAAAATTCACTTTCTGCATCTAAAGCTGATGTTGCTTCATCAAAGATTAATATTTTAGGTCTTTTTAATAAAGCTCTGGCAATTACTATTCTTTATTTCTAACCTCCACTTAATGTATATCCATGTTCACCAACAAAAGTATCAAATCCATGTGGAAATTTGTATTTATCCGAAACAAATTACCAAACTCCTGCTGCTTTAGTAGCCCATTCAAAATCATCTTTTGTATAATTTTCAGTTCCATATATAATATTTGATTCTATTGTTCCTTCAAATAATACTGGATCTTAAGAAACCAATCCTATTGATTTTCTCAATGCTTTAAGTTTGAATTATTTAATGTTAATTTCATCAAAAAAAATAGAGCCTGATTATGGATCATAAAATCTTTCTAACAAATGCATTATTGTTGACTTTCCACTGCCACTAGGTCCAACAAATGCTATATATTCTCCCTTATTAATTTTAAGTGTGATTCCTTTCAACACTTAAACTTAAGAGTTTGGATATGAAAATACAACTTTTTTAAATTAAATTTCTCCTGTTGGAGTTATATGATCTATAGCATCAGGTGCTTCTTTTACAAGAGATTCCCATTTAAGCATATCAAGAACCCCTTCAAAAGCTCCAGTAGCACTTACAATTTTTGCAAATGATTCACTTATATTCGAACTAGATGTTGATAATTATATTGAATATAAAACGATAGTAGTTAAATCACTAAAAAGATATTTATAATATTATACCCTGCTGATAATTCTGCTGTATTATTCATAGCCAATTTACCTCCATACCATAATACTATTAAAGAACCTAATTAAGTAAATAAAGCACTTGATGCTTAATAACATCCATTATTTACTCCTCTTTTTTAAGCCAATTTAATATTTAAATCTAATTATTTATGAAATTTCTTAATTTCAAATTATTCTGTACAAAAACTCTTTACTGTAACTACTCCTGATACTATTTCATCTGCTAATGTTGTTAATTTTGCTTGATATTCTTAACCTAATTTTTCAAACTTCTTTGCAAGTCTAGTATGAATTGTTGTTAAAACAGTATATAAAGGCATTGGTGCTAAAATTGCTAATGTAACTTTCCAAGACAATGCAAATAAGATTATTATATTGAAAATTGTCAAACAACAATTTCTTATAAGTAAAATAATATTTCCACTGACAGCAGACTTAGCTGATTATAAATCATTTGTCATTCTAGATATTATTTCACCATTTCTGTATGTGTTAAAGAATGTTAAATCAAATGTTAAAAAGGATTTTAATACATCCTCTCTCATATCATTATATATCTATTCTTACCAAATTTAATTAGCAAATGCTCTAACTAAGGATAAAATAGTATAAGCACATAAAACATATAAAAATTGTTTTGATAATTTTGTATGTAATTCTTCATCAATAACATTATTTGGAATATTTTAATTATTTATTGGATCTGTGTCAGAACTTTGTGCTTATTTAACATTTTTAGTGATTGCATCAATCAATCTACCAAGTATCCAAGGTAATAACATTTGTGCTACAGCTGATAATACTATCAATACATTCACTAATATAGTTAATTTTAAATGCTATAAAGGATAGTGTAATAAGAATTTATAAGTATTCCAATTAAATGGCAAAGCTTAATATTTCACTTTTTTCTTTTTTGATTTGTTTTTCTTAGTTTTATTTTTCTTTTTTCCTGCTTAAATGTTAATTGGAGATAACTCAAATTATCCCATTCCATTTAATCCATCCATATTTTCTTATGAAGGTACTTCATCTAAAATGTCACTTTTTCTCATCTCTGGTTATTGATATACTTAAATTTCTAATCTCATAGACATAATTATACATTTATTATCTTCTTATTTCATTATTGGTATTGGTAATCTTTCTTCTTCATCTTCACTACCTGATAAAAATACTTTTTTTCTTTATATTTTATTCATCTCAATCTAATGACTATCCTCTTCTTTCATAGAAACATAATAATCATTCTAGCTTCCTTTAAACAATTTACTCATTTTGTTACTAGCATTTTCTTCTTAAACTTTATCCAATAATTTATTTTACATTTTAATATATAAAAAATTATTCACGGTGTACATTCTATTTTCTATTAAACTTAAATACTTATTATTTATATTCATTCTACTTTTTAATTATTCAAATTAAATCATTCTTCATCTATTTTTAAGAGTAATATTTATGTCTATTTAACTTTATTTTATAACTTAAGGTAGTTAAAATTGAAATTTATTGTATCTCCATTAATTTAATTCTTCTTAAATTATTAGACAACATCTTGACCTTTAAATAATTAAATTAATATAAATAATATCACTATTTATACAGTAAACATTAACCTTTTGTATTTATTCAGAATGCTATAAAATTAAATTATATTCAATCAAGTATTAATATTTTTAATATTAAACATTTCATCAAATGTCTGAAGAATAAGAAATTGATTGGGGAGTTGGTGCTTAAGCATTATATTATATGAGTAGAGCAACCAAAGATTGCAGTAAAAGATGTGGAGCATTAAAAGTGAATAGAGATTTTAATGAGTCTGAAACAGAATGTTTAAGTAATCTAATCATACTTAATAATTTCTATAGAAAAATGTGCTGTTTACCATGCCGGAGCATCAAGTACTCATATGAGATTTTTAATCAACTATGCTGAGACAGTGCATCTGCAATGAAGAATTTTCATATAATAATCATATTAAAATAACATAATCATAAGATATTTATTTTAAGTATTTTCATTATTCTTATTGCTATAAACAAAATAGATCATACCAAGAGTCTTTCTAACTCATGAAATAAATTAATTATAGAATTTTCATCATCATCAATGTAATTACTTAATTTCATTTCCAAAAATCTTACTTCAGGAGCTTCAAATTCAAAATCTCCTGTTTTATAAAAGTCCCAATCTTCATGAATTATATTTATTTTGACTTCATTTATTATCTCAACAGTTTAAGCTTGTTTATGATATTCTTATATTATTTGTTATTCAAAATAATTATCTAATTATTATAATTTCTCATTTAATTTGATATTTCTATCTCTATTACCATAATATTACTCTAAGTTTTATAAAGCATTTAATTTATATCTTAAATTTTCTAGACTACAATCCTCTAAATCTTTATAATCATATGGTTAGATATTTTTACAATATTCAAAAATTGATGATAAATCTTTTATTGCGTTTAATTTATCTAGATAAATATAATATTTAAATGCAAGCAAAATTAAACTACAAGAGTATATATCATGTTCACTATTATGAATATTGAAATTAATAAAGTACTTTTATTCAAAAGTCATAGCAATACTATAAATTTGTTGAGATATTTTTAATTCAATACAAATACTTTTAAACATATCTAGAAATTATTCCCTATTAGATTCCTAATATTCAATATTAAATTGTTTTAATAATTTAACAGCTTAATGTCTAATGAAACAAGTTTTAGGTAAATGTTAAGGAATTGTTAAATATTGGCTTGTTGTGTCATTCATTAAATGTGAAAATCCTTCCAAATAATTTATTTTTTTTTGTTTTATTAATTAAATTAATTTACTTGGAAAAATTTTATTTCCTTGAATAAGATTTGTAGCATATATTAAAATTAAGCCAAAAGTAAAATCTAATGGTATCAAATTTATTTTTTTTTTAGAAAATAATTTATTATTTATATTGACTGTTATATCAGTTTCTTAAGTGTTGATTTCTTTTTATTAACAAGATTTTAAAAATTATTAAATATATTTTATTTTTCTCGAGACAAAATTTACATTTCTTTTTTTTAGATTTTTATTAAGATTCTTAAAATCTAATTTATTCCATTATTCAGACATCTCAAAAAAATTATTTTGACATCCTAACATATAAATTAATATATCTTAAACTAATACATATTCCTTTTATAAAAAAGGAGACATTTCTTAAAACAATTCTTAATTTATTGATTTAAGAGAGAGAATTTGAGTATTATTATTTAATTTAATATTTTTAATCTTTTTTATTGCAAGATTTAAATCATTTGTTGTAGAATTGTAAAATTTTTCAAAATATATTTCAATTAAAGCATAATAAATTGTATTTGTTAGATTAGTAGAAGAAAGTAAACCATTAATAAAGGTTGATTTATCTTAATTAACAGGAATATCTAATATTTATGATCCTTTTCTATGTACAGATTATTTTCTTTTTGAAATTGTTTAATTTAGATTATTTCCTTATTTTAATTGAAGTTTAATGATTCTTTTTTAATAAAATGGTGTTTTTGGTTTAGATATTTTCTTTTTTATTTATTAGATTTCTATAATTGAACTTTAATTTAATTAATCCTATGTAAAATTATATTATAATTATTTTTCGAAATCATGATCAAAATCATCTTCTATTTTAATATTAAGTGTTGATTCTATATTAGATTTATTAAATTTGTATTTTGAATTTACAATTCTATTTTCAGAAAATGCTTAATGTCCTTTTCTTGCAATAGTCCAATTTGAATTAACTGGTTGATTAATATGATGAAGCAAATATCTTTAATAAAGTGGTTTGATATCTAAATTCAATTATTTTCCAATAAAATTAATAAACTTAGTAAATGCTGCTAAATATTATATCCAATTTTGTTTAATATGTTCTGATAATGTAAGATTAAGTTGAATTTCTCTTTCTCTTCTTTGTTTAATATGTGAAGTAGTTCTTTTTAACACAGATTTTTAATATTCTTGTTCAGTCGAGAATATATGATTACTTCTCTAATTATAAGTGATATTTTCATACAGTAGCATTTCCACATCCAGTACAAACAAGTGAAATACCCTTAATAACCAATCTATTTCCACAGACATTACAACTCATGGCATCCATATGAGTATATATAATTTCAATAAAATAATTATATTACCATTATTTAAATTTAAAATGAATAGAATATTTTATTCTTAAATTATATTCAAATATAACCAATTTATTTCAGTACGTTCTTAACAAAATGAATTAAGAGATCGTATCTCATTTTAGGTGTTTTCAATTTAGGTAATGGCAAATAAGTTGTAATTTATTCATACATTTTTCTAGCTTTTCTAAATTTCTCTAATCTACAAATTTTCTTAGAATCTTAATCCTATTCTCTAGTAATTATCATAGGAGGACTATTACTAGAAATTTCTTCATTTATTGTTGATAATGGTTTAACAACAACAATCTTACCTTTGATTTTAAAATTATCAGTTTCTATTTAATAAATATGAGGAGATAAATAAGTATTTTCACCTATTCCACCAAAACATAAAATGTTACTACCATTTACACAACTAGAATGACTCCATCTTTTTGTTTATAATCCTTATCTTTATGCTATAGTCCAATAACTCTTTTGTAGATGAAATATATAAATCTCATTTTAATATTCTCTTTTTTCTTATGATCTTCCACCTATCAAAATTAAATAATCACCAACATTTTCCATAGTATGATTATATCTACCTTCTGGTGCTTAACCTGAATATTATACTTTCTCCCAACCAACAGGATGAAGTCCATAAAATATCATCTTCATTAAAGGAAATGAATTCAATTTTGCTGTTTATCCACCAAAGATATAAACAGTTTCAATATTTCTTTTATTATCATATGCAGTACATTAAGCATGTTATGCTATACCTTCATCAAATAATAATTTTTAACCAGTCCATCTCTTAGATTCCAAAGAATAAATTAATGTGTCATTTAATAGTTTCTCTGCTGAATCTAATCCACCAGTTATTACCATTAATTTTCCAAATAGAATTGATGCTTTATGTTCTCTTCTAGGTTCCACTGATTCTAATGATGTTGTCCATTAATTAGTTAATGTATTGAAAAATCCAAGAGTTGAATAAACTTATCTAATTTTCATTTTATGATCATAATAACCAGATCCTCCAAATAATACTAAAAACTATTTCCATACTACCATAGAATGACTGGTAATAAATAATTAAACATTAGAACAATAATTACTCCATTCTTGCTTTTCTATTTACTTTATTTAAATATATACTTAAATCGAACCACCATATTTCATTTGTTATTCCTCCACCACTCATTCCTCCAAAGACATACATTCTATCTCTAACAACTCCAATCTATGCAGATTCTCTTCTACTAGGAACAGCATAAGAATAAGAGTTTAAGGTTTCTTCAAAAAATGAAACAATTGGTTATTCTTCTTTGATGTCTTCTTCTGTAATCTTTCTTTTTTATTATTATTGTCTTTAAACAGTGGGTAAAATTTGTTTTTCTGGGCTATTTGATATTCCTAACTATTTTTCTAAATATTTTAATGTTAATGGTTCTCGATGTGGAACTTTACGTTACAATGATTTAAATTTCCTTTCACTTAAACTAATATCTCTATAAGTTTAAGACATTTTGTTTCTTTGTAATTCAAGAAAGCTTTGCTAAATAAACTTTTATTAAGATTTATTGGCTATTAATTCACAAAATCCTCCTGGTTAGCTTCTACGGATTGAATGAAAATGAGTTGATATATCTTCTAAAGAACTGTTTTCTATACTTGGAAGAGCCAACGTAAATTTATGTTCAGAATCCATTTTTAATTTTCTCTTTTTCTCTAAAACATATTAAGAATTGCTTTGATGTCTTATAGCAAGTTGCATTGATTCATCTTTTATACTCTTCAATAAATCCTTATACTTGTCTTTTTCTAAATTTAAGTTAGCAGCATTCATTCACTGATTATAGACAAATAAAATAATAATTGTAAAGGAAACTTAACTTATGTTCTTAAAAAAAGTAATTTATTAAATAATTTCATATAAATAATCATTAAAAAGACTTGCAAAGAAAAAGAAGCAGATGTTCATTAAGATTTCATTTTTCATCTGAAGATTCAGTATCAAGATGATCTAAATCATTTTAACTTTTTAATTTAAACTTGTCAAATCTAAGTATTAATCCTTTTGTCCACATTTTATCAATTCTATCTAATCTCTTATTTATTTGATGATATTTCCATACAAATTATTCCATCTCTTCTGAAGTATAATCTTCTTGTACCAAATCTTTTATCCATCTAGGATAATATCTATTAATTCTCTAAGGAGATGATGCTACAGTACCTCCTTAGTAAGTTGATACAATATTACTTAAAGTTGGATATACTTTAACTGATCTTTTATTGTGCATTAAAATAATCTATTTTATTTATACATCACTTAATCTCCAATTATATTTATTATATTTATGATAATCTATTCTTTTTCTAATAGAACTTCGATGAATTGATTAACTATGAACAGATGATGACTTTCTAAAAAACACTTAAAATTTATCTGATAAACAACGTAATGGAAATACTCTCCTAATTAAATTATAATTATCTAAATCTTTCCAATCTTCTGGTGGAGTTCTATTCAATTATTAATTAAAATGAATAATTCTAAACACTACAGACTTAAATCTTGTTAATAATTAATCATATTTATGTCTCTTTTTATCTATCAACTATTGTAGAACCAATTAATTATATTCATTTATATTTTTTAATTCTCTTATTTCTCTTTACTTTTTCATCTCTTATCTAGTATATTGTAATTATTCATGGCTGAATTATATTAAAACCGATCTCCTAACTTTTTTTCGTTAAGCTAACTAATATAGTTTATAAATACATACATTTCTAAACTTTTAAATTATTTATCAATAATTTACGTCTTCTATGAAATAATTATTAAACTTCAAAATACAAATTTGGGCTCATCTTCATAGATTTCTCTAATATTGTATAATCAACCTTTAAAATCAAAGATCTTTATAGAGCTACAGCATAAGTAGCTCTTAATGTTTCTTCAATTGCTTCAAATTCTCCAAACATTGTCCCTTCTAAAATATTTAATAAAGTGAATTTTGTTTTTGTCATTATTCTTACATCACCCTATAATAAGAAATAAATTTCATTTGAATTCTATCCTTCTCTATATATAAGATCATTCTATTCAATTACAAAGAATTAAACATTATTTAATAATTCAATAGTAAAATTAATATCTTACATAAAGAAAGGTACTGCTTCACAAATTTTAAGCATACCACTTAAAACTAAATAATTTTATATTTAGTATGGTAAATCATGTACCATTTTCTTATGATAACTAGACCAAAAAGCATTGTTATTTAGATTGGTTGATATAAATCTTTAAAATTAATTTCTTATCTTTTCTGGAAAATCAGAAATATAACACAATTATTCTAATTAAAAATAATATTCATCATCTTAATTAATTCCAGATCTTTACATCATATATGCAAAATCACCTATTGTAAATGTATAAAATCCAACACCTAAAATCAACCATAAAGTTTAATATTCATAAATTATAAATTGAGAGCAATCACCATATCCTATTGTTGTTATTGTTTGAGTTGATTGATAAAATGCATCTATATATGTTATATCTAATAAATAATGATATCCACAAGCAAATATATGTATCAATATAAAAGCTGTTACCATAACATCTATTATAAATTTTATTCCTTCCTTCAATTATATATTATTATCTGGCATAAATGATGGTATTACTTTTTTTTATTCTGCTTAACCTTTATAGCTATGCTTTTATTTATAAATAAAATATTTTAATATTCTGCAAAGTCTGAAAAATCTCAAATCATCTATTCCTAATTAAATCCAAGGGAATATCGATATTAAATCAAAAATAAACCATGTTTTTAAATAATGTGTTGCGATATCAAATATATTAATTTTTAAAGAAGATGTTTCATCTATGTAGGCTGTCAAAAAGGTTAATAGTATGTCTATTGAGAAAAAAAGATCCAAAATAATCACTATAATGTATAATTCTTTCTCTAACTCATTAAATGTAATAAACAGCGGGTAAATTATGCACGAACAAAATTACATTAGAGTTATGATTTTCATCCAAAAAACAATAAAACAATCATCTGGATAAAATGGAATCATTTTTGTTCTTTTTTAAAAATAAAATTCAATTCTTTATTACAATCTCTCCTTTCGATATTATTCTAATGAATCAAAAAAACATTTTATGATTATCAATTTTCTTACAATCCTAACAAATACACTTCTAGTATCTCTTGTTATTGTTGTTTTATCCTCTTATGTATTAAAAGTCCTGTTAATTAATCAATTGTAATACCCAAATATAGAAATAGTAGTTTAAGTTTTTAATTTTCTGTTCTAAGAACCATGAAACATATATTATGAAGAAGGTCTGTTTCTTTATATTGGAATCTCTACAGAACATGCTCCTTAAGTTATTAACTGTTCTGGATCTTCACGATCACTTATAAGCTACATTTTTTGTCTGAATAATAATTATTTTCAATTCTTAATTATAATGAAATGATTGCCAAAATAGAAGAAATTATTGTTGAATCTCAACCATAAAATAAATTTATAGATAATTAATAACTCTTATGATAACAAATAATCAAATGAAAAATCAATGAGAAAACTTACATTTTTACTTATTTGCAAATGTTTTCTTGTAATTTAATTTTGAATTATGCAAATATTAATTTAAAGAAATATTAAATAGTTAAGTGATAAGATTATATATCATTCTAATTATAAATTTAATTAGGATAATCATCATGCTTTTAATTTAGAAATTCTTTCTTCCTATTTTAGAAACTCTATTCTATGAAAATTAATATAAAGTTAAACAGCAACAAATATAACAAGGATCAACTAAAATAATCTCTTGAAATAATCTTCCTAATTTTACCTTTCAATTATCTTATTAATAACTCTTATCATTCCTATTAAAGTAAATGGAACATAGATAAATATTAAAAGCGATAATAACTTTTTCATAAATTTCGATTTGCTGACATAATATATCGATTCAGTGATTTCCATAAATGCCCAGCCACTAATTGTCTATCTAAAAGAGCAAAAACATAATTAGGGCCTCATAAAATACCATTAAAATATTAGCCTCATAAGAAATATATAATATTTCAAAATATTTCTTTAAGATAAGGCTTGGCTTTGTTTAATGAAAACAATTTCAAAGCATTTTCCAATAGTCATAGCTTTGACTAAGTTTAAAATATTAGAAATATCATCAATATCATGTTTGGTTTAGTAAATTATCAAAGCCATAGTTTGACTCCAACCAAGAATTCTTAGGATATTATACATTAGAATGATTTCGTCAGATATTTTCATTTGAATTAATTAATAATGTTTTATTTAGCAAAAATATTACATTGAATAATTAATTATTATTATTATATTATATTAATGTCGAAATAATACTATAATAATATTTGGTAGGAGACAATTAATGATATTCAAGACCTAATATAAGTTGAGAATTTTCAGAATGAACCAGATTTTTTAAAAAAACCATCATAGGATCTCTTTTAACATTATGCTTAAAATTACATTCGTTATATTGGGATTTATAAGAAGTTTTAATTACAAAATAAATATTATTAGATTAGAAGATTGTTATGATTAGATGGTACATCCTTAGAAAAAATTAAATTTAAAGGAATTGTTAGAATTAGCAATAATAAGAATGATTGAAAATAAAAAATTAGTTATTTAATTTAATGTACACTCAAATAGTTATCAATCAGATATGGTTAATTTAGATGAATTAATAACAGATTTAAAATTAACCCCTGATTATTTAGAAGTCCCTATTCCAAGATATTTTAAAAAAGAAACAGACAAAGAAAGATTGGATGAGAGGAACTTCATAATTGATAAAACATTACAGGATATGGATTTAGGTTAACCAGAAGAAACTATTATAGAAGAACAATACTTTTTAGATACAAAATTAGAAAATATTATAGAAATAATTTAGAGAAATGAAAGAGGAAGACATGGTATTCAAAGAGTTTTATAATTTAAATTATTACGGAAAGAGAAATTAAGGAAAGAAAATAAAACAAAAAGATTAGCTGAAGGTGAGGAAATTACTGATGAATAAGAAAATGAAAAAGCAGTATTAATAATTTAAAAATGTTTCAAAGGGTATAAAGGAAGAGAATAAGTTTATTTTATGAGGGAAGAAGAGATGAAATTCTTAGGAATTTAAAGAGATTCTGAAGATCCAAAATAATTAAATTCATAATTCATGAAAGCATAAGAATAAAGATAAAAGTAAAAGATTATAAATTATTATTAGAATGACATTAATTCAATAATAACATATGAAAGATTATGATGCTAAAAAAATAGAACTCAAATAATTGGTTTAGGAAACAGAAGGACCAGAAATTAAAGAAAAAAAAATCAAAGAAAGAATTGATTGGATTGATATGTATTTGGATAAAACAGAAGGAAGTAATTATATCATTTAATTAAGAAAAATTACCTGCTAAAGCTATTGATTTTTATGATGATAAAAAAAGATATCCTCCTACTTAAGAAGAATTAGATGCTTTGAAAGGAGGAAAGAAAGGTGCTAAAAAAGAGAACAAACCTGAAAAGAAAGGTAAGAAAGGTAAAAAAGACAAAAAAGAAGAAAAAAAAGATACTATAGATTTAACTACAGTTATAAAAATAAATGAAAGAGTTGAAGAATATTTAACAACTTGGGGTTCCACAGATGATTCAACAAATTTTCAATAAACTTTTGTAACAGATGTTGCAAAAGGTTTAGTTAGATAATCTGTTGATACCCAAATGAATAGTTTAGTTGACGAATTAATTGAAATTGAATTAGACAATAGACACTTGTTTTTATTAAAGAAACCTAGAAAGAAACCACCAAAACCTAAAAAAATAAAACCTCCTAAACCTAAAAACTTTAAAGTACCTGGAGCTGGTGGAGTAAAAGGAAGAGATGTTTTTGATTTGTTAAGTGAATTATTAGAATATGGAATTGTGAAAAAATTAATGCCAGCAAACTTGTCTGATCTCAAAGGTGGTCAAAATGTATTGGGTGCAACATAAGAATAATAATTTGCAACTACACCTGATCCTTCTTATCCTTAATTAAGATCTGCATTAGCTGAATTTGTTGGAATGTAATTGGGTTCTCCAATTCTGAAAGAAAAATTAGATAAAATGTCTTACTTCTTATTCTTTGGGCCATCTGGATCTGGTAAAACTTTAGCTATCAGAGCTTTGGCTACTGAATGTAATGCTATGTTACTCGATATTACTCCTAGTTCTCCTGAGGTATAATAAAAGTTTTCTGATAAATCTTCTATTGGAAAAACATTTTATACTGTATTCTATGTAGCTAAAGTCTTACATCCTACAATTATTTTTATGGATAACATAGAATAAGTTTTTGGATCTGCTAAAAAGAAAAAAGGTGTCCCTGCTGCTCCCTGGGCTAAATTAAAGAAACCACTTTAAGATTTTAAAAAGGCTAAGTTTATCGAACCAACTACTAGAGTAGTTTTTATTGGTTGTACTAATTAACCTGAATTGATGATTATGAAAGATACTAAGAATTTCTTTGAGAAAAAATTCTTTTTCCCAATGTTAAATTATGATACTAGATTGACTTTACTAAATTATTTTATTGAAGAAAAAGGAATAAAATTAGAGCCCAATTTCCCTTTGAGTACATTGGCCCATCTAACAGAAGGATATACTGCTGGATCTTTCAAAAATATTATTGATAAAATTATAACAACTGAAAGAATAAAAAAAATTTCAGATAAACCAATCACTATTAATGAATTTGTGGATAGACTTTCAAGATAGCCATATGTAAAGTCATAGGCAGATTATGATAAATTAAGAGTATTGTTTTTATACATTATAGACTTTCTTTGATGAAGTGACAGGAACAAAAGAAAGAAGAGAAAAGTCTAAAGCAGTTGCTGTAGATCCAAAAAAGGGTGGGAAGAAAAAATGATATATTAATCAATAAATCAAACATAAATAATAAATATTAATATTAAATGGCGTGCTGTTCATGTTCCTAATCGCTGATTTTCACCATTGTTTTAATCACATTGTTGTTTGCAGCTGTCACTATTGATGCTGTTAGATTTGCTTGGTTAACTATTTCATTTATGTTCGGAATAATGTTAATGATAGGTAATGTGTTATCCACTATCTTAATTAATAGATTACATGTTTTCTTATGAAAAAGGCTTCATGTATGATCCAGATTATAAAACTTGGAGATAAAAAACTCAATCAGATGCATGATTATTCTATAATTTTACATACATTTATTGCATAATTCATTATTTTTCTCTATATTATAATTTATTATATATATATATATTTAATTGTGTTTATTTATTTAATTATAATATTAATAATATAAAGCATTTGATCAATGGATATAGTCAGATTACATCATTTAGCAGAATAAAGATGTAAACCACTTGGATGCAGAATGAAATCTTGTTAAGAATCAGCTCAGGATCCAAATTTATGTTAACAATATCATCGAGAACTCTTAGAATGTATTGCAAAGGAGAAATCAAGACTTATTGATAATTGGAATAGAACTGGCAAATTCTCATCTTGAATATTCAATATTATTTTATATTTATAATTTTAATATTTAGATTACACTAAAGGTGAAGTAATCAACTTAAATTCAGAAACTAAACCTAATTGATGGAAATCTTAATTTACTTCTTTTAGTAGCTAATTTCAAATTTCTATTTTCTCAAGCAAAGCCATTAAATACAGTATTATTCTATACATCATTTTATACATTTAAGGAGGTCTTAGTATATGTAATATACAATATATTATTAGTATTGATTAAAAATGTAATGAGAACCATAAATTTTGAAAAAAAAATCAAAGGTTCTGAATAAATTGTTAAATTTCATATAGATATACAATTCCTTATGCAAATTAATTATATTAAATTTAAGGTCTAAAATTTGAATGTTATCTAATTTGTAATCATATGATTTATTAAATATACAATATTCAAGGTATGCAGTAAATAAATTAATTGGAAAAGCAAAAATTCAACCATTTATATATAAGTTTAAAAAGTAAGAATGCAATAAACAGGATTTTGCCATCCTTAGATTTATTATAAGATTATTGATAAACAAAAGATTTGAAAAATATTTTAAAAAAGACACACAAATATTCATTATTCATAAATTGAATAGTGAAAAGAATAATAAGTGGCTTTAAAGCATCTGCCCTAAGAAAATAAGTAGAAATTATTAAAAGAAATGAAAGTGTAGTATTATTTAATAAAGAAAAGTTTATCGAAGAAATTAAATATTTGTTGACTTAATTTCTAAATATTTATAGAAGTTTTAAAAAAGAATAATACCAATAATTTAAAGGATTATAAAGAATAAATTGAGTCACCCTAATTAAATTTGAATATATGAATAATATACAAATAAAAGCGGATGTAATTAATATAATAAATCAATAATAATAATAATTTTTATTTTTAATTTGTGTTAATTAAGCTAGTCAACCCTATCTGTGTTACTCATCATTACTTTTATAGAGTGAATGAAGTGTCAATGATAGGGAATATAAAACTGAAATAATAGAATCGTAATAATTGGATTTAATGCAATTATTATTTTTTTCACTATTTCAAACAAAATTATCTAATTTATTCATAAAATATATTATTACTTTACTTAATGGGTTGTGGTAGTAGCGCAGGAGCTGTGATAGAATAAAATAGAGCACCTGGTTTCAAAGGACCAGTTTTTATGACTATAAAGCATGCTTTATTAGAAAGAGATGTAAGATTCATTGGAGTTATGGATCCTTACATCAAATTAATTATGGGGAGACAAGAGTTTAAGACACCAATTGCAAAGGAAGGAGGAAAACATCCGTAACTATATATTTCTTATTATTTCTTAAATAGTAAATGGGAAGGGTGTACTCACACATTTTAAAAATTGCTAGGAGAACCAGATGTAATTATAGGATAAGTTTGGTGTGAAAATACTTTAACTTCTGACATTCTTATTGGTGAAGGCGCATTTTCATTGACTTCTATAAGAAAAGGAAATGCTGAACCAAAAAGAATTTCATTTTTACTTTTCCATAATGGTGAAAAAGCAGGTGAAATTAGTTTGGAAGCCACTTTTACTCTTGATCCAAGTGGTAAAGACTTACCAGAAATCAAGGCTCCGGATACTGAAGGAAAGTTCATTGTAAAACCAAAATTTGGTCGATTAAAGAAGAATACTAATCTATTATTAAAAATGGATCCCTTCTTAACTATTCATTTTGGT